CCGGGGTTATAGAACGCCTATCTATCTACTAGATATTAAAGTTGTTACTAAAAAGACCAGATGAAAAGTGATTCAAAAAGGCCTTATAGCTTAGTAGGTATAGACTTCGTGTGGTCCCTCCTATAGTGACTTTCATAATACAAAACGACGGTAGCTAATCCGCCGCCGGATTAATAACTATCGTATTATAAGGCAGGGTTATTAAGGCTGCGAGAGGGCTCTATATCAGACCCCTAAAGTCCCTATCTATGTCTTATGTCGCTATCACGTTCCCACCAATATCTCCTCGAGTCAGCTGTTCGCCGTGATTCTGAATATCGATATTGTTTTCGGGAGGGTCGCCACTGTTTTCTTCACTAATACTATCTAAAAGATAGCTAAAGAATGCCTTAAAAACCGATTGTCGGAGAAAGCCCGCTATCACGCGAACCGGTGTCTGGCTTTACTATAGCGACTCTACTGATAAAGCGAATCGATCTGCCTCGACCGTATTTGCGTATAGCTTACTATATCTTTTCGTAACTTCTATTTCTTTAGAACTATCTTCTAGATATTCACACGGTTTTAGAAAAGGTAGCTTAGATGTTATAAATAACGACTCGTCTATAGCCGGTGGCCGGAATCCCCTCTGTCACGGGTAGACTGCGGCAACATCCTCAATATCCATGGATATCCACATATCCTCTCCGCAGATTGCGGATATAGTATATCACCCAATATCCGCAATCCTCAATTTTGTGGATATGGTATACCACCTAATATCCTCTGGATATTTGAGGATATCCAGTGGATATCAAACAGGCCAAACATGCCTAGCCTCACGACTCTTTTAAGTATGTATAATTTATGCAGTTTCCTACGTATTTTTAATGTAATCATAGTGTAATTATTAACTTTCAAGATTTCAATTTAGTAAATAAAATTCCGTTATCTCCATATAATATCAACTACCTTAAATCAATCTGAAATCCATCAGGTAACCTAGGCTGCTTTCGAATTCGTCCTGACCGTCCTAGCATACTCTTATCTATTGGCATTTCTGGAAGGTCATCGTCATCTTCATCAAGAGATTCAGATAATCGTTTCTTTGATCGCTTACGCTGCACTTGCTTACTTTGATCATTATTCCTCTCATCATCTAAATCATCATTACAGCTCCTCTTCTGTTGTGTGTCCTGTATGCTAGGCTCTTGATCCTCCTCTTCGTTGTCACTAATTGGCTTAAGAGTTTCAAGATAGAGCATTGGTTTCCGAGCTTGGTCTAATAACGCAGCTTCCCTAATAGAGAGATACTCCTTAATAACCTCTATCTCCTTCTGCTTAACGTCAAAATTAGTGGCGAATTGATAGAGCATTAATCCTCGGATGGTACTTGGTTTCAATTAACCGCGACGATAGTGGCAGATATCGCGAGCGCAATTAAATAATCGCTCAACGCCTACACCACTAGCTGGGATCGAGAGAATATCCCGTGCTATCCTCGCAAGGATAGGAAACTTAAGCTTATGGTCTTTCTAGAATGCTCTTAGCTTCTAAATCTTAATCCCGCGGGCAAGATACCTCGCGATCTCATCATCTTCAGGCTTTGAGAGCTTATCCTAGGGCTGGTTTTGAGATGCACAAGCAGCATCTAGATCACTATATTCATTATCCGGGGCCTCTCTCGTGGTATCTTATAAGACTGTATTATCTGAATCACGGTGAAGTATCTCTTTATATCGTTGAAACTCTCGCTTGAGAACTCTATGATAGTGATTAATATAGTCAATATCACCTTGCCAGTCTGACGATGCGAAATATCGAAGTTTCTTTGATAGGCAAAGGATTGTCGCGAGTGTATAGATATCGCCATATGATTTATAATCAGTCGTAGTGTAGTACTTTAAGAGCTTCCGCTTAGCAGTCTAAAGAGCCTAGAGCATATGCTTCTTCCAGACAACACCTTTATTCTTTAACTTACACTCAGCTTTATCTAGATAAGAGAAAAGCTTATTATAAATACTATAGATGTTGTGTGTGGTAATATCCCTAGTCTTTGATAACATAGTGGTGAAGTCAAAGAAAGGCTTTATAAGAAGAAGAAGATATTCAATCTGTCGCCACTCTTCTTGATCAAGTTTAAAGTGTAGATACTGATAATCTATACAATACTGGTCATAGAATGGTTATAACCTTTTAGCACGATTGAGTATTATAAAGGTTGAGTTCCATCGGGTTTAGACATCCTAAATAGGAACCAAACGAGGCTTATTAGTTTAAAGAGCTATAAATGACTCCCGGCGTTATAGGCTCGCATTAATAAAGACCGCAAGACCTCGGATCTTGGACTTTCTTATTAGAATAAACTCAGAAGCCTAAGGGAGATAGAGGACTGACCTTCTTTAAGGTATCTGCAATTTGCCGACTTGAGCCAGATTGTTTAGTCTAGAATAAATATATTCGCTCGTCAGGCCACTCTAGTTCAATCTCTTTATTAGGTGGTGTTACTTTCAGCTTCCTAAGAAGCTTATTTAAGCTTAATTAGATCATATGCGTAATACACGGAACTCGGAAGATTAAGGTATCTAGTTGGCTCTACGACTAAATAGTCTCTTGGATGTTTATCACCAAGGTATTATTGTTAGTTGCGTTATCTGTTGTCACAGATAAGACACGATTGGTGATTCTATGATTGTTCAAGAGCTGAGTAACGGTCTTACTTAGATTTTCACTAGTATGAGACCCATAAAGATGCTTAAATCTAAGAAGAACTTTACAATAATTCCAATCCTGATTAAGAAAGTAGCCTATAATAGCCATGAAAGCTTACTAAAATGGCGATGTCTAGCAATCAAGCGCTAGTAAAAGGCGACTCCTATCTAGAAGTCTTCTAAGAATCTCCTTCTAGTCATTTTTAACTGTAGAATCAAGATAACGTCGTATACTTCGCGCGGATGGTATATCGATCTTGCTTTAAGCTTGTTAAATGACCTCTACTAGGTCCTTGAATTGGGTATGCTCCACGATTCGGAAGGGTAGGTGAGCCGCTAAGATAAAGTCTAGGATCGCTTTAACGAGACGCTCCTAGGAGAAAGGTTGGTGTTTTGGGATCGATAGCTTTAGGATAATTATCAAGATTAGTAAAAGAGATATTAAAAATCTTAATAATAGAGTAATATACTATCTTTCTTAGTAGCTGATCAACCCTCTGAGTAACTGGCTTCCGAGTACAGGTGCCTGCCTTAATATGTGCATTTATCGGTGATGACCTAGTACGGCGATATCTTGGATGAACAAGGGTACAGAGGCATGATATGCACATAACCTTTGGCTTGCCAGTCTTCTTATGTGTAACCTGATTAAAATTGTCCCAGACACTTGAAGTCTTTTTCCCATCCCAACGGATAGAGTCTTGTATATCAGGTGTTGATCTAGACTCTGTAGTTAACCACCAACTTATAAAGCGCTTACGAGATTCTTCCATCTCGCTGCTAGGCTTAGAGGAATAGAGGACCTAATACTGCTGAAGAGGGAGGCTAACACGCGTAAGCGAGAGGGGTGCAATCGGAGATGAAATTTGAGACGTAGATATCAATAGAGTTTGGCTGCTAATAAGCTTAGAGATATTATCTGAATAAAGAAGGTCGGTATTTAGACCTAGATCTGAATTAGCGTAGAAGGAGTAGTGGGATTGAGATGCTTGTGAGTAAGACATGGTGTACTTGATCACTATGTCAGAGAGAGAGAGAAACTTACATATAGAACGAGCTGAAAATATCAGAATTATGGCAAATATGCTGTAACTCGTAAGTTGCGGGTGCGTACTTGACATCTCTTACTTTTGATGGCGATGATTGGCTATTACTAATCACTGGTGTGGATATTTGAGGATAATTGAGGATATATTGTGGATATCCGCATGGATATCCTTAGATATCCTCAACCTTGCCGCCATATTCACCAAGTCCGCTGTTAATAACATTGGAGCTTCCGACCGGTAATCTTCGAGAGAATCTATTTAGAATCATTATATACTTGAAAGTTAGGCTTAGATCATTAATTTAAAGCTAAATTAACTAAATTTGACCGGGAAATAGCGAGTTTGGTTAAATATACTTAGTTCAGCTGAGAGATGCTATACTTCTTCCATGAGTAAATATATATTTCCATGGTAAAGTAAAGTGAAATAACAAAAAATCATGTTTTCCCCCAATACACTTTGAAAATAAAGATTGATGCTATAAGTAATAATAAAGCTAATAAATATTGGTTAATACATAGGTATTACTTAATATTTCATTGGGAAATAGGATAAATAAGGGTAGTAGTATGGTCAGGACCAAACCTATGTATCTTTTGTTCTGAAAAATAAATTAATAAGCTGTATAAGAGGCACATGACGACCCCTAAGTAGATAATCAAGCGAGAGTTATGCTAGTGCGGATATCCGCAGAATATCCTCATATCCTCGCGGATATCCATGGATATCCTCATTGAGGATATGGTATGAAAGTAATATCCATTATCCTCAATTTGCGGATATGGTATTGAGCCTAATATCCAATGGAGAGGATATGCCGCAGTCTAGTCACGGGCCAGAGCCCATTGGATATCACGTGCTACCACGTGACCCACACCTGGGGTTATTATGGAGAACCCCGCGTCAGATAGTTCCTTTCCTCAAGATGAATGTAAACAGCATTAGACTGCGACATCGCCCATGGACGGGCTGGTGGGCATGCCCATGGACGGGCCCTACCCTTAGGGCCTATAGCCCATGGGCGTCGTGGGCGCCTATGGGCCTTTTTAGTAAGCAGAATTCCTTGACCTCGTGACTTGCATTATTTGTGCATTTTAGCTCTGTATGTTTAAGTAATTTGATTACATGTAGACAGCAGTGGCATTGGCATACAGTAGGTTTAACAGGCATTTATTATAGACATATATTCACACTAATACGATACAAATTGATCATCACTAGGTTTGCCACGCTTCCTTGCTTCTCTTAACCCAGGGCGCCTTTAAGTGCCACTCTCATCTCCATAAAGAGGGAGATGAGGACTGCTCTCATCTTCGCTGTCGACTAGCTCACTTCTCTGTCGCTTCCGCGCACTTAGCACTATAGAAGGATAAGGAAGCTGACTCGCTATTACAAACTCGTGCTCGATCAGTCCGACAGGATCATTATCCTCGCAATCCTCACTATCGCTGATTGGTTCAGGCATGTCAGTGGTAAGCTCAGCCTCTCTCTGTTCGTCTGCTTCTTGTATAGAATCTAAGGACATATCCTCATCGGGTAGTTCTTCTATTTCAATGTCGAATTGGGTTCTACACCGGAACATCATGATATCCTAGACTGTCTTCGCACTCAGCCGCCCACGCCGGTAGTGGCAGACATCCCGTGCTGAATTAAAAAGACGTTCAACTCTAGCGCCTATTGCGGGAATAGAGAGAGTGTCGCGAGTAACACTTAAGAGAATCGGGAATTCATTCTTATATTCCTTCTAGAATTGCAAAGGATCGACTTTTCTCCTTGCTATAATAGGTATAAGTATTCCCGCTCGTAATAATAGTGAATATAACGTACGCTTTTCAAGATATCTAGCGAGTTCGTGCTCTGATGTTGATAGATTGGAGTGAATATGAGGCCGAAGGTCGAGGAGAGCGTCTAGGTCACTTATACTGGCTAAGTGACGGTAGGGGGGTTGCTCTCCTCGTAGGGATTGTGTCTGGGTGTGTCTTTAGGCGTAAGGAGCTATAAACTGGCGAAGCGTTTCCTTGTACTGATCACTCCATTTTGTGTCGTTCTCCGACGTACCCCATGTCACGGGCCAGAGCCCATTGGATATCACGTGCTACCACGTGACCCACACCTGGGGTTATTATGGAGAACCCCGCGTCAGATAGTTCCTTTCCTCAAGATGAATGTAAACAGCATGTTGGCCTAGCCCTAATTGAATCAATTCAGCTACAGCCCTTCACATACATTCATCTTCCGATTCGAATCGTTAAACACCACCGGAAAGCCCTAGAAACAACCATCTAGGCAATAACAGAAGAAACAATTCGTACCGTGGATCCCCACCGATCCACCCACGAAACACCAACGGAACGGAACGGAAGCAACCGAGCATAATCAATGGAGTCTCAGGAGCAACAACAGGTCCCTCAGTGGGCAGCGCTCATGATGCAGCAGCTGGAACAGAACCAGCAGGCACATGACCGAGCAATGGAACAACAGGCCGAGCGAATTAGAAAGCTTGAAGGACTAGTAGCACAGATCATAGTCAACAACAAAAACAACGGAATGGATGGTGGAGAGGATCGCCACCGATCCGCGACCGAAACGCCATCGGAACAGACGAACGAGAGTCAGGAGGAGCCCCATCGCCTACCGCGACCAAGGCTCCCTGACCCCGCACTATTCGCAGGCAGCGTTAAGGACTGGCCTACTTGGCGAATCACGATAGAAAACAAGCTCGCGATTGACGGCCCAGCCATCGGGTCGAGATCCGCCCAGTTTGTTTACGTATTCTCACGACTGGAGAAGCTAGCATGGAAGAATACCGGAACGTTCGTGAAACACCGCCGGGACACTGCCGGACCAGAGGACCTGATTGGATACCTAGAGACCATTTATGGTGATCCGAACGCACAGGCAAGAGCAGCCCGTCGGCTCCACCAGATGACTCAGGCCGAGGGGACCGCCTTCTCTAAATTCCTGCCACGGCTAGAGAAGGAGTTCGCCGACGCTGGAGCTCTAGATTGGCCCGACGAAGCGAAACGACAGATCTTGCTAGGATCGTTAAATAGCACTATGAGCGGTCCGCTTATGAATCGTGGCATTCCCGCTACCTTTTCGGGACTTGTTAGCCGACTACATGAGATTAGCACGGATATAGACGCATTGAACAGCAATAAGCCGTCCTCACGTCGTACCGCGAAGCTAAACAACAGCGACGAAATGGACTGGACCCCGACGATTGCAATCAACCGTACGGATGCCTATAAAGATCGTAGGCGTATCGGCACCGAGCAGCAGCCGAAACGGGCTCGGTGGGCTAGTGAAGACGAAATGCACGACCGCCGTCGAGAAGGAAGATGCCTTCGTTGCGGTAAAACAGGGTGCCGTATTGCTGAATGCCCTTACCTGCCGGCTAAAAGGCCGGAGTCGAACCGAGTAGCAGCTAGCTCTGCGAAGGAAGAAGGTCGTTTCGCCGCCGAATCGGAGGCGAAACCAAAACGAAAAACACGCGTGAGGAAGTCGAAACCAGTTGCCGAGAGCGAGTCGAGCAACGATGAATACGCGACAACCAGTAGTAGCGAGTCGGAAACCGAATAGGTCCTGTTCTGAGCTGCGAGTAGGAGCGAAAAGGGGGTCGAGAAGCTAGCGATCCGACGCCGCATACAGTCCGGTTAGATGTGCCAACTGGCGTTCATCCAGTGTTCCACGTTGAATTGGTGCGGCCGGCTGCATCGGATCCGTTTCCGTCACAAATCGTTGACGATACGCAGCCGGCACCAATTGAAGTCGATGGCGAATTGGAATATGAGGTGGAAGAGATTCTCGACTGGCGAGAGAAGCGCGCTGGTCGAAACACGCAGATAGAAGTGTTGGTAAGATGGGCTGGTTATGCAGAGACGACATGGGAGAGATTGGACGTTGTAGAGAATTGTTCGGCATTGGATAGGTACGAGAAGCGATTCGGTCCCGTTCCGGGACCTTCTCGCCACCGGATCGACGACGACGGAGACATCGTTATCCCCGCTGTGAGATTACATCGTTGTTAAAGGGAGAGGAGGGGGTACTGTCACGGGCCAGAGCCCATTGGATATCACGTGCTACCACGTGACCCACACCTGGGGTTATTATGGAGAACCCCGCGTCAGATAGTTCCTTTCCTCAAGATGAATGTAAACAGCATGTTGGCCTAGCCCTAATTGAATCAATTCAGCTACAGCCCTTCACACCCCACGCCTTACTTGAGAAGAAGTGAAGCTTATGCTAGGGTGTAAGAATTGTTCTAATCGCGTAGAGACTACCATAGATCTCTTTCGTCTTTGTGTAGTAAGATAAAAGCTTTACCATCCTAGCATTGAGGGCTTATAGCATCGCCTTCTTCTAAGGTATGGTTTTCGGAGTGAGTCGTGCGATCGATTCCTCGAAGTGCTCGAAGAGGGCGTTATAAATACCAAAAATATAATATACCGTTATTTCTTTGGTCTTTGAAAGCACTATAGTAAAGCGGTAGAAAGGCTCTGTAATATATAGAAGGTAGTCGACCTACCGCTATTCTGCCTTACTAAGTTTGTATTTCTAGGTCCTAATGTTATTATAGTATTTATCGTAGGGCTTGCTAAGGCGTTTCGCACGACGAAGTATTAGGAAGGTTGAATTCTAGCGTGTACGGACATCTTAGATAGGCGTAAGTTTCGTTCTATTGGTCTAGAGACGGAAGAAATCATCGCGACGTTAGGGGCTTGTATTAATGAACATAGCAAGCCCTCGAATCTATATATTTATTAGGTATGTTAAATAATAAAAATAGTAATATACTTACCTTAATAAGGGTTTGTATAATGACTTGTTCACTCTAGGAAGCACGGAGCGATAGAGCTTAGGCTTAGGCTTAGACATCTGAAACATTCCGATCTATAATATCGTTCTAGGGATCGGCCTTCACTGATCTAAGTAGCTCGCGAAGGCTTAGCTGGATAACATGTGTAAGATAAGGGATTCGAACAACCACTAGGCTATTCGGTAGTTCAAGGGAGTCAATAGAGTCTTAAACTACCTATACTAAAGTTGTGTTATTTGATGCGTTATCTAATGTAATCGCTAACACGCGATCAGTAATATCAAGCTTCTTAAAGATCTCTATAAGCACTTCACTTAGATTTATACTAGAATGCGCCCTATCAAGTGGTTCGAAACCAAGTAGGAGCTCACGGTAATTCTAGTCTCGGTCGATAAAGTACCCTATGATCGCTATGAATGCTTACTGAAAAGGCGATGTCTAGCAGTCAAGGGCGATTAAGAGCTTCGTATCTTTTAGTAAGGTAACGAGAATTGTATACTGCTCCTTATCGACTAATTTCTTTAGCCGGCGTTAAGCAGTGCGAGGATAGAGTAAAGTAGGTTTAGCTAGAGCCTTTTGTGCCATTCGAATCAAGGAAGCAAACTGTTTCCTCTCAAGTATCCGGAAAGGTAGGTTTAGACTAGTAAGACATTTAATCTGCTCTCTTTCCCATTTATCATTCGAGAATTTTGAGATATAAGAAGGCTCTAGTGCTTAATATATAGTAGTGTTAGTTATCTTAAAGGGTATAATCATATAAGACTTACCGATATATGCTATATAGTCTCTTTAATCGACCGTTGTGTAGACTTGCTTTTACCACCCTTTTAGCATCTACCTAAGGTCATATACCGCTTTAGTGTGTTAGTGCCGCTTTGCTTCGCGCTTAGATAAGGCAGTATGGCCCCACAAGTCCGATATATAACCAAAGGTTCGCCTGTAATATAATGTGCTACCTGGTCGAAGTTCTCCTAGACATCCGATATGTGTTTTGTATCCCATCGTAGCCTTTGTTGTGTCTTAGTATCGCTACCGCGTACTGTTATACGCCACCACTTAATAAACTTTACTTTAGACGTGTTGTTTATCGCGTCGTAGAGGATAAACTGCTTTCTCCGATCGGGGCCGATACGTTTAAGGGAGCAATTAAGAAGGGCCGGTTAAGTGAACTCAGACTCTATCACTGATATAGAAGTCTATTAGCTGTTAAAGAGACTAGGATCAATATTTAGATCAAGGTTAGGATCAAATATATCGTCGACATAGGAGAGGTCTGGTTAGGAGCTCGGAGGAAGCGAAGAGGGCCCTACGGTATAGGTACTAGGTTAGGACATAGTGAATATAATGTAAGGGACAGTGTAAAGACTAAGGGAGAGTGTATAATATTAACTTACATTAGGCAACTTACGAGTCGCAAGTTGCGACTATATGAAAAGGGGGTTACTAGTAAAAGGGGTGCTTGTATAGATCTGATATATCATAAATCAAGTGTTGACCCACTATCCTTTATAAGCTGATTGGCTATAAGGGTCTTTTGTCTATAGGCATGCCCGTGGGCACGCCCACGGGAATATGCCTAAACGCCCATCTCGAGTTACAATCGAAGGATTAAAAACTCCTAGAATAATAACTTAAGTTTTTTAGTGATAGAATAGACGGAATTTAGTGATATAAGCTCGTAGAATAAGAATTGTACTAATGCTCTTTCGATCTACCTATAAGAAATATACCTAAACGAGAGATGAAGCAGAATACATAAGTAGTATTTTACTTGTAGAAAATAGCAGGTATGTACCACTGACTTGAATATATATCTTCAAACTGTTACAGCATGATTTGATAAGTTAATAAAAATACCACACAACATGGTGTATTTCGATGAGGAATTTATTCCACGTCGTATCATATATATTATAGTTTTTCATATACTCAGATATTTCAATAAAGTTTATGGATGTTGTAGATTAAAACCGCGATCTTACATGGAGTTGGCAAAACAGCTGTAAATAATAGTTATTTAATGTGTCAAGTTAGCGAGTTATACGTCCATTTTGGGTGACTTTATGCAATGGTGGGCATAGTGGGCATGCCCGCGATGGGCATGCCCGTGGGCGGTGGGCGTTGTGGACGGGCACTCGAACATCCAAATAGCCCACCGCCCACCGTGGACGGGCGATGGGCACCTCCTAGGTGCCCATGGACGGGCGATGTCGCAGTCTAAACAGCATGTTGGCCTAGCCTTAATTGAATCAATTCAGCTACAGCCCTTCACATTCGGGACTAGGATCCTTTAGCTATTTAAGGCGTTAGTGATCGGTCATCTCAAATCTATATTAGAAGCTGAATGTTACGGACATACCAGTCACCAATCACATATAGGGACTGCGACCTACAGATGGGCCACCGAGAGCCAATCAATCAGTCTATTATACAGATCACGTGCAAGATCCTATACTGGGGCGTTCCTAGTACGAGTCAGAGAAATACTTCGACTTGGGAGCCGATTCTGGCCCCCTGTTGGTAATCACGAACTATACTCGCATATAACGAAGGTTTACCGCGAGGAGGCCGTTTCGGGCCCTCCACTCGCCGTCTCTAATAATACCGCAATACACTATGAGACGGTTAGCCTCACGTGATCATACAAGTAGTAGAACAGGTCGATGGTCGATGGGTAGATTCCGCCAAGACAAATCTACACATCTACTATCTACACTTCTACCCAGGAAGAACTTAGGGATATTGTAAGACCCCGTTACGAGGGTCTTGGGACTTAGGTGGATTCGGGCAATAGAATGGAGAAAGCAGTAGACAGGTTCAATGCTGAACTAATCGCTGGAGTCCAAGACTCCAGCCTCTGAACTGTTTATATACAAATGTGGGGTCATGTGAGGTCATGAGCCCTCGCATTGTGGGTCTCAGCCCAGGGTCCAGTTCGCACCTGCGAACTGGCCATCTCACAGTCATCTCGCAGTCTCACATAGACTGCGAGATATATATCGTCAGACCTGCTTAGTACTTGGGTCCTGACAGATATATACGGACACTCATTTCATGTATATAGTTCAGTTCTTCGTCTTCAATCATATATTGTCACTTATGAATACCTTTAGAACTTCAGAGACTCTTCACTTGATTATAACTTGATAACCAATACGAATAGACTAATACTTCGGTATAGATCTATTCGGCGCACTACCTGGCATCGTTCCTCGATACCCTCGACAGGACTCATCCCGCAGTAAGGCCTACTAGGCGACGGTAAGGTTGAGAGACAGATCGTTGACGTTGGAAGTCTACAGGAAATCAGAGAAGTATCTCCCGATTCTATCTAACCTAACTGTGACCAGTTAGCTGTGCGTAACACAACCTTAGTGTTTCCTTATTTGTTAACAAACAGCGCACTTTCCCTCTAATCTTATCAGCCCTCTCGCCTGATAACAAAGACGCGCGCACACGCGCGTAACACCTCAACATTGACGAGGCATCCATCCTAAGTCTGCCTACGAGCCTAGAAAGCTGGCTAACCCATAAATGTGGAGAACCTACGAAGATGCAGACCACGCATAGGGAAGTGGAAAACCTTTTCCTATGATAGTGGTTTTCCTCACTGACGCAGTGAGGTTTTCTATCTAACATATGGTTTTCATAGACCACTCTAGCCGCCTGCACATGATCACAACGGTCGCGAGCCGCGCCCTATAAAGGAGGGGAATATTGTTAGGACCCAAGTACTAAGCAGGTCTCATGATATATATCTCGCAGTCTATGTGAGACTGCGAGGTGGCCAGTTCGCAGGTGCGAACTGGACCCAGGGCTAAGCCCCACAATGCGAGGGCTCATAACCTCACATGACCCCATATTTGTATATAAACAGTTCAGGGGCTGGAGTCTTGGACTCCAGCAATTAGTTCAGCATTGAACCTGTCTACTGCTTTCTCCATTCTATTGCCCGAATCCACCTAAGTTCAAAGACCCTCGTAACGGGGTCTTACAGATAGACATCTACGATCCACTACTAGTTATTATAGTCAAGGACGCTTCTTATAGCCGTGATAAGATTCTCGTGGTCGTATACGCACAAACGATAGCCTAATTCCATTTCTAAACTAGGAATAATTCCACTGCTATATCGCGGACCTACGCGATCTGACTAATAAGCCCTAGGAACTATTACTAGTATATAGTTGTTCCTTATTAAGCGTTGACAGCCTTAAATATTTATTATTTTTTTTAATCGACGGACATTCTACCGGCCGTCTATCCGTCTTTTAAACCCGGTCTTAAAGACGAGGTGTGAAAGATGCACTCTAGCAGATAATTCGAAGTGACCTTCTCGATAGTCGTATAACTTGCGCTCCTAGTTTTTAACTTCTGACTGCCTAGAAGATAACTGTAAGACCCCGTTACGAGGGTCTTGGGACTTAGGTGGATTCGGGCAATAGAATGGAGAAAGCAGTAGACAGGTTCAATGCTGAACTAATCGCTGGAGTCCAAGACTCCAGCCTCTGAACTGTTTATATACAAATGTGGGGTCATGTGAGGTCATGAGCCCTCGCATTGCGGGTCTCAGCCCTGGGTCTAGTTCGCAGGTGCGAACTGGCCATCTCGCAGTCTCACACAGACTGCGAGATATATATCGTCAGACCTGCTTAGTACTTGGGTCCTGACAATAACATGATAAGGGCGAATAGATTAATTAGAGTGTGTATATAAGCAGGTGTACGAGAGATATAATTCCAGATGTTAGAAACCACATATAATATGATTTGTATATCACGGTTCTTTGTTATGTTAACCAGGCCAAAATATATATTCGCTAGGTCAGTTCAAGTAAGACTGTCCAAAAAAAACCAAAATATACTGACCCCCTTAGGTGACACGGACTGTGGTATAATTGGGTTACAAGTCACCAGAATACTTAGTCCCTTGGCATCTGCGCACAGCCCCTATGGGCCGCATTCGCCCCGTGCGACCGGTGGCCCGTCTGTAGGTCGCAGTCTCCACTTGTGATTGGTGACTGGCATGTCCGTAACAACCTGCTCCAGAAACCCAGGGTGAACCTGCACTTACTGTTTTGTCCCCTGTACACTGGCAAAATGCATGTTCTCAATGCTGAAGAAGAGGGCATAGGTGTAATACATGCCAACAGAAGATTTAAATTGTCAGTTTAATGGTGTTTTGGTTGTTTAATTGGAGTTTAGAAAATGTAAAAAATCTGAAGATTTAAGGGGGTGACGGACCGGCAGGGATCCGCGTTAGATCAAGCCAAGATTAAGTCAAATTACGAATGGAAATTTGAAATGCGACGTCCACTGTTATAACCCGGTCATGTGACCCAAGGGTCTCAGGCCATGCCAAGAAAAGTGGGGGACGACGCCAAGGGACTAAGCGTAATTTATGTTCCCGAAATTTGATTCATTAAAGATAGGGTGTTTTACTTATAGAGGACATACGGAGTAGTCCATGAGAGCTACGTAGTACATAGATCTGTCCCTGGATGTCCACGGATGTTGGCGAGGTCACAAGTCTATTCTCCCGTAAGGACACCCAGGAGCTTGTGGAATAGAATTTTCAACCATTGATCCCGACCTTCATTGGAAAGTGTGACGATCTCCGGCCCCGGGGAGTGATCAAGGTTGTTTTTGGTTGCTGGTAATGATTGCTGCTCATTTCGCTTTGAAAATACTTGAAAAATACACCTGGATACATTCCAAGGTGTGCTCCAATATGATGAATATATGAAATGGAAAAAAAAAACCTTGCAAGCATGAAGTTTCAAAGGTTGCTATCCTAAGGACTTTACTCCATTCATTTGGTAAGATTCTCGAGCCTACTGGCGAGAAGGAAACACGGACGTAGACGATTGACTCGACTGGTCATCAGATAGAGAGGGAGGGAGGGAGAGACGAAGAGGGAGCGAGGTCTCCACCTAGGCTTAGGGCTGAGACTACACCCCACCGCTCAACAATAGTCAAAGCAACAAATCTAATATCTCTACTAATACGATAAGAAGAAAGCCTTGGAGTGCTAAATCTTTCCCCTGGCAGTTGATACTATTACTGAACATACCCTTCCTTCTTCATCAACTCCCGTGTCCACTCGTGCAGCTTCTCTGTAAGCTTCCCATCTTTCGCTGCACGACTCAACCACGAGAACTCCGTAAACTTGCGTTGAATTTCGAGATAGCCACCGCTATGCCCCGCCTTCATATCTTGGCTTGCCACACAGAACAAACTGGTCCATGAACCTTTGTCAGCAGTCAAGAATAATCCAAAAACACGAAATACCGAAAAAAGCGGCATCATCCACGATCCAGACTCCTTTACTGCTTCGCCGAGATTTGTTTCGACCAGACCTGGATGTACGGATGCAACCCAGATCTCGCCTCCCCCTTTCAGCGCACTCTGAGAGCCCGGACCGTACCTCGTGTGCAAATTTGTTGTGTGCAGAATATTACCGAGCTTGCTTTGCCCGTATCGCTCCCATGGCCCGTCATTCTTGAGTGATGTATCTTCGAAGTCGATACCGCATTTCGGTGCGCCCCAGTGACCCGATGAACTTAAGTTGACGATGCGCACGCTGCCGGGGGAAAGACTCTTAGAAGTTTGCAGCATGAGAGGAAGCAAATGCTCTGTGAAAGTCCAGTGTGCGAGGTAGTTGGTCTGCCATTGAGCCTCGTGACCGTCTTCGGTCATTCGGAAGGGTGTCGCCATGATGCCTGCATTGTTGACCAAGCCGTGTACTGCCGTTTCAAGTGCGAGGAAACGCTTAGCGGCCGTAACGACACTGGTAAGGTTCATATGGTCCATTTGCAGGAGATCAATGTTCGCTGATGGGTACATTTCCTTGATTCTGGCAATAGCTGCTGTGCCTTTCTCGGCTGATCGGGCGCATAGATAAACATGCGCGTCATGCTCTGCTAACCGAGCTACGGTGTGGTAACCACTATATATATCTGGGTCAGATCAGTGATTTGAGGTTTGGGATGAGTGGGAGACTGACATGCCGGAATTTCCACCAGTGACTATGAATACCTTGCCTTTGAGGCAGGGGAGTGTGTCTGGATGGAAAGTCATGCTCAACTCCAGAATTGGGTTCCAAGGTTAAGGTGCGAATAGTGAAGACGCAGAAACAAATTTGATACTGAGTAATTGTTTGAATCGACTGTGTTTGGTTGTGAGAAGAATACAGTTTGATATGGAGGACTTCTACGATATTTATATCCAAGAACTTCTAAAGGTTCAAGGTTATGTCTATGTTCAATTCCTGATATATTGACAGTACAGAGTATGCGAACATCAGACATGGTGAGCAAGTTGCATGAGGATCCAATGGTGCATTAAAGATATGGACCAATGAGAGCTTTCTGAATGGGTCAGTGAGCCACTTGCATGAGTGTCTATGAAGGGTGGGGGCGGAATTTTTCTTTGACGGGCATTAGGATACCGATCAATTAGCCTATCTATTGGATCAGAGTCCAAAATTTTGCGTGTCATGGTAGAATTTGGAAATGACTACTCTATATACTCATAAGAGACTCCGTGCTGAAGCAATATGAGTAAGGAGGGATAAAAAAGGAGGATACAAATTGCGAAAATCTGAGGATGAATTTTTCAGCTTTGTGCATTCGTGTGTTTTAGGATGTGAGTAGGCTGTATGACGCTAGTCCCATCGAGTTTAGATTCGAATCCTGGCTAATGAAATTACGTTACCTCGGGCCGTCCTTAGGCCTCAAATGTGGAGATAAGGGCTTATCTCCTTCTCGCGGCATGTCACTATCCCCGTCCCCAGTCAGACCCGTCACTGTGAGCAGAATGCATGAAACATATTAGCCAGCACCAGTTAACCCATCATATCTATCATCATCGACAAGCATCATGGCCAATACTGATCAACCAACTACGTGTTCAACATCCCCACAACTCCAACTCGCGGCCATGCCGCAGTTGGCCGAGGTGGGTATCAGCCCCGTTCGATAATGAAGCTATGCAAGTTGCTCACTGCGTATAGGCGATCAACAGGGAAGATGACTGGACTGGGACCAAAGATCCAGCAGCACGCAGACGGGCGCAGACTAGACTCAACACCAGGGCGTACCGTGAGTAAAATCTCGTTTTCCTTTTTGATCGAACCAGAAAAAAAAACTCAGATCCAAAAGCACAAAATCATCAGAAGTAACCGTATAGTAGGCAAACGCAAAGCTCTAGCAAAAAAAGCCGAAGAACTCAACCCTCCAACAACTGGCACGCTGGTCAAATCAGAAGCGCTAATCGAATGCTGGGACATCGAGAAGCAATCCATCTCTGTCGTCTCTGCCACCCGTGCGAAGAAATTATACAATGCGAGGGATCCCTTGTTGCGAGGAAAATCTAAAAATGAGCGGAATACCTTTGTCTTCCCCCTTTGCGCGGACCACCTCATTACGCTCCTTCAGTTCAACGCCCTCCGAGCCATGGCCACCAACCGTACTATAGTCACAGGCAAAATCGTCACCCCACTTGACTGTGAAGAGGAAATTGTTCATCTCACACCCTACCCCACTGATACCGAGAGCTTTCCTTCATCGCTTCTACCTACTGCTCTTCAACAAACGGTGCCACATGGTAACTGGATTGATATCTGGCCGAGTCCTGAAGGACGCGATCGTCTCATCCGGGCCACCGGCACTTTTAACGAAGACGATCTATGGGAAGACTGCGTCGGTGGGCTGTATGAGGGGTTCCCCGACGATGAAATCACGCGGCGCGGTGTGATTGCGTGGTCACCACCCTGGGATATCACGGGATGGGAGATGTCAGAAGGGTTTCTGACGAAATGGGGGTGGCTGGTTGCTGGACTACCGGGAGTAATAGAAGCGACGAACAAATGGCGGATAAAGAGGGGGGAGGAGCCGGTGGCTATAGATTTCTGCACATCATGTATGGTGCCTTCATAAAAGGATTCTTGTCATTTAAAGAGCATAACGATATTTCTTGCTCACGTTATCGGTTTCATCAGTTCTCAGTAGTCCATTGTGATTGATTTCAAGCTTTTGGGCCTCATCATTGGTAGCAGAACTGTCTGTTGAGTCGCAGACCTTGTTATCCTGCACCCGTAAAATACAATAAATAATGATAGACGTGAATGGCAGGCACCATGCCAAAATTGATATGATAACTCCCTCAGTATTGTAACTTCAATGTTAGTCCAAAGTTGCGGGTTTCCTATACAACCAGCGCAATATCCGGTGAAGCACATAGTGTTGAGGCTCACTTAGTACTACCCTTGATATTTGATGCGAGCAATGACAGCAAATCGATATATTAGATATGATACAAGAAACCTTCAATAGAAAAACCAACCCGGTTCTCTCCATAGTATCCAGTCAACTCACAACACAGGCTTCTCCCAACAGCAATTTCAATCCACTCATCATCGTGGATATCGACGACCGTCTTGTTCCATTTGCGAGCCGCGACATCCCGCCGCGACAGAATGTCGATCTCACAGAAGGATCTGTGCTTCATCTCTGGAATCCAGAGCCAAGACATGGCGGTGCAGATAATCGCAGTACCAGCCCAGATCTAGCCGCTCCTGTCGCCCAAGTTCCGCTTATCAGTGTTAAGCATGTAGCTGGAAAGGAAGATACAAGGGATATTGACCGAGTAGTAGCTCAAGAACAGGAAGCTGGAGCACCGGTTGGCAAAAGAGAGGCAGCACCTCTCTCAGCAACTTGAGGGAAAGCAGTGTTAAAGCTTACACATCCGCTGATGCGCATGATTGCTTGTTTTTTGGAAGCTGGTGGTTCTTTAATGTCTCCATAGCTTCTGCAATCCCCATGTGCGCACGACTCAGGTCTTTCTCCAGCTGTGTCACCAAAAACTTGCTATTGTTGAGTTCCTCATGAATCCCGCGATACTTTGCCTCCCACTCCTGCCTTTCGTCAAGCAAATTCTCCGAATGTATTTGGGCATGTTCAGCCTCAGCCGTAAGTTCCTGATTTGCGCCTTCGAGTCGTTGAATAGTGGCCGTGAAAGAGTCACTCTCACAAGCTGTCCCGCTTGGCTTAGAAAGCTTCAATGAGCTTGGGCGCTTTGGATTTTCAGCATTTGGAAAACTCAGCAAACCTTGGTGGCTCGCCTTGTCGCTCATCTTTTTATCGGAGCCGGCATCGGATCCCGCACACCGAGACTCTCAAACAGGCCGACATCCATATTGTCGATGTTGGGCGGATCGGTAATATCATGGACGAGGCAAATGGCCGATCTTCAAGTAACTCTCTGACTGTAACTATTTCTCCACCTTGCACCCCTGCATAAATCAGAGGCCCGCTTCATTGTAAAATTTTTCGAGTAGATACTATCCGAAATGAGATATAACGGTCATTCTTCTGACATCTACGCAATCTCCTTCTTTTCATTCCTTACAATGTACCCACGCATAGCATAATACAGGGCTATACGGAAACATTTTGTCCTTATCTACCATTTATGCGTCTTGCTCTATATTTTTATCTGCACTAGTCTTGGCGGTGGGTCCAGGGAGGACTTATTCACTGTGTATTAGTCTACAGCTGGATGAATGGATGGATGATATCATTTACCCTGACCTCTCGCTCTTAGTTGCATTCTAAACCGCAACCCACTAGGCTAGGTACGGATTCGTATTCTAGATAGGAAATCAACTGGTTATGAGCCCGAATTGCACGACCTCTGAGTGCGCCGGTTCGATCCTCACACATTGCGTTCTTAAGCAATGAGACCCACCAGAAGACGGCCTATGATTGGCCGCACAGCCAGGCAGCAGCGCTTCATACGCGCCCTCAGCCAAGCGTCTATGGTTTACAAGGGAGAGTTAGATTCTAAACCACAGCCCACTAGGCTAGGTACGGATTCGTATTTTTGTCTAGCTAAAATTCAATTCTTTTAGCGATATTACAGGATACAGCAGCTATATATATCGTTGTATGCATATGTGTAATGTCCCACTTCCTGAAAAGAACTTGGAGCCTCGTTAAGGCCTATCGTGGCCCAGGTGCCGTTCAAGTCATTAGGCTGCCCTCATGGCGACTTTTGAATCTTTGTGACGCCTCAGCGAAGTCTAGTACGGTTTTGACCGTCCTAGCCCGCGACACGATGTCTGGCTTACCTCTCCTACCTTTGGTTGAGCCTCTCAGCAGACTCGATACGCTGTTAAATGAGGCATTACAGCGCTTCCCGAAACTGGTGTCACCACTTATACTCTTCGATACAATCTCAAACCCTAACCGCCAAGACAGACTAGTCCATATTGAGAGTTATTCCGGAGTACTCCTGTCAGTGGAGCCTGTATTGTTTCTTACGTACATAAACAGGACATATGGCGGGGTGTATTCAATTGTAACATTAATACCATCGACACCTTGATACCCCACTTTGAAACCCGTCATCCTTTGGTACGAGCAGATCATGAATCACAAGTGGGTCAAATTAGAACAGTGCCTACCACATACGAAAGTCAAGAACAGCCAGCGGAATCAAGTAATTCTTCGGAAATTTCTGACGAGGAAAAAACACGCCATGTTCGGCTAGTGCTCGAAACCTATTTAACAGCTTTGTTGGACCCCTGTAGGAATTAAATTCCTAGTAAGCTCTCCCGCTAAAATGAGTCAGTCGTCTTACGTCTCACCCGAGAGATAAATAGCACCGGAAATTTCCAGCTTTGTTGCTGGGTATCAACAATCCTGCTTACAGTTGCCATCATGGTTACCCTCACACACCATGAAGTCACATACGCTGGCGAGAAGAAGATTCATTACTTGGCGGCTGGTCCAGTCGAGGGTCCTCTGATTCTTTTTATTCATGGATGGCCTGCCACTGGCATCACTTGGAAAGCTCAGCTCGACGTTTTTGCCGCAGTAGGCTTCCGAGCTATCGCTCCCGATATGCCCGGCTATGGGCAGTCGACCGCTCAGCGTATCGTTGATGACTACTGTCAAGAAGCTATCGTGGAGGGGATGATGGCCCTGCTAGCCGACACAGGCCGCAAGGCTGCTATCTGGGTAGGACATGACTGGGGTTCTAGTGTGGTTTCCTCGCTCGCGATTCAGCATCCGGAAACCGTGAAAGCTATCGTGAATATCTGTGTGCCTTACTCCACCATCGAGCTTGGTTGGGACGGCTTTCTTCCATTGGTGAATCGTGAAGTTTATCCGGCGGATCAATACGAGGTCGCACAGTGGGATTACATGAAGCACTACGAGGAAAATTTTGACAGAGCCATCGAATGGTTCGACAGTGACGTTCTTGGATTCTGCAAAGCAGTCACGACAAGACCAGCTGCGATAGCAGATCGCGATGCCCCGGTTATGATGGCTACGGTCCGCAAGAATGGCTGGTTCAACGGCCTTCCGAAACCACCGAGCGTGGAAATGACCGGCCCTTCTATGCTTCCTGATGATGTGTACGAATCCTTCGCCAAAGATATGCAGAAGACTGGTCTTTGGCCCGGTTCTGCCTATTATTTGCACCACGAGCGGAACGCTAAATATAACGGAAGTCGAGAGAGAAAATTGGAGCAGCCTGCATTGTTTATTCATGCTAGATGGGATCTGGTGTGCGATACAAAGGGCTCGCGGCTCATCGAACCTATGAGAGAAGCTTGCTCCAATTTGACGGAGTTCACCATTGATGCTGCGCATTTTGTGCAATTTGAAAAGCCAAGAGAGGTCAATGCTGCCCTTTTTAGGTTCATAATAGAGGAACTGCCCAATGAGTGGCCTGCGTCCTTGGACGGCGAGTATAGCAAGACCAAGTCCCACTTTCAGAGATGCCTGTTTGCATCTACAGAGTGAGCTTTCATTGTTTTCGGTACTTTACAGACAGAATGAAAAGGCTTTATACATCATGGTTCTGCTAAAAGTCCTTTGTGGAACATTGAGTCGGCCTGGGAAACTGATCAAGCCTCACGATGTTGAGGGCCAGACATGAACTCTCATTGAGATATATATTTCAACCAGACACCTCTTCCAATGTTCCACTTCGTTTAAAGTCCAAGGAACTCGATAAAACAGAAGATTATAGAATTTACAGCCATCAAAAAGAAGTGTCAAAAAAACAACAAAATGTAAAACAAATGTATCTTGGTGGTCACAAGTTCAAAAGTTGAGTCAACTTTGACTCGCTCACAGATGAGATGGTCACAACACTAAATATGAGCCTGGCATTGTGGATTGAATAGCACCCAGCGCCTCAATTTCAGAGAGCCGTGAAGAATTCAACAGTCGGCCAATGTTTCTTGGCCGACTTAGCATCCTGTTCTTCAATACGGCTCTTGCTCGTTTTTGTGCTAAGCATCTAAAGTCATCAAAAATGTCGCTGCAAATAGTCGCTGCGACAAGAAGCCACGGGTTTTAACAGGCCTTCATTAAGAGAGGTGTCCCCTGACGCTTTCTACCAAGCAGCGCACTTACGCGAAAGGACGAGCCAGACAGTGCCTATAAGAGATATTATCTCCATCAGATGCACTGTTATTCACGCTAGCCAATCAAAGAGATAAGACTTAGGCTGGCTAGTTTAAGTGTCTATGCGAAAAGGTCTCCGGCACAGCAGTAGACTCAGCTGATCTACTGTATAGCCCCTGTGTGCATTTCTAAGATAAAGCTTAAATATCCACGTTACAGGTATGTGAATCTTAGCTTGACCCATTTCACTGATCCTAAGAATGATGCGATTTTAATAGGACCGAGTCCTTCTATAGCCGGACCGGAGATAACACCAGGTGGCAACTACGCGCGTGCTCCATCGCTTCTTCGTCCTTACCGCCTTCACCTGTTCTGCCTTTACTGTCACGCGAGAGAGCACACATCAGGCAAGGGGTCCACGCCCAATTGAAGAAAAAATGGAACGGGTCGAGCACCGGCGCCCATCTGCATCAGATCGACAACACACTGCCGGCCAAGTACATCAGACGGCTCTACGGCTCTATTTTAAGAAACTGAGCGTACTTACTACGCGGCTGCGAACTGGACACTCCTGGTCGTCAACGTATACTAAGGCTTTTCGATTCCGCCATAACGACCTCTGCATCTGGAGAGAACGGGAAATTGCTCACCGCGTGTTGTTAGATGGCCTAAGGTTAGGAGGATTAATGAAGGAACTCCGAAGTAAGGTTGGTGACGCGTTCAACAGCATCTCGATTCTGTTGAAGGGACCAGGAGAAGAAAGAAGAGGTAAGATTGACAGCACTTCACGGACCAAGACAGTGGATGCTGTCTTGGACTTCGCTGAAGTATCGCAACGGTTTCAAAGCCGCGCGCCATAAGGGCAGCATGAATATACCGACGGCACAGAGGCCATGGCAGACCTCGACGAGACTCTAAACTCGCTTAGGAAGTGGTATACGATACATACACATACAGAGATATATATAGTGGTGGTAGGCTGTATGTCATTTCGATGAGAGGTCAGCGTAAATGAATTCCAAAGTCACACACACACATACTATGTCGTCGCTTGTATGTTCGTGCCAACATCGGTTTATTTTATATCGGCCTTCTGCAAAAAGCGTGGAATACTAAAGTTGCTAGGCTGCCCATGCTACCTGCCGAGAGACGCCTCTATTCGGCTTATTGAGAACGCTCGTCTTGAAAAGTAGATAAATATGGAAACATAGATCAAGCACACTGTAGAGACTCGGAAAGACCTCATGGTGGTACTGTGCAAAAGAAGTTGTAGACAAGGACATAGATCATCCATATGTTGGCTCTTTGTATGTTGATCAATGGACTCCACAGATTCGAATCTTCGCGGACACTCGCTTACATCCTACACCTAAGAGCCTCTTCCCAAGTTTAGAATCGCGGTCTCTCGGTAATGCAAGTCCCGTTGGAGAGAAAAATCGGCCAGACGCTTTGCTGCTCGGGGTATAGGTGACCTGAGAATCAGTGCTTATGTCTGAGCATGTACTGAAAGTGTCGTCCGAGGCGTTGATTGCCTGTTGACCCTGGATGGAGACTATCTGGTCGTAGTTTATGGAAAGCTAGCCCTCGATAAATCCGCTAGAGTTACTGCTCAGGTTAATAGACATCCTTGTATTTAGTACCAGTACGTGTTTAGTGATCACATTAAAGTCCTGGGTTTTTACAGGCACATTCTGATTCACTATGAAAACATGAGCATAACATCAAAACCCTTCGTAAGGAAGCTATACGTTCTTCATGGCATCGTTTATATGTACAGTGGGGTAGCGGCGGTATGTGATTTCACAATGGCTCTCTGCCTTTTTTTATGGTTTGGAGGCTCGTCAAACGAAATTTGTTGTGTCGGCAATTCAAGGACTTGCTTGCATTTTTGTATGCTCTGCTTGCTCTCCCATTATGGAGCTTATGCTGACCATAGAAAGAGCTAGCATTGCTGTCATTCTACGCATCCCATTTTTGCATTACGCAGGCAGACCAGACTTTTTATGTGAGTTGACTTCATCGTCCACATCGTCATTCTTCTAATTCGTCCGAAGATGAAACAACACAGATTTCAATATAGTCGATCGTAGAAGCCAATTTAGGTATCGCTGCCGGTAGCCTAATGACGGTTCGACCTTTGCTTCCAGCAATATACACTTCCTTCCCGATGCTACACAGTTGGTCTGGTGGCGACGAGCTTGGATCGAGTTGGGAATACTAAAACTATCTATTTTATTACAGGCATTCTGCAAATTAATGAACCCTACTTCATAGCTTGCGAGCCTGGAGATGGAGGAGGGAAAAAGTTCGCACTTGAAAACTGGATAATGGCATCTTCACCCACCAGCCAGCTACTGTACCTTTAGTAATTCCTCTGCGGTGACACCTTGAAAATATGCAAAGGCCATTTTTTGCATGTACCGTAAATGTATATGAAAAGGCCGGGTGTACATTATTACCTTTCCTAATTCTAGGGATATGATTAAGTCTATATATAAACTGAGGCGAAGCCCTCACACTAAACGGCTGAAAGTCCCCCGCGCTAAGCTTCCGTCATGTACAATTAACTGAACAAAGAAGTTTTCGGTATCGAAGGAGTGACTTCGGTGAAGCAGCTAGTCGAAAGGCCTTGCACAAATCAAAAATAGACTAGACTTTTACTACACAGCTCCATGAAGAATTATACAGTTTGTTTTACAGCACGCTCGATAAAATCGAGTATATATTGCAGGCCTCGCAAGAAACTCAGCAAAGATAATTATCTGGAACTTATTTCTGGATCAGTTGTATTTCATTCAAACGCTAGCAAGATACTGCAAGTACAAAATGATGGTAAAAGAATATCGTATCTTTCACATTTCAGCAAGTGGACGTCGTAATGAAGCCTTTACAGGGTTCGGGCCCTCGAAAATCTCAGACAGCTCTTCCAATGTGTGGTTCTTTGTCTCGACCGAGATGAAGTAACTCACGGTCGCTTCAAATAAATCCCAAACAATGAATACAATGTAGGTATACCATCCAATTTTCTGGAGAGCAACAGGGAAACAAAACTGATTGAGTAGTGTAAAACCATGGGCGATGGAAAAAGTGAGACCAACGCCTTTGCCACGTGTTTCATATGACAAAGCCTCGACTGGATATAATGCCTGCAATGGAGTCATTCCAAAATTGTAACAGAAACCAAAAACAAATATAAAGGCAATGCCAGCAGAAGCAGCTGATTTTGCATGACTGTGAGCAAACAGTCCGGTACCAATGGTAATAAATGCGAAGCAGACTGAGCATGCCACGGCTGTCCAAATTATTGTCGGTCGACGACCCATTCGATCAAGCTGGCTGGCCCCCAAGTATGCAGCCACGGTCGATACAACGGTATATCCCAGGTTGACGTTGAGCACCTGCTCCGAGTCCGTGATTCCCGTAGTGATTAGCATCGCGGGGAGATAGTAAGTGACCACTGCGTTGCCTGAACATTGGCCCCAGATGCCTACGACCAGGGCATTCATGAACCGCCATCTTCCTGACTTGGTTTTGTAAAAGTCGCTAAAGTCCCACCAACGCTTGTCTGATCCAGAGAGCGAAATAAACTCCTTATATTCCTGCAACTGTAGTTGCACCAGAGGATGATGAGGATCGTCTTCACCGTGATAGTGTGTAAGAAACTCCAATGCCTTGTCCTCTTGGCCATGCGAGAATAGCCACCTAGGGGATTCGGGAAAAAATAAGACACCCAAAAGAACAATTCCAGGGCAGATCATCTGGCACCATAGCGGAATCTGCCAGGACTTCACCCCTGCGTATCCAGCCGATCCTCTAGTGACACCAGCCGCAATAAGCGACCCGACGGCGTACGTGCAGTTGTAGAACGCCATGATGATGCCACGATAGGCTGGGGGACACACCTCGGCGCACCAAATAGAACTTGTTGATCGAATAATGTTTACCCCAAAACCAAGGAAGAAACGGCCTGCGACAAATTGCGGGACACCGCGCGATAGGGCTGAGACAAAAGTGCTAGCGACAACAATCACGCAGCCGATGAAGGTGCCCCATTTCCTACCGCGCATATCAGAGGCGGGTCCACTGAATGGCAAAGAGCAAATTCCGCCGACGGTATACATTGCTGAAATGTATCCGATTTTTGCCCCGTTTTTCTCAACGCCGAATTGATTTCTGAACGACGCAAGAGCCGGAAGAGATCCAAAGATAGATCCATCATACCCTGGAAGACATTAGTTGACAAGTTCAATCTCAATCTGGCTCATCTAGCATATACCATTCATTGTCGAACATAGGAAGGCAATTATACAAAATCCGTACAGCTTCCTTAAGTTGGGTGACCATGGCGATGGCTTCTGGGCTTGAAGAGCCTCGAGCAAGGCCTGACGACTTGGCAGGCCTTCATCATGGCTCGATGTCTTTTCTAAGGGCACCTTCGACAGCTGCATGTCGTTGTCTGGCACTGGTATCGAGCCCATTATGAAGCCCAAGGATAAAAGTCGAAAATAATACTCAGGATCTTCGTAGGTGCCTAGTAGGGTTTGCAATTTATGAGCAAGTTATATACATCGACTATTTATCCTAGTGCATTGGCCTGGCCCTTGGTCAATCTGAAGTCTCCGCATAACGATCGCCGTGTTTCTCAACAAAGCCGAAGCCGTAACGCTAACATTCGGGCGGGGAATCCTCCGTCGCCCGGGCAAAGGAATGTTCCGACTGTTCTACGATTTTTCTCACCTCGTTGGGTATGCTTTCAACTATTTAGGGTATCTTTTCTAGCAGTCTGTTTTCAGGTCCGATTCCAACTCTAGAGAACCTTTTATAAAATTTATAATAGGAAGAAAGAACTACTGTAGAGCCGATATCCCGAAGACTTGAAAAGAGGATTCAAACGAGTAGAAGATAAGGCTCAAATTTCTCAAAACAAGCTTATAGATATACGTCGAAATGTGTCTTCAAGAAATCATGTTTTCATTACGTGTGTTTGGGGATATAAATCAAGACTAAAGTTGGCTCGATATGTTTTCTGTGAATTGAGGTTGCTGGCACCACCTCTGGAACAGCTCCGCCCGAGAGAAGTGTCTCTTTCCATTGGCAATAGCAAATACTGCCGTGGCGATTGTCAATTCCTGTGTCGGTTGAAGATCGACTTTGTAAAGAACAGTCGGTATTACTGCTCTTGGTTCGATCAGGTTCGTGTTCGGATCAGACTTCAACACACTTCCCTCGGTGTAACCCTCGGACAAAAGAATGCTCCTCACGCCACTGACACCTGCATGGCTGAGAATGAGTGAGCTTCCGCTGGCATTCAAAATTGACTCAGCCTCAGATGTTCCTCTCCAGTCTTCACCCAAAGTTCCCATTTTTCGCGGCTGCTTAGCTTGTATCGCAAAGCCCCCTTCGACAAGACTCAAGCTTTCCGGTAAAGTCAAGTTATTATGTAGCCTTCGAATGCGATGTAATCTAACATGCCAATCTGGCCAAGCATCGCATGGAGGGATGAGCGTTGATTCAATCTCTATATTACTGGCTTTCCAAGGCTTCCAAATGCTCTGTAGGCATTCAATTTCAAAGTTTTCGTAAGCAAATGCTTTTACTTGAGGATCGCCAATTGTTTCCCATCGTGTGGTCCAAGTCTCTCCATTATCTCGACTGATTGAGAGGGTATTGTCCAGGGCCAGTTGACTCAAGAGAGCTCCAGTTGGGACACTGAATCCAAAGGCCGAAGAATATGCAAACTTGCTGTACTTGGCTTGGGTCGCCTTCAACGGCCATTGGCAATATTGACCACTGGAGAGCATAAAATGATGTTGACCAAGAGGATGATCACACAAAATTTGACATGGTGCGGACAGCAACTTGATCCCGGCAAGTGGTGAATTCTTGGCATATGCAAGGGATAGTGGGTGTGGAATCTCACTTGCTGTCCAGAATTCATCATCGGCCCCCAACGCTAGAACCACGAAACTTTTCATTGACCAGTAAGGCGACTGGGGGGAGTTGTAGTCTTCGCACATGAACATGTTTGGGTAGAGATATCCAATCGTCAATGTCCCATCCACAGCGAACACATTATCTGAATGCTTTGCCCACCAACGGAGATGTCGCAAAAGCATCCCTTTGACAAAGCCCACAGATGTATAGCAGTTTGAAGAGTCGTAGCATTTGGCAAGGGCAAAGGCCGCATAGAATGCGCCCATAGCAAAACGATAAGTCAATGATCGACCAAACGGAATGGCAGCCCCATCTTCATCGAAGAATCGCCAAAACTGACTAGCAAATTCCCTTGCCTGATTTCGATAATGCAAAGCCCGATCAGGGTCGGAGTCTCTGGCGATAACACAATAGAGTAGCTGACTGAATTGAATGGCAAAGCTGCCAGAGTAATAGTCTGCCTGGCGACTGTAGGCACCATGACCCTGCATCATGTCCTTTTTCCAAATTCCGTCGGCACACCACCCATCTCCAATCTCGAACTGATCCAGTATGGCAAGGTCTTCTTCGATAAGTGCTCTGGTGCTCTCGATAGAAACGCCACATATGCGATTCAAGGCAAGATTCGAGAAAATCCGAAACCAGCGCCAATTATTCACAGGCATTATCTTGCCATTAAGACGAGACAGCCACTCAGTCAAATGTAAGCGACTCTGCTCTGATAGTGTCTCATAGAAGGTTCCTGGTGCTATCAGTAGTGCAAATGAGATCGGCTCAGCCTCGACCATCCGTTGATCCCAGTCGCTGATTCCGCCCCAGTACTCGGGCTGTTCAGGGTTGACTCCATTTGCAATTCCTTCCACCAAGCGCTGAGCATAGCATCGAAGCTCTGGATCTGGGACACATGAAGTTTCGGCGAGTGCTGCAGCGACTGCCCAAATGGGTCTCGCGAATCCTTCGAGCTGGGCGGCGGTTTCATCGAAATGTGAACCTGAACAGACAGGAAGTTGGACACGTGCATTGCCTCTTGAAAAGTAGGGCTTGAGCGCCCGGATGAGAGCAATTGTTGCCTTGCCAATGTCTTCGCGATCGCGAAATGGATTGTCGGAAAACTCGAGAAGAGGCGGCATATTCAATGACTGGTGGACGTGATGTTTTGGCAGAGGAATGACTGTCACTTTCCTCTGTGAGGTCATTCTCAGAAAATACCCACAATCAGCAGGTCCTGCCGGCAGCTGATATCTCAAACGTCGGTGGAGATTAATCAATGTGCGGGCCTCGGGCCATCCCCCACCGAGTGGCAGAGTAACGTCCCGTCCCTCCACAATTTCCCCGGGGTATATTTTACCCCGCTTGAATGCTCATGCTCACGCCTTTCGGGCTTTTCAGATTGATAGCAGGCCTCCTTTCTCCCGTTTATTCCCATCGCCAACATGGATTCCACCGACGCCCGAGGTGAGACCTCTCTGCAGAGCGATCCAGAAAAACCTGCTTGCGTATCATGCCGAACCCGTAAGCTGCGGTGCTCGAGGGAGAATCCGTCTTGTTCTCGGTGTCTCCGACTAGGTAAGTTTTGTCGTACGCAATCTTTTTTCGGGGTTTTTCGCCAGTTTTTCTTTTCGCAAAGGTCTACGGGGGTTTTCATATGTGGCGTAGACCGCGATTGACCATGCACTAGGTGCTGCATGTCATTATGACTATACACGAAACAAACCTGGGGTGAAAATCGGCATCATTCAGACATTGTCTCAACGAGTAGGTATGTGGCCACCGAAGCATCAGCAATAATGGCATAGTGTGTCCCGGGCCAACATACATGTCATCATAGATTCACTACAAGCCGAATTGGAATCAGTGAAAGCTGAGCAGCAGACAGTTAGCACTGCTTTGGGCTCTCTGAATGCTGGAAATGATGCAAGCGCTATCAGAAGCTTGGTATCCTCTTTGATGAAGGAGTGGCGGGTGAATAATGATCTTCCCCAAACTCAACGGCCGCTCTCTCGCCACGAGGTAGAGGCTGTTGATAATCCACACTCACGCGATTCCGTTGTGCCACCTACAAGCCATGAGCCTTCCAACAAGAGACGGTGCCCTGACTCCAAAAGCAGAGAGAGCAGCAGTCCATTAATAGCACAGCTTCCTCCAGATAATCTGGTCCATGCTGTTCTTGACGCTTACTTCTCCGTAGTACATCCGTTTATTCCCATGATTCACGAATTATTTTTTCGCTCTCGCCTTCGTGATACAACCGAAAGGCCAAAGCTTGTTGTTTTGATTCATGCCATGATGGTTTGCGCGCTGAGATACGTTGCAAATGAGCGACTGGCGCGAGACTGGCTTGAGGTGCACCCTGATGCCTTGAAGAGATCCCGAGAGCTTGTAGTCCTGTCAGCGATGGAAGGCATGTCCGTAGAGAATGTCCAAGCACTATCAATAGTGGCATTTGTTCACATTAGCGATGGCGATGCAAACAAGGCATGGCCAATGATAGGAACACTTGCCCGGGAAGTCGTCTATCTTGGTCTTCATACTGAGCCGGGTGAAGATCAACCAGGCGACCCTTGCCTAAGTTCATTCCATTCGCTATCACCGGCTCAAGTGTGGACAGAGGCCGAAGAGCGAAGGCGCGTCTTTTGGAATGTTTTTCTCTTGGATCGGTGAGTGCGGAACCTCTGCCTTGAGAATGTTTCTGGCTTATCAAATGCAGGTTCTGTTCAACAACCACTGGGTAAATAGACAGCTCTATATACTTCCATATAGGACAACACTAATTTTAATGGCAACGCAACAGATGGAACTTGAGTCTCTCTGCTGAGGACGTCCAAGTTAGACTCCCATGTGACGGACTTTACTGGGTCAAAGAGGAACCAGTCATCACGCCGTTCTTCAACATTTGGGACTCTTCTGCCGGTAAACTGGGAAAATCCGTTTCCTTCTTACCAAACCACTTTAAATCTCTTGCCGATAAAGAGATTCCCAAGTCTGTACACGGATCCCCAGCCCCAGAGACGCGCAAGGTGGATGCTTCAACTATCGGCTCGTTTGCGCACTGCGTTGAGGCTACCGAGTCTCTCAATCGTGTTGTCAAATTTTTTCTACAGCAGTCAGTCGATTTTGAAAGAAGGCGAGAATTTAATGCATGGTTGACAAGATTCAAGGAGTTTGACCTTCAATTGATACAGTATGTATCCTGGAAGAAATTATTGCTAATCAAATATGAAGCTAATGTTTTATATTTAAGCTGGAAAATGTTTCTCCCGCGACGGTGGAAAGACTCCAATATTTCGAAAGAACCATCTTTCGTGCATATGGACCCCAATCTTACTCTAGCACACATCACTCATAACACGTCTATGATCTTGCTGCATCAAAGCATCGCTTACCCCTGTGCGAACATTATAGAGAAGCTGAGATTAGCAAGCACTGGGAGTGTTGAAACCTGCCAACTTGCAGCATCTGAGACGGCCAACATTGTCCAGAAGTACTTGCAATATACGCCTTTTGTCGGTTTGGTAAATCCGCAGTTCTCGTTTTGCACATTTATCAGTGCTCGGGTCATTCTTGGTATGTCCATCTAGTATTGCAGTAAAAGGAGCGCGGATTACTCACACCGAGACCGAGCTCATTAGCACACGCCCATATAAATTGTACCGAACTTCCAGAGGCCTATGATATTCTACTATCTAGTTTGCAACAAATATCAGACCGCTGGGTCTCGATGAATCCAAGTCTCAAATTGAGCTCTGGGACACGCAACTTTGCCGAAGGCCTGCTTGTTCAACTTCGAACCGTCCAAGAGAAAGTTGGATCTTTTTCATTTGACATAGCTGCATCTGATTATATTACTGAGGTCAATTCCGCCCTAGGGATGAAAGCACCAGCCGCCAGCCCAGGCGAAAGCCAATGGCTTCAAGAATGTCGCGCACAGCAACGCCATAGTATTATACCGCTCAATGCAAGGCAATCTCATTACCTTGATACCGGCCGACTGCGACGTGGGTCTAATCAACAGGACCCTCAAATCGATACGTAAGTCTCTGGGCTGATCTCATCATTGTATGCTTATCTAATATCAGATAGGCGATTTACCCCATCGGCAAGGTCTTTCCAAAACGACAGGGTTCAGAACGACCATCTTGCTTCTGTACAGTCTACTGAGATAGATCCATCACGGCCCACGTTTAGACAAGAAACAGAAAACGGAGGAGATATCGCGCTCAATGGTTTGTTTTCTTCGACTCATCATACCCCATCCTCAGGTGATGGTCTTGACGGGTTTGACCCTTTGTCCAACTATCTGCTAGACCCACAATACGTCGATATGGATCGCATTATCAGCTTTCAGGATTCGTTTAGGCAATATTAGCATGTGCGAAATTTAGTCGAAATACCTGAACACTTTTAATTATCAATGTACCCTCTACTAGAATGATAAAATTATAATAGGAACATACGTTGCTCAAACATCTATCTTCTTATTGGTAATCGCTCAAGATACATAGCTCAAAAACCTCGCGTATCTCTACGAACTAACCGAACACGGACACTTAATATCTTTCAGTGTCCCTTTGTTTTTCATTGAGTAGGTAGAAGAATTTTTCACTTGATTCGGCATAATAATCTGTGAAAAAAATGCTTTCGGGATAGATATTGATGTGCTTTGTCGGGTTGCCATGTACGTCGGGCGTCGGGCGAGGTATCCAACCGAGTGACCCGAAAGCCATGTCGACGTGAGCGCCCAAGGCCGCTGGGATTCTTTTTAAATTCTATCATTCACGATACATTTTCAGCTATTGAAACATTACGTCTCCATATATTGCTGCTATTTTTGGCTCGCATCTTCCTTATTTCAAGCCATGCCACTTCAAACAACCATTCTAGCTCCTGCTAGTGATAGCAAAACAGATATCAGAATTGTGCCCGAAACTTTGATCCCAAATACAACAGTCAAACAAGCCCACACTAGTGTAAACCTCGCAGCATTGTTCGAGGAAAATACTCTTGCAAAAATCATTGGTCCCGCCGAAATGTACCTCGAAGACAATGTATGTATCTCATCTTACGTGATGCTTTTTTGCGTTCATTGTCCAACTCAAGAAATTTTCCAGGATCCTCCTACCTGCTTTCCAGAGACAGTGGCCCAGAGTGGCCCGAAAAGGGGCGTGTACAAATGCAGAGACGCAGAATTCTGGACTTGCGGGTTTTTCCCGGGCAGTATGTACTGCGTTCTAGAAAGATTGAGAAAGTATCCTGGCTCAAGCCTGTTCAAAATCTCTGCTGCATCATCTTCTCAAGATTTTCAAGTTCAAATTATACTCCACTTGACCGATCTTTGCGAAAAATGGTCTTCATCGATATACCCTATGTCAGCCCGAACGGACACTCATGATATGGGTTTCATCGTTCAACCTGCACTTCAGAGAGACTGGGAGCTTTTCGGTCGCCAATCAAGTTTAGACTCTCTTCTTGATGCAGCCGCAAGCCTTGCTACTCGATACGATGACCGAGTCCAAGCAATTCGGAGCTGGGACCAATTTGCAAATGCACATCACAACATCATGAGCATGGATGATGATTTTTTGGTAATCATAGACAGCTTATGCAGTGAGTGTTATGTAATACATCTATGCAAATAAATTCCTAGGCTGATTGCTCTCAGATCTTGATCTTCTTTTTTACGCTGGAAACTACACCCATAATTATCGTTTTCTGTCAATTGCATGCACACATGCCACGACCCTCCTCAGCACACACCTCCGGAAAGAGTGTGTACCAGGAAAGGCACATGCTTACTCAACTTACCATGCAGTGAATTTCTCGCCTTCCAATGATGGGGCCGTTAAGAGAAAGCTCACTGCGCAGGGCTACTCCGACAGCTCCACCTGGGCGCGCGGCCAATCCTGGGCCATCCTAGGTTATGCGCAAACATTTGTTTGGACCAAAGACCGAAAGTTCTTAGACGCCGCAATGGGATTGGCGGATTACTTTGTTTTCCGTCTGGAATCCTCTCCCAATGTCGTCGACGAAGAAGGTCGGGGGCGTTATGTTCCGTTGTGGGACTTCGATGCGCCGATCACTTATACAAGTGTAGATGGGCAAGAGGCTCCGCTAAGAGATGTTTCGGCTGGTCTCATTGCAGCTAACGGTATGCTTCTATTGTATGGTCAGCTATCGGCCATCGGTGAATATGAGGCTGCAAAGGGATATTTAGATTACGCTCTGGCCATCGCACGGGATACAATTGCTCTTGCATATAATTGTGATCAGATGCGCTTCAGTCTTGATCAAGTCAGTGGTAAGCTTCAAGTCAAGGAGATGAATGGGTGTCGCTTTGATGCTATCTTGGAAAGATCAACTGCCAACTTCAACGAGAATCATGCGGATCGACATTGGGATCATGGCTTGGTCTATGCAGACTATTATTTCTTGGAACTTGGAAATCGCATGTTGGACATGAGATTAATTTGAGCTTTGCGAAACTGAATAGAACTCCTTTGCGTCAAACCAACCTTCCCCTTGCTCTTTATAGTAGTATAGTTATCTAGTAATTGATGAATGAACGAAAAGATGCCAAAAGAAACGCCAAGGTTCTATGAATACTTAAACTGGAGCAGACCTTGAAGTTACGTGTCTGCTATATTGATGTAATGTATCTTTCAATTGACTTTAAAAGCCCAGGTTAAAAAGAAGATATTGGTCGATGAATTCAAGTACTAGCATTGCGAGCATGATAATATTTCAAGCATTATTCTCCGCGTGCGTCAACGTTTCATAGGCCACAAATAGCCCATTGTTGTTCGCAGGCCGCTGCTTCAACGTCAATTTCCCGGTTTCAGGCATGTCAACACCCAGCCTGAATGACAGGGCATTGTAGCCAACTTCGGTAATGGGACCCAAGGTGAGCTTGAGCGCTCCTCCACAGAGCCAGGATGGCACGGCCAATCCATTGACATACTGAGATTGGAATTCCAGTCCATTAAGAAGCCGTGTTCCCAGGTTGGTCTTGTAAAGGTCAGTCGTACCTTGAATTCGTGCGGTCTCTGCCACATGCGCCATGGATGCAAATGAATACCCGGTGTGCTCAAGATCACGACATGTCTCTTGTGCCTGACCATCATCGGCAAACGTGGTTTCGTTGAACCACCAAGCAATGATTGCATCTGAAGAAGAACTTTGCCCCCGTGCTGCGATTGGGTATTCACCATCGCTAGTCATATAAATAGTGGCTGGAACCCGTTTGAGGAACCATCCCATGGCGGTATTCCATGACTCCGAGTCCTCGAGGAAAACCGACATCAAAATCGCAGCTTCAGTCATTACTAGGATTCATTGTGTGAGTAACTTTTTCATCTCTGTGTCTTAGCTTTTTCAACGTACCCAATTCCCAGTTGGCCACATTATGATCTGTTCCATTTACCGTCAATGGCATATACACATCGCGTAGCATAGTTCCGAATTGTTCAATGCTATTGTCAGGCCATCCTGCATCCGTATAGCGAATAAGTTCTCCAGTTCTGGCCCAGATTGAGCCAACCCATCCAGATTGCAGCGGTGCATTAGAGTTATTGTGGCCTTTAATGGTAGATGAATAGGCATCCATGATCTTGATCGCTTGTTGAGCATATGCCGTTTCACCACTAATAGCCCACGCCAATGCGTTTCCATATGCGGCAATTGAGTCATTGCGCTCCACTTTGCAACCAACATCAGGGTTGGAATAAGATCCACATTCGACGATGACATGCGGGGATGGTGTCTGAGCAACTTTCACATCTTCGAGCAAAGCATTGTAGGCGTTGAGCCAAGGCTGTTCTTTGCCGTTCACCCTGGCTTTAATGAAGTCCAACTGTGACTGGCTTATCATTGCACCTGGATGGACCCATTTTGATGGTGCCGGAGCACTGAGTGAAGCCACTGCAGCTTCAACGCATGGGATGATAATGGAAACAAGGTAGACAACAGTGGCGAATAACATGATGGACTCGGAATTTCTCGTTGTTGTAATCAAATATCAATCCTCGGACTAAGTTATTGTTAATTATAAAGCATATTAATTACTAATATGCAAAACAATGAAATGTAACGGTTGCTTCAAATGCGGAAGATCGGGCGGAGGAATACGCCGAGCACAAAAATCGCGACAATTAAGCCGGTTGAAGAGATAGGCCGACTGTTCGTCACTCATCTGCATAGACCAATAGAATCTGAGTCTACTGTTGTGTTTTATCGGGTGATTATCGTCCAATACCGAACCGAATCGATATTAAATGCAGTCGATGGCTTCTGGTGAAACTACCAAGTTCTGCGAAGGTATCTTGCAACATCTTCGGACATTCAATTAAGAATTACTATGAAGATTTTTCAATTTTCTCCACATGCCAGTGTTATTGCTATTCTAGCAACTCTTGTTGAGCTTGCATTTGCCAATGACTTTCATCTCGACTGTAGCTCAAATGTGAATGGCAACGGCAGCAAGTCAAAGCCTTTCAATTCACTTCAAGTCATCAATCAACTTATCCTCCGCACTGGAGATGTCTTGAAGATTAAATCTGGGACAACATGCGTGGGGACCTTGTCACCACAGGGCAGTGGCACGCAGAAAACTCCCATTATATTGACCAGCTATGGACACGGCCCCCTACCCACCATTAATGGTTCTAGTGCGGCAGAGGCTATTAGCCTGCACAACCAGGACTACTGGGACATTTCGAAAATAGCAGTTGTCAACCCCGCCTCTTCGATTGCTTGGCGACGAGGTATCGCTGCGACCTCCGATGATGGTACCGTCCATCGTGGCCTCTATATACATGATGTGGCGGTTTACGATGTCGCCGGTGAAACAAACAAAGCAACTCAGTCTGCCGCATTTATCGCCTCCGCTGGTATTATCATCAATGGAACGGAGAATGCTAGCCGCTACGATGATGTTCAAATCTACCGCAATACAATCTACAATTGCGGTGGCGGTGGTATCAAAGTTCGTATTGGTCAAATGGACAATCATGGCGTGGGGACACATGTTTGGGACAACAACATTTCCTATGTCGGTGGTGACGGAATTGTTGTTTCTTATGGTGGTGCACCCCTGATCGAGAACAATGTCGCTGGCTTCCTCGGTCACGGAAAGTACCCATGGACAGGCGGCAACTTTGCCGGAATCTGGGTGCTGGGATGTCAGGACGCGGTCATGCGTTTCAATGTTGTCCATGACTCTCTCATGTCAGATATTGACAGCGAAGCATTTGATTGCGACTGGGGTAATGTGGGCACATGTACTGTTGAATACAACTACAGCCATGACAATGCAGGTGGAATATTTCTGAATTGTGATGGCTGCGGTACCTCCGGCGGTGCTAGGCAGATTGTCCGATACAATGTCTTCCAGAATGACTGCCGGATGTACAGCAACGGAGATAATGTCCAGCTAGACTTCTACAACAATGTTGTTTATTGTCCTGAAAAGGACTTTGAGATTGCTGTGCCGCCACATACGAACTTGTCAAACAATATATGGGTTGGGACAGCAAACTCGACATTACCTAGAGGATATGACATTGAGTGGCATGACAATCTGTTTCAAACGGTGCCGATGCCAGGAGATACTGCTGGCAGCTCAGGAAATCCCCAATTCACTAATCCGGGTACTGGAAAGAACAGCCTTGCTTCAGCGAATGGCTACAAGCTGCGCTCCGGCAGTTCTGCCCTGCACCTTGGGGCCTTGATTACTGATAATGGAGGGCGCGACTTCTGGAATAATAAGGTGTCATCAAAGGAGCGGCCGAATATTGGTGCGTACAACGCAAGGGGTCTATGACAATTGTCTGAAAATTAGACCGGTTTCGACGACCCGATCATTGTTAGTTGTGCACCTTTTTTTCAATCCAATTTTCCTTCGCTGTCAAGGGCTATCTCAAGATTCGGAGGTCATTGCGCGCAACGCATAGCATGTAGAAAGATTTATTATGGTATAATGTTTTGGGTCTACATGATGCTAGATCGAGAGGAGAAGGCCACCAACTTCTTTGCTGTGGGTAATTTTGGTCAGATTAGAGTGCGAAGTCTTACTGGCTCGAGGTCGCCACAGAGCGGCTTAGTAAGGGAAAACGCGGCGCCCGGCTACTTCGCGCCAAACCGCCGAGTCCCAGCAAGTCACGCGCAATTGTAATTTAGCGTGGCTTTTGGAGAAATTTCCATGTAATTCAATTTCTAGGAATCGCTTCTTGGTTGAGAATATTCCGGACGTTCCAAGGTTGGGACTTCGAAATTGATATCGCCGGAACAAGAGAGATTGAGTAAAGTGGGTAACTTGGATCGGCACCAGGCTTGATTAAAAAAAAGGGGGAGAGCTATCCCGGTCTCCCGAGGTCACGATTATCTGCTGAGATCGCCCTGCAAGCCTATAATATCCAACACATCATGGCATCCAGGCTGTCCCGAAGCCTGACACAGGTCAATCGCCATGATTTCACTAGGTTATCGGCCCGCGCGATCCCTCGCGTTGCGACCGTTAGTGCGCGTGCTGGCTTACTGGCACATCGCAATACCCGTAACGTCGCGCCTTGGCCCTGCCGCGTAAAGCAAGCCAATCCCGCGCGATATGCCCATGCAGAGTCTGCTCCATCGGGGGGACCCGAGGTTGGCATTCTCGACGCTACTGGTTACAAAGGATCGACCATTACAGAGAAACATTGGGCGGAGCAGGACGTAGGAGTTGGTACGATCCTACTTGCCAATGTGGCATTATCACCTCGCTAACCAAACCAGTGGACGGCTTGATTGAACCGCAATCTGTGTTACATTTTGTTGAATTCATCACGTCTGGTATTCTGCCGAACGGGAAGAAGACCGACTTAGCATTGCTCAATGCAGATGAATTCGCACTATTCATGGCCCCGAGTTCACAGTGGGCGCCTGCACCGTTCAACAAGGACGACCTCCCAATTGTGCAAAAGGCAGTCCAGCGAATCACAGGCCCGGTGGATTTGGCCGGAGTGTGCCGAATTGGGCATAACATCCACTTCCTCAAACGTCGCCTCTGGGGAGGCCTTGCCCCCGTACCCGCGTCGCGCTGGCGCGAGAAGGATCTCAGCAACCCGAAACATTTTTCAATCGCCCACGAACACCTGACCTCCGTCATTGCCGTCTTCGAGTACCTCAATCTTCCTCAGATCCGGGCTAACATGTGCACAACCTTCAACAAGGTTTCTGGTGACTTTTGCGCAATGCAAGAGGCCTTGAATGCTCGGCGCATGACCCATGGGGTTTCCGGTGAGATCGACCTCACTGCTCTCTGGGAAGAATTCATTCGCGCACAGTACGAAGTCATGACCAGCACCGCCCATTCATGGGTCTTGGCCCAAGTTGCCGAATTGCGTGAACGGGCATTGGACAGCTTCAATGGGATCAAGACCGAGGATCCAAACACTCCAAAGATGGAATTGTTCACCAAGCGGTGGACTGACCTCATTAACGTCACTTCGATGGCGGACTTCAATATTTGGATGTCCATGGACGGGTACAACGGCTACCATGCACCCTCCGAGATCGTCGCTGGGCTACACAACCCAGACCTCAAGAATCAAGACAAGAACTACGGCTTTTCCAAGCTCTTGATGGACCGACTCAAGGAATGTATTGAGGCTCAGAACGAGGCTGCAAAGGTCCAAGGTCCAAGTGCGACGGAGAGTGAGGCAGCCCGGCGCGAGCGCATTTCTATTAGCTCAGTAGTACAGGATGAACTGCGTGAAAAGATCCGCGGCCGCACGCCATCCCCACAGCCACCTGCGCAGCCATGGATCCAGCAACTTCTTCGTGCACAGGAGGCTAGCTTGAGCTTGGACCCCTTGGAAAGAGAGGACTACGGCTTCGGACTGGCAGTTTACCGCGCAGCAAACGTCTCCGATGAGAAGTGGGAACAGCTGCAGCGGAACGTGGAAGCTCACTTCTCGACATGGGTTGATGGCGTCCAGCGCGCCGACGAGCTGAAACCATCGCTCAAATTGCATTGGTTTGATGGCATTGAACTAGGCTTCGACCCTATTCAACCCGTCCACGCAGCAAGGAAGTTCGTCGGCCCTAATATTTCCCTCTCAAGATTCACATGAGCAAGGTACTAATCATTCTCATAGACACTACCAAGAGATCCGGTCCTCGGACGAGTGGAGCCATAAACTAGCACCATCTGTTTTCCTTCTCATCGATCACATGAGTGTAGGCTCATATACTGACGAGGCAATCTCAGCCACCTTCGCAAAGGGGGAAGGCTTTCTGGAAGCTGACTTCCAAGGCCAAGTCCTAGCAGTTGACCCAGACTTTGATGAGAGTGCCACTGCAAGTGAAACTGCAAACGAGACAGCCAAGGAAAATGCCCAAGAAGCTTCCCTGACATACAAAGGCCGGATGCGCATCCTGGGTAACCTCGTCTGGAGCGAGCTGTATCCTCTGCTGATGCTGCAGTCCGTGGGACTTGAGCATCTCTGGCTGCAGGCCCGGGACCATCCGTTGAAGGTTTATACTGGCCCGACTGTGCCTAGTCAGGTTGAGGAGTGGAAGCAGAACAATGCCGTCAAAACTCTCATGATGGATAGCTTTGTGGAGTTCCTCAAAAAGAAGGACCCCAGCCTAGCAGGAAAGGTCGACGTGATGAGAAAGGAGGGGTCCCTTTGTTAAAGAAACCATTTTCGTATGATCTATCAATCAGCCCTGCTGCGCCACATTTGTGGCATGAAAAAGCCACAATGGCGAGAAGTAAATGCCAGTTGCAGAAGGGAGAATTTGACATACCGCTATTGCTTTTTAATTCCACCGCGGCGTGCTATGCGGCTGGTTCGTGTTGAATCGACCGTGACGTAGCATGTCGCTTGTGACTATAATCAAACATGATGGCATTTTGGATTTGCAGATAGGACGACATGGACGAGAAACAAAAGCCAACAGTAAGAGATTTTGACAAAGCGCGAACGTAATGAAACTGCTAACCAAGCATTGCCTTCTGCCTGAACTCCAAGTATCACGTTTACTTTTTATGGCTGTGAAGAAAATGACACTGCTAATGAGGGCGTCAGAGTCCTTGATACAACGACGCCGTCAGTGCCCTACACGCTGGGAAACCTCGCAGGAGGCCAGATTTGGCAAGATCAGATTCAAACATCCGCGGGGGGGGGGGGGGGGGGGGGGGCATAGTGTTTTGGCAGCGGCCATGATTTACAATTTCAGACGTAGTTTGATGTTGGTGGCCCGAGAACATACCAGTGGCAGAAATACCATAATCATAATTTGAGCTAGTATATTGACATTAAAACGAACACCTCAGTAATTCCTTTGCCAGTTATTTGAATCTGAACCCCGAACTCCGAAGCTAAGTCTTCGAGTCCATCTAACATCTCATCTTGCCAATCTCACACTCTCCTCACCTCTCCTGATAGACAAAATCCGCGGAGGCGAGGTGTAAATCTCCTTTGGTCTTATAGCCATGATTGAACAACCCCCACTAAGTGAGAAGTATCGAGATCCTATTCCTGTTCTTCCTAAAGACATATATCGTCAGTGATAGTCAGCTATTTAAGGCTTTTTATGAGTGCTTCCCCGAGGTACACTATATTTAAAGTCGATAAAGAAAATCTGAGTATAGATAGAAGCAGAACTATGATTATCTCTAGTATATAAATTTTACGCGTAGCTAACTGGTCACAGTTGTGTTAGATAGAATCGGGAGAGACTTCTCTGATTTCCTGCAGACTTCCAATCTTAACGATCTATCTCTTCACCTCCACTTTACCTAATGTTACGATCTAAAGATCGGATGGGGGAGTGGTCATGTGATAGTTTTTGCACCCAAATGGTGTATCATCTCTCTTCCCTTTCTCTCTCCTTCTTCCTTCCCCATGTTTAGAATTCTAGTTGAATGCACTCTTTTTCATCAAGACTTGGCTCGTAACACCTAATAGGCCTTACTACGGGATAGATCCTTTCAAGGGTTTTGAGGAACGATGCTAGGTAGTGCGTCGGATAGATCTATACCGAAGTATTGGTCTATTCGTAGTGTTCGTTACGTTAGAATTACGTAAAGAGTCTCTGAAGTTCTAAAGGTATTTGTAAGTAACAATATATGATTGAAGATGGAAAACTAAACCAGATACATGAATGGGTGTACTTATATATCCCTGAGTTCTTCCTATGTAGATGTGTAGATGTAAGAAGAGTAGATCGGGGCTACTCTTCTGCTGTCTACCTTTCTATTACTTACATGATCACGTGGTTGAGGCTTTCGTGATCGCAGAGGTTTGTTGTTATGGAGAACAACATAAGTACTGGAAAACCTCTGCCAGTAGGTCTTGATCAGGGCGGATTATGCTCTTGCTCAATAAGAATGATCCTGGTTTCTCTTTTCCTGATAACCTAGGGCTGCCTAGGTATTGGGTGTTGCACGTGGTCTGGATGACAGATAGATCGGTTGGCTCTCGGTGGCCCATCAGATAGTTGAAGTCCCCACATGTGATTGGTGACTAGCATGTCCGTAACAATGGGCCCCTTAGTAGGTAGCGCTTATAATATAGTAGCTACAATAAAACTAGTACGTATACAACCGAGTAATAGAATAACAGGCCGAGCGAATTAGCTAGCTCGAAGGGCTATTAGTATAAATCATAATCAATAATTGAAATAATAGAGGCAAAGATCGCTCTTAATCCGCTACCGAAACTCTATTAGAATAAACGAACGAGGTCTAGGAGGAGCCATATCGCTTATTACGACTAAGGCTCCTTAAGTACTACTCGTAGGTAGCGTCAATAACTAGCTTATCTAGCGAATTATGTGTCACAGAGTAACAAAATCCGAACCTCCCCAAAAGCCTCGAACATGAATATGATAGCTAACCCATTATCTCCGAACAAAATGGAAATACCGAGACCAGAGTAGCATAGATGAAACAAAACCCTGTAGAAGCTCTCTCTACATTCTAGCAAAGATTCGATTGCCGAAATTCGCTATTTCTGACGCCATGTCCGTGACATGGAACTCTCACGTGCACTCCTTGACATCTTACTTCGCGACCGAGTTCATGAGAAGGGCGACAATTAAGCCGTACAGGCCTTATGCACGTATTAACTTTTATTCGGTGTATTTACAAAATATGTAATCTCGTTCTTACCAAGAACTTCAGCGAAGATGAGTATCAAAATCATGCCGACATACAGTTTTGGTTGCTGAGCTGCTCCACGAACTCCTGCACCACCAATGACGCCAATAGCGAAACTGAAATCATGATAAATCCATCATATTAGTTATATCCCAGGACTTATCTGTTACGCAACTTACCCAGATGCTAAAACGGCAAGTCCGACGGAGAGACCCGTACAAAACTGGATCAAGCCCGTGGATAAGGGGAGATTCTGCTTCAAATTATTTGCGACAAGAACGAAAACGACTAAGCCGTAGATCCCGATTATGCCAGCCATCACAACCGGAACTATGTCTATTGAGCCGCATCTGGATTAGCGTCACATTCTCAAGTAACGAAAACGACCTATCTTTCACGGCTTTAACGGCAAAACCATTTCGCAGAATCTTACGGTGTTCGGACATGACATACTCTTTACAACCCAAGTCAGGTCGCAAGACAGCCGTCGAGCAAATGCCAACGCCGGCCTGCGCAGTTCCGTAGGCAGCACCGAAGCAAGTGTAGACAATTGCGCAGACGCAGCCCATAGAGCCAACAAATGGCTAGGGGTCTCAAAGTGAGCCACTTCAATCAGGGCGGCCAATTTAGATATAGTGAGGGACAAGGGTATCCTCGGGTCGTCACGTTCGAATCGGCCATGAGGAAGGGTGAACTCACGGCATAGACAGGACTAGAAGATCTAGCGAGTATGGATCAAATGCAAGACTTTAAAAATGCAGAGAGATAAATTGGGATAGAAAGTGATCAGATGAAATGCTCGGCTTCCATAAACTTTGCTTAGTGCAGTGGTTCACGCCACTAGCGCGGGGCATACCCTTGTTTTGGACGCGACTTCAGCGGCAGAAAAGCTTAAAAGGCTTATTGATCCGGAAGTCCTATCTGATAAAAGACCCTCCTTGTCAGACTTCATGAAAAGCTTCTTGGGAAGTAAGGCGCATGTGCTAGTGCGATTCGGACGCTGGGAGGAGATTCTTAATCTCGAGCTTATCACTAATCGCAAGACATATTGCGTGACTCAGCCACCATTCATTACAATCGAGGACTTGCTTTTAGCCCACTTGGACGGATTGAAGAAGCCGAACTCACTCAAATTGAGCTTGAAACATCACGTAGGCCATTCCTAGCTCTTGACTCAACAGCCTTCTATGCAAGAAGGAAAACTTTCTCGCAGTGGCCTTAGCTATGCTTGCTGGTGAAATGAAATATCGCAAGGGAAATATTGAGACGGCTTTGCTTTCCCTTCGGAGAGCCATTGTGCTCGATGATGCACTCGCCTATAGTGATCAAGCACCTTGGATGCAGCCAATTCGGTATGCACCTAAGTTGGTGGCCTGCTTCTTGAATAAAGATGTGTTTAACAAGCATAGATTCTGTTCAAACAAGATCTTGGCTTTGCTCTTGAGCATCCCCGCGTAAATCAACGCTCAGCAATATTTGGGGGTTGCAGGGCTTATGCTAATGCTTTACTCGCCTTGCAAAGAGTCAAGAGATTGCTTACATTCAACCTGCACTGGATATTGCTTTGGCTTCTGCTGACATCCCAGTCAACATTCCATGCTTCTATCAATTGTCCATGGGAGCAAAGGTTCCGATGCTGCTCATAAAACAGCCATGCTGAGGGTCAGCCAGGGTCTCATGCAATGACCTTCACTTGCTTTGCTTGAAGCTATCAGTGCCTTGGAGCTTGCAAGGATCTCATTGATTTGTGAAGTGTAATTTTGAATCTATCGCAACCATTCATCTTGAGTTCCTGCTTTAAATGCCGTGGAATGATAAAAGAAATACAGAGAAGGGAGCAAGTAGAGAAGCTTTTCATAGATCAATGAACCTTCCGCAATATCCTCGCTCAATGCGCTAGAATTCTATCCGGGCTTTTTTTACCTTTTCTTCTTTTCGTTTTGCTTCCCTTATATTAGACTTTCTATCTCGCGTCTCCTTCAAAGTGATAGACCAGAAGTCATCCCTAATACAAGCTTATGATGGCTTGATCTCGGCCCCTGCAGGAAGGAACTCAGCTTGCTTGTATAAGCATACAAGCAATCTAGACCCGGTGTCGCTCGAAGCCAATTCTTTGGGACGCCCTGCTGTGTGGAGACCTTGACGTGGATATCCTATGAGTTCTTCTATGAAATTGGAGTAAGATACAAGATGTCCATAATCTGGCAGAAATGCTTTGAGCTAATTATGAGCCGAAGTCTCCGTGGAGTCCAGCCATGTTCCCCGCTGAAGAAGGAATAAACTGCCGCTTGCTCCAATCACCACAGTCTGTCTATCTTTCTATCAGTTGGGTTGGAATATCTTCTTTTTTTTTAAGAAAAACCATGGGAAGATGTCGATCCGTCTAGGCATGGATAGTAAACTTGCTCTTCTTCCTCAACCTGTCCCCACACATGAACAAATACCAGAATCCTACCACTAGCGGAATGCTTAACCCACCAAGCAAAGTACAGCCTTTTCCAACCCCCAAGTCCAAGTATAGCGGCCGCCCAAAAAGCACCGCACCCGCCGCAAACGAGCTTCGCAGCGCGTCATTAGCCGCAAATAGGCTTGCTGCGTACTCCGGGTAGCTCAACGGGAGATGTAGAAAGATGCCTAATCCTACAACAAACGAGCACCCGCAAAACAAGACGACGCCGAGTGTCGGCACGGGCCAGGGAACCGACGCACGCGCCGCCCATCCGAAGAGAAACATGCCGAGTGGGATGCCCAACACACCCGCGAGGCCGGGGCGCAGAAATGTTTCCTGGACATCAAAAGTGCCGAGCCGCTGGAAGCGGCGCTGGACGAAGACACGGTACCAGGCGCAGTACCAAACTGCGCCAATTATGCATGCAATGAGGACACAGACAAATACGGCACTAGTCTCGCCATTGTTGAAACCGTATTCTTTGGAATAAACAATAGGTATTACTTCGAAGAAGGAGTAGTAAATACCGTATGTAAGAGAAGTCTAAGTCTTCCGTCAGTAAATCGTTGCAATATCCACTACAGCGCGAGCCGTAAGGTTAAACAAGTAATTCTCACGTAGAAATTCGCGAATGCAATGGCGGGGTCCTTGAGGGTGATCTCAAACGGCTTGATCAGCGCAAGCTTGACCAGTTGGCTGCGTGAGACGCCCTTAGACCGCAAGGAATCGATGGTGACGAATCGGTCCGAACCAGTCTCTTGCCGGAGACGTTTGGCCTTATGAAACAGCAGCATTGGCGTCGATGTCTCGGGTAGAAACAACACAAGGAAGATGAAGACGAAGCTTGCGAGCCAGACAATCTCCCACATGGACCAGCGCCAACTAGCAATTTTCACGTTAGTATTTATCTTGCCACGCTTACATATAAGGGAGCGCTACCCCTTGACAGATATGGAGAATGCAGATAGCACAGGGCCAAGTGCAGGGCCGCAGTACATGGCACCAGACCAAGCCACCAGGGCGTACGGCATGTATATCACGGAAAACTACAGTTATTGGTCAGCCTTGGGATAGTTGTATGTGCCGTCGAGCATACCATGTCACTCAGGGACGCTGCCCCGGTCGCTAAACAGGGACTTCCGAAGAAGCCCTGCAGGAAGCGCAAGACGAGGAACCCCATAACGCTTTTGCAAATCGCGGCTATGACCGATAGGATAATGAAGATTGCGAATGTGATGATGTAGACAGGATTTCGGCCAATGTGTGGAATCTCACTCAGCGGAGAGAAGAGGAGGGGTCCGATACCGTCTAAAACTATAGGTCAGTACGTCGTCAAGTACTCTGAATTCTTTTCTTAGGATACATGAATCGACAACACTCACAGCCGAAGACATAAAGAGCCAGTCCCAGGGAGGCGACAGCCTCGGAAACGCCTAAATCTTCCATTACTTGCCTGTGTCAAGTCAATAACAGAAGTCTTTCGTCGACATAGTAGAAATTTTTTGACGTACTCTTCGCTTGGGACGTAAATTGATGATCCGCAGTACACCGTGAACGTGTAGATACTACCAACACATAGATTAAAAGTCTGCCAGCCTAATTGGGTATCTGGCTTACCATATAAGAGACGACACCGCCACCTTCCTTGCTGTCGACCAGTTGTGAGGGCTCTCTACATCCTCATCAGTGTCCCTATTTGTCATATGAGCATGCACGCCACAGGGCTGACCCAAATAGAATGAATAAATTGGTCGCTCACCATGTCACTGGAATCCAAGGTTGCTCATTCCCCTCGTTCTCAGCGAAGATAGCGTTGTTGCCAGTACAGTACTTATGCTTTTCGCTTGGAAACGCCATGACTTTGTTCCCCGTAATCAGTCGTGCAAATGCACCCAGTGCTGTTGTCCGAAAGAGATAAGCCATGTCGTTTCTCTTTGTATGTCTCGACTGCGCCGACGAGTATGATAATCGAATTGATAGAAACTGGAATGCTGCGCCAATAAATAAGAGAAAATTTCCTCGCATTCTCCGGTTAGGCAATTCGGGATCACCCCAATGTCAGAATTTCAGTGACCCACCATTAGGCTATTCGGGATGATCAAGCCCCCTCCCCACCCCGACACGGTCATGCCGCCACAGAGCCCTTACATCCATCAAGGCTGCCTTCTTCTTGCACAGGAATGAGGGGCCAGCCTTGTTTATCATACGACCTCCATCCACGACTTTTTATTGTTTGCGTGGGGATTCAAGCGGCGGGAGCAGAGTTAGCCCGAGTGGCTTAGGCACGTTTTCAAAGTGCGACTGCTAGACTTACACTACTAATGTCAAAACCACCATAGTGCATGCTTCCTATCTTTGTTTTGTTCTAGGTGTCCTGGAAAATGAATTTTATCAACTAATACAGTCTTAGCTCCGATTTCCTCCAGGCACCGTAAGCGAAGATCGAAGTTTATGTATATGGTACCCTGACGGAAATGCGCTACTGAAATTGCCTTAGGTCATGGCCCCTAATGCATTAAACCACTCTGCGTCAAATATATTGGAAATCATCGCATCCTGTTCAGAGACTGTGTCAAATCCGACGCCTAGAGGCCGAGGGCAGGCATCCCCTCGCATAAGAGCATTGGCGATGACTCGCAGCTCACGTAAGATATTCTTGGCTCTAGGCCAGATATCTTCATAATGCATGAGCGTACCCAGGCAGACACGTATACGCGACCGCGCCACCTCAACTTCCTCCGGTGTGAATCCCGACTTGCAGGCGACCAGATAGGCAATTGTGCAACACGCTATCATGCAAATGAGAAAGGGCGAAAGCTGGGCGGCACCTAAAGGTAGGAGGGTCAAGCACTGGTTTTGATTGCGGACGGCTTGGAACAGCTTCTCGGAGTGCGTTCTATGGTTGAACGCACCCGTAGCTATCATGCTGGGGACTAGAGGTGGCGGAGGTGTGCCACAGCTTGACAAGTCTTCGGCGGGATCGTGTTGAAGATTCGATAATGGCCGATGGATATACGCCAGAGCTCTATATTGTTTAGTATAAGTATCGGGTAGTGTTCCTTCGGGATGCATACGTATACATCATCATGTGAGCTTGGAAGATGAGCTGATCTAAGAGGACTGGCTGTACGGCAAGCTCCCATTTGTCGGACGGAAGCATGATAAACCAACCAACGATAGAAGCCTCCAGGTCGCTACAGAGGAGTTCCGCCTTCTGCAGGTTTTTGTATTGAGTCGCCGCTTTCAACGAAGAGACAAAGATTCGCGTTGCATCGATAAGATAGGCAAAGGAGGAAAAGCTTGTGGTCTCTACCGCGTAATCTCGGTTTCGGTAATCGGTGGAGGAGAAGGTCGTTTGTGGTATATTCTAGGGCTCGACTGTTCAGTAATCGGAAAATTTATCACGTTATACAGAAACAGTATTACCGTGGAGCAGTAATTGAAGTCATCACAAGGTATGTCGACATCGTGGTCTGTATCACAAATCGACGTAATGAAGTCATACCGAATAACAGAAAAGTTCTGGTCAGCCAAGTAGAGCATCCACCATGTCCGCCTCCAGCTCTCGGCGAGCACAGGGTCGTTCTCGGCGGCCACATCGGCAAAAGCTTTGGTATGCATCCCGATCAGCCTCGCTTGCCCGATTGCTCTTTCCAGAAGCATCTCGGAGGCAGCCTGCTCAGCACACATGCTGTTGGCCAGCGCCATCAATAATGTCGTTTGAACCACGAATCCATCCACCACGTCAACGGTTGGCTCGCCTGCCAGGCAATTCCTTCGCGAGGAAGACTCCCCGTAATATGAGCCAATGCATTTCATGACGGCGAGCAGCGCCCGCATGCCGGAAAATTCTGACGCTAGCTTCGCTTGAAGATTGGGCCTAGGCAGGACAAACGGATGGCTGCGATGGAAGTACTCGTAGTATAAGTCCAATAGGGTGTTGTCCGCGTCCATGCTGTTTTCGACTTCGACGACTTCGGCGAGCGGTACCCGGGATGGGGTGAAGACTGATGTGTGGTCTTTCCCAAGCACGGATGCACGCGTATCTGACACATGAGAGGCAAGGCATGATGTTTTAGGCTGCTTTCTCCTGGAGTGCGCTGCCTTGTATTTAGCGCTACGTCGTGATTCGGGATATGAGCATGTTTTCATCAGCGTTTGACATCGTGCACATATAGGGAGTGCGGCGTCGCATTTGAGATGCTGAGTCCGGCATGGCGAACAGGCCAGAGTGGCGCGGGATGCGGATTGGCGATTTATCATATATGCGACAATCTCTTAGTCAAAGTACAGCTCTTTCAAATCTATTCTGGGGCATGCGCTGTTAGTAAATAGCTTGGAGCGAGGGTCGAATGCATCACAATGGAGGGTGAGTCAGCCGCCAGGTCTCGTCCATCTGGGCACTGTCATGGGCCAAGCCAAGCCAAGCCAAGCCGGGTCAGACCGATTAGAGCCACAGTATCTGGCTTATATTTATATATGTAGTATAGCACTATGTGTTTGTATGTGTTCATTCACTTTAACTCCAGGTTAGCACGGCAGGATCTAGAGTCCATCGCGCCAACCCGGGTTCTTACGGGCAGGTGAGTACTAGCTACTATCACTGTAAGCTTCCACGTACAACGTTGCTAAGGTCATATCCAGAGGAAATACAAACATGAGTTATATCAAAGATATTGGCTATGTTGAAATATATCGGTAGGACTTGCTTTGTTCTCGGTGCTATATATATATGTGTTGGGGCACCACTAGGGGGGTTGGATGCGGAGACACGTTCATAAATGTTTATATACAGTGAAGGTTATCATAGATTAGACCTTCAACCTAAACCTTTGAATAACAGCTAGTATTCATTACATTGAACACATTTCTTTCTTGTACTTCATTACCCGTGCACCACATCACGGTGCAAAACTGCTAATAGTAAAGGTCAGAGGTTCCGTTGGCTCTGATACCGGCCCTAATTTCTTTTCTACTGTAGACGCATTGGTCACCTCCAAGTCCGTCTCTCTCAACAAAACAGCTAGGAATACTTTCACTTGCTGCCAGACGAAGCCGGTACACGGACATCGCCTGGGCCCCGTGAGAAACGGTAAGTACTTGCACTCACCCTCCAATATATTCGGGGAGAGACTATCCCATCGCTCCGGTCGAAATCGTGAGGCATCCTCGCCCCAGATGTGAGGATCTTGATGTAACATCGCAATGGAAACAGCCACGCGAGCCTCCACGGGAATTGTAAAGCTTGCGCCGGATCGAGATTTCATATTGAGGGGGCAATCAATGGCTCGTGCGGTAGTGGGGATCGGAGGGTGTAGGCGAAGCGCTTCAGTGACCACCGCGTTCAGGTAAGGAAGTTGCGATAGGCGCTGTAGCCCCCGCTGGTGATACCAATCACTTTCGTGGAGCTCTGCGCGGAGCTTCCGCCTCACCTCGGGGCATAAGGATAGCTCCCTCAACAACCAGGCGAGGAGCAGCGTTGGAGCGGGAAACCCATGTGAGAAGATTTGCCTTGCGTGGGCAAGAACATCTGGAGTGATGGGTTCTTCGGCACTCCCACCTGTCTCATAGGATATCCTCTGTAGGAAGTTCATTTCCTCTAGAGATTTCATAGCTTCCGGGTTGAGGAGGTTCGAGTTGGCTTCAAGAAGCTTGTGGATACAATTTTCAATCCTTTCATGAACATCATTCTCATAGTAATCCGGTTCCTCAAACCCCCGGCCACATATCCGATTCATCACGGAATGATGGAGAGGATGCGAAATACTTGCTGCCATCTGCACATACTGAGCAAACGGCTCCTGCCATTCGCTTGTACACTGAGAGGCATTTTCCAAACCGAGTCCTAGACACCAGACCACATCCATGGCGTAATCCTGCAGATAGCTTTGGAGGTTATTACCCAACCCGACCTCTCGGAGCCGTTGGACATGGTCCGTCGCAATCGAGATCAGCTTTGAATGAAAACCTTGCATCGCAGGTCTGTTGTTGAATCCCCGAGTCATATCGGCATGCCAATGCCGGGCGACATCCCCGTCTGCGGTAATCAAGGCATTTCGGATGATCCGTTTACCGGTGCCAAAGGGACCTCTAGTTTGGGCTCCACACCGACTGATTGATCCCGCATTTTTAACAAAAACCTGTCGGATCAAGGCGGGGTCTCGAATGTATACCAGGGGCACACCGCCGATAAGAGTCCACGATATACCTTCCTCCCCCGCAGCGTTGAAAAGAGCCCCCATCGATGTTGAATAAAAATCATGGAACCATTTCTCTGACAGCAGGCCCAGGGTAGGGAAGCAAGAGGCGTATGGGATTCCAGGAAGTGGATTTTCTCGGAGACCAAAGAAGCTCCATAGCGCTGCGGAAATTGTCTGAAGCATTTTGAGTGTTGAACACAATAGATTGAGCTAACTGGTTAAACTGATTAATGGGTATCGGTAGATTACCGAAGTGTACTTAAGATTGGACGAGGAATTGCACTCACTCAGGGGCGTGAAGTGAGGCCACTTGAGATTGTGTTGGGGATGTCAGGTGATATCCCACATGGGGATAGTCTCTCATGGAGTAGATAGATAGATCTCTCTCGCTCTCGCTCTCTCTTTCTTTTCCCTCTCCTCCGTCCTCCGTACAATATTCACATCTTCATATTATATTGCCCCTGGTATGGTCTTCATGAGTTTGAAACCGATGAGGCTAACCGAAGTTAACGACTTTGGGTGTTATTTCTAGAAATTCCATGTGAGATATCGAGCGGGAGCTCAAGGCAGCACTGACCTTGTGATATGGCCATATTTGCAGACCCCAGCTTTGGTGTTCTATATCAGTCCCACGAATTAAATCAATATTTAGCATATTCAGTCTAGATTGGTATATGATTGATCTTAGAATCGGGACAGTTCAACTAACAGAAACGCCCGAATTTGGAAATTGATCCACTCATGAGCTGGAGGCGAGCTGAATATTGATCACACTACTCCGCACACGTCGCAACTGCAGATCAATAGTCACTATCGACCGCTAGATTCAAAGCTTACACAGCTGGACTCACCCTTTTTTTTTCCTTTTTCTGAAAAACGTTCGACCTATTTTTCCTCCTAAAGAGATTTTCCGAGTATATATCTCTTTTAAGAATTTTGATCAGTAGGTTAATTTTTTATGCTATGATGTCAACTTTCTTCTATTCTTTTATTAAGGTTTGATGTTCTACAACTTATATTCGGATAAATAATTGAACTTGTCACACTGAGCGTCAGAACCGGTGGGGCCTTCCATGCAAGTGGGCATGGACAATCACTTTACTTGTGTCTGTGTCCACCAAACAAACTTTGTTCCCGAAGCTGAACAGGGCTTCTTGTTCACCGACCTATGCACTCAGCACATGGCCCCAATATATATGAAGTGCCTTTTCCGTTACCTCTGTTTCGCTGAAAAACTGAATTGATTTCAAAATCTGCCCTTCAACATGGTTAAATGGAAACTTTTGGCATGCGTCCTCGTACTCCCCTCACTGATGGTCAACTGGCGTGTGTCCCACAGCCGCACCGTAACCACCAAAATCCCCGGATTTGCTGACCAAAACGCGATTATTCGGGCTTTACATGACCAGATCAGCTTCATTCAAATAAATCCAGTGGTTACAAACGTATACCAGGTCCCAACCGACCCCGCGACATACGAGGACGAATTGTTCCTAAGCTCCAAGACGAAAGATCCGATTCAAACATACGTGCTAAGCAATGCGATCACGATCATACCGGGGATTGGCCCACGGGGCAGAAAACACATCCAGTTCCAGAGCTGGCTGAGAAATACCGAGTCTGGGGTCAAGACTTACGCTGATGCACCATTTGGTGTATCTGTAAGAAGCCAGTGGATGGTCCAGCCAGACACCACGTGGGGCGCAGAAGGTAAAAATTCAGTGTACATTCTTAGAACGTTCTGTGCTGACAGAAATTTAGGCTGGATACTAGTAGTTGAAAGGACCGTTGAATGTGTGTGGTGGTTGATGCCCTTTGTGGCATACACTTATGATGGAGTGCATGCTAGCGTTGGTCAAGATTTAATAGACTTAGCTAGAATGGATGGGGCTTGATTTTCACGGGCAGGCTCTTTCTAGGTTAGCGAACATGAATATAGAGATATGCCCCAGTGATACTCTATATATCATCTCTCTTCAATGGAGTGGTAAGGTCGGCGGATGAGTAATCGTGGAATTGACGGCGTTTGCTTGAGGACGGTATAAATGATTATGAACGCCAACCAGTCAAGATATAATGTGGGTTCCGCCATCAGTGAAGTTTTATGACAGGGCCAACTGCGACAGTCATGCTATCTTTCAAGATTTTATCTATGAATGTAAAGTCAAAATACATTCATATCGTTGTCTTTCTTGGCGAAGGATTAATGTCTGGCAGTCGTATGACTATTTAATAATCCTCGGTACTCCGTAGATTTTTCCCTTTCTCTTCTTCCACCATCACCCGTATTTATTAATAGCTTCATACGCTATAGTTTTCATAAACAGATTTCCACCCGAGACTGAAACATTGTTCCAATTTCTCCCCAGTCCAACTTTCTCGGGAAATGTCTCACAACTTTCTGATCAAAATCAGTAATCAGCTTACACTAGCCGTATAGGCAACGATAGTGCTATGTGAATATGTCCCGTGCGATAGCCAGATAAAATTACTAAGACGTGACCAATTGAGAGCGCCATATCTGAGACAGGAAAATGAAAACAGCATTTCATCGATGGCATGGAGAGCGATCAAAGTTGGGATTAGCTATTGATCCAGCAATAATCACTCGACGTGTCAATGTCATAATACTTTCGCCCACCCGACAGTATCCACAAAAATACGAGATGTGGGCTGCCCGACCCGGCTGCACGCGGAGAGACCTTAGTTCTGGTCTTGCGAGGGACAACACCGCTATTTTTACACACTCGTCTGTTCAGTTATTGTTTTTTCGACAACAATAATAAGGCGTCCAATAATTGTTTTCATCAAACGGTTACAAGTGGCTGTGGGGTTCTGCGCTGACCTGAATCCTTTCCACGTTTCTCTGCCAACATAAACCGCCCCACTAATGCTGGGCACACGTATGTTGGAAACCTGCAGCGAGAAACCTTTTCGAAGTTGTATTGTTCTAGACGAGACAAACCCGGCCGTAATTTGTCCCGCTACAGTAAACCCTAGTGCAGTGGTATAAAAGCATGCTCGGCCCTGAAGTTGGCTTCTTGTGATCTTAAGAAACCCTCGTACAGACTTCAAATCCCCGATAGATTCTCTCGCCTTATCACTACTGAGCTCAACGACTGCCAAAATGCATATTACCCAGGTCTGCACTGTATTTTGGTTCTTTCTTACTGCTGTCGTGGCTTTTCCCCAGCAGACCGCCACAGGTACAACAACCGCGCCTCCGGCGACGATCACCAAGGCTGCCTCACTCACCTGCTCAGCTGGCCAAACCCCTGTCTACACGACAGACTGTACGATGGGAACTCCCGTGTCATACTGTGCTATACCGGAGCCCCCAATCCAGTGCTCCGATGGATACTTTCCTTCCGTTTGGCACCCAGGTCACTGCATGGAGCAGTCGACCTGTTTCCCGCTTGATGCGTCTTGGATTACAACCAAATGCTCGAATGGCGCAATTCCTTGGACGACTTCGACCTTGTATGAGGGTACGTTGGCCGGAGGACAGTCGACTATTATCAGTGGTGAGCTTCCTCCCTTGATTTCCCCTTTTCAATTTGGCCCACCAAATTCTAGCCATCACATAGACAATAAAGCTTACATATCTGATTTCCTACCAAAGCCGTTTCTTGCTCTTGTGCCAAAGATCAATGGTACAGCATGACCATGCTTCCAGGTGCATCGACCGTGGACACTTTCTGCATGCCCTCAAGCTCCTGCCCAGCAGGCATGACAACGTCGGTTTCAGTCAATACCTACTGTGCAACGGCACCGGCAAGCGCGTGTTCGGATATTCCTCTAGAAACTAACTACTGCAAATGCGAATATGCAGGGCAGACACCAGTATATCCCGACTCCATTGGAGCAGCTCCGACTGGGTGTGGAGTTTGAACGACGAGCATATGGCTTGTAGATATGGATAAATTTATGAATAGCAATTAAGAAACGACTTGGACATTTTTCATCCCATAAACCTTGAGACCAATGCCATTAAGGCATCGAATTCAGGCACACGGCTATGAACGTTATATACTGTTGTACCGTTTAAAATCCCGAAAAGTACATCAGGATGAGCTAGATCTGGAAATTATCCCAAACCTGGACAAAACCGGCTGCCCATAGTTCGGATTATTGAATCTTTTGTCTTCAGTTCCCCGCTTCCTATGGAGTATGTTCATCAATTCAAGCAAGATGGGATTGACCGGGGTCTGCGGGATATCCGTAGGTGATTCTGTGGACCCTGCCTGTGGCCCTAAGACGACATATTAGCATCCGGTTGTTTCCATATTATTTGCCAAATAACCTCTTATGGATCCTTGAGGATATTTTGTTTCAGCCTCTTCAATGGCCTTCAATACACGTCCCTGATGACGCTCCAAGCCTTGCAGACTCCGTATTCCATAAGACGCGGTTTCACCCATATACCATACCGCTGTTATTCGATTAAAATTCCATTTTCGTTAAGCCAAAATTCAAGCACGCGAGTGGCGTACTTTTGAATGGTAAAGCTGCAACCTTTCCACAAAACACTGCCGATCCGAATCCCATGATCTTCGCAACCTTCACAGCAACATCTGACTTTGATGATTTAAACTTACCGCTTTCGCGGGCGGACGTTCCGTTTTCTTGTGTCTAGAAGTGTTGGGAGTAGGGTTAGCATAGAAATTGCACTCTTTGCTGAGTGCTGACCTCGCGCGAATTGTAAGCATCCGAGATATGCGATACTGTTGGCTTGACAATAGCTTTGATCAAACTTTTGCTGACCGACTTTACACCAACAAGGGCAGACCCGGACTCTATCAAAGGAACGGGCTCTTCTGCGGGCTCGATATCATAAACCTGACGCTTGACACTGGTTTATGAAAAATGTCAGCAACATTCTGTCTCTTGGGGCAGAGTCGAGACTCACAGTTCTATCTCTGACCTGCGAATTGCCTTTGACCTTAGCAATACTGCCGCCGCCAAAGGGGAGAGCTTAATAGAGGGTTCAGACCGCATCATGAAGACGGCGGCATCTTGATCAATGATACTGCACCGAAACTCGTCCCATTTTAAGTGGCTGATGGAAAGAGTCGACGGCTTTAGAAGCACCATCTTCTTTGACGATTATCGCGCGCGCTTGCTCAGCTGTCTCTATAACATCCGACTGTAGACAGTAGCGGACTGCATTGAAAATTTCGTCGACAGAAAGGTTCTTCTCGATGATTGGAGAAGGGCCGATGCCTGCATTTTGGATCGCCAAAGACCAGAACGGTTGACTTGATTCTCCGTCAGAGAAGCCTTTTCAAACAATCAAAGTAAACTCACTCTCGAAGAAGGGGAAATGTGATCATTGGCTTTCCGTAGCGCAGTCCCATTGCAACAGTCGACCTATTACCGTGCGTTATAAGTACAGACACCCGCGATACGAGCCATTCTGTATCACCATCAGAGACAAGGCACCTCATTTAGTTCTCCTCTGAAGGCCTATATTTACCAGTTGAAACCTCACCGAGTACGAAAATGTTAGGTGCAGCTAGTCGAGCACAAAGTGGTTGGAAGTCCGCTGGGAGGAGAAAGGCAAGGCCATATTTGTTGGAAGCCTCGGCCAAACATCTGACAAGTCTCGGAGCATCTTCAAGCAATATAGCATCCAAGCAAACGAATATAGGTGCCGCCGTGGACTGCATAAATTTGGCTAATTCCTCCGGTGGTTTGTATGAACTGTCATATTCGGAGCAGACATAGCCTGAGATATCTGATGAATGGTGTCAGAGTCAAATCAACGTGAATTGGGTGTTCCGGGCCTACCAATTCTGTCGTTTCAATCTATTGGTTTTTGAATGAGAGCGGATGACCAAAGATAATTATGAGGAATATTGAAATGCCTCAATAGCTGACCTCCACTATGGGGTACTGTTGGGAGGCCTAACATGGCGCATCGGAAATGATCAACGATCTTATGAACTCTAGTGTCTTTGAGTAACAGATTATGTGCACAGCCGGAATGGGAAATAAACTCACTCATGTGCTAGCGATTCTTCGATCAACAGATATGAAAGATAATTCTGCACCTCAAAGCTCATCTCATCGTTAGCCTGAATGTTTGCCAATGGGTGTGCAAATTGTTTGGTCGGTGTCCACGGATTGGAAGACATGACGTGGAGCGGAATCGACAGTCGTTGTGCACAGTGAATGTGACCGTGCGCAAGAGGTGTTGCAATGATCGCATCGGCGCAAAATGGTTTATCTTTCCATGTTCCTGGATGAGTGCAAGCAACCCAACTCGAGTTGAGTGAATCCATGAGGATTTTGCTGTTCTTCATGACTTCACATCTCTGCGGACTAAGCAGGCCGGGCATAAGGCCTGAGTCCATTTTCTGTCGAATAGTGAGCCCTCGTTTATCCATCTTGTCTTCTCATTGGAGTTTAAGCTGTCACTCACGGCCATCGGGTGATCTGAATCACTACTTATGGAGAAGAACCCTAGTCCAGATCGCTGCACAAGCGTACGAAACACGGAATGTGTTACGACCCGAACTCGGTGACCATGTCGAAAAAGGGCTTGACCTATTGAGATGCAGGATTTGATATCATCTATCGATTGAACTGGTTTTAGTAACATATCTTTATGGGTTAGGACTAGAAAGAGCACGCGGTCCTACCTCTGCTTCCCACGAGCATGAGAACGATGTCCAATCCGATGACATCGCCATCCACGGCAGATGAAACCCCCTGTTCGTTGGAAACGTCAACCTTGAATTTCTCTCTTGGTGCAATCTCAATGATTCGTGGCTGCTGAGTCGGAATGGTGAACCCTTGCATTAAACCGGACGTCCGGCTTCCTGCACTCAAGTCGATGCTAAACCTGCCGGTGTCTGCGGTAATAAAGATAGAGTTGGAATACAATATTTCATCGTAGATCTTGGCATGATAGGTTCACGTTACCTTCCAGTTCTGTCAGGGGGTCCCTTCCATCATTGATTGGTGGTGACAAGACTGACGCTTCGGCGAAGAGAGAGCTGTAAGTCGGCGGTAGTTGATCTGTCTCCGACTCATAATCAGGATGTATACCAGAAGCTCTAGAAGACCCCTACAATTGATGGATGTAAACGAGTGCCGAAAGCGACGAGATTTCCACCTACTACTATTATTATTCATGTGCCAAGCCCACAAAATAACCTCTAATACACACGAGTAGGTTACCCGCGACTTTCTCTTCCTTTTGATTGGTCCAATTTCGGGCATTATTAGCACGCGATATGGATACGCTGGGATTTTCGCATTCGGGCTCGGACTCGGCTTCGGACCCACTAGTTACTGAATGAACCCTGTTCCACAAGCTAGCCATGTACAATACGAATGATTATACTACGTGATTGATAGATTAGACAGAATTACTTGTCATTCGTGTTCGAAAGATAACTGAGAGAGCAATAAAGAGGCCGAAGAAAACCATGCGGACGACAAGGCCGACAATAATCACATCTTCACTAAGCTTCGTTTTGCTACCTAGATAGAAGTCTTTACATCTGACATCCCTAGGTAATTGGACTACTTATAGTCATGAGTCGAGGTTAGATCTATACTATAATCTTAGGAAAAAGGACTCATGCCGCTACTTTGGATCAGGATTGATAAGGCATCACCTGTCACAAATATTTTCGTCAGTTTTGATTCCCAAAAAGTGACGTGGAGTGGCCAACTGTCAGGCGGATGATACAACTGATGATTATATTTATATACATACTCATTCGTTGTACCTTTACAACAGCATAGTGTAAAGGTTGTATAGGACTTGATAAAGTTGATTTGGGCTTTATTAACTGTTATTGACTACAAATTAGCTTTTTGGAGGTGAATTTTCCTAATTGATGTAAATCCCAACTCAGGTATCTAATAACTAGAATAAGAAAGCGTTTCCGTTAGTCGTTGGCCCTAACTGTCTCCAAGGTTCTACGGCCAGTTTTCCGAAATGAAAATTGTATCGATAACCAAAGTTTGATCTGCATCTGCAAGGGCCAGGTGAAGTGTAACAGCAATATTTGAGATACTGCTAGCGAGGTGACTTGATCTTTAATATAATCTGCAGCTTCGAATTGACCAATTAGAAAAGCAATCTGGGGCTCCAAGAGCATGGCATTGATTGCAAGGTCTAGCCACCGAAAGCGTTCGATTTCCCCACGAAAGTATTCCCTGGTTAGTACCATGCTCATAAAAAATCCCTGCACGCTCAATAAGACTAGGCCCATTCATAAGTAGAGCACCGCCTTGGCCTCCTGCTGTGAAGTTCTTTCTCTCCTGAAAGCTAAGGCAGCCCAATTAACTTTTGATTGAAGATCGAGGTACAAGCCATCGCGGCATCTTCACAAATAAATAAACCGTGCTTTATCGCTATCGACATAATCATGTCCATATAGCATGCAATCCCATCGTAATATACCGGGACAATTGTCCGTGTTTGAGGGGTGATCGCAGCCTCGATAACTAGGTAGACGAGACAGGACGGCAACTTCTCTTTCATGACCATTTTGACTCTCAATTACACAGATAATAGATCTGAGACCTTTGCTCCCATGTTCCTTCAGCGAGTGTAAAGCCTCTTTATGTTGTACCGCAGGCTCAGAAGCCATCTAGTCTACTGGTTCAGGCCTATTGCCTCTACGTTGATCAATCGCCTGATGAGGTCTTTTTTAGCTAGCTGTATTTGCTCTGGGGCTTTCCAGTTTCCTCAAATGCGTATAGATGAAAAAGATGTATCTAGTTTAGATACCCTCGCTGGAGCAAATTGGTGTTAAAATCAACCTTGAATATAAAGTTACTTCATACCTTTCGTAAGGATGCCCAATTCAATGTGAATTACCATCGAATCGGAATATCTAGGCTAGGTCAAGTTGATCCTCAGCGAGAATAAATCTGGGCAATATTAAAAATCTTTTGAGAGATTTGTTTATCATAAATACTTCGTCAACACCTGAAGGCTTTTTCTGCTTGATTGGAATATGGAACTCACAATTTCAACGTGTGCTTACCCGGAAACCGAAAATATTGATCAATCGCAATCAATTCATAGTTCGCTGCCACGGATATACTGTCCGTATATCTGTGTGGGACCTCGCGATTTGAAAGAGGTAGACGAGAAGTCAATATGTGAAGTTTTATTTCGTTTTATATTTTGAAAATTTCTTAACTTTCGGTAAGCTGAGAAATTCCAGCATATCTGGATTTGGAGAGCAGGCAATATTTTTGCGGCATCTTGTTGCTGGAGTACCAAGGCTGGAGGGGGTTTTGAACATAATTACCATGTCTTCCAAAGTTGTTTGTACATTCTCTCTCGCAGAACTACTACCCAATTATAACACACCTTTCTACCCGTACCATTCAATAAACATCTTCAACTAACCTCCCGTGTTTGATAGTGCTGCTAAGATTCAGCTTTATGAAATGGTGTAGGGCAATAACACTCTCACATAAATTCACATAGGCAATCAAACACGAAAACCCTTAAATTAGCAGTCGAACTTTAATGTCTGGTCTACATGGGGGCGCCTGGTTAAGCTACTGCTCAATCTCATACAAGTGCTCAGCGGCTCGCTGACGACCGTCCTCACCGACGAGCGAATTTTTCTGTGCGCTAGGGCTTGAGTGTTACCACAACATTTTGAGCAAGATTTCGAACTCTTACGCCTTTAGACCCGCCGCAACTCTGACAGGTTCCTTAGCTCTCTCTTGATCATCATACAATTCCTGTCGAGCTTCTTCGTCGTCCATCTGTTGCAACATGTTCCACGCATGTTCTCTTCCTTCTTCCGACACAAGTGGATTGTGAATAGCTCTGCGTTGCATTAGTCAACCTTATCACACTGAAACACACTTTTAAAGTGATTCATGGAAAACAAAGTGTGAAAGAGAGATCATACGCCTTGTATCCACGAGCTACATTAATTATGTTTTGGGGAGAAACTGGCCTCTCGCCCGCATATGAGCTTCGCCGGTGGCGGTGATATGGCATGTACATGTTTTTTTCACCAAGCTCCTGGTGTGCCTCCTCATTGTTCAACTTCAGTAGTATCTCTCTTGCATGCTCCTTCGCCTCGATGGAAACACATTCATTGCTCAACGCTTTATATTCTCTGGTAAGCTATTTGCAAACAAGTCTGTAAAACCGAACTTACGCTTTGTGGCCGCGAGCGGCATTTATCCTCTGTTGGGGGGTGATTGAAACTTCGTCTGACATAATGAACCTAAACAGATAACCAAGAATTTCAAATATAAAAGACGATAGAAAGGGAAAGGAGGGAGGGGGGTAGTTGCAGCTCTAAATATTGTAATGTGGCAATGGTGACTGACGTCAATCTAAGTAATGCAAAACAATCTATGGACACCTTTGCAAAGAGAGAGAGGGGGAGGGACAATACAGAACAAAGCTCATTTTGTATGATATAACTACATATGTAATTAATTAAATACAATTCCGTGTCGGAACGCCTACTTGCCCTGGCCAATAAGAATGTATGAATGCTCTGAGTTTTATTACCCCTGGTTCTGGCAATTTATAACTAACGTGGATCCCGGCGGGTTCGTCATCCCTGCCGGTCCGTCACCCCATTAAATCTTCATAATTTCTACACTTTTTAGACTCCAATTAAACAACCAAAACACCATTAAATTGACAATTTAAACCTTCTGCGGGCATGTAGTAAACCTATGCCCTTTCCCCATACATAATGAACATGTAGTTTGCCGGCGTACAGGGGCCAAAACAGGAAGTGTAGGTTCAACCTGGGGTTCTGGAGCAGGTGTAGGGTTAGATATATATCTCACACTAAAACCTTCCTCACCACCCACATAGGTATTAGGGCCCGGAAGCTCTGTTAAACTACCCATATTAGGTATCTGCTTCTTTGATCTCTCCCTCTTTTTCGTTTGCTTTCTATTTTCCTCCCGTAAACGCTTGATCTTATCTCGTATTAAGATGTGCTCGTGAACCAGCTTAACCGACATATTGTAGAACTGTTAAAGATCACGTTTTGTAGGCGTAGAGATCTTATTAGCAGCTAAACTTAGACTAGAATTAAGCCTAGATTTGCGTTTTTCTAGCTGCTTAGTTGTCCGAGGGATACCGGTAGAGATATTACTACCTGATGTTGAACCTTGTGAAACTGGTCGATCTAGTAGAGGCGGAGATTAAAGACGAATATTTAGCTTTGATAACACCCGATCAGGGTCTAATAGTACTAAACTAGTAGCTGCGAAGGTATTCTAAATGATTTACTCCTTAAATAAGTCGTCACGAGCCGCTGGAAAGATATTAAGGAAGTCGTCTTTTTCGATAGAATCTATGCCTAACCGGGTATATTCCGCAACCCGCGTTCTATAAGAGCGCTTTAACACAGTAAAGCAACTAATATCAAGAGGCTATAAAAGATAAGAGGCATACGGAGGCATACAGATTGGTATGATGCTGTTTTCCTAGTAAATCTTATCGAATGTTGCTATAAGATGACTATCGTGGCCATCGAGGACCAAAAGACGATATTTCCCTTTTGTCTGACTTATTATATCTGTGCCTTCCAGTGCCCCCCCCACCGCCTTCGGGATGGGGGTGCACCACACCGGAAAACCAATTCACACCGGAAAACCAATTTTGAAGCTATTCACATTGACTACTGCTTTTCACCCTGAGTATCTATCCAAAAAGTCTCCCCTCCCTGCTGCGCTGCCCCCACTGTATCTGACAATATAGATCTCTCCCCGGTAGGCGACTTGGGTGGCGGTTGGCCGTACAATTTTGTCCACTGTTTATCCAACCTCTTCTTCTCTTGTATAGCTTCTTTCTCTCTCCTAGTCTTCATTGATCGATTGGCATCTTTTGTACTGAGTATACCAGAGTCTCCAATCTTAGGAATCTCTCTTTTGGTGATTTGGCGCTTCCGAGGGGCCTGTATCTCCCTCATTCGACTAATAGTATCGCTCATCATCGCAAGCTCTTCCGCCGTACGTTTATGATGGTAGAACGCACGTTGTAGGCCTCGTTGGAGCTTCGGTGTGAGGCCCTCTGTAGTGAATATCTTCGAAAGCTTTTTTTGATTCTTCTCGAGGTCTTGAGCGCTCTTTGGAGGGGTGTTTTCCACGCTAGAAGAAGAGATATTCGGGGGAGGTGTTGTTTCACCGTATGCACGAAGATCGGGTGCGAGGAGGTCTGGTATCGGCGGAAGAGCATCTTGAAGTTTTTGAATAACAGTATCGCCATTCGGAGGGTATATACCACGTTCTTTAAAAGAATTTCGAATGATTCGCTGGTTGAAGCTCTTGTTGCGTACGCTCACGATATCCTTAAGGAAATCCGCCTTCCCCGCGGGGATTCCACCCCACTGAGAAATAAGGTTATTTTGCTTGCGAAAATGTTGTTTATAAGTAAGAAAAGGCTTGCCATCAAGAGGTTGACAAATATGAGTCGTATGAGGCCGAAAACAAAAAGGGATAATGTTGTAATCCTCGCAGAGTTGTAGAAATTCGACGGTCTTATGGGTCTCATGACCATCGAATATTAATACACGTTTTTCACCCCTCTTCACCCGATCTTTTGTAGCTTTATGGAATTTTTGAAGCCATCCAATAGCAAGGAAGTCATTAATATATCCTTTAGGTGAAACGGCCGTCCAAAAGTGTGGTAGATCAGGGTGGTCATACCAACTTTCCATGAACTTCTCGCCTTTGAAGATAAACAGCGGCTCCATAATCCACCCATCAGCAGCGATACATCGATCGCTGTGATATTTTCAGTACGATCGAACTCAGCGAGATCAGGGCATCTTCCCTTCGTGCCAATAACCTTCCGAGCCCTTCCCTGGCCGGGTTGGAAGCCGCATTCATCGAAGTTATAGATCAAGTGTGATGGGAGACCTTTAAGTACGTTCGCAAGCTGATTATACCAGTGCTGCAGGTATCCTACATCTTCTGCTTCAAGACGTTTCTTATCCTTCGTTCTCTATGTCACGGGGCCTAACATAAGGTGCGGTGGGAGTCTTTTCTCGAAACGATACGCCCACATCTTACTGACTTCATAATTGAAACCAGCGCGCACGAGAGCCCGATTTGCCCACTCTGTGAGCATCTCAGGGTTAACGGGGAGGTATAAATCTCGCATACGAATGATCCACTGGACTAGAGCTTTCTCCTGATACTCATCAAGAGCTTTATTTTTAGGTGTATAGGCGTTACGAGCCTGTCGTCCCCGGCGAACGCGACCGCGTAGTATCTCATACGGAATGTCATATTCCCGCGCGATCTTCGCAAGATTCGGTTTTTTTTCGTGCTGGGCGGCTTCGCAGGCCTCGATTACACGGGATTCGTCTATCTTGGGTGCCTTTGGCATGGTGGGTGGGTGGGAATAAAGTCAAGAAGATGAATGGCTTCAAAATTGGTGTTCCGGTGTGAATTGGTTTTCCGGTGTGGTGCACCCCCATCCCGAAGGCGGTGGGGGGGGCACTGGAAGGCACAGATATACGGAATAAAGTGTTTGTAGAGCTAATTAACGCCAATTTCGTTACTTGTCCAACCATTTAGACTAACATTAAGAGCCTAATGCTTTAGAAGGTCGTTAAACCATCGTTCTATAGAGATTAACCAATCCTGGATTGATTCCTCTTCTAATTGGGTGAATTTATGGCCTATAGCCCTTGTGCCAGACCAACTGGTTACCCCTTTCATCCGGTCTTGTAGCGTAGATCGTGGGACTTCGAAAGAGCGAGCAGCAGTAGCAACGGAGGTAAACCGGCCATTTTTGATAGCCTTAATTGCTAGTAGGACTCTGCCTTCCTGCTCAACTGATTTCTGAGCTTTTTGACCGCGGATTGGAGGCATGGTAGGTGTTTAAAAATAGGAGGCTTGGTGAGGGGAAGCAAATTTGAAGTGCCTGCCGGAACGGCCGGGATGCCGGAACGACCAGGATCCACGTTATGGGGTTTCTGTCATGACTAAGTAATTACAAATAATAGTGGATACTTGCTGGCAATTCACCGACATTCCGCCCTAGATTGCTTACAAATTCTTTGAGATCGATGGTGACTATACTATACCTTTAAGAATGGTCTAACCAAGAACCTGGAATCATTAAAGCTGATTTCATTCTATGGTATGCATATCTCATTAATGAACGTGAGAATCATAGTCCGTCCAGAATCTCCTCTTGCGTGGTGATAAAATCCATGGGTTCAACTCAGAATTTCGTCTTGCTTCAGACTATGCTAGACTGACTGGCTTCGAATTGAATATAGTAGAATTATCATTACCCCGCATGTCATTTTCAACTCATCTTGCTGGTTCTCCGGGGGTTGGTAATTGGTTACATATGTACGGAGTATCTGCGGAGTGTAAGCAGAGGAGGAGCAAGCCATGGACCCGTGGACGCGATCACGCGACGAGGCATCCGTGCACCAAGGCACCAAGGCAGAAACTACATCTCCATCGAATGACGTCATTTTACTCAGACATCGAAACGATCTGCTGTGTGTGAGTCGTGAGTTATTCGTCTATCCGTTTCTGAAGTATTGATCACTACCACCTCTTCGTTGACTAGACGGGGCTTCAAAGGGAACAGCATCAATTCATACAGCATCTATATCGAGGTCATGCGCGTCGCAATCGCTGGTGGCACTAGTCGGACACTAGGCTACTCGATCGTCTCGGCTCTACTCGCCACACAAGGTCGATATACCCCGGTTATCCTTTCCAGGGAAGCATCGATTACCAAAAAGCACAGCCATGGTGAACACGAAGTTGAAGTACGATACGTGGACTATCATTCACATACCTCTTTGATCGCTGCCTTAAATGATGTAGATACAGTCATCAGTGTTTTGCTCATACCCGGCCCCGAGTGGGTAACCGTTCAGTTAAACCTGCTATACGCAGCGGAGGCTGCCGGCTGCCAGCGCTTTGCTCCATCTGAATTTGCTTTCACTTCTTCAGCCAACACAATGGTCGACGTACTTGATGCCAAGAACGTTGTCTGGGAAGCTGTGCAAACATTAGTGGATGAACATCGGATTGATGCTGCTCGCTTTCCATGCGGAATGTTTATGAACTACCTTGGGATGGGATGTCCCGATAGCGGTAGACGTGAAGAGGCCTTGGCTGGGTTCGAAGAAGGGCCGTTTCTATTTCATTTGGAAAATAATGAGTCACCTTGGATTGAAGTCCCTCTCCGTTCTGACAAAAGCTTTCCGAGTCTTACAATGACTGATATTCATGATATTGGGCGTTTTATTGTAGCCGCTTTGGACATTACTGAACCATGGGCTGGTCGAGAGCTAGGAATGGCAGGTGATACTTTGAGCTTCAAAGATCTGATAACCATTTGCCAACGATATGTCCAGCGGCCAATAGATGTTCGAGCTCTTACGGAGTCTCAACTTCAGGCACGGCTATCAACGCTTGCGCCAAACAAAATTATTCCCCGAATGGAATGTCAATTGGCCATCGTCTGCGCCAGGAACAGTTCTGTGGTGCCGCCCATACTCAATCATTCATGTTCAGTAAAAGCTACAACCGTGGAAGATTACATGCAGCGTTATTGGGGACTCAAGAGTTTTCAGAGCTGATACGCAGTTGAGCGAATTGAGTTGAAACGTTAGATTCATGTTGGCCTGTCTCGGTTGGGCGGTCGTCTGGCCGTTAAGCCGTTTTTCAGTAAATACTCTAAAATTTTTCCACTCAATTGACAATGAATTTGAGCACGGCGGCATTGACCTCTTTAGGGTGAGAAGAATTCAAAAAATGGGCACCGCCGTCTATTTTCATCAGCTGAGCATCTGGTGATCCAGTGAACATCTGGATTTCCTCTTCAGCATTTGCCACCGAGAATACAGCATCCCTGGTCCCATGTATCCATCTCACCGCACAAGCAACATCCGGCAGTCGCAGTCGCAGCCCATCACGTTCCGCTAAATTGATTGCCGCCATTCGAATTCGCTTGCGGCCGTCTTCTCCACTGTAATTTTCCTTGATAGTCTTCGTCCAAAACTGGCGGACATCGCACGAGCACTCGTTAAGTCCAATATTGATTACAGCATCGCAATATTCAGTACTAGGATCAAAGTCTGTGGTTGGTTGGCTGTTGGCCCACTGGCTTAGAAAGCTCTTCACAATGCTTGGGCCATCCCAACACTGCATTTGACGGCTGTGCTCGGACTCTGAATCCATGGAAGTCCCCATCGGAATGATTCCAGCAATCTGCGCGCGATCAGTTCGCCTGAGCAAACCGCATAGGAATGTTCTCGTACCTTTTCCGGTCGCATCAATGCCATTTGGACTGTCACCCAGCCACCTTGGCTGGTGCCCAACACGAAGGCCTTCTCAATACCCATGGCATCCAAGACCTGCAGATTCATTTCCGCCGTGTCCCAATATGTCCAGTGGCTACGTTCAGTGCGGGTCTTTCCGTGACCCAACAGCTCAACCGCCAACAGATTCATAGCGTTGTTGAGTTGAGAATCTTCGAATTGGGCGTGATATAACTCAGAAGTCATGGTAAACGCATTGATCATCATCAGCGTGGGCTTCGTAGGATCGTAAGGTCGCGGCATCTGGTATCCGACAGATATCCCCCCCAAATGGGGAACACGGATGGTCTTTGTGTTGGACATTACCCTATCGACAGAATAGATCGAAAAGTATTGCTTGAATCTCAGTCAATTTCTGTCAGGAATGAGGGGTGGGGGTTTAAATTATAGGTGCCCCTCACGTCAACAGTCATTGAGTAGAGTTCAAGCGGGTCTAGAGTGGGGATAGCCAAGGAGACAACACACAGAAAGGAAAAGTCAAACTCAAGTGAAATGCTGTCAAAGGGAAAATCTACATTCGTGCTCATTTTTAGTTCTCTCTCTGTGGTGTCACATGGTGAATACCCAAATGTTAATAGCATTGGGTCGACGGTTTTTGAACGTGCTCAGAGATCACCATATTTACTTGAAATCGAGCATAATCTGCTCTGCAATCCAAACTCCAGCTAGCAATAAGTCCAATCATGCATCGACTGTTATTTTATGCATGGTTGTTACAGCAAACTCTACTACGTAGGTAGGGGACTTCGGGAGGGTACTATAGGGTACTATAGAACATTTTTCGGTCGACAATTCAGACGGAGCGGGCCCACAAGAATCAAAGCTTATAGATAGGCCTGCATTTGTGTTCAAGGTGAAATCTGGTATATTAGGGTACAATCTAGTGTCAGAGGCGGAGTGATGTCTTCAAATGTTTCAATGGTAAATTTATACTTTCAGTTAGTTACTAAGATCTCTGATAGGCTCTAATCAACACTGCCAATATCTCACTGTATGATATTCAGCTTCGCATCGTAGGATTTATATTTAGATTTGCATGTACGAAGCCATATACCTAGGTAGATTCCAGGGTCAAATGTAAACCTTGATAGTTATTGATAAACACTTTCACTGATTGAAGCATTTCTGGTACAGAAGTGAGAGATCATTGAAGGAAGTCTGGGGAAGCTACAAGGCTAAATCAATGGGTTAACAGATCAACCAATATTAAAGTAAGGCATTTGACTCTGACGTCTATTCATCTTCGTAGTTTAGATTTTCACGTCAAAATATCTCGATATTATCTATCTGTCGCCCCTGAATTTAACTTGACCTCAGTTGGATGGTGCTGGTTCGAATTATTAAGAAAATTGTAGATCCTCTGCCAATTCTATCACTGGGCCACTAAATCGGCTCTTTCCAGCTAGCGCATAATAATAAATAGCCCCAATGAACATCCATCCCGATGTTACCACGATGCAATAGTTCATGTTGTCGGGTGTAACTGGTCTCACCGTCGGAAACGTACTGAAAGCCATTGCAATGATGAGCCAAAGGATCGCGGCGACATTGATGACTGGTCCCCATCGGCGGCCCAGGTTAAAGGATCCTGAGCCAAGGCGACGAATAATTGGCACTGGTAACCTGCGTCCATAGACTAACATGAATAGTATCGGGGAAAGATACGAAGCATACATCCCTAAGATGGCCATGGACAAAATGGCGTTGAAGGCCGTCGAGCTTCCGAGATAAATCAAACCCAGCAGCATCTGTAAGAAGCCAACAACGAGGACCATTCGCACTGGCACCTTCAAATTAGGACTAACTTCAGAGAGAAATTCGGAAGCAGGCAGACCCTGGTCCCGTGCGAATGCCCAAGCCGTGCGGCTAGTTGAGGTTACGCATGCGGCGTTAGCAGCTGTAGCAATCAATGTGATGCATAGGGTCATGATAGAGGCGCCAGCTGGGGATCCAGTGACATTGAGAAAAAGCTGCATGAAGGGAAATCCTGTCTTTGACTGAAGCAAGGGCTCAAGGTCACCCAGGGAAAAGAGCAGGACAATCGCATAACCCAGACCGATGAATCCATTGATTGTAACGCTTCCTATCATGGCCAATGGCACATTTCGCGATGGCTTTGGCAGTTCCTCGCTGAGGTGACAGGCTGCATCATACCTAGATTGCATTGTCAGCTTACATCCTGTCGTCGGAGTTTTCTGGAAATCTCCTACCCCAGGAATGGATAGACAGTGCTTAGTAGTCCTACAAGCCATGAGACCCCATCATTCTCCCATCCACTGGAATTGGAGAACTCTGTAAAGACATAACTCGCAGAATGTTTGGGAGACACTGCTCCCAGAACTACCACAATAGCGATAAATCCAATGACATGCAATACACCTGCGCTTTATTAGGTCCAATCTTTGTTACTTTGCCTGATTCCCGACTCACCAGCTGTCGTATTTGTGTGCGGCAAAATCTTAGAGCCCCAGATATTGATGGCAGTGGAGTAAGCCAAGATAAGCCAGTAAAATAACATCCCTTGCCATCTTGTTGGAGCATAAGAGTCAAGATGGTTCAAGGTGATAAGCGCCTGTAGCTGCAAACCTGCTGCAAAGGCTGCTGAGGCAGAAAACACCAATTGTCCACCAATTGAAACCCAGCCAGTGAACCAAGATGCCGTTCGTTGATAAGATACAGGAGCAAGACAATAAACCCAGTGGTATTGACCTATCAATGGTCAGTGAAAGATTTAGCGATGAACGTGGCGGGGAGTATACGGCATAGGGAACAATTATCATACCGCCTGCGGTGGGATAGATCGAAGCAATTTCACTCAACGATAATACAATGAACACTGTTCCAACGAAAGTTATAATACTAGATTAATCTCCGCGTTAGCATTCCGGTGGGACGTATCATCGACAGTAAACCCACTAGTTGTAAATCAAGCATGGTGCTCCACCGTTGGTAAGAGCTGTAGTGACTACAGAAGATAAGGCCTCCCAGGTAGCCATCAACGAGATTTGAAGACAAACAATTGACCATAGTGAGAATTCACGGCGAAGTTCTTGAACGTGGCCAAGAGCTGCGAGTTGTTCTTCATCATTAATGGACTTTCCCGGATTGTCAAATTTAGATTCGGCTTCACTTAAGAAATCCATAGTGTAAAATGATTGATTGTATCTGTAGAGCGATGTCCTGTGACAGAGGGATAGAAATTTAGAAGCTCAGGAGATAAAATATCGCAGACGGGAATTAGCAAACGGAGATCAGCCATCCTCTCGTCCTATATATCTTCTTTCAACGACGGGCTATAACCATTCGAAAACCTAATAAAAGCCCTGGGGGGTATGTAATAACTAATACACGGCCATGATCCGCACTACTAGTTTAGGCAACTATAACAAGCTCGTATTACCTATCTCTTGAAAATCGATATGGTTTCCCCATAGACTATCTAGGTATCTGAGGTATTTTCCCCGCATTTTACGAATCCTTGTCTTTTATCACGGAATGGTTTCCGAATCTCCGCCAGGGATGACTTTTCCGAGAATTCCGAGCTTCCGAGAATTTGTAAAGTTCCAATCTTTATAAGTTTACAAACGTTCCCCTTGCACATTTGATTACAATCACTAAACGTGAGGTTATCACATCATGTCTCACCCACTTTCTATTCTCTCCATCGAGGAAACTAATCTGGCCCGTGATGTGGTCAAGGGTGCCCATCCCGACGTTGTGATTGACTTTCGGGAGATCTTCTTACAGGAACCACCAAAAGCCGAACTGCTGGACTTTCTGGCAATCGAACATGCTGGTCGACTGAGTCCCACTACTCCCAGACCACCACGTTTAGCCCTTTGTCAATACGACGTGATCGGAGCCGATCGAATTCCCCAATTTCACGAATCTGTCATCGATGTGGTTTCACAATTGCGAGTGAAACACACTGTAGTGGGGAAGGAACACCATGCCAGTTTGACCTTGTAAGACATTCTCGTCTGCGCTAGCACAAACCAAAAAAAATCCTCAACGGCCAAATGCTAACTACAAAGATAGAAGTGAATTTGATGTTCTCGTCGATCAATGTATGAAATCCCCCTTATTTCAGCAAGCCCTCTCGGAATTCGACCTTCCAGAGGGTTTCGATGTTGTCATTGAGCCGTGGCCTTATGGTGGATTGGATCACACCGACGAGAACAGACGCTTCTTCCAGGGCTTGTGCTTCGCTCAAGACAAAAGATCTGGAAACGAAGACTCCAACTTCTACTCTTTTCCATTACCTATAATTCCCGTGATGGATGCCCACACTCAAGAGATCATTCGTGTGGATCGACCAGCAACGGGTGGAAAAGGCGATGGCCTTCTCGAACAAACCTTCAATCGGAATATCATTGGCCATTGCAAGCCTTCCGAGTATGTGCCCGAGTTGATGCCAGAAGGAACTCGCAAGGACCTCAAACCGCTCAATGTCGTCCAACCTGAAGGTCCCTCCTTCCGAGTCACCAACGAGTCTCTTGTTGAATGGCAAAAGTGGAGGTTCCGTGTTGCCTTTAACCCACGAGAGGGTGCAACGATCCACGATCTATCATATGATGGCCGAAGCGTCATGCACCGACTAGCTATCAGTGAAATGGTAAGTTGGGGAAATCTATTAACAAAAGGCAAAAGGCTAATCACAACTGAACTCGTTAGACCGTTCCTTACGCCGATCCTCGACCCCCCTTCCATCGAAAGCAAGCCTTCGACTTTGGAGATGGTGGCGGTGGAAACATGGCCAACAACCTCTCCCTCGGCTGTGATTGTCTCGGGGTCATAAAATATTTTGACGCGATCATCACTCAGGCCGATGGCACTGCTCAAAAACTTCCAAATGCAATCTGTCTTCATGAGCAGGACAATGGAATTGGCTGGAAACACTCCAACTGGCGCACCGGTCGCGCTGTCGTCACGCGAAACCGCGAGCTAGTTGTACAGTTCATCATCACACTGGCCAATTACGAATATATCTTTGCCTACAAGTTCGATCAATCCGGAGGCATCGTGGTTGAGGCCCGCGCAACCGGTATTCTAAACGTTGTCAACATTGATGCTGGCAAGGTCAGCGAGTACGGAAACGTCGTCTCTGGTGGCGTCCTCGCCCAGAACCACCAGCACATATTCAATGTTCGCATTGATCCAGCCATCGATGGACAGAACAACTCGGTAGTCGTGGAAGAATCCCACCCGGTCGCAATGAATGCGGTCACCAATCCTAATGGAAACTTTTATGAGGTTACCAAGCAGACTGTGGAACGCGCATCTTGGATCGATGCTGCTCCGCAGCTCAATCGTACCATCAAGATAGTGAACCCCCACAAAAAGAACCCTATCAGTGGGAACCCTGTGGGATACAAATTTACCCCTCTCGCTACTCAGACTTTACTAGCCGACCCAGAATCTGTGCAGGCGCGCCGAGCTCAATTTGCTCAGCATCACGTTTGGGTCACCAAATATCGAGATAACGAGCTCTATGCCGGTGGTCGGTATACATTGCAAAGTCAGACCGAAGTTGAAGGTGTAGCTGATGCAGTTCGCCGTGGAGATTCTGTTGTCGACACAGATGTGGTCGTTTGGAACTCTTTTGGTATCACCCATAATCCGCGAGTAGAAGATTGGCCTGTGATGTATGTTAATTCTGGTTCTTCATTCACCTTTTCCTTCTTCCATCTACTGACTTCAATAATAGGCCCGTCGAAATTTTCCAGCTTATGATTCGGCCTGCGGACTTCTTCGTTGCCAATCCCTCGCTCGATGTCCCTTCGAACAAGAATGGATCGTCGCGTCTTGCTGACGCTGAATGTTGTCGTAAATCGCACATCTGAAGCCCTGGAGAAACTACATAGAAAAGAGCATATTACTAGTATAACATAGCGGGTTTATATTATGAATGAATGAATTGCATATCTTTCAATCATTACCCAATATTTGATTACTCAATAATTACTTCTATCAAGTATAATACCAAATGCTCCATGAGATCCAATGTCATCACATCAATGTTGGGCCGCAAAACATACATTGCTTACCGTACAAAATTTCTCTTGCTAGAAGGTTATACCCTCAGCCAAGTTGAGTCCTTGACGAACTGTTGCTTATCTTCTTAAATGACAAGAAATAGCGACACTGAACCAACACCTAAATAAAAGTAAGTAGCATGGTGATCGATGCTTGAGGCTCACAATCTGAACCTTCCCTGTTGCCCAGAGGTGTAGGCTTTTATTTTCAACTTTTTCTCTTCAGTAGGACTAGTTTTATCATTTTATTTGATTTTTCTTATGCAACAAACGAAAACCACATATGCATAAATTATACACGGGTTGAGGATGAGATGTAAAGAGTATACAGTGCAGAATATTACTCCGAGTTAAGTGGGGGGGGTACTTCGGTTCTCTTTCCGCAGTTCCGAACTTCATCTTCTTCAACTCTTTGAATTTCAACGTCGCTTGACTCCAGGGCTTAATCATGGCTTCCGAGTCTCCGAGGGATGAAGATTCATCTCAGCGGACAAGAAAAAGGGCCAAATATACACAGGTGGCATGGTACGATTTCATTTCGTTTCGGAATTTCCACAAGTACTGATCATCCCAGTAATGAATGCAAACGCCGCAAGTTAAAATGTAGTGGAGGTTCAGTTTGTGCGCGTTGTTCCCGTGATCAAAATCCTTGCGTCTATGCTACCAATCGCTCTCCTGTTGTCTCCCAAGAGAATGAACTTAGTGACGACCCGTGCGTCTCGTCTCATCAGACCTTTTTTATCGTCCAATAGGATAAAAACCATTTGCTAATATCCTACAGAGCAAACACGCGATTCCGAGCTGTGGACCGACAATTAGAAACCCTACGCCGGGAGATGCGAAGTCTTTCCGCACGGCTCCATGAACTTGAGTCTACTAGTCTGGCACCTCCTCTCAAGGTATCCGCCGCGCCGATTACAGGTAGCCTGCATCGTATTCTAGATGCACCCAAGTCACCGACCTATGTTGGTCCTACAAGTGCCGAGTTTGGCCTCAGTCGCCCTCGAAGATCCTCGTCACAGGCTGGCGACGATGTTATCATTGATCGTCGCGGGGAGGAACTTGACCTGTCAACTGGCGCTGCCAGCCCAGTGCCATCAGAAAGGGGAGCGGATGTGTCTACTGGGGATCCGTTGAAAAGCCTCGGAACAGATGAGGCTTTGCGATTGGTGCAAGTTTATGAGGATACGGTTGGTGTAATGTACCCCTGCGTCGACTTGGATGGCGTCCGTGCATACGCGCGTGAATACTACCACCAGGACTCCACCACTCGATTATCATTAGAGAATACGAGACAGACAGCCTCAGATCAAGATTGGTTCTCTGCACGTGATGTTCAGGTGCTGAAGATCCTGTTGGCAACCGCTCTCCTGGTAGAGTCACATGGTCGCAGCGAGCGTGCCGCCCAGCTGGCTGACAGCGTGGAGGACCGCTTTGCTAGTCGATTGAAGATTGCCGAGGTTGACATGAAAGAGATTCTAATATTGACCTTGTTGGTGTGTATATCCAGTCTATGCTCGGCTCGTCTATTGCCGCAAAGGAGAAATGAACTAATTGACTGTGGCTGTACAGTCAGTCTTTCACTCGTATCGCGATGATGAGGTTATTGCTGGCCGTTTCATTAGCATGGCTATTCGAGGGGCTACAGAACTAGGTCTTCATTGTCAAGAAACTTGGCAAAAGACCGGAGGTGTTTTCCCAGGTGAGTTGGAATGGACATGGGCGATTCGACTGTTCTGGTGTATCTATGTATTGGATCGCAAGTGCGCTTTTGGGACCGGCTTGCCGTTCGCCATCCAAGATTCGGACATTGATACTAACCTCCCCGAGCCCGGCCACTCTACTCCCTACCTGACTTGCATGATCTCTCACGCCCGCCTCAGTACCAAGATATGGGGGCTGGTTGTTGGTTGGCCTAATCGATCACAAGCTGCCACCTCAGATGGCTGTGCATACCTGGATACCCAGGTTCAGCAATGGATTCACTCTATTCCGTCTGAACTGCGCTTTGATCCCACCTGGCGCTCTCCAGCGGGATCAGAGCACACTGACCGGACTATGATGCTCCAGGTTCTTCTTGCTTTACAGGCAAATCAGTTGCGAATCCTTGTTTACAGACAGAATCTTCTCAGCGGCGAGCGAATAGCGGATAACATAACTGGCGCATCAACTGCCGTCGAAACAGCCAAAAGCACTATACACATGCTGGACTATTTCAGTCGGATATCTAGTATCTACTTTCAGCGCCCGGAGCCGTTCAATTACTTTCTTCTTTCCGCTCTTGCGGTTCTTTTCCTGGCCGTTTTGCATGCTCCAACGCGTTTCAGCCATTCCTGTCGGCCCGAGTTCTACACAGCCGTAGACATGGTCCGACGTTCGGCAACCCGGGCCCGCACGTCTCGGAGATTGCAGAAGATAATTCGAAGTTTGAAGCGCATCCAATTGAATCTCCGATGGGATAGTGACCCTCTCCGTCAATCATCAATCAACCGGGCCCATCGTTTCAACCCAGATCATAGAGGCGACAAAGAAGCAACGGATCTTGATTCGCATTCTACATCCCAAAGCAAGCCATACTTATCTCGCAAATTCTGGGAAACCACGTCACTACCTAACGCACCAGTGTCTCCGCCAGCGCGATACACTCCCAGCATTCACCAAGCATCTGGTATACCCACCCCTCAGCCTTCATCCAACTCCTTATGGGCAATCTCGCCTGACACTGCAATTGAACCTGAAACAAATGGCTGCGAAGACTTGAGCAGTTTTTTCGAGATTGCGGGCGGATTCTATTTTGACCCTCATTCGGGTTCGGACATTGCCGCCGGAGTAGATGTGGGGTTGGCCCCTTCAGGTGACACACGTTTTCCCAATGCATTGGATGCATTTCATGCCGAGGATGAGGCCCTAACGCGAGTTATGGCGGGGCTGTTGTGAAGAAATGTGGATCTCCTTTTCATGGTTCCATATCCCAATCCTAATTCCGAGATCACCAAGATCAGCTCGTTTAGAAATGTATTCGCATTGGATGAGAATTTGCAACGCCATTTATCCGATAGACGAAACGCCTATTGTTTCCACCTAGGAATCCCCAGAACTTGGCTTGTTTCGGCCGCATGGTGGCGCCTGGAGCTAGCGTTTGGCAATTCCCACCAGTCAGTGCGAGTTTTGCCAACCTTGATGTTTTTGCCCAAATTTTGCTTATTGCATATCCCGGATCTTTTCCCTACAAGGTTTAGCTAATTCCTGCTAGTTCTGTTATACTTTCGGATATCATGAAAATCCATAGCGCAGGACACGGTCATTGTCCGTGTTCTGTTAAGAGAAGTCCTTATGTTTCCACGAATGATTCTCGCTCCACTTCGTCAGAGCACGTATATGAGTATATTCAGCGACCCTTGGATGGTGTTTCTTTCTTTTCTTTTTTTTCAACACAGATCATAGTTCGCGATGCATTTTCGTGACATTATAAGCCCGGTGTTGTTAGCAACGCTTGCGCATGGTTATGCCAATCCTGGAACCTGGTATGGTTGTTTTCTCTCATTCTATCAACCTCAGAACCCTCACTTGCTGACTGGCTGTTCTCATTCAGTTCGGGAGCTTGTAATGTCCATGACCCGTCACTCATTCAGCGCACTTCGGATAAACGCTACTTTCGATTTTCCACTGGGAACGAGATCTCGTATGCTAGCGCTTCGTCCATCAATGGCCCTTGGACTACTATCGGATCTATGTTGCCCAGTGGGTCTTCCATCGATCTTGCTGGGAACACTGACTTGTGGGTAAGCAATAATTCGGCTTCGGGATGATCCTCTGGAAGATACACGTACTGAACATCTTGCCAGGCCCCAGATGCCCAATTAGTGAATGGCCTTTATCACGTTTATTACTCCGTCTCGACATTCGGCTCACAAAACTCAGCCATTGGACTGGCCACATCGGCAACCATGGAATCCGGATCTTGGACAGATCTTGGAAGTACGGGTATTGCATCCTCATCTTCCAAGGCATATAATGCGATTGATGGCAACCTGTTCAATGACGGTGGTAATTATTACATGAACTTCGGCTCCTTCTGGCATGACATCTATCAAGCCCCGATGAACTCAGCCGCTAAAAAAGTTGCGTCTTCCTCCTACAACATCGCATATGATTCCTCCGGAACACATGCCGTCGAAGGGTCGTATATGTACAAGTACGGAAGCTACTACTATCTCTTTTACTCTGCTGGAATCTGCTGTGGCTACGACACTTCTCGCCCTGCCAGCGGAGCGGAATACAAAATCAAAGTCTGCCGATCCACCTCGGCAACTAGCGGATTTGTACGGCTTTTTTACATGCGCTTCATTGATTCGATCTAACTAATCTGGATTACAGGTTGACAAAGATGGAACGGCTTGCACAAACGGCGGTGGCACAGTTGTATTAGAAAGCCATGGTACCGTTTACGGCCCTGGTGGACAGTACGTCATACAGACTCTGCAGATTGCAGTTTTGAACAGAATTGCTAATGTTTATTTCTTTTCTCAGGGGTGTGTTTACCGATCCTACCCTCGGTCCAGTACTGTACTATCACTATGTCGATACTACGATTGGTTATGCTGATAGCCAGAAACTTTTTGGGTGGAACGCGATTGATTTTTCAACTGGGTGGCCTGTTGTCTAAGCATAGAAGCCAATCTTTGGGCTTAGCTAGGATACGTTGTAGTTCCATTGCCAGGATAGGATTCGGTGTTCTTATTAGCCAATGTAGTCTACGGTCAAATTTTGAATTATTTCGCAAATTTTGGCGAGTTCTTGAAAAACAACGGCTACACCAATTTGTCGCAGACAATATTGAAAACACTTCATCTATCATTTCTGAATATCACATTAGACATGAGTTCTATTAAAGGTTGACCAAAAAGAGTACATATCAAGTGCCGAGAAGCAAAACGTCTCGTATCGAGGCTAAGGGTCTTGGCATTTTTGACCCGCGTCTCCCTCGTCACGAATCTTCTCTCCTTTGCTTTTTTCTAGTGTCGATCTGTTGACTCCAATGACTGGGGCTATTCGGCCAAAGCGCAAATCCCGAGGACGTGGTCTTCGCACCACAACAGGATGGTATGTATTCCCGCGGATCATCCGACGTTTGATCGCTGAATTATTTTAGTTCCACCTGCAAGCGACGCCACGTGAAATGTGATGAAGTATGCCCCTATCAAACTCTGCAACCTATGTCTCTAATAAGACCAATAGGCACAACCTCAATGCGGCCCTTGCGCGAAAGGTCATCGGCCATGTGTCTATGCATCCAGGGGTTCCCAATATGGTGATTCAGTTCAGTCATCCACGGAAATCTCTCGCAATAATTCTCGCCACATACACCCTCCTCTTCAAGTTCTAGTTGATGCCTGTGACCAAGAACAACCTTTGGATCAATTGAGACCTGCCGGGCTACTGCAGGCTTCTTCTACCTCTTCACCGACAGTGAAAGTCAGTCCCGCCCAGATACCATCGACTTGCCCCACCTCTGAGACCGTGAATGGATTCGCCCCGTCACCGGGAACAGAAATCTCGGGAGTTTCAACAAGAGCTGCGCCGCTGAGTTGGTTTGAGCTCCTCGCTCGAGATGCGGTTAACGCAGACAGCGGGTTCTTACTATCTCCACCACAACGCTCACCACACACTCCCGAGAATGGGGAGCAAAGTCCAGAGAATAGTAGCAACCTGCAGCCTCGTAGCTGGAGAGAACGCCAAAGTTTTCAGGCCGCAGCTTTCCAAAGAGTTCCCGGGATGGAAGGACGGCTTAACACTACCCACAAAGAAAACCCTTTATCCGATGACCCTTCGCCATGGACTACGTCCTCTCCGATCCCATTATCCGACCTCGAACGACGCATCTTCAATCATTTTGTACATTTTTCTAGTCAATGGCTTGATTTCTATGATCCGATCAACCACTTCTCGACCACCGTGCCACACTTGGCATTACAGAACCTCGGGTTAATGAGGGCATTGCTTGCATTGACAGCCCGGCACATATCCCTTGGGCATAAATCTGGTTTCTGGACCAAAGACGCCGCTCTCAGACGTGATACTGAACAAATATTCCAGTCAGAAACTCTATTTCCTACTGTTGACCGCAACCTGGCCGTGGAATATTATTATGAAACGTTGCACTACCTGAACAAGGCTATGCAGCACCCTTCATATACTCGGAGCCATGAATTAGTCGCCACAGCTCTTTTGATAAGTGTGTACGAGATGATCGATGGTTCCAACCAAGACTGGGAACGACATTTGAAAGGTGTATTTTGGATTCAACGGTTCCAGGACAATGACGGAGAGTCTGGTGGGCTGAGACAAGCAGTTTGGTGGGCCTGGATACGACAAGATGTTTGGGTTGCAATGCGCGAACGGCGTCGAGTGTTCAGCTTCTGGCAACCAAAAAGGCCATTGTCAATTCTTATGGCCCCGGAGCTGGCTATGAGAGCTACATGGCTTCTCGGGCAATGTGTTAATTATGCGTCTATGGAAGAACAAGGGACGACGGATCTGTGTCGTCGTCTAGAGCGAGGAGGGAACTGCTCTGTATGCTTCAACAATGGCATGAACAGCTACCTTCTGAGTATAATTTTCTTCCGACCGTTTCCGAAACTCAGATTTTCCCTCCTATCTGGGTTCATCCTCCAAACTATGCAGCTGCGCTGCAAGTTCACAGCCTGGCTCGAATTTTGGTGATTCTTCACCGTCCATCATCGGGTAGTCTGCAAGACTATCGAGCGGCCCAAAAGCTACTTACGCTATCTGTCAACACTATTTGTGGCATTGCACGATGTGTGGAGCCCGGAGATATTGCTGCGAGTGTTGGCTCTTTGCAATGCATCTTCGGAGGTAAGTTTTGATGGCATATTTTCCCACGCAGCAACACTGACTCTTATCACTTGCACCAGCGGGGATGTGCGTATCTAGTCCACAGGAAAGACTGGCCTTGTTAGATCTTCTGGACTCTCATCAGCGCCGTGTACACTGGCCTTCGACATCATTACGAAAAGAACTTGAGCTAGAATATGCTAAAGATGAATACTCCGATTTTGCTGGAGGAGAGTCATATCTTTCATGAAAATCTCGCTAAACATCATTCGGTAGATTCTCGCCGTGTCCAACTATTTTTGGCACATTTTGCAATCAGGAAATCACCAGGATATCACCTTCTAATGTCTCACGACTTACCTATATTTTTATTTTATTAATATGCTTGGGGGATAGCTTGGAACTAATCGGTCAAACATTTGGTCAAAGATAAATGCGTGCCTTCAGAAGTACTATTAGAATAATAATCTGATCTGCAAGGATAGAAGACCAAGGAAGAAAAACTGACGGATAATGGCATTGGGAGAATGCTAGCTAGGTACGTGTGACAAACATATATAATCTTTTAGTAGAAAGAATAAAGGCGTGCTCTACTAGGTTGAAAAACATAAGATCATTGATCCCTTTCTCCTCTCTCAAATGCTTCATCTGCCATTGAGGCTCGACGAAACCAGACATGCAAAAAGATAAAAACAACCACTCCCAACGCTAACATTGCGGATATCACACCAAAGCCCATGATGTATTTGGGGCTATCATCCTCGGGAAATAGATACTGAGAATGTTGTTTAGCATTTAATGGTACGAAAAAGCAAAGAGGAACACTCACTGATCCATAAATTTGGGCCAGGTTTCCCAGCGCGTTGACCAATGCCAAACTCACACCTCGAGCCTCTGGATTCATTCCAGCAAAGGCCGACGAAGCATATGCTAATGTACCTCCATTACTAGCCCACAAGCCTGCGGCCATAAGTACAAGAAGCACGTAACGAGCCGTGTAGTCATAGACAACACAAACCGCAATGGAACACGCTAGCGAAAAGCTCAGCCAGGCCGCAATTACCAACCCTCGCCAGTCAGGGATTTTGTCACTGAAATATGCAGTGATTCCAGTGCAGACAAATGCCACAGCATATATGGGAATTGTGAGGAAATTGATTCTCTCTGTCGATGCGTTCCCGAAAAGTCCCTTGACCAAAGTTGGATAAAAGTAGGACAGAGTGCCAGAGCCAACAATGACCTATTGGGGATATTGATAAACATAAATTTGCGCCAAGTATATTCGTTTGTAACGAAACTCACCATATATCCCACAATAAACATCCATGTACGCCAGTCTTGGAGTGACACGACAACAGCTTGCCAATGGGTCATTTGTTCACTATCTTCCGTGAGAGCCGTGACATTCTCGGTTGCTAATCGTGCCACCGCAACTTCTTTTTCACGCTCTGAGAGACGTCTTGAATTTGCAGGAAAGTCAGGGAGAATGAACAAAGCGATCAACGCAATTCCAATAGTTGCGGCGCCTTCGACAATGAAAAGCCATCGCCATCCACGAATCCCATGCACCCCCTCGAGACTCTTAACAATCACAGCGGCTAGTAATCCTCCGAATGCACCAGACAAAATCGCTGCAGAGATGTAAACTCCAAATCGTCTGGATTGCTCGGTTTGTTTGTACCACGATGAAAGAACAAGAAGCACGCCCGGTGCAAACCCTGCTTCAACACATCCGATTATCACTCTTAAAACTACCAGATGCTTGAAATCTTGGATAGCACCCATAATACAGGTCAACGCACCCCAGATGATCATAATCGTCGGGAGAAAGATGGATGGACGAGAACGACTCAAAATAAGACTATGTAACAGTAATCGTTAGTTCGAGGTGATATAGAAAAGTGGAACAGGCTACTCACTTGCTGGGAACTTCAAATACAACGTATCCCACAAAAAAGACCACCAGAGCAGTGGAGTATTGGTTGGAGGTGAGGTTCAAATCGGTCTCCATTCCCGAAATCTTCGCATTTCCGATACTGTTACAACTGTCATTAGTAGCTAGCTCATCGTGAAATTGAGTACATGCAACATACTTCGTGCGGTCCATATAAGAGAGAAGGTACATAAACCATATTACTGGGAGTAAAGCGAGATCGATCTTTCTCACTAGCGCTTTCTCCTCCTGATGAGAAAAGGGAACAGTTTCTTGCAAGTCAGCATGTTCGATCTGCTTGGAAGATATCCCATCTTTGGTTTGATCATTTTTGCCCAAAGAAGCCATAGGTGGCAAAGTGATGTAGGAGAAAATTAATGAGAAGAGAGTAACGATTTGAAAATATCGCTTGATTTAATAACGTACCGAGATTATATATATATATCCCATTTTGGTGAATTAGCCAATTCTTCCTAATGAGCTATCACGGATGACGGGTCAGAGACCTACACCCCTTATCCAGTATTCTCGGGAGCCGTATAGTTGACATTTACCCACCTGGGCAGTACCCACCTCCGCAAAACATGTCTTCCCCACAAACTCTACTGGCAGATTACCTCGTTACGAGGTTGAAATCTGGGGTTGGGAAATGACGTGGGCAGTATGTGAGGCCCACGGGTATCGTGCCTTTATCCGAAGGATCTGTGCCTCGAGCCGAACAGCATTCTCCACATCGTTCGATATATGTAAGTATCCAAGAGGGGTAGGGTGATTGCGGGGTGCCCATGAAGATGTCCTTGTTTCTTTGTTATATCAAAGGTGTTTGTTCATTGGGCTCTTTTTGATTTTCCTCGCCATCATACAATGAAAAAGGAGTGTTTTCTTTTTTTCCCCTGAAAATGTCGCCCAACGCAACCGAAAATGTTCCAACTGACACTGCCAAGACAGAGGCATCTCCTACATCTTCATATCGAAGCACTATGCCCAGCGATAATTTCAACTGGCAAATCTCATTAGCCGAGAAGGTGGTTGCCATTACTGGTGCCAATCGTGGCATCGGACTAGGTATCGCTGAAGTATGCTTGGCTAATTCCGCGAAGAGGGTTTACTCTCTGGATTTGATGGAACCAGGGGAGGAATTCGCAAGCCTGCAAGCTCGATACGCGAATTTCCAATTCATCCAAACGGACGTCACCTTGGAGGAGAGTGTGGAAAAAGCAATCAACCAGGTCGTGGAAGAAACAGGCCGGATTGATGGCTTAGTAGCCAACGCTGGTATGACCAAGCATCAACCTGCTTTGAAATTTGAGCGACCAGAGTTAGAGAAGCTATTCAACCTCAATGTAGGTTCCTGTGGGTCAATGACACCAACTATCATTCTGACCGCATTGCAGGTATTCGGTGCCTACTTCTGTGCGCAAATTGCTGCTCGAAAGTTTATCAAACTTGGAATTAAAGGATCTATTGTAATGACTTCAAGCATGACCTCTTATCGACCGAATCGAGTACGTCCGAATCTCATCTGGTGGCTTTGATCTAAATCAATTATGCTCATATAACCTCTCATAGGCTGCACCTTCCGCACCGTATGGAGCTACCAAAGCTGCTGGTAAGTTGCCTTGTCAAATTCTCCATCTAAGCAGCACTAACCGAATCATTCTTCTTTCAGTCCGAAATATGTGTCATACCCTCGCCATGGAATGGAGCGAACATGGTATTCGGGTCAACAGCATTTCACCTGGCTTTGTACGAACCGCCATGACATATTATGTGGAAAAGGCAGCGGATTGGGATCTCAAGATGCAATATTATGGTGGAATGCCGCGGCTAGCTGATCCACGCGAGTTGGGCGGCGCATATGTGTACCTCTTGAGTGACGCGAGCTCCTATACCAGTGGTATTGACATTCCGATCGCGGGAATCGTCGGTGCGTGGTGAACATACATATGATATTTGTTCCTTTTTATCATCTGGCATATATCATAACCACAAACTCTTCAGCGACTTGATATTTTTAAACCTTCCTTTTGGCCGCGCGTTTCGGCGACACCCGCACTCGGCCGACTGATGCCTCCGGTGGCAATCCCCTAGGCCTTGAAGTCTCTCTGTCTTCTTCTTTTTTTAGCATTATATTTGCTTATGAACATGGCTAAATCATCTAAATCTCGAAAAATGCCCGCCAAATACAATACGGGATGGAGACGCGTTGTGCGGAACTTCAGTCCTTCGTACGCATTTCCTATCTTTAAGGGAGAACTCATTTTAACAGGAGTATAGGTGGTTTGCTGTGACTATGGGCACTGGGATTGTCTCAGTCTTGTTTAGATCGGTCCCCTTTGAGACTCGAGCACTACATTACCTATCAATTATATTCTTTGTACTCAACATAATATTGTTCAGTCTCGCCATGATCACCTCCATTCTTCGTTACACCTTATATCCCGAAATTTGGAGTGTGATGATCCAAGACCCCACTAATTCGCTTTTTTTGGCGACGATTCCGATGGGTTTTGCTACAATCATCGAGATGTGGGTGTTCGCCTGCGTGCCACTCTGGGGAGAATGGACTAAAACAGTCGCGTGGGCTTTATGGATGGTCGATGTGGTTGCAGCAGCTTCTGTGACCCTGTCTCTGTCCTTCATCCTGTTTGTCGTCGGACTCGAAACGACATATGGCTTCCTTGCTGACTTTAATTCAGCATCTCTCAACGCTACATATCTTCATTAGATCGAATCACTGCGATCCAACTGCTGCCGATGGCAGCGACTATCGTCGCTGCGGGAGCTGGCGCCGAAGTTGCCAATATTCTTCCAAATAAACACCACGCATTGGGAACACTCCTTGTCTCTTTTATTCTCTGGGGTATGGGCACTCCGCTGGCAATTTTGGTCTTGGTAATATACTATCAGAGGCTGGCAGTACATAAGCTTCCACCAAGAGAAATGATCGTGAGCTGTTTTCTACCCCTGGGGCCTCTTGGCTTTGGTGGTTTCGGGTAAGAGTGGCTGAACTCCCCTAGATCCCTGCCCATATGAAACCCTTACTAACACGCCACTACTCCGTAGCATTCTTTACATTGGCAAAGTGGCCCGGGCTTTGCTGCAGGATACTGAGATTTTGGATCCTCTTGCAGGTAGAATAGCCTATGTCTTGGGAGTTTTCATATCCCTCCTCATGTGGAGTTTTGGTTTAATCTGGCTTGTCTTTGCCTTCGCCACCGTTCTACACAGTTCTCCATTTCCGTTCAATATGGGATGGTGGGGCTTCACATTCCCACTTGGTGTGTATGCAGCAAACACAATGGAATTGGGAATTGAGATGGACCTTATGTTCTTCAAAGTATTTGGGACGGTATGTTTCCCGAAATTGCATAAGCGAAGGCTAGCGGCGCTGATTGGATTGATATAGATTTTGAGTGGCGCAGTACTACTACTTTGGATTCTAGTATCCTTGCGGACTGCACATGGTTCATGGCGCGGGACTCTGTTCAATGCGCCATGTTTACAAAATCTCACTTCCGAGGAAGAGGGGGCTGAGCGGGATGGGGATCGGCATCGGGCATAAAAAGTATCATTTTGCGAGAACTCATTAACAGCTAGCTTTATCGGGAATTACACTCGCCAATGCTCCATGTTGGGACTCGCGCTAAACAACCCCGCTGACAGGGTCCTTGATCATAAGCAAATAGACAACCAGTCAGATGAAAGCCATAAGCATACAACTCAGGCAATTTTTACCGAAATCAATATCATAATGTGATTGGCTAAATTTGGATTCAAATATATCCACCCATTCATATTATTGTATCTTTGCCAAGGAGTTGCCGGGCGAGCAGTCATCTGTTCAATCGTCAGCTTCGTATTATCCACACTCATTTTGTCCTTGTTTCTTAAAATTGTGTTCTTTCGTGAAATTGAGAACTGATTCTTTGTCGACTCTAGTGTTGAGTCTGCCCTAGATCAGAGCTGTACTGTCATAAATGGTGGGGTTTCATTCCGCTTCCATATATTGAGCTTGCCGCATAGGGCTAACTAATGGTCTAGGCTGCGGAGGAGTATGAGTTCCCCTTCTTGCAGGAGGTCTTTTCGCCTGTCAGTTCACACAAGATCGAGTATGAATGGTTCACATCCCTTTGTATCAACCATCAGAAGTTTTCTAATTTGAAGTTCCTCTTAGTTTTGTCTTCGTGCACGGTCTGAATCCTAGCGGTCGAAATGATCACCCATTCAAAACATGGACTCATAGCAATGGGAACTTCTGGCCAAAAGATTTCTTGGCCCAGGATATGCCATTTGCTCGGGTCTTTATATACGGATACAACTCAAACATCACCAATCCACAGACTATGTCAACAGCTAGCATCAAGGATCACGCCAATACACTTTTGAATCTGCTGGATATGGAGCGCAGCCCTCAGATGGTAGGCGTCCTATGAAACAGTGGTTAATATGATTCAAGTTGACCAGACCGCAGGGTACGATGCCCCCGAAATTGATATTCATTGGACACAGCTTAGGAGGACTGGTGATCAAACAGGTCAGATCACATTCCTTGACAAGTTTCATGTGGCCTTGGCTGACGATTTCATCTAATTTATTCCCATAGGCGCTTCTCAACGCCAAGGAAGATCCAAAGTATTCTTCAATTCGCTCATCAACGTCCGGTCTTGTCTTCTTCGGGACACCTCATCGGTATTGACTCCCTTCAGCTTCCATTAAACATGATCGCTGATTATATTCAACCAACAGCGGTGCCAAAGCCGTCGAGTTGGGAAAGATTGCAGCGGGTATCGCCCGTTTTGTATCCAAGGGTCATGCCAGTAATGATCTTCTCAATTGCTTGGAACATAACTCGCTTTTTACCCGTCAAATGACAGATCGATTCCGCCATCAACTTGAGGACTATCGCGTCGTCAGCTTTATCGAAGGGAAGGAAGTGCAGTTGGGAGGTCATGGTCCAGCCTCCCTTAGCCATGTAAGTGTATAATTTGATTAATCCGAGATCACCTTCCTTTCTTACGGAGGCTAATGTTCGACAGCTTGTAGTTGATGAAGAATCCGCGGTGCTCGGACTGTCTGGTCTGCGCGAAACACAACTAAAGCTTGATGCAGATCACTCGCAGATGTGTAAAGTTGGCGCTCGAGGCCCCATGTACCGCTTGATCCAGGGCAACATCAAACAGTTGGTCGACCAAGCCCTTTTGTCAGAGCAAGGGTTTATTCCACAACCTATGGCCCAAGGCACGGGGCCCACCTCCCCACCTCCACTGCCACCTCGCATCCATTCCAATAGCAGCACTCCGTATCAGACACGTCCACTCCAATCACCGGAAACAATTACTGGAGTGGTTTACACTCCTTTAGACAATGACCCACGATCCATTCGGTCCGCGGAATTCAAGAACTGGGCTCGATGGGACGAAGCTCGAACTGTTGAATATGAGATTTTCCAAGAGCATCTAAGGACCCTCGGTCCAGATCATTACAGTACGCTTTCGGTGGCATACAATCTAGCTGAGGTAGAGCTAGAGAGTGGATTTATGGAGAAATCCAACGAGTGGTGCCAATGGGTATTTGAAAACTCCAAGCGCGTATTTGGAATCAAGCATCCCTTGTCAATGAGAATCGAAAGTCTGATCGCAGAAGTCCTGTGGCAAGAAGGGAAGCTCCAAGAAGCCGAGTCAGTCTGCGCCAATGTCTTAGCGCGTCAACAAATGACCATTGGTGAAGATCATATAGACACGTGTGATACCCGGTGCCGGCTAGGCATGACATACAGCGCACTGGGTCGTCGAGAAGACGCCATCGTGAATTCAGAAAAGCTCACGAACACCCTGAAACGTCTTCTCGGCGACACCCACATTCGCGTATTCAGCTCTGTCCTGGATACCCTGCAGCATATCATCAGCAATCAAGGTGGGGACGCAAATGCAATGATTGTCATGCGTTTCCAACCCAACGTGCAAAAGGCCGTTGAACTGCTGCAGCAGGCTCATGAGGAGACGCAAACCACCCTCGGACAGTCACACCCATTTACAATTCGTGCTCTCACGCTATACGGCCAGGCCCAGAGCCTCATGCAGCAAAAAGTGGAAGCTTCGGAGACACTTCGGCGGGCCCTGGCGAGTTCAGAGGAATCGCTAGGACCCGACCATCCAATCACAATTGGTATTGTAGGGCATATCGGCGTGATGTATGCCACGCAAAGCCCTTATGCAAATGGCGGTCACCGTGCAGCAGAATCATTCCCTTGGTTGCTTCGATATTTGGATTGGATGGAACGGCGCAGAGGCAAGGGAAACGACGAGACGCAAGCCACCTTGGAGTTACTGGGGAATTTAAACTTCAATGCGCAAGACTATGAGGCCGCTCAGAAGTACTATGAGCGTATGGTTGCAGCAGCGCGTGGGGGTGACCAAACAAGGGCGAATCGGATCGATGCTCAACTGCAACTGTGCAGGGCCAATACTATGTACACCCGTCGGGGTGTGGGGTCGGGGCTAGGAGGGCTTCTGTCCAACTTTCGTTATTGATTACGTGAACCTCTCGCAGTATATAACTATGATATGTGTCGCTCAATTTTATGAGGATTTAGAATCTGGGTTTCAAATGACTTATTATAGTAGTACGTCTGTTCATTATCATACTTGGTGGGTATCATGATATGGCCGTTTGAGGTCCACAGGGGTCAAATGGAGTGCTTCATGAGCCTAACCGCTGACTGTCGGGATGGACTTAATTAGAGAACTTTTCGGGGACCTTCTTTCTACAGATAGGAAATGGTATTAGCGTCGTTCCCCGATTCATTTTCGATCCTTGCAAAGACTCACCCAGTGGCCTTCTCGAACTGCTCACGACCAGTATCAGTGATCTTCTCGTTGGTAGAGCGCATCTTAGCGGGGTCGACCTTGCCCCCACCGAACTTTCTCTCGAGGCTATCAAGGCCTGATATTGTTAGCTTTGAAGCTCGTCAAATTTAAAGGACAGCAACCTTACCCTTGTCAACGTAGTCCTCTTGGCCACCAGCGGAATTGGAGCCGGAATTGGAGCTGGAGCTCTTGTTGCCGCTAAGCTTGGAAGCGAGACCGGAAAGTTTGTCCATTGTGAGTAATAGTGATATGTGAGTAGCAAGGCAAGATGTTTGCTGATGTAGAATAATGCAGGATATGCTACTCTTTTTATATCTTAACTCTTATCCGCCGATATCAGCGGATATTGCGCATGGTATGATAATTCGCCAAACAGAATGCCATCGTCATTGCGCTCGGATTCTAGAAAGGAAGTGTGGCCCGCAGTCGCTCATTTTCAAGCCCCTCAATATGCATGCCGGTCTGTAATAGGCTCAGCGACGACACTAGTTCCACAAGTGTGTGGCTCGGCGGGGGGTCTGAGGTCATATGCCGATCTCGATCTCAAATCGAATCGATGGGCCGGTGAGATCACGAAGCTCCAAGTTGACGTCACTGATTATGTCATTTCTCAGGCAGAAACTTTCAGGCTGTCAGGCTGCAAGGCTGCAAGGCCTGAAAAGATGTTAAGGCAACAAAAACAAATCAATCAGAAACTCAACACTTTTCTCCTTTGCTTTGTGCCCAACACGGCATTTTCCCTGAATGGTTGAAAACATCCCTGGTTAACGAATTCCGTTGACTTCATTGCCCAATTTTGTACATTTAAAACGATGAAGCTAGACAAGCCTTGGAATAGTATGAATATGCAAAGACCTACATATTTGCATAGTTGAGCTTCAACTTGATAATCATCGTGAATTCCCTGCGACTCGGAATGAGATGTCCCGAATCTGGGCCGCTTCCCCGCGCTTATTGCAACGAAAGAAAGTCCTCCCCCAAACAGCCAATAATGAGACAGGTCGAGACACATCTACAGATAATTTCTTTAAAATCTGGGGATAACAACTCCACTCCCCCACGGGGTTCAATCCCCATTTTCGGAGATGCGCCGATGCACCTGATTCTGTTCAAGGGTGCATTTGGGCATGCTGCAATTGATTTATAACGCAAGATCCTGTCCCATGATCCAAGACGTCTGAAATCTCCGGCCTCCAATCTCGCACAGTTCTCCGACGTGGAAAATTTAGCAGATGAACAAGTCGGATACCAGAAGAAGCCCGATCAAAAGGGAGGTGTTCTCGAACAAGATGCTCTCTACCAAGCTTATGCTTCCAAAACTCCAGAATGGCATCAGGACATGACCCGACGTCTACTCCGAAAGGTTGACTGGCATCTCTTGCCGTTTCTTATCCTCATGTATCTTCTAAACTTCTTGGATAGAAAGTAAGTGAATTCGCTACGAAACACATGCTGCTGTCATAAGAACTGATATCGTCTTTAGCAACTTGTCTCAGGCTCGTTTGGGTACACTTGAAGAAGACCTTGGTATGGAGGGTACGGATTACAATCTCGCCACAAGTATTCTTTTTGTCGGATACCTCTTGATGCAACTTCCGTCCAACTTGCTTCTCACTCGAGTTCGGCCCTCGCTTTTTCTTGGTATCGCAATGGCTATCTGGTAGGACACTGCTCTACCATCAACGAACAACCATAATACTCATCAACGCATAGGGGTGTTATCTCCGCCTGTCAGGCAGCCATCATTTCATTTTCGGGGCTCATTGTCACACGATTCTTCCTCGGGTTTGTTGAAGCGCCTTTCTTTCCAGGTGCCGTCATGCTAATGTGAGCCTATATGCAAGACACTACCGCTTGGAAATTGCTAACCTGTTGCTTGTAGGTCAAGTTGGTATACCCGACAGGAGGTAATTAGGCAACCCATTCACCATTGTAGTTTTTGTTTAGTGTTTGCGTCTAATTTGGTCGTGCAGCTGAGCCATCGAATCGCCTGGTTTTATGCCGGAAGCTCCTTAGCCAATGCGTTTGGTGGTCTCATCGGGGCAGGTGTTCTAGGTAATCTTGATGGTGCGCAAGGCATCTCTGGATGGAGATGGCTTTTTATCATCGAGGGAAGCATCACTGTGGGGATATCCCTTCTTGCAGCGTAAGTTTCATACAAAGCCAGCTCTCCCAGCCCCAGTAACCTGAAGGTCTGCAGAATCTTCCTGCCAAATTACCCTGCTTCGACCTCATGGTTAGATGAACAGGAACAGGCATACGCACAATGGCGTCTGCTGCATGACGCAGGAGAGGCTGACGAGGTTGGCTCAGCCAGTATCAAAGAGGCACTGGCCCTGGTCTTTGCAGACAAGCGCATTTACCTTTTCATCTTACTTCAACATGTTTCCCTCCTGTCTCAAAATTTCCAATATTTCTTCCCGACGATTGTGCAGACCCTTGGATATGGCAATGTGGAGACTCTTCTCATCACCGCGCCAGTGTGGATTGCTACCTTCTTTATCTCACTGCTGGTCACATGGACGTCGGGCAAGACCAACGATCGCAGTATACATATCATTTGTTTGATGATGGTCAGCGTGGTAGGATGTGTTATCTGTACTGCTACAACCAACATCGGTGCCAAATTTTTTGCCATGTTTCTGTAAGTTATCCCTTTCTAGTTCCTCAGTATTTTGTTTTTGGCTCTAATTCTGATCAGGATGCCCATGGGAGCCGTATCGGCCTACCAAATTATCATTGCTTGGGTAGCTAATTCCTTCCCTCGGCCTTTGGTCAAACGTTCTGCTGCGATTGCCGTGGCAAACATGATCGGCAACACTGCTTCAATCTATGGTAGTTACATGTGGCCATCGTCTTCAGGGCCCCGATATATCCCCGGAGGCAGTGCGACGGCTACTATAGCTTTCCTAGTCGCTGTGATTTCATTCGTCATTCGTCTCGTTCATGTTCATATGAACAAGCAGCTGGATGAGATTGAGCCTTCTGACGATGCGCAACCTTCGGATCCAAGTGACCTGGAAACCCGTGTAATTGGGTTCCGCTATATCCTTTAGTAGCAATTAGTACCATACTGAGGTTTAGAAGGAATAGTGAGGTATATAGAATGAGTTGAGTCCAAATATATTGGCTGTACTGGACTTGATACATTGTTCAAATTGGAGCGGGGTTCCTCAGTCGCCATCACAACCCAATCAAAGTCATCTTCAATTTCATTTCTTTCCTTCGGTTTCGACTATTTATTCGGAGTCTTTTTCTTTCTTCTTTCTCCTTTTTCCTTAGATCTCGCTTCTTTCCTCACATTCACTCCAACTGAATCTCAACCGCGACGATCAAAGTCTGAGAACCTTGAACCACAGTCCAGGTCACGCCATAGCATTGTTTGTGCATTCAAAATGGTAGGATCTTAAATCAAAGCCTATTACCCTTACTAATTTGAGTAGTCCAGCACACATTTTACTTCCATTCCTATTCTAGATTTTTCGCAAGCATTATCCTCATCCAAACCAATTTTTCTAGCAAACCTGCGCGAGGCTCTTGTGAACGTAGGCTTTTTCTATCTTCGAAATGCACCTGTGCCGACCGAAATACAAGAGAAATTTACCGCGAAGGCCATAGAGCTCTTCCAGTTGCCATTGGAAAAGAAAATTGAGATTGAAATGGTAAATAGTCCACATTTTTTGGGCTATTCAAGACTTGGTGCAGAGATCACAGCCTTAAAACCTGATCATCGTGAACAATTTGACGTAGGTTCTCTTTCCAAAGTATCTCGTGAATACCACTGATCACTTGATAAGTTTGCAACCGAGCTTCCAGCACCTGGCCCAGATGAGCCTTTGTATAGAAACGTTGTTGGTCCTAACCAGGTAAGATTATGTTCTTGTTGCATACGAATCTTTGATCCTACAGACTAATTGAATTTTCCATCAGTGGCCTGACGAAGAAGCAATCCCAGGATTTCGTGAGGCATTGGAAACGTACTTGTCTGAAGTGAGCCATTTAGCAGGCTTATTCCCGGGCCTAATTGCAGAGGCATTGGGTCTCCCGCCAACTGCATTGGACGAGGTCTTCGATAGTCCCCAACAACACAAACTGAAGCTGATTAAATATCCCCCTCCACCTGCATCCAGTAATGATAGTTCTGGATTTCAAGGCGTTGGACCTCATAAAGATTCCGGATTCCTCACATTTCTTCTACAAGGGACACCTCATCATGGTCTCGAGGTCCAAAATAAGACAGGAACGTGGATCTCTGCCCCACCCCTCCCTGGGACGTTGGTGATCAACATTGGCCGTTCACTGGAAGCTTTGACTGGAGGGATCTGCACAGCAACGACCCATCGTGTAAGCTTACGCCCAGAGAACTTCCAAACCAGTGACGGCTCTCTGGGTCCAAGATTCTCCTTTCCAGTCTTTCAGGGAGTGAGCCTTGACATTTCTGCCGATAAAATATCTTTGAAGATACCAGATCATATTCGAGCCTTGGGTAAGGACGACAAGGTCAAATCGGATGCAGAGGCAACTTTCAACGACATGTTTCGCGGGTGCATCGGACAAGGGACTTTTGTTGCTCGGGTGACCAGTCACCAAGATGTCGGAGAACGATGGTACCCAGAGGTATTAGAGAAGGCATTGAAAGGCCAAAAGGATTTTCTTACTTGAACTTTGTTCTATGCAAATGTATACAAATGTGTTTATTGACGTGCATATCCCCACGCGATTCAGGCGACCAGCGTGGTATGCGGGAGTTGCAGTGCGGGGGAAAATGCAACAACAAATAATTACAGAGCCCATTTTACATATGTACTTTCACTTCGTACATCCCTCAAATCCAAGTACTTTGTTTATTTTTTACTTGTTTCTCTTCTAGACATATTCGACATGCGGTGGATCAAGTCTCTACTGTGGTTTTATGGCACAACTACGATCGCCCAGTCCACTGAGGGGATCTCCAATCTTGTAAAGCGACGACTACCAGAACACATCGATAACTTTCGGTTTATTCTTGATGCCAATCTCACTGGCGATTATGATTCCTATATCGTAACAAGTTCCCTTAATGGTACGATCTCGGTCAAGGGTAACTCCCTGAGCGCTTTATCTTCAGGGTAATATGATCGGTCCAATCTCTCTTTATATTCATTCAATAATGCTAATATCATTTTTCAGTTTACATCGGTACCTCACCGATGTCGTTCATGTCGATATCTACTGGTTTATTGGTAGTCGACTAAATGTCGCGCCATCCAAACTACCTAATTTAACTGAGCCGATTCGTGGATTCAGCACGGTTCCTTGGAGATATCATTTCAATACAGGTACGCTATGTCTTCATTGGTCAGATGGGTCACAATAACTGACAGTTCTGAGTAACTTTCTCATACACCACTGCCTTTTGGACATGGGAAGATTGGGAGTCGCAACTTGACTGGATGGCTCTACGTGGTGTCAACCTACCCCTTGCCTGGGTTGGCCAAGAAAAGATTATCGTCGAAGTTTTCCGCGAAATTGGCGTCACCGATGCAGAGCTTGCCACTTTCCTCAGTGGTCCAGCGTTTCAAGCCTGGAATCGATTCGGCAATATCCAAGGCTCCTGGCATGGCGATCTTCCGGAGTCATGGATTGATGAACAATTTGAACTACAGAAGAAGATTATTCATCGCATGGTAGAACTCGGGATGACCCCAGTATTACCGGCCTTTACTGGGTTTGTTCCTTCCAATATCACCCGCGTTCTACCAAATGCAAATGTGGTTCGGGGGTCTCAATGGGGTGGCTTTCCCATTCAATATACCAACGACACATTCCTCGAACCATTCGATGATCACTTTGCAGAGCTCCAAAAAAGGTTTATTGTCAAGCAACAAGCAGCTTACGGCAATATCAGCCATGTCTACACCCTCGATCAGTACAATGAGAACGACCCTTACTCTGGTGACCTGGATTACTTGCGGAACGTCACGCAAAACACATGGCGCAGCTTAAAGCAGGTCGATCCCTATGCCATATGGATGATGCAAGGCTGGCTCTTCTACGCGAACTCAAATTTCTGGACCAATGAACGAGTAGAAGCATACCTTTCTGGTGTGGAGTCGAATGACGATATGTTGATCTTGGATCTCTTCTCGGAATCCATTCCACAGTGGAGACGAACAAACTCCTATTATGGAAAGCCCTGGATTTGGTGCCAGCTACACAACTTCGGGGGCAGTATGGGATTATACGGACAGATCCAAAATTTGACACAAAATGCGACCCAGGCTCGGATCGAGTCTCCGTCGATGGTCGGATACGGTCTCAGTATGGAGGGTCAAGAGGGAAATGAGATCGTCTATGACTTGCTTCTTGACCAAGCATGGTCTCAATCTCCATTGGATACGCAGCACTACTTTCATAAATGGGTGACGAGCCGGTATGCTGGCCAAAACAAGATCCCAGATGGGCTTTACGGGGCCTGGGAATTGATGCGACAGACCGTTTACAACAACACAAACCTTACGACTTTGGCCGTCGCAAAGTCCATTGTTGATATTGAGCCGAAACTTTGGGATTTAGCTGATGTGGTTGGTACACATGGAACAACCGTCAACTATGCACCCTCACTCCTGGTACATGCATGGCAGCTAATGTATCGGGCGACAAAGGAAGAACCAGGATTATGGTCCAATCCAGCTTATCAGCATGACATGGTGGATGTAACTCGTCAAGTCCTGGACAACGCATTTATCCCGATATACTCAGATCTAGTGGAATCCTACAACAAATCTCGCTCCACGCCAGCCAACTTTGCACAAAAGGGAAAAGTCCTCATTCAACTTCTAACAGATCTCGACTCAGTCCTTCTTACCAATCGAAATTTTCGCCTTTCAACGTGGATTGATTCAGCACGGTCTTGGGCGCACGGGAACAAAACTGATGAAGCATATTTCGAATACAACGCGCGCAATCAAATCACTCTATGGGGACCAAATGGAGAAATTTCCGACTATGCCTCCAAACAATGGGGCGGGCTTGTATTTTCATACTATATACCACGCTGGAGTATCTTTATTGAGTACTTGAAGTCCACGCCAAGTACATCATTCAATGTCACTGAACTACACGCAAAGCTACGGATGTTCGAGTCCCAGTGGCAGGATGAGACTTGGTCTGCTCCTGAGCCTACTGGAAATCAGGATAATTTGAAAATTGTTCTGGACCAGGTCGTGCATGATTGGCCATCTGTGTTTGGTCTGAGGTGATGTTCAACTTTGTGGTTTTCTGTTCCATGGTTTCTAAGCAATGGACCCTTATCTTGGATTGTTTGATAGATCCCTGGGCAAAGTTCAATTTACACTATATATGTAGCTAAAGCCATTCCATGAATATTACTGACGATATATACCTAGGTATTTTAGGATGTCTAGATCTCTTATTTATTGAAGTTTTCCCATAAACGAGGTTAAAACTAACATTCTAGATATGTTTCTTGGTATTAGGCACTGGAATCATATACACTATCCATGGAGAAACGAAGGCGCACTTAGAGCAGTATCATTCAAACGCTTCCAAGGTTGCACCTGCAGAATATATAATAACTTGTTTACTGGAGAATTGTCTTCTGGGCAATTGGAACCCCCGCAATCCACAATAGTTTCAGCTTATCGCGTGCAAAACTGATTATAAATGCACATCCGCCTATCTCCGACACGATACAGGGTCCCGAGGTCAACATTCCCAACATTTTGTCTCGTGCATTTGGGCAATGCTAGAGAGTATTATTCGAATTCGCCATGGCACAACGGCCAGCATCGTTGTCTGAAGAGACACCTCTCATTACTGCAAATCCCCAATATTCACAAGATGAAGAAACGCAAAAGGGTGTGAGCTTCTCAAGGGGATTGCTGGTTCTTATATTTATGGGCCTACTCATTTTTATTCAAGGTTAGCTTTAAATGGGAGCTCTAGACAATTTCAATGGACTCATATAAGGCAATTGACAGCTACCAACATGTCAATGATGACCACGGCACAATCCGATATTGCAGCTGAGTTCGATGCATTTGCAGAGGCATCCTGGTTTACCTCTGCGTACTTGGTATATCCATCCAAAATGCTGTTATTGCCTCATCCTGAAGTCTAATGTATTGTCAAGATTGCTATGTCTAGTATCACACCATTGGCGGGAAGATTCTCGCAGATATTCACCCCACGCATCTACGTGATCTTCTCAACGACCGTGCTTTCAATTGGTCTATTCATTAGTGCTGCTGCACCAAATCTCCGAACCTTCCTCGTTGGACGAGCAATCACAGGTTGCGGCAGTGGAGGGTTGATGAGCACATCCATAATCTTGGTTCTCGAAATGGCAAGCAAGAAACGACGAGGGCTATGCATAGGGCTGATCAATTGCGGATATACCACCGGTGTCGCATCAGGCGCAGTACTAGCTGGATTGATAACTCCCACATTAGGCTGGCGTGTGATATTTTGGATGCAGGCTCCGGTCGCTTTGCTTCTTGGGCCACTTTTGTTTTTGACAATTCCCAAGCCATCTGGGGATACCGCACGGCCATTTGAAATGCAACAGCTGCTGCACAGTCTTGCACGCGTGGACTACGCTGGAGCAATCACACTGGTATGAAGATGTCTTTCCCGCATCGTCTCAATGCTGACAGCTGGCTCTAGACAATATCCGTGGTTCTCTTTCTCACAAGTCTGGCGTCTGCGGAGATCATCCTTTGGCCCATATTGGTGTCTTTGGTGTTCTTAATTACGTTCTTAGTGGTTGAATTTCAATGGACCACTGAACCCATCATCCCAGTCAAAGTCCTAAAAGCTCGCAGTGTCCTGATGACATGTCTGGCAGGCCTCGGTCTGATGATGGCTCGGTGGTCTGTTCTATTTTTCACTCCAGTGTATGCCATGGCCGTGCGAGGATGGTCGCCGGCATCAGCCGGACTGATCCTAGTTCCGACGAACGTTGGCTTTGGCTTGGGAGGGCTGCTCGTGGGATGGTTGCATATTCGGCAAACCGGCAGTTACTATTGGTAAGACTTGTCACCATGGTCGCTTAGAACATCTGATCTAATAGCGGTGGTATAGTTCCTGTCTCATCATCTTCGTTTGTTTCGCACTCGCAACATTAGGACTTTCCTTCATGTCAACAACAGATTCGCCGGTGGTCATCTACATCGGCACCACGTTCCTGAACGGGCTTTTCTCCGGTGCGCTGATGAATTATACACTCTCCCATCTGCTGCATCTCACCAACCCAGACGTGCACTACATTATCACAGCCCTGGTAGCAATGTCTCGAGGCTTTGCAGGAAGCTTTGGGTCCGCTGTGGGAGGAGGGTTCTTCGCCCGAGTGCTCAAAAGTTCTCTCGAAACAGGCTTCACCTCCCACAACCTGCCACAACAACCTGAACTTGTGCGTAAGTTGCTCGGCAGTCCAACTCTCGTAACTCATCTAGTTGGTGCAGAGCGGCTTGTAGCTATCGAGAGCTATACGCATGCTGTGAGGATGCTGTTCTTGGCAGGAAGTATTGTGGCATTGGGCGCAACTGTTGTTCAGGCCGGGGTTGGATGGACTTCGGATGTTGATAAGAGGCATATGGACTGGGACATCGAGGATTGAATCGGAGGTTTTTTGTAAACAGTCATAGCTATGAGAACAATAAATAATGAGGCCGATAGGAAAATGTAAATGATTGAAGTCGAAGGATAGATAGTCGGATGGCGGAGCGCGTTCCAGGCCGCCCGGATGTCTTGGCGTAAGTTCAAGCGTCCCCATCCAGCTCTAACATTTTTCCCCCCATCACTCTCTCTTTATCTACCTCCAAGCAACATAACATCCTGTTATAAGATGCCCCGTGCCGTTCGAGGTTGGAATCCTTTGATATTCACCTGATCTCGGTTGCTAACCCTGTTTTCTCCACAGGTCTCCTGATTGAATGCGATCCTTCGATCAAATCCATGATCCTCAAGTACGACGAAGAGCGCCATGACTACATAGTGGAGGATTTAGATGATGAGAATCACCTTGTCATCAAAGAGAGCCAGCTGCAGAATCTGAAGGTTCGCCTAGACCAGGTATGTTTTTTTTATGTACCGTCCAAGTCCAACGACTTGCTCATAAATCTGGCAGGACCTTGATGAGAAGATCATGCAGCTGGATGAATCCGAATCCGAATAGGCTGGGAATACGCCCTTCGATTGATCGAGACCCCACACAAGCTCTGCCCACAAATTGAAGCCAGCAATAATTAGATATGACCCATTCAGCAAGTCAACACCAAACCCACGCAGCACCGCCATGAAAATCAGAATTGGGACCTATCTACCGGACTTATATTTTAAGCTGGCTACCAAGCTGGATATCAAACCTTGTGTGGTAATCAGACCAATGCCTGTCATCCTCTAGCCACTGATCCCGGGGCCATGTGCGACTGTCTTTACCAATTTTGCCGATTGACCGACTGGCCAGAGCTTGGTCGCTTCAGAAAGAGAACACTTATATGATTGGAAGGTCAGGATTTGGGTGGCAAACGAAGCAGTGCTGTGTGGGATTGATGGTAGCTGTGAAACAAGTCATGTTGCACTTCACTCCAGCTGTATTCCCTTACTATTGGCCCTGAGCAGGTTCTAAGGTTAACGAAAATAAATGACCTCAAACTTGGAAATGTCTAGAACATACCAAAAATGCACAGCATCTTCTATTGAGTCAAGTTTCTGTTCTTTTGCTACAATATTGTATATTGTCGTCATGTCACGTGATCGATGCTAGAAGCATCTAGGCAATTGGAGAAGCTACGACCAGTTGCTGGAAGTGACAAGCGACTTCCTTCTTTGTTGGTGGCATGGTAGATGGTAGCACCGTCCGGATGTTTGTATCCTTCTAATGGAAGGAGCACTGGGTATATAAGGTCCCTCAACTCCAGCTCAACTTTCTTTCTCCATCAACAACTCAACAACTCAACTTCTACAAAGCTCTTCAAAGCTCTACAAACATCAACTTTTCAATCACTTCAATTTCGAACAACTACCACCATGTCTCTCTTCCGTACTAGTTTCCCTGGCTCTGGCGACTTCGCCCCTCTCTTCCGTCTACTTGATGACTACGACGTCCACCGTTCCGCTCGCAACCAGCCTGCGTCTCAGTCCTTCTCTCCTCGCTTTGATGTCCACGAGACTGATGAAGCCTATCACCTGGATGGCGAGCTCCCTGGCGTTGACCAGAAGGACATCAACATCGAGTTCTCCGACCACCAGACTCTTGTTGTGAAGGGTCGCACCGAGCACGAGCACCGTACTTCTGACGCTCAGGGATCCACCGAGGATTCTGAGCAGATCGATTCCAAGACCGATTCCAAGACCGACTCCAAGCCCACTCGTCGCTTCTGGGCCACTGAGCGCTCTGTCGGCGAATTCCAGCGCACCTTCACTTTCCCGACTCGTGTTGACCAGGACAATGTCAAGGCCAGCCTGAAGAACGGCATCCTGTCTGTCACTGTTCCCAAGACTACTGCCGCTGCCACCAAGAAGATCACCATTGAGTAAATGGTGTCTCGGTTTTACATCCACGGCTTTATGCCCACGTCTGCACACGAATTACGAAATTTGAAATTTGAAATTTGATCGTTTTGCAATGGAACTTGGGCATATGGCACATCTGTTTTGAAATTTTTCATCTGTTTTGAAGCTCCTCTATCTTTTAATTTTACCTTAATCAATCCAAGTTCCTCTTTCATGATCACAAATCCTTTAAATGTTCTTAGTCCGTACTATATAGCTGTCTTGTGGAGCCTCGGCACGTGAAAATGTGGAAATGCTCATTCTGTAAATGTATGCAAGTAGTATCTCATAAGGAATAGAATCCTGATGTATAGAATAACGTAACCCAGTTACTATTTGATCGGAGAATACATGGATATCTAAATTGGGAGAATAGCATTCAAAGTACATACATATGTACTTGGGTGACATCAGTGGTTTATTGAGTGCCGAGGTCCATTTTGACAACAGCCGCGACCCTTTTATACTCCTCTCTGCGCACTTGAACATTCACACATCCCTCAATATGGCTGACGACTACTCTTTTGAATATTTCACTGTGCGACTTCCCTCCGACCATAAATATGTGGCTCATGTGGAGATTAATCGCCCGGAAAGGTTGAATGCCTTTATCGAAGTGTAAGTACGCAGGACTTGGTTTTGAACTCCGCTGATAATCTTTAGGATGTGGTTAAATATGGCCAAGATCTTCAATAAGCTCTCCATAGATCCTAATGTCCGTGCGATCGTCCTCAGTGGCGCCGGAGACAAGGCGTTCACCGCCGGGCTAGACGTGAAGGCGGCTTCTGAGGGCCTGTTGTCATCAGAGACAAGCACGGACCCAGCCCGAAAGGCGGCCGCTCTCCGTCGTCACATTTCCGAATTCCAGGATTGCATCAGCGCAGTTGAGCGCTGCGAGAAACCCATCGTGGTCGCTCTCCATGGATTTTCTCTGGGACTCGCCATCGACCTGGCAACAGCAACGGATGTGCGTATCTGCTCTCGCGACTCCCGATTCGCCGTCAAGGAGGTGGATATCGGACTTGCAGCAGACATTGGCACCCTGAGCCGACTTCCCAAGGTAGTCGGGAATTTCGGGTGGGTAAAGGAAGTGGCATTGACAGCGCGCGAGTTCGGAGCAGAGGAAGCGCTGCGTGTTGGATTCGTGAATGCAGTCTATGACAATCGTGCGGCTACAGTTGCAGCTGCCCTCAAGCTTGCTACTTTGATGGCCAGCAAAAGTCCCGTGGCTGTACAGGGAACCAAGGAGATCCTCAACTACTCGCGCGACCATTCTGTACAGGATGGACTACGATATACAAGCGTGTGGAATAGCGCGGCTTTGCAAACGCAGGATGTATCAGCTGCTCTACTCTCGGGGCTACAGAAGCGTGCTCCAACATTTGAGAAGCTATAGAGCTTCGGTCACTGTCCGGAATTTTACTGTTCCTCTTATATCCCACTGTATAGTTATATGGTTAAAACAATCTAGCTGAATATTCAACGCCATCAGTTACATGATTTCCCGTGTCTTTGCCAAGGATTTAATTTGAAGCACAAGGGGGGTCCCATATCCACATCTACATGAAGTATTCGGAGAATCTTCATGAAATGCGAACGACTTTTAACATATTTTGTCAAGTCCGTGGCCAAGATGGACTGCCGATGTTTATTTTCGCTAAAATTCAACTTCCATGAATCAAAATCACCGACGATCACCGCTTCTCCGCACTTTGAAGGCGCCTTCGTTCGTCTTTGTCAGGGCACCTGCATATCCGCTCCCCCGAACACCATGAAACTCGGAGAGCTTCACAATTCGGACATGTATACTCCGCTGATACTGTCACTTTTTCCACGTATCTTAGATATCTCTTGGTGTGGTTTTGAACTATAAAATCGAAAATATGTCATTCACAAAGAGCTATCCACTTCCATCTACAACCGAACATTCCTCTCATCATGAAATTTGCAGCTCTTCTTTCGACTCTGGTTCCCAGCACGCTGGGTGCAACTATCTACCTAGCAGGTGATTCGACTATGGCAAAAGGTGGTGGCGGTTCCAGCACAGCAGGTATGTTTTATCCTTCTTTCGATCAGATCATACTAACGCATCCAGGCTGGGGCGAATACGTCACGCCATATACCTCCCTCACAGTATCGAACCAAGCCATCGCAGGTCGCAGCGCACGCTCATACAACCGTGAGGGGCGTTTCAACGCGATTGCGGACGTAGTCCAGTCCGGAGATTGGGTGATTATCGAGTTTGGGCACAACGACGGAGGCTCACTCACACCAACGGACAATGGACGCACCGATTGCTCTGGAACAGGAAACGAGACATGCAGCACTACCTACAATGGGGTTGCGGAGACGGTGCTCACCTTCGGTGCCTATATCGAGGCCGCAACGAAGAAGTACCTGGCTAAGGGAGCCAATGTCATTATCAGCTCACAAACACCCAACAACCCATGGGAGACAGGAAGCTATGTCTACTGTACGTTATCCGGAATACTCGCTCTGGTGGTAACTAATCATATTCTTCATGGCAGCTCCATCCCGCTTCGTAGGATACGCCCAGACAGCCGCTGCTAACGCCGGGGTTCCGTACATCGACCACGGTGCTTATGTCGCCAATATATACAAGACCCTGGGTCTGACTACTGTTGATGCGTACTTCCCGCTAGACCACACACATACCAGTCCTGCTGGAGCGTCTGTTGTGGCGCAGGCCTTCTTCAAGGCGGTTGTATGTGGAAATGTTGCGCTTAAGAACTCCCTGAGTACTACCTCTTTCCCTGGTTCTTGTCTTTGAATCAACGGCAAAGGATGTACATACATGTGTAGATTTCAATGTATAGTTCTTTTCTATATGGACTTCTGTTGAATGTCTTGCGGTCGAAGTATTGTACAAGTCACTTCTCACATATCCTCCCTGGACCCTCAATATATATACATCCATGGATAGTTCCTAGGATAGCTCTAAGCATTCTGTATCACTCTAGAATCCGACATTTGATTCTTGTCGAGTCCTGACCAGCAGGCGGTCCTAGGACAAGTCTTCTCCTCATTACACAAACCAAGTTCGAGAGTCTATAAATGTACAGCAAGTTAAAAAATTTAGGCAGGAATGATCTGATCCAAAAGTGCAGTGGCTGTATTCTCAATCCCTCAAATATATGCATTGGCCAAAAGACGTACAATAAAAGTAAAATTTGCTTGGTATCAGTAGCCATTCAAATGTTTCCATGAACACAAGATCCTAAGCCTTGCTTCACTTTTCCAAAATAGATCGAATGATTCCTCGATTTTCAACTCGGTGGTAATATTGATTGACACTCGGGTATTGAGGATCCAATGCACCTTGTGTGTGGAGGATTTCCCGCAGAATCGGCCAAAGAGAACAGTCATCAATGGTGAACGCATTACCTCCTAGGTAATTTTGCCCTTGGAGGGTACGCTCCCAATCATCGAACCCAAACTCAAACGAGCTAGCATGGTTAGAGCATCGGTGTTCTCGCCAGTGCATCAGGAACTTGTCAATTGCTGGCAAGTAGTTGCCACCACGCAACGCCTCGACACCCGGCCGAGTGGACTCTACGGATCGCTGAGCCAGATGTGAAAGGATAGCAGAGTCGCCCGCGACTGTGATTCCATTAATGTCTTCGTATAGTGGCTTTGATTGTTCAAATTGATCCAGCTCATTGTTAGCAACCACTTCGTACCGAACACCATTTTCTCCTAGACCGATGCACACGCGCAGATCAGCTACGGGGTCTCCACTGAGGATCAGCCGTGCTGTCGATGCAGTCACAAAGTTAACCACATCAAAGCCTCCGCCGTATACGGCATCCCAGTCGAATTCAGTGGCACGGTTTTCCTGGCCAAATGCACCAATAAGTCGTTCGGTTTCAGTAGGGTCCCCATGGACCACTGCGCGGGCCTGATCTAATGTCTTACTGACGGCACCTTGGCCCCAGATGATGTTAGCCACTGGGTCAATGAACGTGCCAATATGCCGGAAAGTAAGAGAGATGCGCTGGCCGCCGAAAGCTTGCTCTTCGGCAGATTTGGTCGTATCAGGACGTTTGTCAGCCCGGATGCCATGAAGCCATCGCATATTTGTTTGCGGGCCCAGGACAAAAAGCGACTTGTGTGGAAGAGGCACGCGCTGCGATATCCGACTTGGTTCCGTTCCTTCTCCAGACTGAGACGCCGAGATCTTAGTGCGAAGGACCATAACACGCTCGGCACCTAGGCTGACATTGCAAATGAAAGATCCTCGTACAATATCCAATGTTTTGTCTGAGTGCTCCGAGATGCGATCTTGGCCGTCACGGTAAAGTTGAATAAGTACATGGTTCAACGGGTGACCCAGTATCTGCTCAACAGCAACGCGCACTTCATCCACAGCAGGTGTAAATGGTTTAAACGGCGGCGACTCATCTGCTGGGTGGCGGTAGATCGGTATAGCGCCATCAGATTGAGTTTGGCCTTGGACTGCAACCAATCGTGGAACCTGGCCGGATAGATGGTACATCTTTTGCCAGTCTACCTCTGCCTTGATACGCTCGAAAGACTCCTCTGAGAGATTGACATCACGCACGACGCGAGAGTCGCCCTCTCCAATGGTTGCTTGAGGGACAGGAGCAGAAGCAGAAGCAGGAGCAGCAGTAGAAGTAGGGATCTTCGCAGACTGGTGTACAGGTTCTCGGTCGGTCTCAGCACGAGGCCGAACTGTAGAGGGTTGCGCGGGGTCTCGGCGTTTGGGACGGCGGACGCGTGCGCGCACCGGCTTCTTCTCTTCCACTGGACCTCGCGCCTCAGCGCGCTTCGCGCGAGTTATAGAAGCAAACCCTGATACACTGGATTCATCCGGATCCTGCTGCTCTTCGGTTGGAGATGTGTCTCCTGTGTTCCATACTTCCAGTCCATCCATTATTGTCTCGAGACCAGCCGTAGCTGCTGACCTCTTTGGCTGTGGCTGTGGTGCACCCTGGCGAGCAATTGCCTCAGTCTCATCCCAGTCCAACTCTTGAATGAGTTCCCGGGCGGTGATACCAGTTGCGCCAAGAATATCCGCCATGCGTCGCATTGCTTCCTGGTGGCGCTGAAAATCCCGGAATCCCAAGCAGTCTTCCACTAAAGTTACCGAGAACCCATTGCGGACGGCATCTAAAGCGGTCGCAAACACGGACACATTGGATAGGGATCCACAGAGGTATAGCTCGGTGACGAAACGCGTTCGAAAAGATAGTACAAGACCTGGTGACTCCAAAGCAGAGTAGCCCGTCTTGTCCATCACGGTGTCATGCTGGGCATTGATGGCGGCAAGGATAGGTGCAGGGAATTGATATCCCGTTGTTTGTGGGACACAACAATGCGACGGATCTGCAGAGAGAAAAGCTTCCGGATCGATAGGCTCAGGTGTATCACGATCCGAACCGACTTCAATGATATCCGAATGGGAAATCTTCTTTCTGCGCGGCGGTTCTCGCTCCAGTACAATGCGGTCGCCGAAGTCCCAATCTATGATAGATTGGGGGGAATCATACTGAGATCGGACCCAGACTACGTCTCCGACCTGACGAAAAGCGGATGCTAATTGTGGGAGGGTCTCGAGGATATCGGCTGTATTGGGGATATGTAAAGCACCCGAGGGACGAACGAAATCATTTTGAAAGTCTAGCAATAGCAATGCTTTACGGGTTTGAATAGTGGGTAAATCCCCGAATGAGAAGATACTCATCCTTGGATGCGAAAAGAGTTGAGGAGGTTATGTTGACAGTGGGGGGGGGGGGGGGGGGGGGGGGGCGGAGTGTGGCAATACTATTTTTTGTCCGGGGCTTTCTTAGGCCTGGCTATGTGCGGAGTACATTGTACCTATATTGTAGCTAGCTATATTGTGTCTATGGAATCTAGATTCTTTTATTGATTTGTTACTCTCCTATGAGTACATAGAAAATGTAGACTTAAAGATACATATGTGTATTTAAGCATTGAAATCACAAAAACCATTGGTTTAGGGCTACCTACATATGTAGATACACAGCACAAGGATCTAAATAATAATGTATTATACGAACATTATAAAAAATTACACAATTGAGGTTATTTAACAAAATAGATACACAAGGATGTAGATCTATTGTTCACTGTACATAGTCCAGGACTTCTTCAATAGTATGTAACTCCGTACTCCGTACAAATATCGGCATCCGGAGTTGTCCCTTACCTCCCCGAGACCGGATAAGTGACATTGCTCCCCGGTAGCCCGGACAATATCTTTCTCCGCTATGACTCGCCGATTGCGGATTTGCCATTTATAAAGCTTTCCCCAGAACTCTTCTTTTCTCTTTTTCACTTCAACTCTCCACTCATCTCCTCCCATACTTCACAATGGCTTCCCGTGGTCTTCCCCGTGCCCTCCGCCTCGCCCGCGTGGCCGCTCCTCGCTCGGTCCTCGCTTCGGCCCTTCCTCGCCCTGCCGTTGCTGCCGCCGCTGCTCTCCCCCGTGTCTCCTCGGTCGTTACCCCCGTCCGTGGTATCAAGACCATCGACTTCGCCGGTGTCAAGGAGGATGTCTACGAGCGTGCCGATTGGCCCCGTGAGAAGCTCCAGGAGTTCTTCAAGAACGATACTCTTGCCCTCATCGGTTACGGTTCCCAGGGTCACGGTCAGGGTCTCAACCTCCGTGACCAGGGCCTTAACGTCATTGTTGGTGTCCGCAAGGATGGTGCTTCCTGGAAGGAGGCCATCCAGGACGGCTGGGTCCCCGGCAAGAACCTGTTCGATGTCACCACCGCCATCGAGAAGGGTACCATCGTCATGAACCTCCTCTCTGATGCCGCTCAGTCCGAGACCTGGCCCACTATCAAGCCCCTCCTCACCAAGGGCAAGACCCTCTACTTCTCCCACGGTTTCTCCCCCGTCTTCAAGGACCTCACCAAGGTCGATGTCCCTAAGGACATTGATGTCATCCTCGTTGCCCCCAAGGGTTCCGGCCGTACCGTTCGCACTCTCTTCCGTGAGGGACGTGGTATCAACTCCTCCATTGCCGTCTTCCAGGACGTCACCGGTCAGGCCAAGGAGCGCGCCATCGCCATGGGTGTTGCCGTCGGCTCCGGTTACCTCTACGAGACCACCTTTGAAAAGGAGGTCTACTCTGACCTCTACGGTGAGCGTGGCTGCCTCATGGGTGGTATCCACGGTATGTTCCTCGCTCAGTACGAGGTCCTCCGTGAGCGTGGCCACTCCCCCTCCGAGGCCTTTAACGAGACCGTCGAGGAGGCCACCCAGTCCCTCTACCCCCTCATCGGTGGTAACGGTATGGACTGGATGTACGCTGCCTGCTCCACCACTGCCCGCCGTGGTGCCATTGACTGGTCCAGCCGCTTCAAGGACACCCTGAAGCCCGTCTTTAACGACCTTTACGACTCCGTCCACAACGGCACTGAGACCCAGCGCTCCCTCGACTACAACTCCCAGCCTGACTACCGCGAGAAGTACGAGAAGGAGATGCAGGAGATCCGGGACCTCGAGATCTGGCGCGCCGGAAAGGCCGTTCGCTCTCTGCGCCCCGAGAACCAGAAATAAATAATACCTTTATACCCGTGTGTGGGTTTTGAAAAATGATGATGTACTATGAACTGTTCTTTTTTGGGTTTCAGGTCGGAAATATTATTTGAGGCTTACATGCCATTCCCCAAATTGCCTTCTCCAATTTTTCAATTACTAGCTTGTAGTTTTGTGGCTTTTGAATCCCTGTATTTCCTGCAGGTAGCCGAGTCACCGTGCGCCTGACAAAAGTCCGGGGTATGTAAGAGTCATCGAACTCAACCCGTAACCATTTCACATTTTATCATCATCAGACCAAAATGACCTCGGCCGCTGTCGCAGCTCAATCACTCACCCCGGCCGCTGTTCAAGCTGCATTTGATCTTATCCAACCTCATGTGCACCGCACCCCGCTGCTGACCTGCAAAACGATCAATACCATCGCCTCAGCACCGCAATCCCCCGAGGCATTGGTCGGAACATCATTTGAAGGCCAGACACCTGCAAAGCCACGATTTAGATTCTTTTTTAAGTGCGAGAACTTCCAGCGAATCGGTGCCTTCAAAGCTCGAGGTGCTTTCCATGCCTTGCTACGACTGCTGGAGGAACGTGGGGAAGAAGTGAAACGGCGCGGGGTGATTACACACAGCTCAGGTATATCATCTCATATCACATTCGACATCTACATACTGACCAAATCTTCCTAGGAAACCATGCACAAGCCCTCGCACTCGCTGCCTCAACACTAGGCATCCCCGCTTACATCGTGATGCCCCGCATCAGCACACCATCCAAGATCGCAGGCACACAGTCTCATGGCGCGGAGGTGATCTTCAGCGGCTCAACAAGCGTAGAGCGCGAGGCCGTGGTAGCAGAGATCCAAGCAAAAACTGATGCCATCCTTGTGCCGCCTTATGATGACTTCAACATCATCTGCGGACAGGGTACAACGGCTCTAGAGCTAGAAGCTCAACACGCCGAACAAACTGGCTCCCGAGTCTTGGATGCAGTCATCACTCCCATTGGTGGAGGAGGTCTAAATTCCGGTGTGGCGACGTGGTTTTCCGATAAGCAGACGCGGGTATTTGGCGCAGAGCCCAGTTTCGAAGGCGCGGATGATTGTCGGCGCGGACTACAAGCCAAGAAGCGTGTTGAGGCGGTTGGAACTCTCACTATTGCAGATGGTCTTCGCACTCCTGTTGGACTGATCAATTGGGAGGTTATCTCCAATGATAAGAAGGTTGAGGGGGTGTTTGCTGTCACAGAAGAGCAGATCAAGGCGGCTATGCGGCTGGTTCTGGAGCGCATGAAGGTTGTAGTTGAACCTAGTGCTGTTGTTGGACTGGCTGTTTGTCTCTTTGATGAAGACTTCCGCCGCAGGGTTGAACAGGAGGGCGGAGAACGTGGTTGGGATGTTGGGGTTGTGTTCAGCGGCGGTAACACGACTGTTGAGGCAATTGCCAAGCTCTTTACGTAGAAATGGTGTACATGGAAATATTGTCGTGATTATAGACTGTACATAGATGGTTCAATCATCGGGACTGTTTATCTCAACACCTGATTCGCGCACGTAAAATGAGAAGCTTCCTCCATTACTCGCCTCGATAGCTTCCACTATACGGCGAGGCCATTCATCGCGTCCCCATGCATTCACCCACGCAGAGATCTTGCCTTGTTGAACCACACGCTGTCGTGAAGGAGCATCTTTAACCGCCACCTGAGGTGCCATACTAGGCGGAAAGGGACGAACAGTAGACCGATGGACAATCAAACGCAGTGTGGGCAAAGTACCCCAAGGCGCAGGAAGCGCCGGTCTCAGCGACGGCGTCCGAGTCTGAGATTGGTCATACAAGCCAGGGCCAGCAGCTCGGCCACCAGAAATAGTCGACGTGTAAACAATTGCACATTGAAACTGACTTTGCAGTCGCTTCAGCTCCTTGGCTAGCTCAGCATAAAGATCTGCCAAGTAGAAGCGCTGCTTTTGCTCGCGCTCATGATCGACGTCTTCTCGGAGGCGTCCAATCTCCTCTGTTCGGGCTACTTCATCGCGCAGCCGGTCTTGCCAAATAAATGCAGTGACACTGTCAATGGCGATCATTTGCAGGGGGCGTGAGGCAGAGCGGTGCCGCGAGAGATCGAAGAGATAGGATTCTAGAGAATGTAGTGTGGCTAGAAGAGCGGAGGAGGATTGAGGACGAAGGACATGGACATGTTGGAGGGAAGAGCCGAGCAATGACTCAGTGTTATAATCTGACAGCGGTGCTTTCTGTTCTTCGGCATTGGTATTCGATAGCCCTCGCTGTTGCATGATACCTCGAGCCACGACTCGCAGTCTTTCGGCATCGAATCGATCATCGGTGTCTATGAAAATCGCAGCAGCCTCATGGCCACCCACTGCGAATTCACCCCATTTTCGTGGTAGAATAGCAAGTGCAGTCAGGTAGTACAGCAGTTGCGACTTTCCCGAAGATGACAAGCTGCTCGAAACCTCCACTATCGGGGTCGCTCGTTTCTTCATACCATCAGTGTCTGAGAAAATCGGGCTAGCAGCTAGACCGATATTATCGTGCGTTATGTTTATTTCATTGGGCCTCTGAAGATCCTGGTCCAGCAATTCACTCTGCAGAAGCATCTCCTCATCTGCAGTATCTTGAGATTCTTCGAGCTGATCCTGGTCGGAAATTCTGCGGTCTTGATATTGCCCATCGTTCAAACCACTTGACACCGATGTCTTCGGTGCGAACACTTCAAGCAATGCATCCAGTGCAGGTACACCTATGGAATGCGCATCCTTGTTGACATAATCAGGATAGAATTTGATCAAATCAGAAAGAAGCTGATTAAAATTAGTTCAAAATCTATTGAGAAGAAGACGAGAGGGTACCTCATCCAGGCCTTCCTGGTGCACATCGTTCAGCGATCTCTCACCGAGATTGGCAGCCATAGTATGAAATGGCCTTCATGGATCTGGCATCATAAAATTATCGATCGCATATAGAAATGTTTGCGACAGCCCTAGAGAGGGTTGTTGGTGAATAACATGTAGGTGGTACCTCCGGGGTGCGGAAAGAATCGCGCGGCCGAGCTTCCGCAGAACTTCAATTTGACTGCCACAACTCCCAACACCACCTCTCCAAACCTTCAATCGTGATCTTTCGAATTGATCATAACAATGGCGCCTCTTGTCCCCGTATTCTCCACCGAATCCCTCCCCGAACGTGTCAATACCGTGCGCCGCAACTTCCAAGACAAACGTCGCAAAGGCCACCAAGTGGACCTGAAGGACTGTCAGCTACTTGAGATGACACAATATTCCTGCAACCCACCTCAAGAGGGAGTTCCAGAAGCTGGAAGGGTAGTGTGCAAGCCCATAGTGCGGTTGTTCCGACGGTGAGTCGAGTCGAGTCGAGTCGTTGAAGCATCTGCTGAGTGTCTATAGCTGCGCCGGAGGGTTAATGGTCGAAACGACAACCTGGGAATCACTCAGATTGGCAGAGGAAGCAAAACAGAAGCAGGGAAAAATTACACAGGCAACACAGTAAGGGAACTTTCTTTTGCAGCATTGGGCGGCGTTGGTATGATTACAATTATCAGGTTTCATGAATAATTTACCATTTGATTAATGCTTGTAACTGCCATGGGGTATCTCCTGAGGTCATCTCCTGAACGTAAACACAAGCGCCAGCCCCGAAAAAAAATAACGCCGATAGGCCCTATACCTTCGTAATTTACATGCCAGTCGTCAACTCCACTGGCTCAGCACTAGAAGCAGGCTTGGGAGTATTCTCTTCCGTTCGTCGCGCATTTGAAGCTGCTCGGCGCCACAAATCTCGTTCACAATTGACAATAGGTCCCAATTCCATGTTCCACGAGAGCTTGAGCCGGGCCTTGGTGTCCGCATCCGCCGTTCCCGAGTCAATCTCCATCGCCGAATTAATCAACCCGGCTGATGAGCCGTAGGAATCTTTGCCAAGCTTCTTAGCCAGTCCCTTCGTTGTCTTTTCGAACATGGTCTCCATGCTGTCCATCCTCCGACCCCAAAGTTTCCTATCGCGACCTGACGCGCTGGTTTGGTTATCGCGGAATGCGGCGCTAGCCAACTTGCGCAAAGCCTCTTCACCGTGTCTTCCATCTTCGGCCGCACGCTCACGAATTTTGCGCGGATCGCCATCTCGTTCAACGAAGACCGCCGTGGCGGAATAAGTGTGTTTGCTAGGAAAGCTGGGAAGATGTGTCGGTATGTAAGCGCGAGTTGCACGGTCGTCCTCACTGCTCAGCGCCGTGAGGAATGGTAAAGTCTTCGTAATCTCATTCTCTGGTGGAGGCGATGGTAGTAATGAAGGAACGGGTGCATTTGATGATGTAGGTTCGAGGAGAGGAAGAAGTTTGTGAGGCTGGATACGTGAACGCTTCAAAGCATGTTCGAAATCTTGCGGAATAGGTTGAGTACGGCGTGATGATAGCATAGATTGGCGGATGAATGTGGAGACTCGAAGCATGTCTAATGGAGCGGATCCGGTCAGTTCGAGCTTCAAATCGATGCGTTCTAAAACATACACTCCTCTGTAGCGCTGCAGATACTTGACAGCGCAGCTGGCTCAGCCACGTCAAAGCCCGTATCTTTCAATGTCTGACCCACGACCCGAGTCAACAATTGGCTGATATGGGCTTCATCTTGTACAGCTGGCTCGGCCGTGGACGGCAGCAGCACAGGCGCTTGCAAACAGTGGTGGTGATGGTAGTGACGTTTCAAACGCTTCGGCTCATTATGGTCTTGTGACGAGGCAGGTCGTTTGATTTGGTTGCCCGATGTCGCCATGGCCATGATATTGATCTGAGGGAAGAGTCGAGGAGCTCTCCATGTTGACCTCGATTTATCGGTCACGTGGGCGGTGAGTCCGAACTGCAATGAATCTATATTCAGTGAATAATGGCTTTGAAAGATAAATGACATCTTTAGATGTCAATGGGTATGTTCATTCTGGGAAAATATTTTGCCTTTCTCAGCGATATGGCTGATCTATTGATACCTTAGTGCTTCATAGCCATGCGTGGATGACTGTTGAACAGAGTCTGACCTAATACTTGACCTTATCCTTGGTAGAGAAGATAATTCACTAGCTCCTAAAAGACAAAATGATCGTATATTATATGAATATCCCTATTAGACATTGATCTACATGTACTTTATCGAAATTAACAATAATCAGTCAACATGTTGAAAGTGCAGGTGTCCACGAACATGCCACCAATAGATTGACCAATCCGGCGGTTCGCTTAGTCCGCTCCGAAAGCTTCAACTTCACCTCACAAACTAGACTTCCTTCCACCCCCCTCTCCTCTCCGCACCAACGTCCGAGGCAGGTTCTAGTCTGTCCGCAAATCACTTAGCTTTATTTCGAGCATCGATTGACGCTACGCATTCGTCACAATGCCCGCCGCTATTCCCCCCATCACCGGCGTACGTGCCCCTTCCGTTATACGCCGGATTGACCCGAACGGGTCGATCAGGTCAATTCGGTGGTTCGCAATGATTTACTAACATTATTTCTTCTCTATAGATGCTCCGCCGTGGTCTCGTTCTGGACCTGAGCACCGCTTTCGGTGAGTTATGATCCGGAGTCGAGTGGCATGATCGAACGCCAATCAGATATCGCGGTCTCTCGGGAGCGACCGAGTATAAGATAGACAACGCGAACATGACTGGAAGGAAATCTTCAAGGAAATCAGCTACTAATCAGCTCCTACAGGTTTCGGTACTACCTTCGGCTACCTTTGGTGGTACGGTAAGTAAAACGTCTCGGATAGCGCACGATCGGTGACTCGAAATCTGACCATTCTCCCTCCTACAGGCTACCACCTCCCCCGCGTGCGTGAGCGCGACACCTACTACGCCCGCCTCGAGGCTGAGCGTGCCTCCCAGCGGGGTTAAATCGGTCCTGACCGATGACCCTCGATCGTCTCCTTCTCGCCCGTTCGGCGCCAGCTCTTTTCTTTGTCAAAGCGTTCTCTAGAAATCGCCTATGGGGACACAGTTCTCGACGTGAACCATCGGGCTTGGTTGAATCGACGGGTCGTGTACGAATGGGTTAGACTTGAGATCGATTGTACATATAAGCCTGACAACCAACTGTTTTGATTTTTGGACTTCCATTTCCTCTCCCGGAATACGATCAATAACCCACATGATAGAGCAAGCGATATCTTCTACTCTCGCGTCATAACAGCCGATCACTCACTATGCGCTTGATTTGCTAAGCGAATTGTATCTATTTTGTTGAAACGCTAATTACGCCGGATATATGTACGTAGAAACACCAGCGCGCCTCATGAAATCGCCGAACCATGCCTCCGCCATGTGTAAGCCATAGATCATCATTCCATATCGGCGTGAGTGACGCACGTCGCCGTAGGGAAAGGGCGAGATATGGAGAAGGGAACCGATAAATCTTCAAATAAAAGACCTGTGATTCATCGTAGTACCCGATCAAAGTGTATTCCTCGGACGGACCCGCCGGCCATAGAGCTGCGCACGTTCTTCTTGAAGTTATCGCGGGTGGCGCGGAGATCTTCCGCAGCATCCTTATTAAGAGGGTCTGAGGCATTTGGCTCGAGGAAAAGGAACTGAATAGCAAACGAGTCAGTTTCATGGAAAAAGCAAGATTACCCATGCGACAAGCACGCTCCACCTACCTGCATGCCGACGATAACGGCGTTGAGGTTCAGAACCGGCTTCCAGTCCTCCCGGAGAATGTTCAAGCACACATTTCCTTCCAGATCAATATTAGGATGATAGATCTTCTGCGTGCATTTGACCTTCGGTGGATCGTGGGGGAAGTTCTGGTTCACGACGAAAGAGAAGTTGAACACACCACCCTTGTACATTCCCTCGTCTGGCTCGATAGACAAAGTGAAGTTGAGGATGTCATCGGGGTTGGGGAAGGTCATTTTCATCGTGCTCCCGAGGGTGAGTTCTTGCAAGTCTAGTATAGAAGATAACGTATTAGGCATGAGTTTCGCGGGTTTCAATAGCAACAGAAGTACTATCTACTGCGAGTGGCTTACCTCGTTGGACTCGGAGCTGCGCCGCAGTGACCTTCTTCTTCTTCTTGCCTGCAGCACCTTCTGCATTTTCAGCCTCCTGCTGCTTTTGTTTCTATAGAGATTTTAGTACCAATATCATAGCTGCCACATCCAAATATCCCTCACCATAGACCAGATTTTCAACATTTTGGCTTCGATCACCACCCCGCTTGGTGGCACGAGCGGTTTTTGTAAGGATTGAGGAAATTACTAGGAGCCAATATGATTGCCGTAAATATCAAGCGAGAGGATTAACGGAGAATCAAAGGCTGAGTCAAGTGGAGGGGGAAGTTAGGTGCTTGCGGGGGTCTCAGATCAGCAATCGCCCTTTATCGCCCGGTGGCTCCGCCTTGTGAGCCTAAAATTCGCCATGCATCGTATATGTACAACTCCATCTACGACTACCTTTTTAAATGTTAAAATAACAATAGCTTCGAATATAGTTGATAATTTGAGTAATCATAGCGCCCCGAATGCTATCCCAGTGCATGGCTATCCGAACAAAAAAAAAGATCAAGGTGAAAAGGTCAGGTTAACCCCAGATACATACTGGCTGGCATTGCAAAATGAAGAGAACAGGAATTGGGCATCTTTAGGTAGAATACATATCACGGTATGGGGAAAAGAAAGGAAACATTGACATTGAGACAAAGGGTCATGAAGCAGAAAGAAATTTTGGCTTGTTCGCGAAACTACCGGCGAGCGAAACAGCATTTGATACCAGTGCGACCCAAGAACCAACAGCAGCCGATGAAACGGAACAGGGCCACGGCGGCATTAGACCATAGAAGAGCCTGGAAGAAACGGGTTGTGCGGTTGGTGGCCGTATTCTAGAATTTTATTAGTCAAGGTCTTGTAAATACATGCACAGGTGGTAAAACTCACGGTGAAGCCGAACTTGTCGACAGACTCGCTGGTAATGCAGACAGCCAAGAAGGCGTTGCTGAAAATCCACAAAGTGACGAGACGGGTACGGAAACTCTTGTAAGAATCCTCCAGACTCTTCTCATCGTGTTCGACAGGGGCAACGAATGGAGTAAGGGCTCGCTTGACGGTTGCCTCGAACTGACTATCAATATCGGCCTGAGGCTTGTCGATTTCTTCTATTACTGCTTCTTTACTGCCCTCGTCCTTGGTGGTGGTAGCTGACGGCAGAGCATCGGCCTTGTCGGATCCCTTGGTACCCCATGAGACATCGTGCCAGTTGCTGAAGGCATATACGTTGAGGATGTTGATGTAGGACGATTGAACGACCATGTAGGCAGGGAAAGAGGTAAACATGTGCCATGGGTCCGCGTACATGAACGAGGCAACGAAGTACAGACCGAAAGTGGCAGCCAGGGCAATGATAATGATACCAGCGCCTGAAGATGAGAAGAAGGATTTGACGAATTCGCCCACGCCTTTGTTGGTGACGAAATCCATGGGTGCACCACCACTGAACGCGCGAACAACCAGATAGATCGAATCGACCACAATGTACAGCTGAATGATACCGAAGACGACGAAAGAAGCGAGGTATGAGAACTTGGAGCCTTTGGGTCTGTTACCCAGAGCGAGGATGAATTGCAACAATACGAAAGCCAGGTACCCATACTTCACAATGGTGTTGATGATTGGCGTGGCAGTCGCTCCGAAGGGAAAGGCAGTGTTTTTGTTGTTGTCGCTGGGGGTACCAACCAAGTCAATAATGACAGTAGTGGTAAGCCAGTAGGAAGCGAGCGAGAACCAGGTGAGGAAGGTGTTGAAGACGTTGTACAACATCTGAATGTGAAGGAAGAACATGCGTACAATGTTGTGGCCACTCTTGTACATACGACCGAAGTGCATCAAAGAGTAGATACCAGCAGCGAAGGAACCGTTGAGCCAGCGACGACGCTGGGAGATGAACTCGGGAGCTCCTTCGGGCACATCAGTCTCGCCCTTAGAGGCTTTGACATATGACAAGTGCCACTTCGAGCCAGCCTTGGCGACCAGCTCGAAGCAAAGAATTCGATCCTCGGCCAAGAACATGTTCTTCTTGAAAATGTTCATACCTTCGATACCCTTCTTACCAAGCTGCTTGGACAGAGTATGGTCACCGTGGAAATATTGTTCCAGCGGGCGACCCATGATAGCACGGAATCGATAGGCCGAGAAGGCACCGGGCAAGACACTAACATAACCGAACGAACTCTCGAGAGGCTTGTCCAAAATGTTACTGATCTTATACTCGAAGTTCTGAGCAGCCACCAGAGGGTTGATCAGATTGCGCCAACCCTTACCCAACATAGCGTGAATTTCACCACAGGCGCCACCAAGATCCTTATCGTTGTAGAAGGCCTCCCAGAGGTACAACAAAGACTTCGGGCCGGGTTTCGTACCAGCATCCAGAAGGATACAAATCTCGGGGTTCAAGATCCGTCCAAAGGCGTTAAACAACCAGCGATGCGAGTTGATCTTTTTGCTGTTCTTCTGTTTCAAACAAAACATCATTTGCACCGGGGGAAGTGTGCTGGGGCCATCGTCAGTCGGACGAATCAGCTGCTGGCTGGGCGTGACAGAGAGCTGAGTCGTGTATTCGAACTGACAGTGTGTTAGTCTCCTGTAACAGGTGCGATTTCTCCTTCAAATCACTCACAATATGCGCGATGGTCTCCTTTCCATCAACGTCACGCTTCATGACTCCATCCTGGTATACACCCACCGTCGCAAGGACATCCAAAGTGTCCTTATCACAGGGGTCAATACCGTCGAAAACGAGCGCCACAACAATCTTCTGCCACGCCGGGCCACCCTTGTTCCAAAACTCGGACTTCTTCAGGTTGACAATATCACGGATATTTTGCATAACACCATGCAAAGTACGCGCTGTAAGATTCTTGTCTTCGTTGTAGTAAGTGATCGCGATCAGCAACTCTGTGTGACGGTTGTACATGGCGGGGCGCAGGTTGTATCCATTGTGGAGGGTGAATTCGTTAGGATCACATGTAGCTGCGGTGTCTGTAGAAAGCGAAAGCTCGTTAGTCTCTCTTCTATTTCAAATGCAAGTTTCTCGTAAGGGCCACACGTACATCGCATGTGAGTAAATTCCTCGGTTCCGCCCTCCACATCGTTGCGGTACTTGGCCTGAATGGCATTTTGGATGGCACTGGGCACGGGATAGTCCACACTCAAGACTGAACCTTGCACCAGCTTGACCTTTCTGGTAGCATATCGGCGCAGACCACCGCCGGCACCACCACCACCACCTGCAGCACCTCCAGGCGCCTGTCGCTGGCGCCAGGCCTCAGTGGAGGAAGTCTCACTGCGGGCGTAGGGTGAAGCGACTCGGCCAGGGACACCAAAAGCGGCTGCAGGACTCTCATCTCCAGCTGAGTAGACGGAACCAGCGTTGTAGGGATCGTGGTAAGAAGGCGAGGTATCCGCAGCGTAAGTCTCGGTCAAACTGTATCCGGAAGCAGGACGCTGGGGAGAAACACCACGAGAGTGATGGTCATCGAAGGGAGTCGCAAAGGGACCCTGGTGTTGGGACAGCAATCCACGCGCAGCGTCTTCATCTTCACGGTACTAATAAATACGGAAAACCCCCCGGATCAGCTCCAACTCGATCACGCGTTTTTACTGCCATTTCCTCACGTACCTGGGAGCCAGGGACATCCTGGAGACGATGAGAGTCGTGAGGATCGTGCACATCGTCGTAGTTTGGCGAATGCCCGCCAGTGCCTTGGTAGGCCATGTCTGCGTATTTAATAAGGGATCAAAGCTAAGTCGAGAGGGGTATCAGTTTTGCAGAGTGAAGATAATAATTTAAGCCACCTGGGCTGTAAGGTCAGTCCCTTGAAGAGGATCCAAAAAGAGGTTACCAAGGGAGAACAAAGAAGAAAGAGGGAAGGGGAATGGGAAAAAGGAGGATTAAAGTGAGACTAGGAGTCAAAAATAGACTGTCTCTAGCCCCGTCCTGGTTTAGTTTCGACTTTCTCAGCCTTTTCCTTTTGTTATTTTTTTATTGTTTTTTTCTTTTCTCCGTACTAGTCTATTTCTTCTTATTTTAATTATTTAATTCTATATGGCCAACCCGTCAACTATTGTTTAACAAACTGTGATATTTTGAAGTACATTTTGTTTGTCTGTTAAATTGTAGTAACAAAGTATGGGGTCAGGGACCCAAGGACCCTGATACCCTTGAAAGTCCCTAGAAGTCCCTTTCTTTTAACAAAATACGTCCATATTCCCAAATTCCTACTTGATTTCATTTTTTTACTTTGTGATCCCCTTTCTTTTTGACAACTCAAGTAGCTCTGTTTTTAATTTTTAGGTACTCCAGCTTTTATCCACTTACTCTTTCTGGGGCTTGATTGACACACTAGGAGACCTGAACTCAATAAGCAGACTCCACAGCTGAAACATTCGGTGAATAGGGTCTATAATCACTTTTAATTATTGTATAGGGTATATACCATCTAGTTAATCAAAGATTACACACGTTGTATATCCTTGTACATTGTATCCAATGGAGCACATTCTTCAACATCAAAACAATAGCTCGCAATACCATTGGAAGGCTTAAAGCTCCGCTGTCTAGGGGATCTCCGGTATGCTTGGTTCCTACTTCACCAAATTGCTATGCATTGTCTAGAGGTACTCCTGATACTACATTGGCTACATCTGTACATATGTAGTTTATGTGTTGAGTTCTACGTGTAAAATGGGAAAGTTTTGAGAGTCCTACTTCACCGTGTTTGATTTTATATCCTTCATTTTCCATGCAAGCATGCTATATATACTCCGTACTGATGATGATCTCAGACATTACCGAGAACCGTTTAGCGTACTAAATTTGGTTTAAGGCGAGAAAGAAGACAGATTAACACATACAGTTCAGTCTCATAATCAATTCCACACTTGGCTGCAGATACTAGTCACATTTTGCCTTCAAGGTCATAGCAATTTCCCCCTCTCATTCCCTTCAGCTCGCTCATTCCGCTTTCCCCCTAAAGAAATAAAGTGTGAGCCAATCATTGGCACCCACATGGACGGCTATACCCGATCAGGGGAGGTTAGAGATTGATTGTCCGCTAACCTAATTAGGATGGATTAGCAGCCAAACCGTTACAAACACCACAAACATCAACAGATCAAGCAAACACCATAAATTATGCAAACAGTGTAAACAATGCAAATAATTCCTAAATTAACGCCAAGGTCGTAATCTTGGAAAATCATTAATCCACACTCAGAAGAGTCCAGACTTCCATTACGATTCGTAGTCCACCTTACAATCCACTTGTAGTCCACTCACACCTCACTTCATGTAAGGCGAACACGGGATGAAACAGATGGTGATATTAAAGGCAATCTCATCTCAATTCTTTCAATTGAAATTTTTGGTTTTTACCTCTAAATCCCACACGATTCTCATTATTTAACCATACAACTATACTCAATCACCACTACGTACAGTATAAGTCCCAATTGTTTTACCTGACTATACATACTATCTGTACCCCGTATCTTACCCGTGGAACCAACCAGTCAAAAGGCTGTGCCTGGACTTCCCGTCTGACTTTGGCCCCCCCGTTCTCTCTCCTCTTTGTCGCTCTCCTTCCTTTACAACATTGAATCTCTCGACACATCTACTTTTTTTATTCTCACCCATGATCTATTGATCGGTGGTACTTTTGATACGCGTCGGGTCAACGTCATTCTCTTGATTCCCGATGACCGCTTAACTTTTCCATCCTCATACACACTCGTTTCCCACGGATTGGCTTTTATGATCTACTACTCTTTTACGCTCACGACTTGACGCCGATTGAGCATTACACACTCTTTTCTTTGTTTACATCCTTGCCGTTGACCGGCCTTGTTCATATCAACACATTATCCCTCCTGTCTTTTCATATTTACTCATCATGCTTCTCGACCCCATCGATTCCGCTTTCTCACCCGCCCGCTCCATCTTCAAGCGCTGCATTACATGTGATACCTCATCTCCCGCCTGTCCCTCATGTCCAGATGGCACAACATGTACCATGAGACTGCAGACCTGCGATGAATGCGCTACAACAAAGTGTATCTCCACAGGAGGCTCCCAACCATCAAACTCCGGGGGTAGTGACACAGGCGCCATTGCCGGTGGTGTCATTGGTGGTGTGGCAGCCATCGCCCTCATCGTCTTTTTGATCTGGTGGTTCGTCATCCGTAAGAAGCGCCTGGAGCGCGAGGAAGCGGAGAAAAATGGCTCGTTCGCCGCCGTTCGCAGTGAACGCCAATCCATCGCCTCCACAGTCTTGACCCGTGCTTCTAACGTTATTCAAATCGCCTACATTCCCGGTGTCACCAATCGCTCCCCGCCAGAGACCCCGGCCTCCCTCGTGCCCCCGGTTCCCCCTCTTCCCGGTGCGACCCCCGACCAACACTTCTTCATGCCAGGTGACCTGCGTGACTCTTCATGGACCACCACTACCGGCCACCAGAGCATCTCACCCACCTTGCGCAGCAGTGTTGCGACCACAATTTACCGCAACGACGCCATTGTCAGTGCGATCCCCGCCCAGCAGATCCAGCGTTCTCGCGCCGCCGTGGTTAGCATTCACAATGGAAGCGGCGGACAACATGCCCCTGGCGATGACTCCCCAGTCGCAGTCACAATCACTCCTGCAGACGCACCTGCCGTTCCAGCCATCACCCCAGCGCAACTAGCGCGCGCCGAAGCCGTCAAAGGCAACAGTTCCTGTGTGGCACGCAGTGTAATCGCCAAGCCAGTCATGGTCCGAGGTCCATCACTCAAGAAGAAAGAGGCCAAACCCGGGCCTGTCGACCGAATCGAAGAGGTCTCTGAACACAGTAAAAGTAACAATACCAGTCGAGCGGTATCTGCCACCAGTGGACAATTCAACCACAACATCTCCACATTCGACGGCTCCTCATCAGACGAGGAAGATGACACATACCCCCCCTCAACAGCCAACCTGGAGACAGGATCATCGCATCGCTACACAAATCGATCATCAGGCTTAAGCGACGGACGAAACTCCACCCGGACACCACCCGCCCGTGTAGATAGTCCGTTCTCGGACGCTAACGAGGTGAAATGAATGCGGCCTTTGTTTTTTTGATTTTCACTTATCGCGTTTCGATTCTTTGTACGTATGGAGCCCGTTGGCTTGTTTTGTACCTTTTGATATCTTCGGTGCCTTGTACAGCGAGTTTTTTTGGCACTGGATTCTGGAATTGTACTCTCTTTCATTCTGGAATCACTTTGGACAATGTAAGAGTGGATTACTGTCTAGGTTCACTTTGTTTAGGCACTACTGCATAATTGTAATTTGCTAGGGCAAGCTCTTGGAGAAATATGTATTTTCGGCCTCGGACTTGTGCAGTGATGTGTGTCGACCTAAATTCTTACCTAGCTACTTAGTTGTCTACCACGATATGTCGAAACACCCTGCCCGTAACCTTTAATATATAATATCAGTGTTCGTAAACAAAAGATACGCATATATAAATAGATAGTTTACAGGTGCACAACATGAATGATTGGCCTCTTCCCTGCAAGAATAACATGTCACATCTAGTAAATGTAAGCTTCAATATATATCGCTAACAACAATCGTATATAAGTTCACCTACATCTATACATACCTAAATTCAAATTTTCATAGTCATTCACCTGAGCAGCAATCAACCCTCCCAGCTCATTGGGATCAGTATGAAAAAGCTGCCCACTATGATTCTCCAGGGCTCCAAAAAGGGGCTCTCATCAAAACCATTAGCATTATGAAGATTCGCTAATTGCCTAGCAAGCTTCACATCCCCCCGAGGCCATCAACCAAAGCCCAATGATACCTTCTATGCTGCCTGAGGATATAGACTGGTAAAATAGTCATGACCTGATGTGCTATGTCGAAGTCATAATCACGATTATTGATATCAATGACGGTGAAGCTTCGTTCGCTCCATACGTCTAGGACGAGGAAAAGGATGGGAGAATCGTTGCTGTGAATAGAGAAAACATATAGAGAATATGCAGAGGCAAATTGGAGATTCGAATGTGCATACAAGGTTGTAAGATCATCCCTGCCTCCTTGGTGCACAAGTCATCCAATGAGACCTCGGGAACTATGCGATCTTGCATACTCGCATATATACAGAGAGAAAAAGTCAGCCCAACCTCTTCAGACCAAGGAACCGTGGAATAACAATCCGCTATGTGTTTATAAAGGGTATATACATCCAAACAGCCGCTCTAATTCTCCTCCAATCCCATCCCACGCCCAATCTTGCGAATTAAAGCCCTCTTAAGCAGCGCCTCACGAGCAAGACTGCGCGTATGCTTGGACCAAGAATCAACGCCAATGATGCCCTTCACCAAAGCAGCCTGCAAAGCGTAAAGAGCCTGCTGGATTCCCTGCTCTTCAGCAACAAGATCATACAACTGTTTACCCACAATTGTCGGTGCCACAAGAACATCGTCAATTGGCGGCAAATCAGGAGGGGCATCGGCGATAGTAGCATCGGCACGATGTATCGACTGCTGAAGAACAGCGGTGTTGGATTGAAGAGTAGCATGGAGGGAATTGAGGGCGGAGACTTCGCCCTGGAGGGTTGCTAAGGCGGAGTGAAGAGATCTAGATTGCGAGACGAGGGATTGAACTGCTATGTCTGACTGGGCGGCGTTGACTCGGAGGGATTCCGCTAGAGAGTGCGAGACTGCTCGCAAAAGTGTGTCCTTCTCTGGATTGGGAGGGATTGGAGGGGCTGGGCCTGAAATTGAGGGTAACTCGACTTCAAATGGAGATGTGAGCAGATCAGGAGTCTCAGTCTTGGGGGTCTCAGTCTTGGGGGCTGGTGCTTGTGCTGGGGGTGGACGTGAGTAGTTGGATGGGTAGGGTGAATGCTGGGGGTATGGAGGATTGGGGAGCGGCTGTTGAGACTGGTTTTGAGCGGGCTGGGGTTGAGCCGATGGTTGCTGTTGACCGGGGAATTGCGGCTGTGGAGGGATCGCTGCTCCATTTCTATAATATGACTGGCCCTGGGGTGATGTTGACTGGCTCTGGGGTGGTTGGGAGAGTGGGCTGCTTATCGGGCCTCCAATATGACCCAAGGGTGCATAATACTGCGGCGCGTGGGTGTTCTGGGCTGAAAGTGGTGAATTGGGTATGGATGCATGGCGGAGGCCTTGCTCTTTGGGTGGGAGCGGAGGCCGTTGGGGAGACCGATGTTGATCAGCCACAGTTGACTGCGGTCGATTCTCGCTCGTACCTGGCTTCGGCGGAGGTGGAGGCGGGAGCTGACTTGTAGATTGAAGAGGGATCTGAGTCTGCGAAGAGCCAACACCGGGTGGAAGAGGAGGCAATGGCGGCGGAGTTAGGGCATGGGCATGTTCCGGCCGAGACTGGGATTGTGGCATTTGTTGCCTGTACCGAACAGGTGGCTCCTTTGCAAAGACATCCTGAAGGATAGAGAGAAGGTCGGCAATTGTAGATCTCTGGGAGTGTATGTTAGCGGTCGGCCGAGCATAGTTTCCGACAAATACTCACATCCCACGCTTCAGCCCAATGCGCCAGATAATGATGGTACACCTGTCCCTCTAATGTCACATGTTGTCCAACTCGAACTGTCATCTCTTGCGTCGGGGTCACATAGGCGATTGGTGGCTCGCGTGGGTATGTATTGGGGATCCAAAGCGCAATGGGAAATCGGTATGTTGTCCCTCGGAAGTTAACAGGCAACGTGCCCACAAGGTGGAGGAGGAGGGCCGAGAAACCTGTTTCATAGGCTGAAAATGTTAGAGCAGAAGAGTAAGGATTGTTCCAATGGAAGCCTAGTGCTCACTGTATACATCTGTCCGAGGGGAGAGCGAGGGGTATTGAGAGAGCGCGTTGGCAACATCGTGGTAGGCTCTATTTGGGTCGTGGTATGTCTGTTGTGGATCATAGTGATCCTATAGGAATTAATTTAGTAGAAAAAAATAGTGATTTACAACATACCTTGGTCAAGACACTGTAGAGCCAGTTCAGTGTCCTCTGAGGAACGGCCATGGTGAATGATGAGGTTGAGTCGCGATCCTCCGCACCTTTTCCCCGCAACTTCTCTTGGCTTGGACTGCTAACAGCTACGTGCATCTACAGCTACAGCTACAGCTACATCTATATTTGATTCTCTGTTCTCCATTATCTATTCAATGAAACACATCGAATGAATAACGATAATTGATTCTTCCATCTCTGAGTCAAAATCATAATGTGATTTTCTCTAGGACAATGACAGGTCCACTGCAACTTGATCAACTCGTTATCATCTCAAAGAGCTGCTTCCCCGAAACGGAAGAAGCGGAGCTACTTCACAAGAAAAGAACAATTAGAAGTTGAGCTAGAAGATGCAATGCGAAAATGTCAGCCCCGGAGAGACCGTCAGGGGCCCAGACACAGACCAAGCCTCGAGGCGAGAAACAGCCCACACGATGTACGGTACGAGTTAAAGACACCAGGGATATCAGAGACAACATGTCTCGTAAGACCTGGAACTTTCCGGACTTCTGAAGAGATGTCATCTCGAGAAGCCATGACATACTTGAATGCGATTTGGCCATACGTGGTGGGATTCGCCTGGGACCATCCAAGTCGAAGACAAAGAAACCACAAACCTTAGTGCACTCGAATTTTTCAACTGATCCAATGATCCAAAAGAATTGAAGCCTCTTCCGGTGATCTTCTGCGAGCCTGATGCACATTGCCGAATTCTAATAATGGACACCCCTTTGTCTTTCTCTTAATATTGTTCTCGCATTCCCTTAGCATTGTTCCCTAATCTTTCATTCTCCATTTCCAACCATTTGCCATTTTGCGCTATGCGATACTTACAATGTCGGATCTCCATAATGATTTGGATGTCTTCTTGTCCTTTTGTTCTTGCATTGTCTGTCTCGGCTTCGATGAATCCAACCATTCACCCTGATTCTCTATATTCTCTATATTCGGATTCAGAACCATCTATATCTTCGACCTTGTCGTGCATATCCTTGAAATCTCGATGTGACCCGATATCCAACTTCTTTAGTTCATCATTTCATTTGTGCTCATCATGGCGACATCTTCAGTGCTACCGTTCGACCCATACACTCAAAATGTCACGATAAGATTACAAGATGGCAGTCCGCTCGAGGTGCCAATGGAGCAACTAAACATCTTCGTGCAGTACAATGTGCGGGTGTGCATCAACTACGGCTGTCAGTTCGGGGCATCTCTGACATTGCTGGTCATCCTCGTACTTCTGACCCATGCCGACAAGCGGAGCTCAGCGGTATTCGTCTTGAACGGCCTAGCGCTCTTCTTCAACACACTCCGCCTACTTTTCCAGCTCACGCACTTCGAAACCGACTTTGAGAAAGTATACCAATACTTCTCCGGGGACTACTCGTCCGTGCCAACAAGCGCATACGCCATTTCTATCCTGTCGGTTATTTTCCTGTCTATTGCCATCGTCTGTATTGAAATATCACTGGTACTTCAGCTGCATGTGGTGTGCTCTACACTACGTCGTCGATACAGACGACCGCTTCTAGTATTCTCCATTCTGGTCGCTATGGTGCCAATTGCATTCCGATTCATGTTCATGGTCGTAAACTGCAAATTGATCATCTCACTCGACTACATGGGATCGCTTTGGTGGGTGGAAAGCGCAACCAACGTCAGCCTCACGGTCAGCATCTGCTTCTTCTGCGTGGTGTTTGTCGTCAAGCTCGGCTTCGCCATCCGACAACGCCGCCAACTTGGAGTCCGCGAATTCGGTCCAATGAAAGTCATCTTCGTCATGGGCTGCCAGACAATGATTGCCCCAGCCATCTTCTCAATTGCACAGTACTACATCATCGTCCCAGAACTCAATTCTAATGTCGTGACGCTCGTCGTGATCTCACTCCCACTATCGTCGATCTGGGCCGGCGCAGCCCTCGAGAAATCGCGACGTCTGAATACTCGTGAACACAATCGACGCAACTTCTGGCGCTCTCTGGCTGGAGGTGCGGACAGTCCAACTACTACTACATCCAAGGACAGCCCGACGAGTCTTTCGTCTATGGGTGCTGCGCAAACGCTTTGCTATTCGGATCACATTGCCACAGCCAAGGGCTCGCCTACTTCGCGGGACAGCGATGCGTTCTATGGAATTGCGGTTGAGCATGATATTTCTGTCGACCGGATTCAGAAGAAACGTTCATTGGTGTGAGGGTGTTTCCTTCGCCAAATGAACAGGGTTTATATGGCCAAATTCCAAAAACTATGGTTTCAGTTCGCTTCCAAGGACAGGATTTGGCAGATTAATTTGCACGTACCTTTTTGCTCTTTGCTTCGCTTTTTTCTATCTTTATTTCTCCTTTTTCTATTCTTCCTTGCTGGGTCTGCTATTACGGTATTTTTTTTTTTGATATCGAGTTGCAAATGCACATTTTCAACAAAGTGATATCTCAACTCCATTTCTTGGTATAGCTGTTGTTACGGTGGGCTCTGAATGATTCAGACCCATTTCATATCATAAAAGAATGACTCGATTTAGCTTCGAGCTAGCTAGCAGCTCTATTTCTCGTTTATCATTGACTCATGATCACGTCGGGGTCTCGCTCTGTCATGAGAGCCAAGCTGGCCGAGAGCAAAGGAAAACAGTTGAGAAAATCGAACAATAGAAATCCAGTGGACATGAATTGCCAACATTGAAGAATTGCCAGGGATAAGCTGACCAAGTGCAGCAAGAGCGAAATTCACCATTTAGAAACAAAAAAAAAATATGTACAAAACGCTCTATGTATAGAATCATATCTGCGCCACAGCAAACAAACCAATAGCCAAACGTTAATAATATCCAATGCTAATTCAATTGCACATAGTTGGCTAGAAAGAATGTCAGCAGTGTACTACATCAAGCACAGATGCAAAACTTACCCGGAAATTGGCCCTCCCGACCTGCGATTCGCCCTGACCACCATTCATTGGTGTTCTCGGTGCGCTGGACAATTTCAATGACATCTCCAGCCGAGAATCCAAGGTCACCGTGCGCTTGAGCTTCGTAATCATATAGCGCGGTAACAGTCTCCACAGGCTTGTTACTGAGGTGCGAAGGCTTCGCCCTGGGAGGAGGCGGGGCAGGCTTGCTCTTAGCCGCGGAAGAGAAACTGCCCGTTGGACTGGGGCTGATACCAGTAGAGGAGTAAGGGGGAGGAGGGTTATCATCGGTAGCGGTGGAGCTGGCACGGTTGCGGCCGAAAGAGCCTTTCTCGCTCTTTTCCTTGCCGAGGGGATTCAGTTTCGAGCTGGAACGACCAAGACCCTTGGTTTTGAAGTGGACGATGGTGAGAGCCTCGGCCTGGTCTTGAATATTGCCGCGCTTCTGTTCAAAGGCTTCTTCGACGTCGAGTTGCAGATTGAAGTAGTTGATGTTCATGCCCTGCATGCGGTCGTGAAGGGTGTAGAAGACGTTGAGTTGCATATAGTAGAAGGACTGGAAGAGTGGACGAATGAACTCCGCCTCGAGAGCGAAAAGCTTAGGCAGTTCTTCTTTCAGCAAGTCATTGTAATAGTTGTATTCCTGGGTTGCCGTCTCCGCATCGTTCTCAGCCTTGTATAGGGCCTTTTCATCCTTGAGCGATTTTTCCTTCTTGTCCTGCAACTTTTTCAGTGTATCGTTGCGACGATCAAAGTCCAACCTCTTATGGTCACGCTTGACGGCAACCTTGCGAATGACCTTGATAACCTCGAGCAACTGGTCCGCGGGACTGATAATGCGACTGTCGATCATCTCCAGCTCTGGAGCGAGCGCCTCCTGCAGCTCTCGGACGATCACTTCATATTCCTCACAGGCCTGAATACCCTCTGCGTTTCCTTCAAACTGGTAAGAGTTAGGATCGGATGCGCGACCGGAGATAGGCTTGTAGATTTCGGCGATAGCTTTGGAGAATTCGATCTGGTGGCTCAACATGCCTACGAACGCGCACACGGTTAGTATAGAGCGCGGGTATGGGGTATTGGGGATTTTCATACCGTTGATAGCAGTGAAGTATTTCTGAGATTCATCGTGTAGTTTCTTTGTCTCTTTCTCGAGTTCATCGAAGCGGCGTTCGGCATCGGTATAGACAGCGTCCTGGGTGGTTTCACCAATATTGAACTTGGCTTTGATCTGCTGTGGCGCACGCGCAATGCTCTTCTGGAAGCCTTTGAAACTCATGTCGGAAGCTCCGGAAGCTTCGGAAGCTTCGTAAGTTGAAGATGTAGAAGAACAAGAAGAATAAGAGATGAGAGAAAGAGAGTAAGAAGAAGTAACTGCCAAGGCGGGGGAATGGGCTTTTCCAATACCCAACTTTCCCGATCTTCAACTATGACATAAGACTTGGAACCAAATACGACGATAAGTTGTGTGGCTGTACCCTTTTTTATACTATTTTGCACTATAAATCTACTTTACAATATACATATGTCGATTTTTGTGGCGCAGGATCTCCAAAGTCAGGCACCAGCATTTGTTAGTGAATTATCTACCAACTACTCCGTACAGGGTGAGATCAATGTCTTAGGCAACCCCTTTCAAACAATGTGGGCCAGGGCTGACCGATCTTACCTCTATCCAGGGCTGATCCTTTCACGGTAAGCCTTACCCGAGAGTTATGAGAGCCGTTCATCAAAGAATTCATTCCAATCATTTATAATTGAGCGCGTCATCATACACTTAATGTGTGGAGAGGCACCTGACTTAATAGATGAAACGTATGAAGATGTATATGGAATTGCAGAGGTTTCAAGTTCAGATAATCACAGAGCATCAAAGTACAAATGTTTGAAAAAAAAGAAGTAAGTCAACATGAATAACTTCACTTTTACTGTAGTAGACATAGTAGACATAGTAGACATAGTAGACATTAGTTGTAGACACGGAGTCCGCAAGTGCGCAGTCATAGAGCTCGACTTATTTCCGCTTCGGATAAACCCAATCTGGAATACCCCGAGATCTTTAGTCATTTGAGGAGAACGATAACAAAAAGTCGGGGTCAGCTTTTCTTTCTTCATCCCACTTTCATGGTATCGTGGCATCTATCATCTTCATAATGACAAGTGCTGCTCCTGCTGCTTGGAGACAGGCTTCGGCCTTCTCTAAGCGTCTTTCAACCTATCGTTACCGCGCTCCGAGAGTACTCGCCACTGGCTTGCGCGCCCGGTCCTATGTCACCGAAACCAAAGTCGGCCAGGCCCAGGTCAATGTTGATGCTGCAATCAAGGAGGAACAAAAGTCGTTCATGAAGCAGGCTGGTGTGGCCCCTAGCGGTGTTAACCTGCCCGGTTCGGCGACTTCCGGCGATACTGCAATGAGCCCAACGGCCGGCATTCTGAAGCAGGCCACCGTCATGGACCAGGGCACGCGGCCCATCTATCTCGATATGCAAGCTACTACACCCCTCGATCCCCGAGTTCTCGATAAGATGCTACCTTATCTCACCGGTATCTACGGCAACCCGCACTCACGCACACACGCTTACGGTTGGGAGTCGGAGAAGGGTGTTGAGGAGGCTCGCGAGCACATCGCTAAGTTGATCGGGGCCGACCCCAAGGAGATTATCTTCACAAGTGGTGCGACAGAGAGTAACAACATGAGTTTGAAGGGTGTGGCGCGATTCTTTGGTCGCTCCGGAAAGAAGAACCACATTATCACCACTCAAACTGAGCACAAGTGTGTTCTGGACAGCTGCCGACACTTGCAGGATGAAGGATTCGAGGTCACCTACTTGCCCGTTCAGAGCAACGGTCTGATCCGCATGTCTGATCTGGAGGCCGCTATGCGCCCGGAAACTTGCATTGTCAGTGTCATGGCTGTCAACAATGAGATTGGTGTGATTCAGCCTATGGAGGAGATTGGTCGTCTCTGCCGGTCTAAGAAGGTCTTCTTCCACACCGACGGTGCGCAGGCTGTCGGAAAAATCCCATTGGATGTCAACAAGCTGAACATTGATTTGATGTCGATTTCCAGCCACAAGATCTATGGTCCTAAGGGCATTGGTGCTTGCTTTGTGCGCCGTCGCCCACGTGTTCGTCTTGACCCTCTTATCACCGGTGGCGGACAGGAGAGAGGTCTGCGCAGTGGAACTTTGGCTCCGCATTTGATCGTGGGCTTCGGTGAGGCTTGCCGTCTTGCCACTACAGATATGGAGGTAAGATATTCCCTTCCGAAATGATCCTTCGCACTTTCATTGCCAAGAGGATTAGACACTGTGAAAACATCTTTGGAGATGCTTGAGTGGTAGCTCCATGTCTAAAGGACATGGTACTCAGCATCCATGATGTCCATCGCAGGGGTAATGAATTGGCGGATAAACTTAAAATACTGCCCTGTCTATAAGCAAACACATGCTAACCGGTCCCATCAAATAGTATGACACCAAGCACATCGAGCGCTTGTCGAAGCGCCTGAGCGAGGGACTCCTTGCCATGGAACACACCACACTGAACGGTGACCCAAAGGCCCACTACCCCGGCTGCGTGAACATCTCATTCGCCTACATTGAAGGAGAATCCCTCCTGATGGCCCTGAAGGATATCGCCCTATCATCCGGCAGCGCCTGCACGTCCGCCTCACTGGAGCCCAGCTACGTGCTCCGCGCCCTGGGTAGCAGTGACGAGAGCGCCCACAGCAGTATCCGCTTTGGAATTGGACGATTCACCTCCGACGAGGAAATCGACTACGTTCTCAAGGCTGTCCAGGCCCGTGTGTCTTTCCTGCGTGAGCTGAGCCCGCTTTGGGAGTTGGTGCAGGAGGGTATTGACCTCAACACCATTGAGTGGAGCCAGCATTGATTTTTCATTAATCTCAAAAAGCCCGTTTGGGACGGCGTTGATGTGTAAAACCATGGATTTTGTACAGACTGAGAATAATCAACTCACAATTTAACTACTTCTCTCTACTTCAGCTCTGTATACTATGTGTGTTGGTTCGTTATATTGAGTTGGAAATGACCTGAGTGTACTCTGTGTTTCACGTAGCATGGATGCTCCATCCTTGTATCTATGCCCTTTTTGAGGATACTAAACCGAGTAAATTGGCAATGAATCTGCGAGAACAGAGGGAAAGTTAAAGAGTTACGGTTAACGGCACAGATTCAGTGACCACCAGAACTACTCTCTGCCTTGATATTGGGTTATCCAAAGAAAATTTCGGTCAGACATTTAGTTTATCATGACGCCATTGAGTCACCTTAAGTTAACTCAATTACGATAACGTCAGTATGAAGTTCTCCAGGTCGTTTGTTCGCCCGTGTGAGTGTAAGAGCCCTCCTGTCTCACGATGTCGAGGTTGATCACTCGCGACGATCTAAATCATAGGATTATCCTCAGCCCGTGGCTATTTGAGATGTTCCAGTATATGATTACTATTTTGGCAAAGGAACCAAGGTCTATTAGATGTATGAGTCTTAAGGTCGTCTTCGTACTTATTTATACTAATATCGTAACTGAAACTGGTTATCTACCGAGAGGATGTTCGGTATGAACCGGACTCAATGCGTATAAAACGAGCTTTAGAAAACAAATCCGATTGAAACAAAATCGACCTCAAGCATGCCTCATATATTCCTAATCTTTTGTCTCATCTGGATCCAAGCAGCCGCTCAGGTCGGCCAACCCCCCGAACTACACATCAAGACATCCAGCGGCATCATAAATGGCAAATACAACAACACCGCACAAACGGTACGCGGCTTCATTGGAGTCCCTTACGCTGAACCCCCGGTAGGAAGACTACGCTGGGAACCGCCACGCCCGAAATCACCCCCTTCACATCCTATAGATGCATTCTCGTTTAGTAATCCCTGTGCCCAGGTATACACGTACTCTAATGAATCTATCTGGAGTATTCTGCCATACAAAATCTGGAATGCGGCGAACATGTCCGAAGACTGTCTCTATATGAATATCTGGGCACCATCTACCAAGCACCATAGCAAGAAGCGCAAAGCAGCAGTCATGATGTTCATTCATGGTGGAAGTTATGCTTCTGGATCTGGATCGGTGAGTTATTATGATGGTACCAATTTGGTGCAAGATGATGAGGATATTATTGCTGTTACCTTCAAGTCAGCAGGTGTTCATTCCAATGACCTTGCCAGCCAGGACTAAGTATGATTGTGTAGTTATCGACTGAACATTTTCGGATTTCCTAATTCGCCGGGGTTGGATCCCAAAAAGCAGAATCTTGGACTACTGGACCAGGTGAGTGTAAAGAGTTGGGAAATAAATGAAATCTGACATCTCAGCGAATGGCGATCGAATGGGTTCATATGAATATCGGCAACTTTGGCGGTGATCCAAACAGGATTCTTCTCTTTGGTCAATCTGCTGGTGCTTCTTCAGCTGATCTCTATTCATATGCAGCAAGCACATCTCTTAAGAAATTTGGTGCATATCTAATATATCATAGTATCCCAAAGATCCTCTCGTCAGTGCCTTTGCCCTTCACTCAGGAACTGCCCCATTACTACTTTCGCCCCCCGACCACGAAAATTGGAACAATCTATCCACCGATCTAGGATGTGATATTGGGAAAAGGTCTCATTATTGCATGAATCAAATTCCAGCGATGAGGATTGTTGAAACAAGAGCCCAGGGAAATTATAACTTCTATCCCGTTGTTGATGAGTTGCTTGTGTTTTCCGATTATGTTGCCAGGTGTGATAAGGGTCAACTGGCACGTCTGGTAAGTGTTTCAGTCTATGACATATCTCTAGCATACTAATGGCATTGAAATGAAAGCCGACATTAGCGGGGATGACTGAGCGTGAATGCTCGGCTCTCGTACCGTTGAACCAGGTATCGGTCAATATGACGGAAATATATGAGGTTGGTCGATTCAGATATAATTGTCCGCTCTGGGAATCAGTGAGGTGAGATATAACGCTTGATCATTGTTGCTTGGATAAAACATCTTATAGCGCATAGGATTCGAGTCCGACACAATGTAACCACGTGGAGATATCTATACCATGGCAATTTCAGTAGTCTTAGTCTAACTACATGGCTTGGCGCATACCATGGGGGTAGGTCATGACAACAGATTTATTGAATCAGTTGACTAAAAGTAACACCAGCGGAAATACCTATGGTCTTCGGAACCTACAATTTCTCATCAGCAAGTTCGACATCGATAGAAGTCCAAGCGAGCAAATACATTCAAGGTAAGCGCGCTCCCAGACTGTGCAACATATGACATCTGGTTTACCAGAGGACAGGAGCATGGACTTCCTTTGCCAAGGATCCCCTCACAGGGCTGAGAGCCTATGGCTGGCCACAATATAGATTCAACGGTAAGCTAGGAGTCAGATTGCATGAGGTGTTGATGACAAGCTCATCGTCATAGAACCCACGTTGATCAACATTGCTTTCAACAATACCATTCCAGCGGTATTGAGCTCTGCTCCTTGGGATCATTCTTGCAAGGATGTCATCGTTCAACGGTCTGAACTGTGATGAAGTGGTTGTACAACCTATGTTAGGTTTGTCTTCTGCAGACGTTTTCCAATTTCGAATATTCAGAAGTATGAGTTGATTATATACCGAACTGCATACGAAGATGCATATGCATATGCATATATAGTAAGATGATGCAGTAAACTTAGATATAAAAAGATCTATCTGATTTCATTTGCTGCTATTGTTGTGGCTGGCTTAGCTATATAAGTTCTCGTTGATTCATAGTACAATGGTCATGTGACTGAATACCGTAAGTCTCTGCCTAAATCATGAGGCGTAAATTTGACCATTTCCGGCCTTTTTTCTTTTTTTAATCGAAAAAAAAAAAAAGATTTCCCCACTGCGGATTTCTCAGTAAAACGAAATCAAAGGTGACACTGGGTTTTTTCTTTCTCCTTTTCTTAAAAAAAAGGAAGCAAAGAAATGAAGAAAAATTAGTCAAAAGACGTTGAGACGTTATACTTGACGTTATACTTGACGTTGCCCCAGACTAAAGCTGGAGACAACATGCGGAGCAAAGTGAGTGAAGCGAATTTTGAAGCCAAGTTAAGCGAGAATGCCCGAAAATGCCTCACCCCCTCCTTCTTAGCCCGTGTTCCCGGTGTAATTCGGGGTCCAAGGCCATTTTTTGACACTCAATTTCTTCTCGCTAAATTGTGACCCACTCAAGGGGTTGTCGCGGATGCACTCAATGGTCTTGGCATGGGACTATACTTGCATGGGGCCCGTATAAACTGAACCTGACTCTTTGCTTGACCTTGGTTGACTTTATACTACTTGATCATACTAATCATACTATCCACTCCTCTAAAATGTCCCCTAGGTCCTCTAAACTTCACTCTTTCATTGCTTCCTACATCGGAGACCTTACTCATTAATCAATTCTATTACTTACCAATTTTCTGAATCCAACGTCCTATCTACCCCCCCCTTTTTTTCACTATTATTAATAACTCCGGCTTAGAAATGACTCTTCAAGCACACCCGATGGGATTCTCCGGTGAATTACGTGCTTTCCAAGAAGAAAAGAAGGGTAATACAGGAGAAAAAAAGGGAAAATAAAATCCTGCCTAGCAGATTATAATATCCTATTATTCCTTCTGTTCTCTATGTTCTATATCAATAAATCCCATCTTCCGTCATCATCCGCATTAGGCTTCTGGAGAAAAAAAAGCGAGTACATTAGAAACCCGCCACCCGGTCAGTTCCTAGACGTTCCTGAACTCTGGGATTATTTCTTGATCACTCGATTCTGGTCTGATCTTCTTTAATCACCTTTCTCCCTCATTCAAATATATCGAATGGTCCTGACTTCAAAATCAAATTTCGGGACTTGAGATCCGGAAGTGATCATTCTGTTCTCATTGCTGCGAGCACGCGACTGTATTCTGCAGCTCAACAATCATCTATCCGTCCCAATCTCTATCTTCATCAATGTTGCCTCCAGTACCATCTCCAGCCGACTATGGAATTACTTCCAATTATGGGTTTCTCTCCCCAGATCTTCCCTTGGAAGTGCTACCAGATCCATACTACGCAAGATGGGAGAGCATTGTTCACAACCTTCAAGCGTTGATTTTGAGCAAACGATTACAGACAATGGTCCAGCATCTGCCTATACTCTCTACCTCAAACCTAAAGACAGATGCTGAGTGGCGTCGCGCGTACGTAGTACTTGTATTCATGCTACACGGTTATGTTTGGAGTGGGAATTGCCCGGAAGAGGTATAGCTCCTTCCCATTGGTTGAAAGTAAATAAGCAACGGACTAATTCAGGTCACAGAGGATTCCCCCTCAGCTTACAGTGCCCTTGTTTGAAGTCTGTGAACGACTTGAAGTACCACCTGTCGCAACCTATGCCGGGGTATGCCTCTGGAACTATAAACCGATCTTCCCTGATGAACCCGCCAATACCCTGGACAACATCGCCTGTCTACAAACATTCACCGGATCCCTAGATGAGCAATGGTTCTATCTGGTGTCCGTTGCCATCGAGGCACGTGGGGCACCCTCCATCCCCCTGATGCTGCGCGCAATCACAGCAGCCCGCACAGGAGATAGCCGAATAGTAACAGACTGCCTCCAACGACTAGCCGAAACAATCGATGAAACCAGCAGCCTCCTCCAAAGAATGTACGACAACTGCGACCCTTACGTCTTCTACAACCGCATCCGCCCCTATCTAGCCGGCAGCAAAAACATGTCCGACGCAGGCCTCCCAAACGGCCTCTTATACGACGACGGCCAAAACCCGCAATACCGCCAATACGGCGGCGGCAGCAACGCCCAAAGCTCACTGATCCAATTCTTTGACATAGTCCTGGGCGTGGAACACCGCCCAACAGGAACGACGCGGGGCGACCAAGTCCCCGCAGAAAGCAAATCCCGGCACAGCTTCATCCACGAAATGCGAACCTACATGCCCGGCCCGCACCGGCGCTTCCTCGAACACGTAGACACAGTCTCGAACATCCGGTCATTCGTCGAAGCGCGTCGCACAGACTCAGCGCTCACAATAGCGTACGACGCCTGTCTCGCGATGTTGCGCGTCTTGCGCGATAAACACATTACCATGGTCTCACGATACATAATCCTACAATCTCGCGCAAAACCCCAACCTCAAACCCCAGCCCGGACAAACCTTGCCACTGCTACGACAGAAAAGAAAAAGATGCGGGGTACCGGTGGAACGGCGTTGATTCCTTTCCTGAAGCAGGCTCGTGATGAGACAGGTGAACCAGCTATTGACGCCTGGGCTAGGAGGTTACTTAGCGATGGGCCTGCTGATAAGACGTTTGCTTCGCTGAGTAAGGTCGGCGAGATGCCTGATGGGCATTTGGAGGTTGTTGGGCTTTGTGGGACTTGGACGGCCGATGACAGTGAGGGGGGGATTTGTCATTGGTGATTATTTAAATTTGATCGACTGCTCAGGTGTTCAAGGTCGTTCTTTACGATTTATGTCGGGCTGATTTTGTTTTTCGAGCGATGCATTGAGAATTTGCGTAGTGTTTTTGCATTTGTTACTATTTACTACTGACAGTGAGCTTTCTAGCTGAGCATATTAGACTGAGCTATTTCTACTTCAACTTCAACTTCAACTTCTAATGTAGTTATGCAGCGCATATAAAAAACAAGCTTTGATAGACTTCTACTAGATTCAACTAGAATGTCCCCATGTTCCTAGAAACATTGAGTTGATGACGCAGGTGTCAAGTGTCAAAGGTTGAAAATGACATCATATGACGTCACTTATTTACACCGTTGCCTACAGCTTCATCTTGATTTCTGTGATTTGTTTGTTTTGATTAGGATCCCCTGGAATCATGTGAAAGCACTTATATAAGGGGAGTAATCTCCCCAAGAATAATTTTTCTCCACAACTACATCTCTACAACTCTACAACTCTCTACAACTCAATACTCCATCTTCAAATAAATCTACAATCATGTCTAACGGAAACGCTTCAACTGGCCAGTCCTACCTGGACCAAGCCACCGGTCTCGCCCAACGTGCCATGGGCACTGTAACCGGCGACTCTTCCACCCAAGTAAGCCAAGCACCGCCAAACCACACCCCGCAACCCCAACTAACAACCTTAGGCCAAGGGTGACGTCAAGAAAGCCGAAGGCGAAGCCAAGAACGATGCCTCGCACACCACCGCCCGGATCGGCCCCATCTCCGCCGACCCCAACACCGGCGCAGTCGCAAAAGACAACGAGGACCGCCCTTCTGGCCAATGGGACCAGACCCTGGGCTCGACCAAAGAAGCCATCGGCAACCTGATCGGCAACGAGAATCTGCGCCGTACTGGTGCAGAGCAGAACGCCGCAGGCAAAGAGCAGGAAGCCAAGGGTCAACTGAAGGACTTGGGTGAGGGTGTTGGAGACCGCGTGCAGGGCGCGCTGGGATCCGTTGGCGCTGCTGTTATCGGTGATCGGGCGAAGGAACAGGAGTACCGCGATCAGCATGATGAGGGCAAGGTTCGCCAGCGCGGCGTTGAGGCTGAGCTTGCTAAGAAGGATGGCCAGTAAGCTGTCTCGCTAGCTTGAGCTTCTTGCTTGATCTTCGTGCGCACTTTGTATTATCATGATTTACGATGGCTTTGCTGTGATATCCAATTGATTATGCCATTTACCTCTTCTGTCATTGCTGTACAGATTTGTAGTTTGTAGAGACAGCTTATTTCTCTAAGCTAGAAGTAAAATGATCTTGCCATGAACTATAACATAAACAGAATGCACGAGATTACTCGCGAAAAAAGATGTGAGGTCGAAAGAGAACATAAACGCCCGGCGCAAGGGATGAGGCTGAAATGTGTCATACAACAGTATGCTGCCTTAAACACAATCTAGCTTGTTAGAAACCAATTCATGGATATCATAATTTATTATTATCGTCTGTGACCCTTAGAGTCAACAGGAAAGCATCTATCTCATCTTGAAGAGAAAGACAAAATCCAACAACGCCAAACCCGGGGAATCAAATCATCTCATCACAAATCACAGCTTCATATACATCCCGGCCAAAGAATCAAGAATCATATCCCTCTTAATGGGATGATCCTTGAAAATATCTCTGACAGCAACATTGCTCTTCAGCTTAGCCTTCATAGCAGCAAGTTTGGAGCTCTCTGCCAACGCCGCACTCGCGGTATTACTCGCCCCAGCACTATCCGTCAGATTCAGACTACCCAGTAGTCCACTCGCATCACCGAGAGCATCGGTAAGGCTGCTATTAGAACTGAGGAAGTTGTGAATCGTATTCTTGAGCAGATCAGCAATGGCCACATTGGCCGTCAGCGTCAGACCGGACATGATTTCTGTATAGTACGGAACGAGCGTCCCATTCCAGGTAATGCTCCTCGTCACCGTATCCAGAGCCAGAGTGCCGTTCTTGAGAGCTGATGCCTGTGAAGCAAGCACTTTGCCCAAATTGTGGAGGATGGTGTTGAGGTCCAGGACACCGGTGAGGGGGAAGGTGTTTGAGCCTGGGTAGAGGGTCACGTCCTTGAGAGTTGCGTTGCCGATGACCAGATCGCCGCTTTTGACATCGAGGATGATGGTGCCCAGGTCCAGAGTTAGGACCGATGGGTTGGGGAGGGTTGCGTTTCCAATTAGGTTGGAACCGTCGTCGAGCTTAGGGGTGAGTCCGCTGTTGGAGATGCTGAAGCCTTTGAATTGGTTCAGGACTGGAGAGATTGGGTTAGTTTGATTGTGCGCAGGTATACACATATATTTTGGGTTGGTTGAGCTTACCTGGTGATGTGATATCCTTGTCCATTGTGACTTTGGACTTAAGGACTCCCAAGTATGAATTCGTCACACCCCTGACAGACAGCGGGGTTTCTTTGTCGTTCACGACATTGTGCACATATTCCACCCAGGTGGTGAGATTGGTTAACGGTGTTTCGACATTGCTCACGCCGAGGGTGGAATTGCCCTTAATGACCATGCCGTCAATGGTAGTCTCGCCCCAGGCATTACTTGCGCCGGCATCGCGAACGAACAAATCCAATGTAATTGGCTCAATGCGCACTGGCAGCGCGATCTTAAGATCCAGTGCCGACTCCAGGGTCAACGAAATCACATTCGGTCGCGGGTTCAACACCGCGGCATTGACCAGGACTAGATTGGACTTGTTGACGACCATCTGCGAGATAGCAGGGATGGCGACAAGGAAACTATTTCAAATTAGCATTTATTCACTATTGGTGATTTGCAATTCATGATGCGCAGGGACACGCGACTCACAAGACTGGCAGGAAAATAGCCAGGAAAATAATAGTCACCAAGAGATGCAGACACCAGAATCGCTTCCAATGGCGTTGAAATTTTTCACTGGCTTTCAACTTCCTCGTCTCCAATGACAAACCACCGGCCGACTCGACCTGAGCGAGTTGAGAGCCTTCGTCGACATTTTTGGAAACTAACGGGCCACGATGTATACCGAGGGAGTATTTGGCATTATTGGAGGTCAGATATGCTGGCCTGTCGTCTGGAACGGCCATGATTGAAATTGACACAATCAACAAAAGAAGAGACACAGAAAAGACGCAGCAAAGAAGCCTAAGGGGGAATGATTATTATAACTATGTTAGCGTGGATTAGTCTAGTTATGAGAGGGTTCGGACCCTCTATGAAGCCCCAGACTTCGGATTCTCCATTGTCTCCATAGCGGGTTAGCGGGTCAACTCCAGGCTTGTTCACAAGAATCAGAAAAACAAAACAGACCCATGATTCAATTGAGTGGATTCATTTCGGAGTACTATTCCTTTCCGTGAATTGAACGATCAAAAATGGGAGGGATCATCGCCCAGGAAATGGCGATCTACTACGAACCGCGGCTTAATCCACCAGAAGGAGACTATTCACATGGGCCGAGATGATCGTCCTATCAATGGATGCAATGGATTCGACCAACAGGAAGACTTGTTTTTTGCCTCTGAATTTTGCGGGGGAAGGTTTTTGAGTCTTGGGGTCTTTTTTAATATGAATGGGACCTCACATCTATAATGTCTACATCGTCCACATAGTCCACGTACATCTTACATTGGTTACTACATTAGGCGTTTACTATGTCTTCAACACCATCCCCTGTGTCCCCAGTGGACGAAAAAAAGATTGACGCCCTCCCAACCTCAAGAGAGAATGAAAATGCGACTACCAGCGACGCGGGTCGTCTCCACGCCCTGGAACAACTAGAAATCCTCCCCAAGATGCTCCAAGAAGGGATTCTCTTCGCCGGTTCAGGAGCAACCCTCCTCCTGCAAGCCGCCCTCCCCGGCATCCGCGAAGGAACCACAGGCGGCCACAAAGAACTAGCCACGGAGCTCATCGACGCCCTCCAAGCCCACATCAGCTACATCTCCTGTCTCGTTTTCGGCACGCGCACAGAGCGCAAGACGCTCATCGACCTTCTCCACAACGGCGAACCACCACTCCTGGGCGGCGGCCGCTCAAACCGGTTCGCGCACCACCCAGCACAGCAGCTCTGGATGGCAGCTACGATCTACGCCACAGCAACAGACTTCTACCAGCGCGTCTATGGGCGCGTGGACTATGCCAGTGCCCAACGTGCGTACAGTGAATTCACACTGCTAATGAACTGTCTGGGTGTGCCGAGCGGCACGTGGCCCGAGACCCGTGCGGCGTTCTGGTCGTATTGGGACGATCAGGTGTCGCAGCTGACCGTGTCGAGCGATGCGGCGCAATTCGCGAAGGATTTGCGGGAGAGCACGGAGATGCCGCGGTGGGTGCAGACCATGAAACCGTTTTTGAGGGCGACGACTATTGAGATGTTACCGCCGAAGCTGAGGGATGATTATGGGTTGAAGTCTACTGTCAGGACGCGGGCGATCTACCGGACTTGGATGGGATTCAGCGTGGCTCTTTATCCGGCCATGCCTAATAAATGGAGGGCGTATCCGTTGAAGTTTTATCAGGACAGGTTGAAGGAGAAGTTGAATGTGGTTTGATTTGTATATACCCGCTCGTTATGAGATTTTGATTTCGGTTAGGGAGATTGATTGGACATTTGTTGGACATTTCATGCACAAGTTTCTAGTTCAATCTCGTGTTCTAATGATAAATGCATACAATGAACGTAAAGAAGTCATGATTCATTCCTATCTACATTGTCTCACAGTGACCCTAGCACACCCCCCAGAAGCTTAGAAATATCCTCGACCAGCTATCAGTTGTCAGTATTGAACCGGAAATGTCATTTGGAAATCCGTTATACATACCGGCGTAGCATCCCCAATGAGGGTAGTTGTGTTATCGACAAAGCTCTTGGTCAGCAGAGTGTGGGCGTTGTTCAAGATATCTTGCAGGATATCGATATTATCGGACTTGAGCAGCTTCGCCGCACCATCGAGAATGGTGTCCAGCTTGTTGATATTATCGGTCGTCAAGAGACCCTGTACTCCGCTCAGAATCTCGGGCAATTCCTCCAGTAAACCACCGGTAGCGGCCGGTGCCGGTGCGGCGACGGGGTTAGGCCGAGCCTCGGGGGCAGCCAGGGCCAAAGGAACCAAGAGGAGAGGAATGAAGAAACGCATTGTGAGGGATAATTATGATGGTCAATGGAAAAAGAGAATCAGTAAGATAACAATATGAATAAATTGACTACAGTTTACACATCCTTATAAGGGATCTTGACTTTTTGATCTCAGATCTAGACCAAGAAATCTCATAGTCTCTCCTGGTTAGCGTAAAAATTAGCTGGAAATTGCCCGAGGCCGTTGAGCAGTTGATTTGACACAGATGTATCTCGGATGATGTGCGACACAAAAGTTGGGACAAAGTCGACCGAGGAAGCAATATAGAATCATGTGAAATAGCGAATAACAGAATTAGGAATTCAAAGGCGAAGAAATGATCCAATAACCAAACACGAAGGGAATACGAGAAGTAATCAATTCCCCCCGCATTCAGGTTTCACCCCCGGATGTCACCTTTTAGGAAGATCGTTGGGGGGTTTGCTGATCAACCCCTTTTTTGAGAAAAGAGCAGTCTTACTCTTGACTCGGTCGGGTTTAGTTTGGTCGTTATCTTCGTTCTTCCAAGGTTGTTGGTCTGTAACTCAATTATGATTCGACGTTCGACCTTAGCTCTCAGGTCTGGGGTCGGAGAAAGGGTCCGCTTGAGTAGCGATCGGCAATGATGCACAGTCCATGTAGGCGAGATGCTTGCTTGCTTGCTTGCTTGCTTGCTTACATCTCAATGAGGCACACTGAGTTCTCCATAGCATTTCGATGGCTTTCCACCTCCGTCATGAACCTGCATATTCATTTATATTAATTAATCTCTTAGGGGCCGAACGGAACAGCATGTGCTTATTGTAACCTATACTCCACTCACTTAGCCATGGATTTGACAAATAAACCATTCAAAATGAGGGGGACAAGGGGTGGGTTTCCTATGGAAAAATCTTGAGATCAGACGCTTTACGTATATTGTAGAATTAAATTCTCAATTTAGGTCAATTCATTCACATATCTCGTCACGTTCGTCGAACCCATCGTAATCGGAAAAGCAAATACGCTTCTCCACTGATGCACACACCGCTGCATCAAACCAGCTAGCCTATGTAACTAGCCTAGCCAAAAGCAAAAATACACAATCATTACAAAGCTAACGCAAGCCCAAGCACCCCCAGCGCCCCCACCACCGAAACAGTCAACCCCGTGGGAGCAGCCGCACTCGACGAAGTTGAGGTCGCCGCCGACTCGGCCCCGGTCGCAGAAGTAGTCCGGGCCTGAGTCTGAGTCTGCGAAGTAGTTTGATACGCCAAGCCCGTCGTTGCAGTCAATGCGCCATCCGAGATCTGCGATTTGACAACGGACATGTAGCTCTTAACATCTGTAGGCAGGGCATTGTACCAGGCTGGAGTGGTGCCTGCTTTGAATTGGCTTGCAAGGGAGCTGCGCTGGTCTGGATTGATGAGTTCCCAGATTGCAGAGACGGGGACGACGGAGAGGATTTCGCCGATGAGGGACTTTGGAGGCGGGGAAATGTTGCCGAAGTTGGCGCTTGCTGTTTGATTGGCAGTCAGGTGTTCGCTGGAAATGTTAGAAGATAAGAGATGATTGTGGGATTGGAAGAGCGATGTACAGTGCGCTTGAGATCGAGGCGAGATTGATGCCATTGTCGGTACTATCTCGGTGCTGATGCTGATGTTCAGCGCAGGCTGCTGCGAAGAGGAAAAAAAGAGGAGTGAGTTTCATGATATCGACTACAGACAGAAGTATAAAGAATCAGTGTATTTGCATAGGCAGGGTCAAGAGTATATCAAATGCTTAACCCCTCTGCACCGATCAAGCATAGTACAATGTACAGATGTAAGCCCTATCTGCGTTGACATCCTTGATCTTGTTGGTTTGCAAGGTTCTAGATCTTGTCTTAGCTCGTCGATCAACCTCGGATACGCGGGGATCAGATGCCAGCGGGGGAATCGCAAGTCGCCACCAGTAGTGTCTCTCGATCCTCGGAAAATTTCGACAATCCCTGTAAGCAGGTTCGAATTGAGGGACGGAGATTGAGTTAGATCCGGTATAGATCAATCAAATGCTTGACTGTCACGGCCCGAGGCTGGATGCGTGATATTCGCCTCTTCCAAGGCTAGGGCAATCTATTCGGGGTCATCAATGCGCACCCCACTGTAGATCTTCGAAATTCCAGTTGTACATGGCATCATCAAAGAACTGAGAAACCAAATCCCGACAGAGCCCGTCTGTCGACAAATCATAGGGTATCCTATCGGCAAACATCAAAGTTTTGAGATTTTCAGACGTAGCCATATCAGATGCAGACACAAACTCGGAAATTTCGAATTCAGGTTCATTGTATGGCCGAGCCGCATCTTTTAGCATCGGCCAAAGAGAGTTGATGCAGAGCTTCGCTCTACCCCACCATCTGCCATCTCATCTATCATTTTAAGACAATTTGGCATCACGACAAATAAGATATGAGATGCTGCTGGTCTCATTAAGAGCTGAGAGCGATATTGCTAACAAGCATCAAGCAAAATGACAACAGCGTCGAATAGAATATGGAGTATTTGCCATGGGTGTATGAGTGTAGCCGAGCTCTAGCCCAGCATACCTTTTGTTTTCTCTACAACATTTTGACAAGCGTCAAAGCATAGTTGGCGTTCAGCAGCGGTGCGTATCGGGAGTCGTGATGCCAAGCGGTAGATTTTAGCCTTGAGATAGTTGTAGAGAACACGTCTGAATAATAGGACTTCCTCTGGAGTTGTGTGGTGCTGTGTTGCATTGTATCACTGCTCGAGGGAGGAGTCGATTACCGAGATCCGTGTTGTGATGTCAGGGGTCGATGTCTCCAGAAGTCTTTGCTTCAATCTCGGAGTATCTTCTTTCAAATGGAGGATACGACGGACTTCAGTCTCAATACCTCGATACATAGTCATGTTATCCGGTTGAGTCTGAGCTACATATTTCCTAGAACGGAGATCAGGCTATATTGAAAGATTCAGTTGTGGTCTGGGCAAAGATGAAGTGGGGAGTGGGCAAACCTTCAATGAGATAAACTCTTCTGGGAACGAAAGAGGAAATTTTAAAATTGCAGAAAGCTTGTATGTCACAAAAAACAATCGCTGATGCATCTCTTTCTTCTCTCCGCCGATATTAGCATGGAGAACCAAGTCGAGAAGATTCTTCCCGCAGTCGCACTGCATGACCATATATATCCACGAGCTCAGGGTTCAAGTCTACATAATGTGCCAGTAGCAACACGGCCTGCAAGCGGTTTAATTTCTGCATCTACACAATTCGCCGAAAATGACGAAATGCCGACGAGAGCAGAGAAAGTGACACTGCTCTCGCTCGTGGTCCAGCTTTTCGATACAAGGAGACCGAAGAGATAGCCAGTACCATGTATGCAACGAATGATTCAAAGTGGCTAATGTGCAATTTGGTGGGTTTGGGATATGGATCGAAAATTACCGTTGAGCCACCCTTCTTCAACGATGGGACAGAAATTTGAGAGACTACTTGTGTCGTGTTGTAGCATGAAGGTCATGGCTCTTGAAGGAATCTTGCGCAATCCGATCCGTTAAAGAGCAGATTGAAGGCAACATTGATAGCATTTTTGTTGAGTTGTTCGTTGTTCATTCAGTTGTCGAAAGGCCTGCTCTGACTCTAAATGCATAGTTCTCGGAATGATCAAAGAGGGAACCGAAGATTCGATAAAATTGAAAAGACGGCAAAGAAAGGGCCTGGAACCGGCATGCCGACTGTGAGAGGGAGTTCTATCAAATCTGAAAGTACATCGTTCTACGTATTCGATGCTCACATTGGTCAAGAGTTTCATATTGATAGCACAGGTTCTACAAGCAATACTCCAAATAATTGAATCTACCTATATGGCCATCTTACACACCGCAGTTATTGAAACCGACACCTTTCACAAGGAAAGCCCGGCTCGCCTTGATTTGAATTCATCTAAAAACAAGCGCTCGAACCTCGATACTTTCCCTCTTTTTCGCCCCCTTCAGTGTCCTTGGATCCCAAAATGCTGTATGAGGCAGTCTTGTTGCAACTTCAGCTCTGTTGTCCTTCTCCTGGCTCTTGCTACCAAAGCATTGCGGAAACGGTCTCTCAAACTCTTGCACAACGGAGAAATACATCCACTTCTGCTTTTGGTTGGGCTGGATCAACATGATATCCCCCGTGCGATCTGGGCTGCGGAATTCGACAGACACGAAATCATTCTCGTAACCGATGGAAACATCCACTAATGCCAGCGGATTGGAATCGACGGTCCCATTGATTGGTCTCCAAACATTGATTATGCGGTACCGATGACCGCCATCAATAATTGACTTGTCTTGTTCTTCGTCAGAGACATGCAGCAAAACACATTCAGCTGCGGCTTTTGCAGACTGATCCACATGCGCTCTGTAAAGCGGCCGTCTGTAGGCATCCAAGTCCTGTCGCCGAATGTTGTGGTCGAATACGATCACTTTATTTGCCCCTGGAATGTTCTTCAAGATGAGATTCATGACCTCTGGATAAAGAGTCACTTGATTTCGTCGTCTGAATTGTAAGTGTCGTACTTATCCTCCTTGCACCTATACTGCTCACAGCCTCAATCTACATGTTCCTCGGTCGTTTGATACGTGCAATAGGGCCTCAGAAATTGACCTTTATCCGAATCAACTGGCTCACCTAAATCTTAGTCGTCGGCAATATCTTCTGCTTCCTGGTCCAAGCAGCAGGAGCAGGCTCACTGGTGAATGCAGACACTAGCTCTTCCGTTACCTTCGCAGAAATATATCTTAGGTGGCCTACTTATGGATTGGACGTTGTCCTGATGGCTGTCATTACAGCCGTCACTCTTTCGTGGTGCTCTGTCAATGTGTAAATCGCTGTTGTGATTCGATTTCTTTGACGTTCAGCGATGGACTCCCATGAGAGGCGTCTGAGAGTTTGACTTTGCCAATTCAGCGCTCAAGTCGAACTCGTCGTTATGTTTGCTTACGGGCTTATGATCTGTCTTTGTCTTCCTCCCAAAAATGTTGAGTTTCTTTTTCTTGGGTATCTCTTTTTGTCGGCACCCTGAAGCTCTGCCCCCTTCTTTGTGAGTCACGAAGATCTCTCTCTATCTCTCTTCCTCTCTCTCTATCATCAGCAATTGTCCGAATACATGCTTGTTTCTCTCTTTTCTTCTTCGTCAGGCCATAACCTCTCCTACTCATTGGTTTTATTCTCTCAGAATACTCTCTTGGTATCGTTGGAAGAATCGAGGGGAGCAGGCCTTCAAAGTCTCGTTGCCCGCCGGTTTTCTTTCAAGGAAATACAGACCTCACTGTCGCACTTTTCCGTCACTTTGTACCGTCGTGCTGTCACACCATCGTGCCTTCGGGACACCAAGCACAAGATCTCATCAAGCCGTCGCGCCAACAAGGCACAGACACGTTACCTAGCGTACGATAACCCAAATATTTCAACGATCCACAAGAATGACCCAACCGTCATCAAAACTGCAAAAAGTTTTTCTGCTCGCCTACGGTCCACTAGCTGAATATATAGAATTTAATGTATGACCTAGTAGGTAGCTATTAAACATTTTATTTCGGGAAATAAATTCACGCAACCAAGACCTAGTTCATGATTAAAGAGATGCAGTATTAATTTCGATCATTAATGTAATTATGGATTGTGTACTCCGTAGATGATCGTGATGTTATCGGAAGGCGTCTCGGACTTTCGCGCAACGAGTCGGAGTTTTGCGAACCAATTCTAAGGAGCCAATCGCGTATCGAAAACCTTGTATCGAACTCGATTTTTCTGTTACGACAATAATCCACTGGACACCGATATCGACTGACTCATTGCTAATAGTCGTTGCGCTATATATTATGTTAAAATTCCCCGTTGTTTCGACCTACGTTATTGGATTCACCCCTGTCAAAAAGACCGCTCAAAGTAAGCCCCAACACTGGAAATCATTCTCCCTTTCACTTTTATTATCTCAAATTAATACATCACCAACAGATTAAAGATGGCATCTTCTGTCTCGAGACTGCAACACAAAAGTTGGACCAATGGGTCTTACTTAATCTCAACCGATACATCCTTGATCCCTGTTCCGACATTGAACGCATGGTTCGCAAGCGACGATTGGTACTGGGCAAAGGCGATACCAGAGCAAGTCTTGCATGAAACCTTACAGCAGTCTCTTTGTTTTGGCATGTATCATGAGTCAGACGAGGCCTCTAAAGAGTCAGAGTTCATGGGTTTCGCGAGATGTATCACAGACTTCACGACATTCATTTACCTCACGGATGTTTATGTGCTACCTTCGCACCAAGGCCGTGGGCTAGGAAAATGGCTTATGAAATGCGTGCAGGAAGTTATTGAGTCCATGCCATATCTTAGACGGTCATTGTTGTTTACGGAAGATTGGAAACGATCCGTGCCTTTCTATAAGGATCTTTTGGGTATGGATTTGCTTCAAAGCAAGCCGCCAACTGATGAAAGTGAGGGTGAAGGATTGGCTGTTCTAATGCGGAAAGGCAAAGGCAACCCTGGCTACCAGGAGACTTGAAAGCCTCGTGTCCTGGCGTCAAACTGCATGAATGATGATTGATTATGAAGTGACAAGAAGCAATTGGCACTTTTAAATTCAACTGGAAAGCGTTTGTACCTGACAGTGCTCATTGATTCCGAGAATGGAATACTTAATGTATAAGGCTTTTCTATTTTTTATATGGATACATAGATAGTTCAATGTTCTCTCACTTTCATAAACTCTAATTATCGTAATTCACATACCGTTTTATTCATGGTGCATTATCTTCACTGCTAATTTGATCTAATAGCATGCCATAGATCGTGTCCGGTGCTGATAGGAGAATCATCTGCATGCACGAGTTATGCGACATGTACTTTAATCTGTGTATCATCGATTCACTTAATAACTATTGGGCTAGAGCGATCGAAGTCACTTCTACAAAAATACCAATTAGGTCGCAGCACATAAATGTGTAGGATGGCTTATTGACGCCACGCCCTTAAAACACATACATATGTACCTAACGCACCCGTCAATGGGTGTCTGTTTTCTTGCCTATGCGACGGATCAGCCTTTCTCTTGGCCGGTACTTGTGTACCAGTATAGCGCTTGTGAACTGCTACCTCAGTGTTGTAACACGTCACCTAGTTGCACAGCTCGCTGGAGAATTAGAAACGAGGCACTGGATGTCTTCAGGATTTAAGCATCCACATCACATTTACTTTCTGACCTCCGATTTTCATACCTGTACATTTTCCGACAATGAAAGGAATTGCACCACATTTATTGCACTGTGCAAATTCGACATCAGATACTTAATTCTGTCAAAATGAAGCTAGGTCTGCCTGCAGCGTCTGCACACTCGTTGCAGTTAGTCCATTACCTGTTCTTTCCGTTTGATACCGCCATTTGTAATTCTGAAATTGACTAGTACTGTGGAAAAGACTGCCAGAAGCAACACTCGTTAATACATAAGCAGTCCTGCAGGTCTTCATTGAACAGAGCGGACTGGCGTCCTGCATGGGACCGTGAAGCTCGTAATCCTGCATGGGCTACCTTCGCAGCTATGAATAATCTTCATAACCCCTTTGGAGATGTCAGGTATCTGTGGGAATACGCACCGGCGATGGATTCCCTGCAACTAGAGAAAAATGAGGGTTCTAATTATGAAGAAGATATTGCCCCCGCGATTAACGTGCAATTTATAGCCTCGGGAGATTTGAGAAATGTAGTAAAAACCAATCTCAGTGGGGACTTAACGGGTGACAAGGCCTGGATCCAACCAAAGGAACAAAAAGAGACAGGCCATCCAATACAAAATGAACAAAATGGACTTGAGGACAATAATTTTGGTTATATGTACATGATTAGGACATTCCCAAAGAACCAGCAGAGAATGGATACCCTTTTAGCCAGAACCAGACGCAGAAATCTCAAAGCATACAACCATTGTCCCTTCTTTTCATTCCAGGTCTTGATGTTAATTTTATCGCACGGTCCCCCAGCTTATAGCCACGCTTAATTGCCATATAGTGAGGTGTTTCTTCCCCCAGGCCAGGTGACGTATCCACAGGTAGCTGCTGACAGGCCTTGAAGGAATCCTTCGGGACCCAGGTAGCAGCCGAACCATCTTGCCCCGGTTTAGGCAGTTGAACGAGGGGAAGCCGGGAACTAGGGTCGAAGTTGATGAGGATAAGAGCTTGATGATATGGCGGGAGATCGGGCGCATCGACTGAGTAGATAATTGAGCGTTCGTCGGCACGGCTCTTCACATCGCCGATGCGCGTGCTTGGACATAGTAATTGCTGTAATGCAGGCGGGGCGTCATGGGGGGGCCACATACACACGCCGCGAGACTCGAAGCGTTCTTCGGAACCTTCTATAGGATTCCCGCTTTCGTCTATTTGGTTGGGCCGGAAGAGTCTATTTCGAGTGCCTTCGATTCCTTCCTCGTCCATGGGGGATTTGCGTTTCCGGGAGACTGTGCGGAGACACAGTCTGTCTCGGGTGCGGAGACCATCGCTGAGTTGGTTGTTGACTAGGTCAATGAAGGTGGATGCGCCGAGGTGATAGCTGCTGTGTTTGGTGCGCATTGGTATGAATTCCTGGCGCTTTGTGGTGCCGGACTCATATTCGGGGTGATACTGGCAGTACAATCGCTTTGTGGGTCGATCGTGGTAGGTCTGTCTGTCGTTTAGGTTGTTATCCATGGTCACCCAAGACGGCGTTTCCACCTTGCCTTCTGAAAACGGAGCCAGTGCTTCTTCTGGTGTGGGGAGTCGCTGTGTGTAGTATGTGCGGTGATTCTCACTGTTCCCGTTGAACCACTCACGACGGCATTCCAGGATAACAGGTCGGCCGGTCATTTCATCTTTCCGGATTGAAAGATTAGCCCACATTTCATTGGTGGGACCTTCTTGCTGTCGACGCCAGAAGCGACCGTTCCATTTGCGGCCCGACTCCCGGGGCGCATGACAGAACCAATGATAAAAGGAAGAGTGAACTACGATATCGCCTGTGGGCACTTTAATCGAGACTGCATAAAGATGCTCATCGTGCATCTCAAAACACAATGTCTCCCCAAGACACAATATTTGCTGATGGTCACCATCAACCTCTGTGTCCAGTGGGAATTCAATGCGCGCCGACGTGACCAAGTCCATACCGGTAATCAACCACATATCATCTGTGAATGTCCCATACCACAGATAGGAACGGGTATGACGGACGAAGATAGGCGCAGATGCAGGGACAAACACCTTTAGCAGCAGGCGTTTGCAGTTTTGAGCCCTCACATCGAGAGCAAACAAGGCGTCATGTATCGGAGTTATACCCGCGACCCGGAAAATCAGTATATCATCACTGTAACTCAGCAACGAGACCTTGTGGACCGTTTCCTCTGTAGCATCGCCATTCAGTAGTTTTGGAAGGAGTTGAATCAAGTCGACGACGCGCTCTTTATTATCGGGCTTCACGCCATGCACGTCCAGCAGACGAATTTGATTTTGAAAGCGATAGACCAGGTAGCCCTGGTTATAGAGAAAGTCTGCGGCAAAGCCGAGGCAGGCGACCGAATAGGGGTTAGCGGTAGCGATAGCCTCGTGGATGTCAAAGCGCAGGGAGATCGCCTGGTAATAATCGGACTTGGCCTTCATGGCCGCCGCGCCTTCTTTGCTGTAGAGCTGACAATTCTACCAGGATTAGGCATGTTGCTAGGGAGCGGTGAGGAACGGGGAGACGGGACTGGACGTACCTTAACCGTCTTATGGGCTATCTGTTCATTCTTGGCGATCGACCTGAGGGCGCCACATGTTCGACTGAGATTAATGAGGTCGCGGTCGTCTAGCGAGGTCGCGATTTGGTAGAAGATATCGAATGGCAGATTAAGCAACGTCTGTGGGGTTGTCTCGGTGGTCATTGTAATTAATTAGATGGAGAGAGGGTTAGGAGGATGTTAGCCCTTGACAAAGAAAATAAAGAGACGGAACGGAGTAGAAAGGAGGTCAAGGGCTAAGTAGATCATGATGGCTTCAAAGGTAGGAAGTGTAGATTTTATGAGTGAGATTGATGAGGCTCAAAGCAGGAGTGGGTTGTAGAGCCGCCTCGGTATGCTAAGAGGAGTCATCAATTTAATCCAATTAGCATGACGATCCCTTGATTAGGTTTGCTTACTGCGTATAATATTCGATAATTCAATTCCTAATTGAGGTTCCACTAGAGAGTAAATATAGAGTTATCAAATAACATTCCCTGAATAGGCCGGCTAGATTTTCCACTGGCATAACGTATGTGAGGCAATGTAATGAGGCAAGATGAGGCAAAATGAGGCTCTTGTCTTGTTCTGTTGGGGGCTGAAAGCGGGACTACGCCCCAAGACCTACGAAACATTTAGGCACCTTTTCTTACTTGGTTAGGTTACAAAGTTTATCACACTATATGTGTAATGATAATAATTACCCAGGTAGTTCATCGGTCAGAAAATGCACGCTATCTCGTATTTCTGCATAATAAGGGGCTCGAGAGTTTGTTTCAAGGGTTCTCGGATCTCCGATGCAGCTTACATTACTTAGTTCGGAAATACCTGCGACTGGGTACATAACTGCTTTTTCCGGTACTTAGATACTCTGTACATATATTCTCTGATATAAAATACTATACGATCGATGACATACCCGTGGACCTGGGTATACGACAACTTATCTACCTGAGACTAAGTCTCGGCTTCGTACTCTATTTACTAGATTCACATTCTATTTTTACTTCGTAGATCAGAGTCATGTGATTGCTCACGTGGCCAGCCAAAAAAGTCGCTGCCTAAAACTCCGGGCGTTCAAATGTTTCTGGTTTACTGCTTACGTTTACTGTGAGTGCAAGGTGTTTGGGTGGTGGAAGATATTTTATACACACATACATAGTATGTATGCATAATCAACTACGACATGTCATATCATACACTAAATTCTCCAAATTCGTTAGAATGACACATATATTTCCAACTAATACACTGATAGGCCATTCATCTGCAGCCCTACCGGTGGATCCCTTTCTTCTAATTAGTTGAAAGAATTCTCCAGATTCCGGTTAAACTTATCCATGGAATACTGGACATACGTACATTGTCGGCACCAGTGCCGAGAAATTGTTAGAAGTCGGGCGTTGTTGCCCTGAAGTTGTCAAAAAAACCCCGATCTGCGACCCACTAGTCAGCCGAGTTCTTTTTAAACTGTTCAACTCTTTTCTACTTTACTTTTCCTCTTCGAATATCTGACATTTAACATTTTCCAAAAATGTACTATCATCAAGGTCCTCCCCATGGTCCTCCTCCTCCTCCTCAAAGACCTCCTCAAGGGCCACCCCAATGGGGTTATCCCGGTCAACAATGGCGGCAACCCCCGCCTCAGCCCTATCCCCCTCAGCCCTACGGCCATCACCCGCAACCGTCATATCCAGGTCCCAGCCATTCTCCTTACCCACCTTCACCTTATCCTGCTTATCCTCAACACCCTCCCGCTCAACCTCCGTCTCCCTATGGTCACACCCCCTCTCCTCGACCACCTTCTCACCAGCACAGTCTAAGTGCGCCTCAGAATGGTAAATTCCCTCTTTGAATGACGAAGGCGTATCGCTCATCAATAATAGGATACCCTCGAGCAAATTCGCCAAGTTTGCCCCCACCCCCACCACAGAACTTTCAACACTTCGGTGGAGGGGCGCCATCAAACTACCAGTTCCAGTACTCAGCCTGTACCGGTCGGCGCAAGGCTCTGTTGATCGGAATCAATTATGCGGGACAACCCAATGCATTAAAAGGCTGCATCAACGATGTCACCAACATGTCCAGCTTCCTAACCCAGCGATTTGGCTACAAAAGGGAGGATATGGTGATCCTCACCGATGATCAACGCAACCCAATGAGCATCCCCACCAAGGCCAACATTCTCCGCGCTATGCAATGGCTCGTCAAAGACGCTCAACCAAACGACTCATTGTTCATCCACTTTTCCGGCCACGGTGGTCGCACTCCCGATCTCGACGGCGATGAAGACGACGGATTCGACGACGTCATCTACCCGCTCGATTACCGCACAGCGGGACACATCGTGGATGATGACATGCACGCGATCATGGTGCGACCACTGCGAGCGGGCGTGCGATTGACGGCGATTTACGACTCGTGTCACTCCGGTACAGCTTTGGATCTGCCATACGTCTACTCGACACAGGGTGTTCTCAAGGAACCAAATCTCGCGAAGGAGGCAGCGCAGGATTTATTCAGTGCATTTACCTCGTACGGACAGGGTGATTTATCTAGTGTTGCATCGACTGCGATCGGATTCTTCAAAAAAGCAGCGAACGGTGGATCCGCTCGCGAGCGCACACTGATGACCAAGACCTCACCAGCAGATGTGGTCATGTTTTCAGGGTCCAAGGACACACAGACCTCGTAAGTGGCGTCGACTTAGGGCCAATAATCGAAAATAAGGTGCTCGAACTAACCCCGAACAGGGCGGATACATTCCAAGACGGACAGGCGCGTGGGGCGCTGAGCTGGGCATTTATTAAATCCCTACAGCAATGGCCTCATCAAAGTTATCTGCAGCTTCTCAATACGATCCGGAACGAGCTCGAAGGAAAATACTCGCAAAAGCCGCAGCTCAGCTGCAGCCATCCTCTTGGTATGTTCGATCGGTGGTGTCACTCCAGACGCGCGGCTGACAGAGATCTAGACACGAATCTTCGCTTTGTGATGTAAACGGAGGCACAAGGATTCATTGGAAATTTTCCAATTCTCTACACTTGCAAGTAAAGATTAACGTTTCACGAATCATGTAGTCAAATGAATGGGTATTCCGAGTCCCCGAGTCCCGAGTGCGGGGAAGATTTACATGTAAAATTACAGCTACTACTCAGCTGGGCTAGTCAACAAATATTCGAAACTAGTGTTGAAAAATGAACAAAAAACAAATACGAAACTCCTCCACCTGTGGGCACTTTGGTGGCTATGGTTCTTTGCAGTGGATCCCGAGGAAAACTCAATAGAAAATGTTTCTCAAGGATCCAAGACACTGCGGATGACTAGCATATAATTAGAGATGAGCATGCAATAAATAATACCAAGCCTACTAGACTTCTAGCTTATTGTTAGTATTTTATACTTGTTACTGTACTGTAGTTCGCAAATGTCTCTCACATTTTCTATAAAAAAAGCATAGAAACATGGCGCCATACCCCCTGAGCGAGAATCGGACCAATCAGATTAATTTCACTAAGACTTCCCGGTGGGAACCGTGGATATCATGACTTCGCCCCTTGGGACTCGTGAACACGGACCATCTTTTGATTCATTGCGTCTTTTGTTTGCGTACGATGTATGTTTTGTTTCATGGAGTGTGGGAGTGTTGCGAATTGATACACGTTGGCCGCATATGAATAGAATGAAGATCGTGGCTTTGTTCGGCCGCGTCATTGGATCGAACTGTCAAATCTGAGACATGATCTGATAACTCGATACTGTACAATTGTATGAATGCTTTTTTTGCTCTCGACCATCGACCGCCGTGTATAACTTTCTATAGCTTGGTTAAATTGCAAAAGTAGACAGGTACTATGTCGACATATCCCATAACTATACGAAGTATCATATTTTGTTCACAAAATGAAAGGAGAGAAGTAAATTACAGTCATCTACGTGTTACACGGGACGGCGCCTGGTAGTTTTGGGACTAAATTGTTCATGTCTCTGATCCACTTTTGGTCTTTTTTGGAATACCATGGAGATGGGCTTTTTTTTCTTTCTTCTTGCTTCTGTCTTGCTTCTTTTTTCTTCTTTACCTTCTCTCACAAACGTAACGACCACATCAAAAAAAGGGCAGCGATGTTGACCTCCTCAAACAACAGCTCCTACTCCTCCAGCGTCTCCTCGGAGCCCAACTCCCCACATCAACCACTCCCGGCCCGCCGATCCCCCATGGCAGTCAAATACCCCCGGTTCTACTCCTCCCCAATAGACTCATACACCGATTCAACCCCTCTGGAAGTCTACGGCCTGGAACAAAGAGAACCCTCCATCTACGGCAAACCGCCCAAACTCCTCCGCCGCGTTTCCCACGCCCTAGGCGACATCCGCGAAGACTTCTCACTAGACACAGAGAAGCTTAAGCGCCGCTCAACAATCTTCTTTGCTCCCGTCTCACCCTCCGAAGCACCACCCACTACATCTGACGGACCCCGTTCGCGCCCAATGTCCATCATCTCCGACAACTGGTCCGCACCCACGAGGGGACTGAGCCAGCGCATTTCAAGGCGGTTGTCTGTTTTCTCGTCTCGGGGCAAACCCACTGGGCCCAAGGGCGCGAGTATTTCTTCGCCCAATCTGCTTGGGACTTCTACTCAGTATGGAAATGGGAGCCAGGCTTCGTTTATCTAGGAGGATCAAAATTGGTATGGTGGATTTATACATACATTGCGCACACATGGCGTTCGGGATTTTGATTTTCGGCTGTGCTATCTATGTCCACGGGGTGGACATTTACATTCCTTAATATTGGTTTTGATTTTGTATTTACTTCTGCGCATAGCTCGGTGTCTGGAAAATGGGTTTATTAATTTATACTCTTATATTCAAATGTTCTTATATTGCAATCATTGAACTACCTATTCTGACTATCGCCAAATAGTTCCTAACTATTCATTCGATACATGAGTGTGATATATCGTATATCACATCCCTCGAAGCCACTTTGTATTGCAGAACGCTAATTGCGCCACCATGCAGTCGGCATCGCACTCCCGGCATTAGCGGACCGAGATGCGTCAACGGCTAAAAATATAAGATGCGCATTTTTGAAATGCGACCGAGCATGAAACGAAGACCTCGGAAGGCAAATACCCGTTCAACGGAAAGCTAAGTTTCTAGTTATGTGTAGTGCTATTTAGTGCTATGCAAGGTCCTCAATTGTGCCCACACGGTTCTCCGATGGGCTGATTATTGTGGGGATGTCTGAGGTGTTCTTATCGGACTTCTCCATTGCACCATGTAAGCAATTGTAACTAGGTAAGGAACGTATGTAGGTATGAATGTATTTCTACTTAGTGTATAGTACTTTCAATAGTGAGATTGCAAAATTCGCCATTAAAAAAAGTCTACTTGGTCTCAACCCACTCAACATGCTCCCCAACGGGCATGACACCCTTCACCACGGCAGTTCTCTCGAGCTCTTCATCTTCGCGCTGGATGTATTTAAGCGGACGTTTACGGCAAATGGCATCCGGATCGCCTGTCACAATCAACGATGGATCGGAGCGGTAGTAAGCGTCGAGATCCTCGAGACTTCGGTTTGCTATATAACAATAAGTAATAGGCACGAAAGTCCTAATTATGTTGAACGTACCGGTCTCCGGGTAGAAGAAGTAGAGAATTGGCAGGAAAGCAGCATTGCTCACTGTCCAAACTATCCAGAATTTCCAGCCAATACTCTGAATGCCGATCGGAGTGATTTCCACGACGATAAAGTTTGTGATCCTAGTCACTGTTAGAGAAATCAGCATCTCAACCAGAGCAAGACTTACCAGTCAGTAGCGGTCGCAGCCGCAGCACCCTTCGTGCGCATTGGCAAGGAGTTGATCTCAGTAGGATACAACCACGGCACACCGAGCATGCCGATGCCAAAAGCGCCATAATAAAGAAAGAAGAACGCAACGGAGGCATTAGCATAAGTCTGCCCATTAACACTGACTTCCGAGTATCTCAAGAGAATCGTGATAACGAGGAAACAAATAAATTGGGCAAAAGTCGAAAGAATCATCAGTCCTCTTCTGCCCATCCTCTCAACCAACAGAACCGCAATCCCCGAAAAAACCAAATAAGAAACCGCATTACAAGCAGACAGCAGCCGAGCCATCTTCTCAGGCAAACCAACCGAGTTCGTCAGTACGGTAGGCATATAATACGACATGATATTAATACCGCCGAACTGCTGCATGAACTGCGATCCAACACCGAGAAACAGCCGGCGCAGCGTCTTGGTATCGTTCTTCTTATCCTTCTTCAACAAATCGCGCCAGCGAACAGCATTCTGGCGCTCGTATTGAATACTGTATGCGATTTCATTCCGCTGAGTGACGACAATAGGGTCGTGAATAGGTTTTGCTTCCAAACAGGCCAGGACCTGGATTGCTTCTTCTTCTTTGCCGTGGGCGAGGAGCCAACTTCTTTCGTTAGATGATACTCGGTAAGATTGGGGTAGACATACCGAGGGGACTCAGGGAGCCAGGGCGTCGTCGACCAGAGAATGAATAGGAAGACGAATTGGAAGGCGAGGGGGAATCGCCAGGCGACTGAGCCGCCTGCAAAGGAGAGGCCGTAGTTTATCCAGTTGACCAGGCAGAAACCGGCGATGTTCATCATCATCTCTAGGATGACAAGTTTGCCGCGCCATTTTGCTTGCGAGGTTTCAGTTTGCCAGATGGGGGCCGTTGCTGTGTTGATACCTGTGGCTGTTAGGATGGTTCAGTTTGACCAGTGTGGATATAGGTATTACCGTTTCCAACACTAACTCGTTAGCAAGAGAATATACAATCGGGGAGAGCCACTGACCCAAGAATAATCCTCCCAACAAACATCTGCGGCAGACTGAACGAACTAGCCTGGAGAATAGCACCAACGGCCATAATAGTCGTGCCAAGAAGAATGGCTTTCTTTCTACCCAACCGCTCACCGATCGTGAACGCAACAATCGCACCGAAGAAACAGCCTATATCATAAATTGCTGTGACAGTGGACAAGTCCTTCGTTTTCGAAGGCCCGACTAGATCATGCACTTCGAGAAAATCCTGCGTAATAACCACGCCACCTATACAGTGAGACCGAGTATCCAAGAATGGAATCTGCAATCAATTCCAACTTACTGAAGACTCCCTGATCATACCCAAACAAAGACATATCAGTCGCACAAGCAACCTAACCTAGTCAGTATCTCAATTGGACACAGGTAAACGGATCAGCCGAACCGTAATCCAAAAAGTGAGCCATCCACCCGTCAACCCGAAATATGGCCTTTTCTCAGTCATTTTGAGTGGAAACAAATACCGCAATAATCGCGCTATGCACTACAACGTAAACGGGGAACCGCATGATATTTATATTTACATTTCTACAGATATTCCAGTCCCAACTAGATCCGACATATAGGTAGCATACGCAAGGGGCGTTAATAATCTCGGCTGGACCCCGAAGTCCGGGGGGATTTGCGGGGTTGGATGGGGAGGGCAATCATGGCGAGTGTCAAATGGTGGGGGTGGGATTGGTAGTCGAAGCGAGGATTTAGCTTGATCGACGCGCTTACTTACTTACTTGTTGGTTACTTTGTCGGGCTGCGGGTGTGGGATTGTTTCGGTTGCGTCACGCCTTGGGCAGGGGTAGAGGGTAACCGGGATGGGGGCTGAATGTCGTGCCGAGGGATATCTTTGGGTTTGTCAATTGTATGAAGGCTTGCAGTTGGTCTAGAGCGTAGATAAGAGTGCTGTGCTGTATGGACTTGGGATTGTAGTTTGATTCTCCTTGCATATAGCCAACACGGGTGATTCCGTAGGTCTTATCCAAATCTGTGAGATAGGATCGTGGCCTCTGACCGGTGGGGACTTATTTCTTTAGGCTGAAGTAGAGCTAGTCTTAGGCTAATTTCCCCCAGACCTAATTGCATGCGTCTTTTTGATAATTATTCTATTCGCAGTCAAATAGCGATGTGTTAACCAAATTATATTGCATGTCTCGTGAGTGGATGGTATAAAGGCATTAAGGCTGGAGAAATTTAAAAACCGATGGAACACCGAATGACAACAACGCCATGAAAACCTAGCTCAACACCCCAACCGGGATGCAAGCACTAGATTCGACAACTTCTGCAAGTGTCTACAACAACAAAACCATATACGCCAAAGAGATCCCCCTATGTTTAGGACATGGAGCCAGTCCATAGTCCTCGATGCACGTGCAGCCAGCACGCCATTTCCCAACGTGGGCCCAGCGCTGGGGGCGTGATCTGATCTTGGATGAACCGAATCAAAGGGTCACGCTCTCCAGGTCGCGCATGACAATTCCTATCTGAGCACGCTTGGCGGCCTCGGCGACAAGATTGAAATCCTGCAGAAAAGGCGCCGTAGCAGTTGGCCCGCCCAGAGCTTCTATCTGGTGCGGGTTTGTCTGGGCCGCCGGAGCAGTCGCCGCATTCAAAGGCAAAAGATGGGGATTCGTCGCCGGTGCAACGGGGGCGCTCTGAGGTTGATTAATGGCATGGGGGAAGGCCTGCAGTTGTGCCGAGGCTTGGGAACAAGAGGACTGAAAGACTTGGTTTGTGGTGGTTGATGCGGCCTCGAGAGTATTTTGGGTGCTCATGTTTGACTTGAGTGGTTGGAAAGAGGGGACAGGCGCTTGGGGTTTGTATGCGGATTGTAGGGTCGAGTTCTGTAGGGTCGAGTCCATGACGTCGGGCAGAAGGGACCGAGATTCGAGATTTGGAAGTCTAGCGATAGGGGAGAAAGGGGTCTTGGAGGAGGATATTTGCAGCGAGGATAATGTTGCTATGGACAAGATGATGTGATCAACCCAGGAAGGGATTGGGCGAACTGTGGCAAGTAAGGAATTCGAAGCCGCTGATCGACGGATGCAATATGCGGAGACTAAGGTGTTGAGCCTTATCCACCAGCCAAATTTGACTTTTCGAAGTGATGAACAAATGTGATCTAGAAAAGAAGAGCGAAAAATGAATCTCAGAGATATGAGACGGTCAGAGCCTTCAGGGGCGCATATGGCTTTTGAAGGCGAACTGCAGATTCTCAGTTGCTCCCGACATTTATCCGCTAGTATCGTGGTATTGTGAATGTATCTCCACGCCTCTCTCCACACTGTATTACTGTATATTTACCTGTCACGTGCTGACATGTGCTCGCACGTGATATCCAATCTAACATTTGCAGCTCTATTCAGAGGGCAGAGAATAATTGATTGAATAAACAGTTTAATATAGTCAATAATAAACATCCCACGTAAGCTGACGATCATTGAATGCATATGTAAATATGCTGCATGTATGCAGGTAATGCCTCGGATTGCCTAAAATTCGGTCTGCGGGGGATCAACAGAATATGGTATGATCGTCCAAACGTAAACCTCTACAAGCTTTACAGTCTTTACAGTCTTTACAACAGTTACATATTTCCATCCCAAGCCGAGGGATCCGGTATTAGACAAAAATCTCTGAATCCCGAAATCAGGCAATGGGCCGAAAAGTCCAGTATTGATCCCGAGATTTGCCCCGCTACGATAAGGAAATCCGATAAATATTTTTTTTCTCCAAAGACAATAAGCCCATTGCCGCCATGGCCGACGATTTTGATTCAGGGGATATGTTCCAAGACCCGGAAGGGTTTTACCCCGAAGAGGCACCTCCTACTTTTGCCGACCATTGCATGTTGTCCGGCCATAAAGTCCGAGTTCGTCTCGTCGGCAGCCACCCTCTCTATGTACGATATCAACGTCAGTCCGATGACCCAGTTGCACAGACAACTAATCTAAACAGGGAAATTTGCTATGGAATGCCGGGCGTACCAGCTCTCATTATATTGAGGAGCACACCGAGCGTCTCATCCGAAACAAGGATGTGCTCGAGATCGGTGCCGCAGCGGGTGTTCCCAGCATCGTGAGCGCCATCCAAGGAGCGCGCACAGTCGTCTTGACCGACTTCCCAGACGCAGATCTGATTCAAAACATGCAATACAACGCCGATCTGTCTGCCGCCGCCATTCCAGCCAGAGAAGACGGCAAACCCCGCCTTCACGTAGATGGCTACAAATGGGGCAGCGATGTCAGCAAGCTGAGGGCGTATCTGCCACCCGCTGCTGATGGATCTCCTTCCATGTTTGATCTCCTTATCATGGCCGATGTGGTGTACAGCCACCGTGAGCATCCGAACTTGATCAAGACCATGCGGGAGACGATGAAGAAGGACCCTAATTCGGTTGCTTTGGTCATCTTCACCCCCTATCAGCCATGGTTGCTGCCCAAGACTGAAAAGTTCTTCCCTTTGGCCGAAGAGAATGGATTTACCGTCACTAAGATCTTTGAAAAGGTGGTTGACGCGGTTTTGTTCGAAGATGATCCTGGTGTAAGTCCATGTTTGAATTGACACGAAAAGGGGTTAGAACTAATAACTTGCAGGATGAAAGATTACGCAGAACTGTGTTTGGATATGAGATCCGATGGTCACAAGAGGAATTGGAGGGTTCATCCAAGGCCTAATTTGATACCTTTGGAACGATGACATGATAAATGACAAAAGTCCATATAGCATTCGACAGAACTATGTAGATATTAAAAATATACTCCATTTTCTATAACTTTTCTTTATCAAAATTTGCCATACTCAATAGTCAAACGAACAAACACATTCATGTAGATATTTGGCTATAGTTGACTAGATGCGGGGTCACATGCCACAGTCCCCCGCAAGAAAAAAAAAGTCCGCCGAAACAAGCCGCAACCACCAACGATGCCGGTATGTCGAGAAACCTCTCTTTTCTAAATAAATCTAACAAAAGCGCTAGCTCATCATTTTAACCGGATACCCCTGTTCGGGCCTCACCTACCGCGCCAATCAGCTAGCATCCTTGATCGAAAAACACCAAGATGAATTATTTGCGGCCGCTGAGGCAGGCGCACCAGTCACATTGAAGTCCCGATACAAGATCCATGTGGTCGCTTCGCATGACTCTTCCCACACTCGAATCGTATACGACCATGCCCGCACAGAGAAAGAGGCGCGCGGAGTCGCCTACGCCCGAACCAAGCGCGTGCTCAAGCGAGACAGCATTGTCATCCTCGACGGAATGAATTATATTAAGGGATGGAGGTATCAATTATGGTGTGAAGCGAAAGCTGCGCAAACATCATGCTGTGTGGTATGGAATTGAACTATGAAAAAAACATAGTGCAACAGCTGACAGGTGTAGGTCCACGTCGGAACACCCGTTGACCAGTGTGTCGCCAACAACGACGCTCGCCTGCGCCGCGACGCCGAAAAGCAATCCCAAGGCGAAGATGTACCATCCTCCGAAAAGAAAGATACCCCAACCGATTACGACAATGAAGAGGCATACCCATCCGAACTGCTCAACAACCTCATCTTCCGCTACGAAGAGCCAAGCACCCACAGCCGCTGGGACAAGCCGCTCTTCACAGTTCCCTATAGCGACCCCACCCCCCAGTATCAGACATCTTCGAAGCCTTAACAGGAGTCGTCCTCCCAACAACCGAAACCCCCGCAACCCTCCCAATCCTAACCACCGCCCTCGCCTCAACAACCATAACCGACACCGCCAGCACAGCAACCGGCACCAAAGGCGGAAAAAGCTTCGCAGCTCGCCGAATAATCCCACACCAAGCAACCGTTCAAGCAACAGCCACCGACTCTAACGCAATGTACGCAATGGAAAAGCGCACGTCAGCAGTCGTAACTGCCATCCGCAACTTCACCACAGCCCACCCAACAGCAGACATTGCGCTCGCACAAAGCAGCATCTCAGACGGCCTTGCAATTCCTGTGCCGGACGTCTCAGTCTCTGTCCTCGTGCCGTCGCACGTCGTGTTATCAGGCACGACGGAGGAACTAGCCGGTGCGGGTGGTGTCCTTGCGTTGCCGCGGTTGCAGCGCTTGCGGAGACAATGGATTGGTTTGAATCGGTCTTATATTGGGTTTGGACATGGCGGTGGTGCGTTGACGGTCGATCAGGTTGGGGATGCTTTTGTCAGGTTCCTTAACGCTGAGTTTTCGGGGAATGCTGCGGGGACTGAATAGATGGCTTATACTGTATACACCTGAAATATAGTGCACGAAGTAAATGATTCATGGTCTTTTAATTGTAGGGTATCTTGGGACCAGTAATAAGCATAGACACAACCTGGTGATGATTTTTGAACCCGACTTGCCCTTCAAAATCTGCAGTGGAATGTCTCGTAAGTCTTGCAATCATAAATAAGCGAAAACAAGGCATCACACCCCCCTTCTTTCCACCCGATCAACAAACAGCCTCGACAATAAGGGCCGCCTGTCCTTTTCCCAAGCATCACCAAACTCAAGACACTCATCCCGCGTCCGAATATCTTGAGCTCCGAAAATGTGTCACGGGATGAATACATATGTCACTATTACGCGGGGGCCTTGTAGACAATATCCCTGGAACAAAGTTCGAATCCTAATATTGACATGCTTGTTCTAAAAATACCGTTCGAGCCTTTGAAAGTTCTGTTTGAGGCTTCGGAGCTATAATATGAATGACTCACACTAACCTTTCCAGTATACATATGTAAATATTAGTATAGATCTATAGATCTATAGTGATTCAACAACTACAACTATTTCTACACATTTTCACAGATTCACATATCACATTTTAACAGATCTAACTCAATATGGATTCAAACCTCCAACTACATACAATTGGCCACGGTGCTTGCGGTACAGTCTGGGCATCCGAAACTGGTCCCGCCTACAAAAGAGAAGATGGCAGCCCATCGCGGTCCCTTCAAAACGACTTCGAAATGCATCGCCGCGTCATCCGAAGCCACCAAACACTCGCAACCCTAAAAGAGATCAAAATCCAAATTCCCACTTGTCACAACTTCATCAAAGCAGTCGACAAGGAACGGTGGTCTGCAAATTTACAAAGGTTTCCATCAGGCTATACCCCATGCAACGTACTTCAGTCTCAGCGTATCCCACCATTTGGAGAACCTACTAGACAGGTTCTTTATTCAAGGTTTCTGCTCAAATGAGATCAAGCCATCAATCCTCAACAGCAAACCTGATGGAGACTGCCTAGTTCGGCTTTACCTAGGCAGACGGCGAACACAAATGCGTACATCAGAAGCCTTGCCGCGGTTGAAAGTGTTCTCCTTGCGAAATTACCCACTACATGAAGACCAAATGGAACAGCTGGGAATCTCAACCAATGATATGCATCAATACGCTCAAAGCATGGCAGAAGCACTTGCTATGATGCACTGGGTTGCGGGCATAGATGGAAACGACGTGGAATTTGTTCTCGCCCCCTCAATGGCGATGGCAATGGATTCTCTAACAATACTCTTGGAGATCATAGCATTTGGATGCTAGATTTTGATCTATGTAGGAATATGGCAATGAATAAGAATGGTGTACAACAAGCTGTATCTGCCTTTGGGGAAATGATCCTTAGTATCCTCGGCCAGGTAGAACCCTGTAGTACACATTCAAACATCAGTACATTCAGACCAGCGATGAATGCTTGGAACTTTGTCATGCCCGAGAAAAGAACAATAGGGCCTTGTTGTCGAGGTTGTTTATTGAGCTTGTGGAAGCCTGGGACAACGAAGTCAACTAACTCTACAAAAGGCTCGACCACAACTTGATTTGCTTTTATTTCTTCTCTTCTCTTGCAACTGAGCCACGACTCATGCCTTCCGTCATCTGATCTCTGACATAATACTCATAATCCCCTTGAATACTTTAACCTTGTTCATTTCAATGTGAGTATTTAGTGGAATTTATTTATATGGCAATACTGACTTGACTCGAATTCATATTATCATGGCTAGTTGACGCGATTTGAAAGCTCCCTGCAGTTCATTCCAGGTATCGTAGATCGCCTAGGACGTCACACTTAGCCAATAAATGCTAGGCTCTACAATATTTTTGATGGAAAGTATGCATAATCAAAATCTCATTCAAATCAATGTATCAAAACACAACGCAAACGCAACATTGATCTATCAACAAAAATCAAGCCTATCGATCATAGACCTTATACAAAATTCTCTACTGTCGATCTTCTGCCACCCCTTTTGCGACACCGTATCCCGCTTTGCTGTATCCTCCGCATAAGTTCGGGTCTTCCCTGTGTCAAGAGATGGGTATCTGGACCTGGATTGGAACGACCCAAGTTCATGGTGCCAGATCCAAATCCCCCGAGACTCGCAATCAAATCACGAGTTCTCAAGCGTGTACCACGCAGTCCTGTCCAGTCCGTGGCCGAAATCCCATTGGAGATCGGGTTGACCGAATGGATCGGCCAATCCAGCCGAAGTAACCTCGTACTTCGGATCACACTGGGTCCTGTGTTGAAGTGCCTGGCCAGCAAGCGGCCCGGTTTAGCCGGGCAAGAAAAGGAAATAAGAAAATCCTCCTGGTTGTTTCTATTCGTATAACAAGGTACCGCTTTTAGGAAACGGCATCTCAAAACCCCTTCACGCGGGTGGCATTCCATTGGAAACTTGAGATCCAGCCTGGCTGGCTTCAATTTGACGGTAGTTCAGGCCCAGAGAGAACAGTTCCTGGAGACCGGCATTTACCTTCTCGTGCATGGAAATATCTTGAGGCGAGATGTTACCCAGTTCCTCGAGCAGACTCGCACGGCACTTGTAGAAGGTGTTCTCTGCGCTCTGGAGACGCTGTCCAATGGTAACGGAAGCCTGGGCAGCCTTAACAGAGCCAGCCTGAGAGTGAACAGAGCGGGTGCGCTTCATGGTCGGGGCTGGAGTGGTACCGGTGACTCTCCTCTTGCGACCGGTGGATTCCTTTTTTTTGATCTGGCCAGCACCGGGTGAGGTCTCGGGGGAGCTGTGGCGCTCTGAAGTGGCATAGTCGTGGACACGACGCATGTGGTCGTAGAGGTTCCATCTCCTTGGGAATCCATTTCCTGGGACTGCGCGCTCACAACCCTCCCACAGGCAAAGGTGAGGATTATCTCCGTGGCCATGTAATCCGTGAGCTTCCCTTTCGTGGCGGAACAGGCAGGCATTGGAAGAGAAACGGAGCTGGGCATCGATACAGGCGGGGACCTTGCAGCGGTAGGGCTTCAGGTGGGAATCCAGGTACTTGCTGTTAGGGGAGATCTGTTAGTTGGATTCAAACACCAAAGGTTATGTTTTCATCATGGGAGGACTTGCTGGTAAGCGCATTTTTGCGTGGTGGGTGGGTGGTTGCAGGGCTTCTCTCCAGTGGCAAATGGGCAGTAGTATTTTCCGTCGCTGTGGGTGGACATAGAATAATATTGGTGCTCTCGTGGATTGCGAGACTCGGCACTATCCTTGGACCTTTGGCGGGCTGGCTCTCTCACTGGGAGGGCGGGGAAGAACTCTGGGTCGGCCTTCTGAGACACAGCTGATATTCCTGAGCGACGGGATTGCTTGGAGGGTCTGATGGTTCTGGAATATCGTGGTTAGGTTTCAGACCGTTTATGGACTCTGTCCGCATGTCTTTTTACTCACCTGTTGAGATCTCTGTCGTTGATAGAAGTGCTAGGGAACAAGGGCTCTGCTGGGTTGATTCCATGGACTCCGAGGGGTGATGTGGTGAAGTCTCCTCCAAGAAGTGCGTCATCAGGGGCCATAAATGAAGAAAATCCCGGGTGGGAGCAGGAAGTAACAGACATATCATTACTAGCTTCCGTCAGTGGTGGAGAGACCGGGGCGGTCTGGAAAAGACCTGACGAGTATTGTTCCATGGTGGTTCCTGGGTAATGGGCTTCATGCATCATAGGGGTCCATGATTCGGCAATGTAGTGGCCGTCATCTGTGTGAGAGCTGTGTCCGATGGAAAGAGCATCATCTGGCGTGCCATTCCTGGCACAGACATCATTTTCAACAGAAGAGAAATCCAGGAAAGAGTTATAGAGATCCCGGGACATTTCATGGTCATTCATGTCAGGGACTGCTGGGAAGTCCACGCCTGGGTACATCACATCATTTAATCCGACCGTGGGGGTCATCAGCTGCTGAGACAGCGAGAAAGAAAGCATGTGCACCTCGGATGGGTCTTGCTTTCTGTCAATTGAGTCTTGGTGGTTCAATGTCCAGTTCTTCATGTCCTGTGGGTTTCCATGGGCTGTCCGGATACTTGAGCACAACGAGGAGCTGTCATGGCTCGACATTTCATCATCCTGGATTGCTCTTGAGGCAAGATTTGACATTCCTGAAACCATTCTGTGCATAGGCTGAGAGATGGAGACTCGGTCAGAGTCACTGCTAGTCCGTGGGGACATTGTGTAGTTGTATGTAAAAAGAACACTGTAACACCAAGCGTTAGTTACCGACTCCTCGACGTTTAATATTGAAATAAAAAATAAGAAGGCAAAAGAAAACATGAGAAAAAGACGAGCTCCAAGGTCCAGATGTGATTGGATTCCTAGTTAGAGTTAGCATTGACTTGGCTTTGTCGGATAATTATTAAAGACGCACCAAAGCCGATTTTGTGGGATAAATATTTCCGAGGCGAGAGGGTTGCAGGGTCCAGTGTTAAGTCGTGGCTTCTGGGTTCGATTCCAGGTCTGTTGTCAATCCAAGGGTAAGTGGTGCCAGTGTTAAGAGGAAACATTCATGGGCGGAGCTACTATATGTTGAAGTATCCATTGGAATCCAGGTAAGTAAATAGGCGAACTTTTTGTTGGCCAGAAATGCATCAGGTTTCTTTCAAGTTTATACGGCCAGTATCCATGAGTAAATGGCCTAGGCAAAGTTTGACAGCGGCTGCTTCATAGTCCATAGTCGAAAGTGCAAGCACATTAGCTTGTGGGGTTCCTCGGATGTATCCTGGTTTAAATTGAATCCATTATTGTTGAGATAAAGTGGCCATAGTAGCATAAGAAGTCCAGGCAAAGTCATAATCAAGTCCATGAGTGGTTCAAAGTGGTTCATTCCAAGGCGTTGTTTCCATAGGCAGTAAAGGTAAAGATCCATGGAGTAAATCAAAATCCGCACTCAAACTCCGGTCTTAGAGTAGAGGCCAAGGTCAAAAGGAGAAACATCCAGGGCAGTCCAGTGGTAGGATTTTGTCGTGATGAGTGTGCAACATTAAACACATCTCAAAGAGATTCACTCAGCAAGCTGAGGGCAGGCATCCTAGGCAAGGTGCATCCATTGTCGCCAATATTGGCAAGAGTCCGACTGGAGAGAGGTTCTAAGGTCCTTGGGTCCATGGAAAGAGAGAAAAAGATAAATGTCGATGTCCTTGGCAATCACAGTTGACGGATGGGTACAGGTCCAGATAAAAGAAAAAAGCAACGCATAGGAAAACCAATTGTAAAGGAAAGGTGACGGAAGCTACCTATTAAGTGTTTGTCGGAAATGTGTGGACAGACTAAAGAGAAGCCTGGGAAATAACAGTAAAGCAAATCCTGTCCTGGGAGTATATGGCAAAGAGATCCTTGTGGCAGATTTGATAGTATCAAAAACCAGGGAGATATGGGTTAAAAGGTTGTCCTTGGTCCAGGGACTAGGTCGTATATATCAAAGTGTGAGATGGTATAAACAGTGTCAAGAAGGTATGTGTTGTATAAAAAGGGGTATCCAAGGTTAAGGAGAATAAAGGAAAGAAGAAGAATAGAGGGGGATCAGCGGCTTTTTAGAAGACAGCAAGCGAGAAAGCTCGGACTGTGGAAAGGATTGTGGACCAAAACATGGCGTGTGCCAGTCTTACATCGTGCATTAAACGAGTGCGTTGTTGGCATCATTGAAAACCAACACCAGACTAGCGGTGATAGTATCTGCAGATTAGGGAGGGAGGGGGGTGTTCGTTTGATGAGTGGATGAATCTTTTGTAGCGGTGAGACAAAGCCGGCGCTTTGAGTGCTTGGCGAGAAGTATGATTGGTGATGAATGCGGGCTGACACTACATGACGATGTCCGAATTGGACGATCGGCAGGTCCCCTCGTCGCGTGTTGATGAGTTGGATGGAGAATGGTAGATTTGTGTGGAGGAGAAGATCCCACGTCGGAGAAGGACGGGAAGTATACTGCGGTATGAGGTCACTACGCTCTCAGACTACAACACATAACACGTACAGTATAAAGACGATATATGTACAGCGAAGTATATGCGCAGGATGAAATTGCACGTTTGAGAAAATACTAAATTATCAAAATATAAATGTGATTCATCTAAGATATAAGATTTCCTAAGTAATTTATTGGCCTCGGGGTTAACGGGACGGGGCGGCCCAGACCCACGTTGGGCAGCAATGCAGTCCTTCTCCTATTTTTCAGTCAGTCAGATTTTTCTCGAAGATAAATTTGCAATAAAAAATGCGAGGTGATTGACAGGATCAGAAAAAATGAAAGATGGAATATGTTTTCGTTCAAGAATCCGAAGATTTCAGGTGAACTATGCTTTAAATATTTTTGTTCATCATAAAAGACGGGTGCCCATATACAAGTGTGTATGTGCATGAAATTTAATGAATAAGAATGCAAGGCTTACCTGTTAGCGGGAATTGTCGGAAGGTGACTTGTCAAACATTATAACAGACTCAGCTAAGAGTGTCAATTGGCGATTCTGATTGATGGAAAAGTGTGTGGAAGAAAGAAATGAAAATTAGCAGCGAAAAGAAAAAATATATGATGGTCACGTGTTAGACTATATGTTTACACTGTTTGTCTTGTATACTCCACTTTACTACTCTATCGACCTACTCCGTACAGCGTACTTCATCTGTGCTCGTCCTTGCATGATGGATTGGACAGGCGGCCAGCTGCAGCGTCATCACACTCGCTCAGGCCTACTGACCAAAGCCCAGAAACAAAATTTCGCCAAATCCAGACTCCATGCAAAGGGCACGGCCATTCTCCCACCCTCTCCATTTCGCAACTTTCCAGACATCAAGGGCTCGAGCACCGAGAAACCAGAGACAAACAATAATCAGTCAGTCAAGCACTGTTGATTGCTTTGACCTTGTTTCTCAACTCATCTGACCATCCTTGCGCTAACCCGGTCTTACGGAGCCTAGATTGCCTGCAGAAGAACCGGTTTCACATCCGCCTGCAGTACACCAGACACAGTTTCAGAAATCGGGTGCCAACGAGCTGAGTGATATCAAGCGACAACTTCTCAACGAATCCGATTGGGCAGCTATATCAGTGACACGTCCCCTTGAGCTGACATTCACGTCCGCCGAGGAAATAGAGCGCTTTGGCAAACGACGAAGATTGAATGATCAAGATAGAAAGAGACTGGTCGCAACTAACAACAATGGGTCGACTTTTTTCGAGCTGCCTGAACGAAGGGCCAGAAATCCATCGTCCGTGATCGATACTATTGAAGGAATCCAGATCGAAATTAATGGACGACCGGTGAGACGGTCCAATGACAGCTCCGACGTTGCAATTAGCAGTCTCTCTTCGCAATCAATGCTGCTTGATCATGAAGGGTCCGCGGCATCCGAATGGGAAGAGAAAGAGAACCTAACAGCTACCTGGATTACCAATCTGTTTCCCGGGCCAAACTAAGCTATGATTAATGGGTACATTACTTCAAGCTTTTGGAGTGAAATTCTCTTTCCGAAGAGCATATAACTACTTACTTCATATCATGCAGGCATCTTTCATGCGTGGGCTAACGTTCGATGGTATGACATTATACAGTACGCTCTACATAAAATTACTCCTCCATTCAGTCAACCTATAATCTGTATCACTGTTCTCATAAAAGATTTTGTGCTTGACTTTCTTGATGTTTCTCTCGATTGAGCATGTCCCAGGGTACAATTCTACCACTTCCAATTCAATTTATATATCGACTCTCTCATATTGATACTGACTCAATCTCCTCACACCGAGGAGTCTATTCCATCCATGGATGTACCTTATCATTTCAAATATCCATACACATCTGAAACAGATCCTCTCACTGTGCCTGTAGTCCAGTTTCTGAAGCTCAACCGAATGCGGCCGCCACGTGACCCGATTTCCCCAGATAAACGATAAACAACGTCATCCCAAGTACTCCAACCATCTCCAATTATCAACACAGAATTCTTGTCACCGCAAGATCTAGTACAACACCATGCGCTCCATCCCTCTCCTGGCCACACTGGCCACAACCGCTCTCTCAATCGTTATCCCTCAACAAATCAACAGCGAAATCCAACTCCCCCTCGTAATCTGGCATGGCCTAGGCGATGACTTCGAACGCGAAGGCCTCATCTCCGTCGCCTCCCTAGCCGAATCCACAAACCCAGGCACCTACGTACACCTAATCCGGCTCGCAAACGACGGCAGCGGCGACCGCTCCGCAACATTCTTCGGCAACGTAACGCAGCAAATCGAGCTGGTGTGCGCACAACTCGCCGCAGACCCAATCCTGCGCAGCGCGCCAGCGATCAACGCCCTCGGATTTTCGCAAGGCGGCCAGTTTCTCCGCGGCTATATCGAGCGCTGCAATACCCCGCCCGTGCACAACCTCGTTACCTTCGGCAGCCAACATAACGGGATCTCGGAATTCGAGTCCTGCGCTTACAACGACTGGGTCTGTAATGGGGCTGAGGCACTGCTGCGCTCCGGGCGGTGGACGAACTTCGCTCAGTCGCGCGTCGTGCCCGCTCAGTATTTCCGTGATCCGCGCGAACTGGACCAGTACCTCGAGCACAGCAATTTCCTCGCTGATATTAACAACGAACGGGAAGTGAAGAATGAGACTTATAAGAAGAACTTGGCTTCGTTGAATAAGTTCGCTATGTTTATGTTCCAGGAGGATACGGTTGCCGTTCCGAAGGAGAGTTCGTTGTTCTCAGAGGTGAATGCTACTACTGGGGAGGTGACACCTTTGCACGAGAGACCAATTTACAAGGAGGATTGGTTGGGGCTGAAGCAGCTTGGTGAGGCGGGGAAGCTGGACTTCAAGACTATTCCTGGGCAGCACATGCATTTGTCTGATAAGGTGCTGCGCAAGGCTTTCGAGCAGTACTTTGCTCCGTTGGATGATGAGTTGTCTAAGACTTTACCGGGTCTGATTGTGCAGCGTTCTCTGTGATTGTGCCGAAACTCTTTATTTGAGGTATCGATGTTCCGTTTATAATATACCCACAGACATTATTTTATTCTAGATATAGTTCAATCCATGCCCCATGGCGATTCTAGCCACTGCTTTTACCAAAGGAGACTCATAGTCTAACAACGTCTATTTTGTGTCTACCGACAATGTAGCTAAGTACAAGATCATGCTGCGACTGCCGCCGCGAGCCAAAGTAAAGTTTCCAGCTAATGCTTAAGAACAAAACTTAAGCTTTGGATAATATCCTATGTAAACGAAAAAGAAAAAAGAAAAATTCATGCATGGCAAGGCAGTGGGGATAGGAAATGAAGGGGAGAGGCAAGAAAAGAAAATTATATAGACATATGAAGAGCCAATGAAAATAGAGGGCAGATTCATATTCATATTCATGCTCATCGAATTGACTGTACAATGTGAAGAACAGATTCAATAAGGAGGCCGCCCAAGACCCCCACCAGCCTGCCGCCTGCTAGGATTTCTACTGAGCGGAAGCTTAGAGACGGTTCTAGCAGTCGTAGGACGATGTCCATTGAGAGAGCTCTCATTAGGCGAGAGGAAACCATCAAGGAGTTTCTTCAATTGATCCTGGTGGCTTCCATCAAGGGCATTGGACTCATAGCCGTCGACGAGCTCCGGGATTCCAGCTCCGGCGAGGCTGTAGTTCGAGCGACTTTTGTTCCGGTTAAGGGATGGGATGTTGGCAGTATTGGGTGCGACCTCGGATTTCTCATTTAATGAAGATTGGCGCGAGGGACCTGGGGCAGTGGATGGACGGTCGGAGACCAGGGAGCGTTGGGAGTCATGTGGGAAGCCGCCTGGGATTGAGAGGCTGGCTGGGATTGGTGGGACGGGGGGGATTGCTTCGTCTGAATTTGCGCGGCTGAGAGACGGTGCGTTTTGTGGTTGATCTTGCTTGTCGCCCGAGAGGACCATCGATGCGGCTGAGGCACGGGGAGTCTCTGCTCCGTCGTCATCGGGAATTTGTTGGACCTCTGGTTGGATGGAGAGGGCATCTCCGCCAATTTCTGAGACAGAGAAGTTGCCGCTCATCATGCTCTCGCTCCCAGACGAGCTGATGCTAGCGTTGGAGGCGTCTAGCTGGCTACGGAGTGGGCTGAGTTGTCGCTTCTGCTGCGAGTCGTTGTTGATTGATAGAACACGCCGAAGTTCATTGATGCGAACTGGGGATCCCTTGCTAGAGTCTTGTGATGACGTGCCTGAGATCTCGGGGACGCTCATGCGGCGGTTAAGCTGTGAGCCGGCAGGAGAGCCATTTGCGGCTCCGTTGGGTTGATTGTTGCGAGCGTTCATAGTGTTGGTTCGAGACCCATTAATGGAAATGGTTTTGGTGCTTTCCTTCTCAACGGCTGCCAGACATGCCTCGCGAGACCACGGAGACAGCATTTGCTCCCTCACAACGGATGGCAGGCCTCCCTCATTCTGCGATAGTGTTACTGAGGAGTGTCCGAGAACTGGGAATGTGAAGCCCCGCGCAGGCGATGTATGGGGGCTTTGTGGAGGAGATGAGATAGACTGGCGGTAAGCTTCATCGATCAACCCGACAAGTCCGTCGACATTGCGGAAGGGTGTCAAAGGAGGTGGCGAGGTGTCACTGTGGGATTTCTTCTCGTCATCAAAAGAAATGGCATTGAGACCAGTTGGAGGGAGATGAATCTTGGTGAACCAATACCCTTGGCTCTGTCGATGTTGAATTTCGTTCGTAATTTCAAGGCCCACGGGGGACGTCTCCACGTTGAATTTCTCCGAGAGTGCGAGGAGGTATCCGTGAATCAAGCCACCAATGTTTACGCGGGCTGCGAAAGAACTTAATTCGATCGATGTGAACAAGTCATCCTGCAGTTTGAGGACCATCGGGAGACCGAATTGGACGGCATTCACCCCGAGGTTCTCGACGAGACTTGTCAGAAGCAGATGCAGCAGGAGAACCTCGGCATCGTCGGTTGCTGCTTCAAGCGCAGAGTCGTAAACAGAGAGATGAAGTAAACGGAGGAAGTTCGACTGTGCTGCCAGTACCGCTTTCTCCCGTTGGTTTCCAGGAGCCGAGGTGTTTCGCCAATTTAGCTTGTCCCCCTGCTCTGAATCTCGCTTCGATGTCGTCTTGATATACTTGGGCACATCGACTCGTGCCTTGAGATCATTCTCATTGGTCTCAAGGTTTAACCACGACAGGAAAGCATCTGTATAGGCGTAGCGAACATCGCGATCCACGTCACGGAGCAGTCCTTGGGTGCCCTGCCAAACATGAATCCCGACTGGGTGTCTGGATTCTGCACCAGACAGGTTCAATGGTGTCCTCGAGTTAGCCACAATCAAGATAGACTTAACGGCCCGAAGAGCAGTAAGCTTAGCTGCAGCATGCGAGAAGGTTTCCGGGGTTCCCTTTTCGCCATTTGCCTCTGAGGAAGATCCTGAATCCACGTGCGCCACCCCGCTTTCGTGAACTGTAGCCAGGGTCGATGGCGCAGAACTGTCATTGTGAAGAGTGGGTTTGAACCGCTTGAGAATTGCACGCATCATGTCCGTGACTTGGTCTCCGTAATAGATATGCGTCGCGAGATCTCCAATACACTGCTCTAGCAACGTGAGGAGATCCTGCCGCCGGGGAGAGATTTGATTGACATCATCCTGTCCATTTATCTTCTTTTTTGATTCGCCAGACCCAGTACGATCTGGAGGCGACAATATATCAGAAGCGTAGTGCATGAGCCCGAATAGAATGTCCATCACGCTGAGCCCAATCATATTCACGGAGGATTTAAGAAGCCAATCGACCACAGAAAGGATAGTGAATGACGCCTCCAGAGCATCCTCCTTGGGATTTGTGTCGTGTAAGATTTCCATTGCTGTGATCAAGATAATGAACCGAACCTGCACCGGACACCACTTCACGATCAATTCAATCAAAGACGTCGCCCAGCTCCCACTTTTGCCCTCGATAATCTGGCCGTGTTTCTCATTCGGTGAGGAACCCTTGTTTGAAATGAATCGCAGAATGACCGTGGCCGCAATGCGAATCTGACCACGGTTACTCCCCGAGACAATGATTTGCTCCAGGCAGCGCAGAGCCATAAGCCGAGCATCCAGTTCCGCCTTCCGATCAGCGTCATCTGCTGATCGCGCTGCCAGCTCTGGGTCACCCTCTGCCGTGTCCACCGTGTGAAGCGTGTTAACACTCATGCGACGCGGTTTGGGTGCATCGCTTGAATCAGGTTCGTGAAGCTTAGCCTTCAACGTCGTGAGAAGTTCCTCATCGCCAGAGTACAGGTTTTCCAGGATGACCGGCAGACAGAGCTTGAGTGAAGTTCCTCCGTCGGCAGCCAAGCTCTCCGAGCTAACCACGCCTTTGATGGCTCGCAAACCCGCATTTCTCCAACGGATCGCAACCTGCGGGCTGAATTTGGTGTTTGTGTTGGATACGAATTGCGGATCGGCGAAGCTGGCGTAAGTGCGCACGACTTCTCGATATTGCTGCGCCAGGCCATGATCCGCCGCAATGGCCCCAGTGTCCTGGTGCTGGCAGAAGATCTCGAACGGCACAATCGATTCCTCCACCAAGGTTATATCATTTGATCGCAAGACGGTATCGATCACCGTCATGGCGGATCGGGCGTAGATCGGAAGGTCGCGAGGAACCTTTTCAATAAGCGCGGCGAGAATGTGGAGCGCCACCTGAACATTTCTGTAGAATGAGATATGTCAGCCATGCAATTTTCCAACTCGATGGGCTCGTCATTCCCGAAATCTCGTTCCGCTCACCCTATTCTGCGTCTCCAGACATCCCGGGCGACCCTCTTTTCCAGGAAACCGCCGACTTTTATCAGCTTGCTGCGGCGAGTGCTGACATAGTATAGCAAGTAGGAGAGTTCACTCGGGTTCGGTCTGACCTCCGCCACACCCTTCTGGTATTTAGGATAACATTTCAACGTCAAGACCTGGTGTTTTGGCCGACAAGACTGACGAACGGACTCCATTGGAGGATAGTGCGCAGCTTCCAGGTGGCGGAGTTTAGGAAGCGAGCGGATCCGTAGGGAAAATCGATCGAAGACCTAAGGTCCAGGTGTTCAAAATAGATGTTTAGTAGATGGCCATGTGAAAGACGTTGGCAGAAACGGTGGACGCGAACGGGGGTATGAGGTAGTGTTCAGGGCCGATCTCCAGGGGGTGGGGCTCCTGTCGTAACCCCGAAACGAGTACAGAAAAAAGCAAAAAATAAGAGAGAAATTAAATATCAAATAGCAAAATATGAAATGTGTTTCTAGGATTCTGGTGAAGGAAAATGCCACGAAGACAATCGATGACGAGTTGTTTCGAGTTGGGCAATCCTGAAAAGGACAAGAAGAAAAAAAGAATCAAGGTTGGGCCGCGGAATATTCGCCCGTATTGCTGCTACAGCGGCCTTTTGATCTCGTCTTTTTTGCTTTACAATAAACATATGTACTGCTTTTTCTACTATTTTTGGTTGATCTCAAATTTAAGATGATTTTTTGATCTTTGCTATGGTATCTAAGTCTAATTGTCACTGTGTATAGCAAGTTCTTTCTCTCAGGGGACATCAAATTGATACTTAGATCATTGGTTCTTGTCCATTTTGGGAAATCATGTATCCCCAACAGCGCTTGGATCTTTGTTTTTCCCCCCGCAATTGCCATTCCACTGTCCATTAGGAGAGAGTGTGTGTGATGCTTGAAAATCGGGGTGGTTGGATCGACAAGCCCGGAGCCTCGGTCGCACATGAAGCAAAGCACGTTCAAGCTTCCCCCGCCTATAGCTCAAGAGCCCGAGTTTTCCGGTATGAACGCCATCGAGAAAAAATGAGTAAATGCGTCGTGTAGATCCTTCAATTATTCAAGTGTGTAGGTTTTTGTTGGCCAGAATATGCAGGCCTCAGTCGGGCGCACAATCCAAGGCTAGATTCAGAGTTTAAGACCATCATGTCTTTCCATTTTGACCGTCTGGTTTGTCGTCTGCAGCTGTTGTGTCGGCCTCGGTTGAAGGTTCAGGCACACTGATCCCTACCAGCCCTTCGATGACTTGAGGTAAGATAATATCGCGACGGAAGGCGTCCTCTTGAAGCAACCGGAGAGCTCGAAGTGTGGGACCGGGGTGTGTGAGGAACTGGGAGTATTGAGGTGTCTTCCAGTAGGAGTAGAGGTAGGCTAGGTATGCGGCAAATGCCTGAGCATCTGGTGAGGAGGAATCATTGTCATCGTCGGCGCGGGAGATGCCCAGAAGACCGGGGTAGGTGACGGCTAAATGCGACAGATAATATGGATTGGCAAGGGATGAAACGAACTCGAGCTCGAGTGTGAAGCGTGGATTAGTTAATGTTGGAGGAGGTTTCTCAGACTCCATGGCGTATTCTGAAGTTGTCAAAAGGGTTGAAACTGCCGCTCTCCTTGAAGGTGAAAGGGCTACGGAAGACGGTAGCGTCCATCTGTCCGATCTTCAATTTACATATGTAAACAATTGATCTCATTTAAAACATATGTATATATATCTCTCTCTCTATATGTTTCATAGAAATAAAGTAAAATGAATGTTCCAAAAGTGACAAATCAATGAAGTACACCAAATCCCAACTCATCCATTTCAAGATGTTAACTAATACCATACAATGTAGGTATGGAGGGCGAGATCTCGCGTCTTCAACACCTCTCAAGCAGACAGACGGCTTATAAACATTCTGGCAGGACGTAAATGCTGCCTGGTGGCGGGCTTGAGCTTTATGAATATCCACCAATGCCGTCCTCTTGTTTGCCATACCAACACCATCTGATACAAGGTCAACACTTCCCATCATTTTCTGAGCACCAAAATGGCTATGCAAAAGCTTGACTACCTTTAACGTTGGAATAACACACATTCCATGATCCAAGCATAATTCGCCGCTGCGCACCTTTCCTCATGAGTACCCGGCGAACTAATTAAAGTATCAAGACAGGCCTGATCTAGCTTGAATTACGATATTACTTGCTTCCAAGCTTCCAAGTCTTTCTGATGGATGAAGCCCAGTGTCAGGCCCCCCTTTGATTCCGCCTCATTAATATTTTCTTTCATCTTTTCAGCCTCCCGATCGGTCCCGGGGGGGGCGAAGTCGTGCTTTAGGGCTACTCCCTCGGTTTCAACCGCGAGAAGCCACCCGTTCAATGAGGGTGATAGCACATGTCATGTTAACGTGATTTTGTAATAATCTGACAAAGCCATAATCGATACTCAGGTAACTACTAGGTAATTACGGGATATGGATAAATTTATAAAAGCGACAAATGAAACGTTCTAACTATAATCAAGTCACATTGTCTATTAACGCGAGGACTAATCATTTTGAAAAAGAAAAGAAAAGAAAAAGAAGAAAACCAACAGAAAGATAAACCCAAACCAACGTACCCAAGCCAACTGCTTTCACTGATTCGAAACACATCTCCCAATAGCGACTTATCGGAAAAATTCCTCCCCAACACGGCTTCAAATCTATACAAAGCATGCTTCAAAATTGGATGTGCGTCATTCTGAATCGCCTTGAAACGCATCGCAGAATGATTTGCCGCAATGGGGCCTGAGGTATCGGAAAAACAAAGGCAGCCAACCTTACTTGAAGGGAAGCCAACCTTTGGGCAAGTTCCCTAAAGCGCCCATGTTGTGACCATCATGGCTGTCCGGGTATCTGAAGTCCGCAGGATCAGCATCGATGTCCGGGTACCGAAAGAGATTGGAGTAGCCATGCCCGGTCTTGCTTTGGGAGCTCTCAGAACGACTATACTTGGAGGAGCCTTGGGAGCTTGAAGGTTTGTTAGATCGCCTGTATGGGTTTTCTCGGGTCATTGGACTGTCTTGAGTATGTAGCGACTCCAGGGCTTCTGGCTTTCTTCGACTTCGGAGAGGTTCTCGGGGCTGTGCTTTTGTTGAAGCATTCCTTTGCTTTCCCGTGGGCTCGTCATCAACCGGCCCACCCGCAATGATTGAGATGAGATTCTTACGAAGGCGCTTGATCTGGAGGATTGAGAGCATCGTTGGTACCGAATTCAACTTTTGCTTCAACTCGAATGGACCGTCACCGGCTGAAAGCGCCTTGCCTTTCATGATCAAAGCTAAGTCGTCTATGGCGATCTCAATGTGTGGTCTTTGCAGAGATGACAGGTCGGATAATATTGCTTCATATACCCCTTCTTCAGTTGCGTATTTTTTCCTGGAGCTTCCAAAAATCCCCATGTTGGTATATATGTATGAAGAATTCAAAATGGACGTAGAAATGATGGATATATCCAGAAATGAAATTACTCAACTGCGGATTTGGCCTTTTACAAATAACCGTCCATTGCCCTGGCTTCATCGCCTTCGCTTTGTTACTCGAGATCTTTGATGATGATGATGATGCTTTATACATAGCATCATGCGGAAGCCTTCGTAAATAAATCATTCTTTCATTCATCCTTTGTTCTTTCGAAATTCGAAACATTTTTATCAGAATAACTTCCATGGTCGCTTTTAGTATGGTCAAATTCTCAAAGCCCTGTCCTAGGTTTGACGCCAAAGTCATGACACGACCATATAGATCATATTATCCTATTGGAGAAGCGCACTCGCAAATTACATCAAAAAAGTCAATGTAGTCGGCTCCGAGGAGCAAATATAATTACCCCCCCCCCCAAGCGTTCAATTGGCTTGCCCGAAATCGTATGAGTAAATATGTCTTCAAAGACATGCACAACCCTTAAGTGGCACTCAATCGAAACGTCGAGGGTGATTTTTAGACAAGGGACATCTGAAAAAGCACAAAGCCCTGCCTAGTTTTACTCTCTTACTCCCATAGCCAATTCAATCATTCACATTAGGGTTTTGCCTAGTTGGTTTTAATGAGACTATATAGGATAAGGAGCGACTAATTCGACCATACAATAGGAAGTTCCGTTTATAACAAGGATTCGGACGTGGTGTTCTCTCGATATATGGGTAAATATGAATTATTCATATATTCATGAGTATTGCGAATATGAATAAGAGATTTATTCATATTCATATTCGCAAATATTCATGAATATTCAGATTCCTTTCGGAGCCCTACTACCACATGATCGCACTTAACCAGGGATTGGCTTTCTATGGGATCATTCCATGTCTTATCTTCCCTGGAGAAGGGACTAAAAGTCGACCGTACATCGCAAGCCACCACGGGTCTTGTCGGCGGAAGTTTATTGATATGCAAATAGTCAACTAGCGGTGGTGCTTCTGCACTTCATCTGTAAGTATTACAGAAGAGATAAAGGGCGCATGTTAACAAAATGATTAGACAGAATGAGAATACGGATGAGACTCCAATGGATATGAGAAGTGACGATCACCCCTTTGTCCACATCCTGAACTTCTTGTGGCAAGTCAAAGGCCTGTCTGACGATGCTATTGTCTCTGAATCGCACTCAAGTCAAATAATCTTGCCTTAGTACATCGCCTCCCCGGAGAGGCGATGTACTCCGCTTGGCATGGTCAAATTCATGCAATTTCGGATGTTTCTGTGGGACTTGCATTGATGGTTTCCTTTCCAGTGCCAACCTTCTCGTTATGAGGAGATTTGTGAAAGGAAAGCTTTAAAGTTGGCAACACCAAGCCAATATAAGATATCACACGGTATACCAGCCCAATTGCAACTAAAATCCTACAATTTCAGTCAGGTCAGCACAATTCCAGTGTACATAGCTCGCGTTCAAGGTTTATCATGTATCACACACCCGATATCAAATGAAGTTCTTCCAGTTGTATAGCCAACAAAGCGTGCAGCCACATCCACGTCATATAAATATGAAAATGGCAAAGTATGCTCACTGAACCATGCCTCAGAATACCAAGTCTGGTAAATTCCAGTCAGTTTTACTCCAAAGAAAATACCTCGACGACCTCGGGATAAGGAATGCATACTCCAGGACACAAGAACCATAACCACCCCATATTCCATTCCTCAACTTGAACTAAGCGTGGACCGAAACCATCGAGTACCCCAGCCATGAGGCTTATTAGCATTGCTAGCAATAGTGCATCCTGTCTTCGGACGAATGATGCTGCCAGGGATGCCAGACCGTACATGCCTAGTCAAGCGCTAGTTAGCCTGCTGGACTGAAGTGCGATGGATAGGATATCAGACTGAAGAAATACACTGCATTCAGCACCAGAAGTGTTTGGAATGGGATCACAGAGGCTGCAAGAACCTTCAGAAATGTTGTGAAATGGAGTGACGATACGAGTATGCGAGGCCACGTAGACAAGTCTTTTCCGATAAAATATGCACTGGATGAATGCCCGGATTCGATCTCATGGTAAAATATCGGCTCTGATTGCGTATGGTCAGCACCCGAAGGAAGAATCCCCTTTACTGAAAGAACCTAGTCGATTGAACTCACTCTCCTCTGCGATTGTTTTGATGCCGGCCGGTGCAGCTGCAAGGCCTGAGTTTGAAAATCCCAAACTTTAGCTCTCTAATCCATCCCCTGTGTTTCCATGGGTGTGGGCTGAGTGAAAAACAAAAAACTTACTGATCGCCAAAGAGGAAAGAAGGCCCGCTATTGGAACGCTGGAATAATCCACCGCACTTGACAAAAGCGTATATGGTTTCTGAAAATTCCCCTGAAAGAGGTGTCCCTTCGCCTCGTACATGGAGAGGCCGATAAGTGTCCCGCACGCTGCTGCCGTGGCCATCTCTAGGATAACACCAAATGGTTGCCCTTTTTGCTGGCGTAGGCCACAACCAATATATTGCAAGACCTGGCAGAACCAAGAGGCTATTTGAATATTGGGTACCTGTGGAGATTCACTTATCACTTGTCCAGTCCGTGTGAAAAATCCATCTTCACGTTGGCCATCCCTTTCCGACGAGCTTTTTGATAGTTTATCCAGGTGATTGCGCCATGAGTGAACCAAGCCTGCCGATTTATTGGTGACGATGTCCATCATGGCATCGGCGGGATTCTTTGTGACCGATAATATGCACCCAATTGACTTGAAATATTCGTTCATCTCACACGGTGCGCCAATGTAGATCGGTTCTCCGGAGACCAACAGAAGTATGTCGTCCAAAAGCTCGAAGATGTCAATCCGGGGCTGATGCACAGAGCATATCACAGTGATACCTAAAGACGACAGGCTTTTTAACATGGTCATTATAGCCAACGCGTTGGTAGCATCTAAGCCAGAGGTTGGCTCATCCAAGATAATGGCCATGGGCATGGCCACAATTTCGCGGGCGATGCAAACCCGCTTGCGTTCTCCGCCAGATATTCCTCTCTGCTCAATAGAACCGAACCTCTGGTTTTTTACATGGGCTAAGCCAAGATATGCGATTATTTGATCCACATGGAGGCTGATTTCTTCTTTTGTGAGGCTTCCACCGAGACGAATACAGGCAGTATGGAGAATATTCTCGCGGACTGTGAGCTCCGAAAACGCGATATCATCTTGTGCCACAAACCCAATGAGATGCGAGAATCTGCGGTGGAAATCAGACAATCATTGTAACATAAATGAGGCGACAAACACGGATTTGATGAGAAGATGAGCAACTGACATACCTTTTCAAGTCTGGTTGGGTTCCATTGACCACAAGATGCCCAAAACTTTGCTTTATCTTTCCCCCAAGAACACTGAGAAAGGTTGCTAACAAAACAGCTAGTTAGTAGGTTCTTCTACCGGGAAAATATACAATGGCATACATTTGCCTGCCCCCGATGGTCCCATGATCCCAAACATAGAGCCCCTTCGTATGTGACCCGAAATACCTCGCAGAATTGAACGTGACACATGGCTGACGTTATAATCCAAATCACGGAATTGGAAGGCTAAACCCAGGTCTTTTTTTTGTTTGCCCGCAACTAGCGACGTAAAAATTTCGCACGTTTGCGACACTTCCTGCGACTCCCCAGGTGAATCCTCTACATAACCTGATTCTGAGAGGCCGGTGATGTCAGGTTTCTCTATGGTGCTCGCCAGAAATTCAATGTCGCGGACGGTCGACTCTCTGAGCAGGGACATGGAAGATCTGCGCGTTTCTCTCGATCTCCATTTCTTGAGGACGGTTATCAGTGCAGCGCTGACCATATAAACAGCTAACAGGGCTAGGAACCCAACAAGTGAAATTTCCCGCTCACTCGACTCTTTACAAATCGATAGAGACGAGCATTTTCTGGGCTCATAGGATCCTTGAGGGCAATAGTAACCTCGGGGACAGCGAATCTTTTCTCGTCCACCAGGTGGACAGAAGTGACCTTTGGCGCAAATAATTGGCTCGAATGGACCTTGTGGACTGGGGCAGATGTTTTTTGCTGTCTGTAAGCGGATAAACTGACAAGTTTCTGTCGGTGGGCAAAACACTGGCGGGTTGTCTGCGGTTGTGTTCGGACCTATAAAAATCTCTGAGCAAACGTCACATACGAAGATGTGCTTAATATAGTGGACCGATTCGGCTGGGCAGGCAATGAGAGGACATTGTAGCTCTTACAAAGAAATCCTAAACTGCAAGAGTCTGAGCTCGAAAGGAGGATTGGAGATTGCCCGGATAGGCATGTGGCGTTTACCATAATTCTCAGCTGAGGAGGAGCAAAGTATGTCATAAAATTTTGTAGTCTGATAAATGAGGTCAGATTAGACTTGGGTGTTGCTACGTTTAAAATTCTTTGACTCATTGGCTAAACTCATCAAAAAATGCATGCTCGAATTAATAGGTATGGTGATAGTTACCCCTTGCTGTGTCCGATACTTAAATTCTCGATAATTACTTGTCCCTTACATAATTTTACCGTCAAGAAGACAGATCCATGTGAAATGGCCGATCGGAAGGTTGACACTTTCCGTGAAATGTGTAGTGTAAGAATCGAATTTCGAGATTTATCTTTGGAAGACATGTTCCATACTCTTGTCGAAATCTTGAATCGCTTTGAGGCTTTAGACCACAGTACAAACTAGCATCCCGTCTTTATATGCTACAAATGCACCTATCGAGAAAGGTGGCATACTTAAACTCGACGGGCATAAATTGAAAAGTAAGGGGTGCTGCATTTCTTTACTAAACCTTATCGGCGTCGAGAGGAACTATTCTTCGCATTGACGTGGCGTCAGCAAGGAGTATAATTAGTTGGTAAGTACTGTACACACCATCCATCCAATGTGTGAGTTAAATACTATTGATCCCTGACCCTTATCCGTACGTTGTCTCCTAACTACTCCTTCCCTCTATCCCTGTACAACTGTATAAAGTCATCTTTGCAGCCTATACAATGAGCAGTATTTACAATTCAGGTTGCAAGGCCTACCTCAATGGGACGTCACAATATGTTGCAGCAGATGATTTATACCGGACCTGCTTGGTTTTGACCAAGATAAGCACCTGCTATGGTCTTTTGACACCATGTTTTGTCATACTGTGCGCTATTATCAACAATAGGCTCCTCAAACAATCATTTTTCACCAAGTACTATGGACGGAATTATTCAGTCCTCACAACACGACAGCAAGACACATTTCGTTTTCATCACATAGACTTGCTTGCCAAGATTACTTCGCTCTTGTTCATGTCAAGGCCCATTTTCCTTGTGTTCGTACGAGGCCGATCTTGGTTCGATCCATACTATAACAATTCTTCTTTCACCCTGGGAATTTCAGCGTCAATTGGTTCCTCTATTGTGGCAGCACTCTTCATATTTCATATTTCTTCTGCGGAAACAATGAGGCCGCTGGATCTCATCCATCATCTTGGTGCCATTCTCGCAATTCAAGGATACCCAACTTGGTCTGTTAGCCAGCCAATCGACGCAGTGAGTAGTGTGGTTCAAGCCAGAAAGGTGGCCGACATCTGTCTATTATGGAGTAAGTCTCCTCTAAATGATATACTTTGCGCGTTACCTAATACTACCTTGATTAGTCGTATTCGCAGGTGCATACAGCTCCATCAAAGCCTTAGGCCATATCATTCGACGTTGTCTTGTATTCAAGCCCGTCGCGCTCTGCAGGCTCTATATCTTCATTTTTTACGCTGGCCTAGGAGTGACAATTTTGGAGGCACTGACCGTTTTCTACGCGACGTTGCTCGGATGGGGTGAGCTGCCTATGCTTGCCAGAGTGGTCTTGATGGGTTTACAGATCGTATATACCTCCACCAAGTGGGCGCATATCCGAATGTTTCGCGACATGTATGCGACTGAGAAGAAGAGATCTTCGATTTACACCTGTGCAAGCCTGATTGAGCTGTCCAGGTAGTCTCTTCATATTTCAAATTGTACATCACCTGATCCAACTGTTGACCTCAAATTCCTTCACACGTATAATAATTTTCCTACACAGAAACCCCGAGCACACAAGACCAAATGATACTAGGCAGAAGTATCAATGTAAATCTCCCGTTACTATTCCAATAAATTACAACATGAGGGACAGTGCATATCTTTTGTTGTCGGAACCAATCAGTATATAACAGAAGGAAATATAGGGCTAGATTTTATGATAGCTTCGCGTGTTCTCTCAAGCGACGGACGATCTTAGTCTAATCCACTCAAGCTAAAATTTAAAGAATCTCCATCAGATGATAGACTCTTGGATCTTCTCTTTCGCCAAGAAGCCTTGAATTCGGCATTGGAAGTTAAATTCCTTCGATCTCAAACACCACCTCTGATTCCCTCCTCCCTCAATCGCGTCGGCCTGGGTCGAAGGAAGCTTTTCGTCCCCTATATCGATATGGCAAATGATGACTTTGTGAAGCGGTGGCTACGAACCTACTTTGGAAAGAAGAAGAGGATACGTTGGGAGACATCAAGGCATCAATCCGACATATTGCAGTATTTTGAGCAATTCGCTTCCAGTGGCGACAGTGCGCCTAAATTGTGTGCAACAGGTGACACAAAGTACTCGAGAAACCACGATCAATTGCAATGGAGCCTCTCCTATGATCATATTCAATGCGTCATTTGTCAACAGGCGATGGGCAACAAGGGGGCTCCAAAACAAGATATCAAACGGTTAATACAAGACGTTGTGTAATCCATTGCTCTACTTGTTTTGTGAACCCTTTAAATATACATGTTTCCTAAGCGCACCATGCGCCAAGAACCTCTCTTTTCACCCAAGAACTATGGGAGGAGCAGCTGATGAGCTTTATTGCTTTGTCCCGACTTCCATTTCAGCTAGTTGAGCACGCTGTCCAGCTTAGCTGCTGTTTGCACATGATGACCCCTAGCCTCATGAATGTTACGTCTGTGCCTTCAGATCACATCCGCTGCTCGTGATGTACGTTGGAAAGAATGTATGGTGTCGATGGAGCTGACGGTTTGGTTTCATTTGGAAATTCACAGATTGAACCAGGAAATCAAAGCCTTGGCAATGACCCACGAAGACTTCCGGGGTATCAATGTCGTTAGGAATGAAGAGCTCGGGCTGGCAGCAGTCATCGAGTTCCACCACCCTTGATTGGATCTTTGGCTAGCTACAAAGATCACGACCAAAGGGACGACTGCTGCAAACAGAGTCTGAAGGCAAACAGAGTCTGAAGGCAAACAAAGTCTGAAGGCAAACAAATTCTGAAGGCAAAAAAATTCTGAAGGCAAACAAATTTGAAGGCAAACATAGTCTGAAGGTGCAAACCGTTTACATGAAATGGCTTTGCGCAAGGTAAGATAGGTAGCTCTGGTATGTTTTTTTCTTACTCAGCTCATATTGATCCAGCTGCAAACCGGCTCTAGTTTCTTTTGAGCTACTGTAGTAGATAGCTGTAGTTTGGAAGATCCAAAAATAAAAGATAAAAGTCGTGAAATTTGGAAAAGATAGAGGCCATCTACAGCGTTTAGGGTCTCCTAAATAAGTTTCATGACCCACCAGGTTTCTCGAGTCGCTCACTGAACCACGTAGTCAACATCCAATCATAGCTGAACACACAAAACATCTATTGAGAACACCAAGATCATGACTCTAAGCGCTAAAAAAGACAACACGTAAGCTAGGATTCTGTTTAAGTCCTGCCACAAGAGACAGCAGATCCACTACCTGCCTCACGCCTCAAGCAACTCTAGAAGTCGACCCAGATATAGGTTCGCACTTTTTCATCTCGTCCATATCATTTAACTGTGCCATAGACACTTCCCCACACGCGGATGACATATTGAGAAGGGATTATTTTATCAGATAGGACTATACCCTCATTCTAAAAGGCCAACACCTCAGACACTTTCTAAGTAACCTTATTGCACTGTATAGCTACGAGACTCCCCGCTTTCACACAGTGTGGGCAACACGAGCTTCCAGAGCAAGCCCCGCCTCACCTTGGGAGAAGCAATATCCTGCAGCCAGCGCATTGACATGCTTTTTCCAAAATGCCGGTCCCCGATCCCAGCATATAAAATAGCATCTGCCCAGGTGATAGGACGGTTAAAGATGAGGTTTTAGTGCTGAGTGACGTAGCAGGATGTGGTTCGCGGACATCAACCGAGGCGGAGATTGATTTGAATGAGGAGTACTTCACTTTATTGGACGAGGGATGTTGGGGCCTTTGCACTATGTTGATCTAAATCACTAGAGGCCTGGGAGACACTGATGCCGAGGTTAGATGTTCTTTACACAAGATTGTTGTTGGAATTTATGCACGGCGCTTAGGGCTAGGGCCAATAGCGCACGGCGCGCCAGACGGACCAGTACCCGACATGACTTCAGGCTAATTCGAATACGGTCTGGATACGGAGTACAAGATCATCGAAAATCAAATCAATACCATTCAATTATCCTAATCAAAAATAGAATAGCAGTTGGGATACAAGTGACCGAAAGCAAGGCTGAAAAGAAGTACAAGAAGGCAAAAAAAAAACCTGAACTCCAAATCAAAGCCTTAGTCACCGACTAAAAAGTCATGACGATCTGAGGCAGTATTACAATCTATCTCAGAAGAACGCCATGTAGAGCTGTGCTCAATGCTGGGTATTACGCGTCAAATCATCGTGGATGATTAGATGAGAGGGTGGAATTGGGTTCCGAAAAAAGAGGAGTGATACATCTCAACAAATCAATCACTGGTGCGGCGTTCGGGCTTCGGTTTGCGCAGACTCTTCATCCTGTTCAAGAAGCCGCCGCCACCGCCAGGGTTGAGCTTGAACTCATCGTTTGTAGACTTGCGCTCTAGTACAGTGGCTTGTTTGGGGCTGCTGGATGAACGCATACGACCACCTCCCATGCTGGCCTCGATGCTGGAACCCTTCTTGTCCCATTCTTCGTTATAGTCCTGGTCTTGGAAGTAAGGGTTTCGTTCGTTGCCTCGAGAGGAGGCAGAGTGGCTGGAGTGAAGTGCTGGAGGAGCGGGTGAGGTATTATCGGAGGGAGAGGCGATGCGACCAGGGCCGGCTGATGGACCGGCTGTTCGGCCACGCAATCGCTGTGCTAGACTCTTTTTGCGGGCGAGACCACCGCCTGGCGCGAGGGACCCTTCGTTCTCGCTCTGGCGACGAGCCATGGCAGATCGACTGGCTGGGGCTCCGTCGAGGAAAGTGCTGGTACCGAGGCCCATACTTTGGGGTCCATGAATGGGGTCCACTCGGGCAGTGGGATCGAAGCTAACGCCGGTCTCGGCGCTTCGAGCGGCAGTGGAGAAATCGTTGTGTCCTTCCTCCGTTCTCCCATGGAAAAGATTGAGATCGATGTTGGAGTTGTTGGGACCGGAACCGCCTAAAGCCATGTTGGTAGAACCCTTGGGGAAAGCCTGCATTGGCGCAGTACGGACACCTCGGCGGTTGCGATGGGGGTTGCAGGCATCGAATGGACCGTCGTGGTGGAACACTGTTTTAAGTTAGCATACAAATGAGAGACTCGCAGAAAAAGCCAATGCTTACTTCCGGTTCCGTAAATGCTCGTCACATCCAACTTATCGATGACATCTAGTCGACGGTCTTTGCGACCGGAACGCGACTTTCCATCTTTGCGGCCCTCGCGTTCGCGGTGACGTCTTTCTCTGCGGCGCTTCTCATCATCAGTGAGGTCCAGCAGCTTCGAGCCACGGTCCATCACGGAGGACTCTGAGTTCCGACGGGGTCGTCGTGGCTTTTCCCGCGAGCTTGCGGAGGCCTTGGTCGGGGGATCAGCGAAAATGTCGAGCGGGTCTTTTCCTTTAGATGTAGCCGATCGATCAGACGGGCGCTCTCTTGGGTCTCGGTTGCGGGTTGAAGAAGTTCGGGTGGCGTCGGGCCCTTGGCGATTTGTCCGAGGTGCGGGATTAAGGGAGAGGCTCTCCTGTAACGCATTAGAAGCAATTCCATCATTCATCTGCCGATATGCAAAAACATACAAAGATTTCACGGGTGCTACTCGAGATATCGGTCTTCTCGGTCGGAGAGACCATGGCGCCGGAAGACATTCCAGGGGCGGACTGGGGAGACAAGGCTTCTGTTTCGTCCAAAAAAGGGTTCGTTGAACGAGGTCGTTCCGGGCGATTGTTTGAAGAGACAGATCCAGCGACTGAGGGGGAGAGGACGCGATTACGGAAGGGGTTATTGGAGCCAAAACTAGCCGATGTTGGTGAGGGTTGGTGCTCTGTTTCACGTTCAGGTTAGTTACAGTATTTGCAGGGTTTTAGTGGAATTCAAGGACCAAATTTAAGGAAAGTGTCACATTTTAAGGCTCAGGGGAAGACCTTGAGTCACTTTCCCTACAATAGTAGCGATCAGGGGGATTTATCTGAGGTTACGTACCTTGCGGGGCCAACGAGATACCGGGCGCATACCCAAGCGCTGGAGGGGCAGTCATAATGTAGGATGAATGTGTGTGAAACGGTGTGAGTGGAGAGAAGTTTGAATGTGGTCAATGAGATGTCGCGTTAGGTGTCGCACGTATGCAGATTGAAAGTAGCAGGAGTAGCAGCTGAAACAACCGAAGGAAATGACAGATAAGTGATCAACACAGACAAATCAAGTTTATCTTAATGTTAATCTGTAGAGGATACAAGGGGGAAAAAAGCAAAGAAAGAAGAGAGAAAGAGAGAGAGAGAGAGAGATACGAAAGGAGGGGGGGCAAGGGGAACACGGGAGAGGCGAGCATACGTAAAATGTCTAGTGATCGACTCGTGGAATATTCGTGCCTGGACTGGCCCTGGCGATCTTTTGACCATTCCTTTCTTTTTTTTTTTTGTAGTGTGTTTTACTGTTTTATTTCTAAGTTTCAAGGTTGTCTAAATTTCTGGTCTACATATGTACATCATTTTGGTTTTGCTTTGTACTTTAGCTTCTGCATTAACCCCAGACTATAAAAATAAGCCGACTCAGGGGATACTTCACCGATCGGCAAGGTTCCACTATGGCCTTTTGACATTTGACTATATAAGATACAAGGAGTAACTATACAACATAAAACTATAAGTGTATCTTACAATTTATGACTATACATGGGTTATATCCATGGATGAGGTTCAATTGAAAATTCTAGTACATAGGCTGTACGGAGTATAAGTGAAGGGCTCCATCGAAATTCCTAAAATTAGTTGGAATGACGTTGACATTCCTAATTGATGTCATTCTGTCATTTTTTCTTTTTTTTTTCTTTGTGTGGCTCATTATTAAACATATAATTCCATTCAATATAACTACGCGATATCTTCTTTAAAATAGCTATGACATACGTGAATTCTGGAGAAGATTAGAGAAGATTCAATCCCAAAACTACATACAGGGATATCTACTGATGGAGATTGATCTACATATGTGCGACTTGTATCGTTGTAATTTGGGATCCTGTGAGAGGAAAATACATATTTTCCCTGGCACAGTTCCTGAACATCCTCAGGGCCCAGGTACGACTAGATTCTCCCGGAAGAGGAAGTATGACATCGAACAATACAGACACTCTACACCGTATACAAGAAGGATGTAACCCTAACTAAGAGTCTAAGCTTAAGTTTGTGATCGAATCAATAGTTCATCCCGATGCATACCAAGGTATAAAATAACAAGAACAAATTAAATGAACCTGTATACAGTACAAATTCCTATAATCCACTATTAGATACAATCATTGTACCCCATATGTAGCCCGGAGATCCACATATCACATTCCTCGGCTTGGAATGCAATCTTGATTCTTAGTATGAGATGAGGTCATTGAAGACATTATACATTGGAAGACATTATACGTTGGATACTGGCACTGAAGAAGATAAAAGTATTCAAACTGTAATCCATCGGTGGACAATATAGACTTGATTGTCGACTGCAATTCCGCTTTCTTCCAGAACAAGACGAAACAAACCAGAGTGCACAGCGTTTTTCCACTCCGCTCCACCCTTGTCGGCAACTTTTGTCAGCTCGCGGTAAAGCTGCTTTCTGCCTTCGCCGAGCACCTCGATGTTATGATTAAAGTCAGCGTAGACGACCCGACCTTCAATGTCGTGGAGACCGGTTACTTGTTTGACAGGACTTCTAGAACGGTGCGGTGTCGAGCTGTTGTTGGTAGAAGGGAGAGACGGTGCTCGGGCAAGGTTAGTACTGGTATCATAAGAGAGAGCCGCACAGTAGGTGCTATTCCTAGTAGGTCTAAGAGTCTCATCCCGAATGTCGGGCGTCATCATATCGTGAAAAACATCATCGTCCATATATCCATCGATATAGTTTGATGAAGTCCGACGATGGTGTTGGCTACGAGGTGTGGGGGAGAGGCATAGTGATGACATTTGCCAGTCCGCGCCCCATTTCAAAGGGCTTCGTGGACAAAGGTTGCTCAAGCACGATGTGATATTAGGGTTGTTTGGTTGGAGTTCACTGTTGTGGTGAATCATTTCGCCTTGCTATTTTGATTGTAAACAAGCCAAACAAGCTTTCATTTGTTAGCGACTCGTATGCAGGCTATAAGCACCATGCCATTAGGCCTTGGCTCCCTTAGTCGTTTACCAGATGGGGCGTTCGGCAGCCGTCAATGTCGGAAAGCGAGTCCTAAGCTGATGCTCAATCACAGCGCCAAAACCAGACACGAAAATTAGTAACGCCCTTGGGAGCTTCACAATTATTCCGGCTTAAAATTGAATCATTCATTGATTTTCCATTCATTAACATATCATGGCCCGATTCGAAAAAAGAACCTATCAGAACGCCACACGAAAAATGCAAAAAATGGTATAAGATACAAAAGAGACCAAGCAAATCAACCCATTCAGTGCGCCGCAGAGGAAGCACGCGGCAGATGAGGATTTGAGACGGGAATACCCGCACGACGCTTAGACTGAGGCTTGGGTCTGGAGAGCGTGTACTTGGCGAATGCACGCGAGAGCGCCTTCTTGCAGCTGACCTTTTGACTACCAATGAAGGAGTCAACAGTAACGGCAATGGCACGGTCAATATCCTGCGCAGAACAGTACTCCGACAATCGCATCTTGCAGAAGGATTCGGCAATACGCATAATGGCTTCGAGGTGACGGACCTAGTCTGGGTAAGTATAATGTGATATTGGTGCGAAGAAGACAATTGACTTACTGTGATGGGGTACGCGCCAGTAGCGAGGGACTCGCGACGCATGTCTGCGAAGAGACGAGCGACCTTGTCCTGGTCGATCTGGTAGAGCTTAGGGTGGCAACGCTCGCGGGCGTACATGATGTACTTCCGCAGGAGTTCCTGTGGGATTTCACCCTCGTTCTCCTCGTCTGCCTTTTGTTTCTCTGCTTCGCGTCTGGCCACCTCTTCCTGGGTAAGAGGCAGTCGCTGGCCGTCGCGGGTGATACGGAATCCCTCGTTGTCGATGAGGTGACCATCGGCATCGACTAGGTCGTTATGTTCATTTCGGAGGGGGCGGGCAGGGTTGGCACGATGGTGGGACTCGATAACGAAATTGGCTAGGCGCTCATCCTCGACGGGATCAACCAGGTCACGCACTACACAGAGGATATCGAAACGAGACAAGATAGGGTCGGTGAGGTCGACGTTCTCCGAGAAGGGGATGGAGCTGTTGTAGCGACCACCCTTGGGGTTGGCGGCGGATACAACAGCACAGCGTGCCTGGAGTGTTGTGACAATACCGGCCTTGGAGATAGAGATAGTCTGCTGCTCCATAGCTTCGTGAATGGATGTTCGGTCCTGGTCGTTCATCTTGTCAAACTCATCAATAAGACAAGTGCCTCGATCAGCCAGCACAAGGGCACCACCTTCCAGCGTCCATTCACTGGTGAGGGGATCACGACGAACACTGGCTGTCAGACCGACAGCGCTAGCACCTTGACCAGTAGCAAAGACAGCTCGGTGCGCCGTCTTCTCCACAAATTTGAGCACCTGCGACTTGGCAGTACCAGGATCACCCAGGAGCAGAACGTTGATATCACCACGGATGTTCATCTTTCCCTGGGCCTGCTTGCTAACACCACCGAAGAGCGAAAGGGCAACGGCCGTCTTGACGTCATAGTGGCCGTAAATGCTGGGGGCCATAGAGCGAACAATCTTGTCAACAATGTCGGGATCGCGGGAAAGCGCCCGAATCTCGCGCTCATCCTCCTCAGTCAAGTTGAAGCCAGCCAGCTGATCATGCGACTTGACAACATGATTGGCCTCAATGACAGTAGCGAACACAGGAAAGCCGTTCTTGTTGTTCAGTTGAGCATCGTAGCTGTTGCGGTAGATACCGGTGATCTCAATTTCATCACCAGGTTTGGCGGTGTCAATTAGATCGGCAAGCAGAACAACCTCACGCTGGCGTGGCAAACGACCTGCGGGAACTGAACCGGGAGACTCCTGCAGAGTCAATTTCTGATAGTTTCGGTAGACGGTCTTTTCGGCGTTGACAGTGAAGGGACCACGAGACTGGCAGTTCTGGCAGAACGATATTTTCACTTCTGCGCTGGCTTCTTGCTGGAATGGACCCAGGGTGATACCACACTTCTGGCAGAGGAACATGACGTACTTCAATTGGGGGAAGACACCAGTGCGACGAGTAACGACACCACCGACACGGATCAGGCAGTTGAGATGGGACTGGCGCAGTTGGCGCAAGGTGTAGATGATTGGCACGTCGGTGATGCGGACGTGGATCTCATTGTGAATATCGTGGTACTGAGGGTAGTGGAAGAGTGTGACATCAAGCGCTACCTGATCAAAGACCTTCAACACTTCGGTGGGTTCGTTGGCAAGGAAGTATGAAAGAGCAGCCTTGGTCTCACTTAGATGGGCGTAGGACACCTCGAGCGAAGCCGAGTTAACTTCTCCCAGCAACTTGATTCGATTACCGTAAACAGACTGGCCACTCGGGTCGATGAACTCTGTAAGGAAGGCCTTGAATTCACGGTAGATAGAGCGAAGAACCTGGGGCTGGGTGACCCAGTCGGTAATGTTGGCTGCCTTGACATCTGCAAGCTCTTCCAGCGACAACTCTTCCATGCCCTCATCGGCCATGTCAATATCTTGAGGATCCTCATCATAATGGTGTCTGCGTCGTCGAGGTTGGCGGGACAGGTCCATGTCGACATCATCGTCATCTTGTAAAAATGCGGCGGGCATACGGCGCCGACGTGCCAGTTCACGATCTCTCTGGTTCAATCGAGCATCCAGCTGACGACGGGTACCAGCGTCGATTTCTTCGTGGTCTCCATCGTCGTCGATGTATCCTTCATTTTCGTAGCGATCTTGTGCTGCATCACGATAATCGCGCTCAAAGTTGTCGCCGAACAGATCAATACCATCTTCATCTTCGGCCAATTCATCAATGTCGTCAATATCTTGCACCATTCCTCTGTCCTCCTCCTCGTCATCATCCCCCATGTCGAAAGGAATTGGTGGAGGGGACGAGCCCAAAGCGGTGGCTGTACCCGAAGACTGTCAGTTTTGATCTCATCCCAAACCAAGAGGCATACATACGACTGGAAGGAGGCAATGGTGCTGGAGATGATCCCATATCATCATCCTCTCTGTCTCTCTTACGATTATTGGCCCTTGGGCCACGGTTTGCAGCCGAATCGCTGGCTCGGAGCGGACTGTGGTGGGTTAGCTTGTGAGCGCAGAAAATTCAGGATGGATACTGACTCCATTTTGTGGTGAGGGTTGCTTGACGAATTTCAAAAATAAAATAATACAAAAAGAGCAAATTCAATTAATCAAAACTGATAATGGATAGTGTATCTCTGGTTGTTCCCCAAAGTGTGGTGGGTGGGTTGATGGGGGAATGAAGGGGAGAAGGGGCGGCAAAGTTGAGTTGTGCACAGCTTTCGAAGTCGCGTGTTTCGCGTCTTGGACGCGTTTCAATTAAACCCCAATTAGGCAAGTGGGTCTCCCATCTATCTGCTTCTCTACATGGACACAGTACATATCTACTGAACCTGGAATATGAGCGACAAAATACATAGGAGAAAATAAATCAGAGACGCTACGTTAAATGTGCCGGAGTAAAAGTATCCTCCGAAAGTTATCGCATTCAATGTACTAGAGGAACTTACTCTACGAAAGTTATCGATGGTATAAACTATACATGGGTTCGCTCCCACCCGAAGCGATTCGTGATTTACAAGTAAAGATAGCTCCATTTTGTATGCGCCAATTTGTAGTCATAAAGCCCTGTCCATCCAATTCCCAAGCCAACATAGACACAGAGATATCGTACATGTCCACCCACCTAACACCCATTGATAACCAGCCAGAAAAAAACAATACACAAAAAGAAATGTAATCAGTATCCTACAAAACAAGTTAGTAAGATACCTCGTATTCAAACAATTGTCACATACCGCTTTGTTCATTGCGGCTGTTTCCATCACTATCCTTGCCGCTATTACCAGAGGCATGATCAGCCGCATCTTGAATCCCCTTGTCATCACCACGCAGTTTCTCAAAGATACCCTTGATATCCTCAGCACTAACCGCCTGTCCACTTTCAGCGAATGGCTTCAGAAACGCCTTGAGGTTATCGCGGAGGTGGTTGTAGGCCATTGCGCCTTCGATGGCACGCACACGGTCCACGCTGTTGAGTGCTGCTTCTCCGCGGTCGTAAATGCTGCCCGTGCCGGCACTTGCGGCTCCGTCGGCTTCGCCATCCTCGGAGACTGGGGGCTCATATGTCTCTTCTGCTTCCCGGAGCTGGGGGTGCGGGACTAGCTTGGGGAAGCAGTCTGCACAGCGGCATAGTTGGTCGTGGAAGTCTGATATGGCAAAGAGGGAGAATGATTCCGTTGGTGTCGCCTTGGGTAGAAATTTATGTTTGGGGGCGGGGGTCGTGGTGGTAATATTGTTGACTTCCTTTGATTCATCTTCGGCTGTTTTGACAGTTGGTTGCTTTTCCTCGGATGGCTCCTCTTTAGTTCGCTTTGTGATGGGTTCACCCTCAGTGGGTTCCTCGTCATCTGCCTTGCGCTTCTTTGAGGGTTCCGAATTCTTTTGATCCTCAGGCTTATCCTCAGCCTGGCTCTCTTCTAACTTAGAATCCTCCACCTTTTTCTCTTCACTCTTACTTGCTTTAGCCTTGTTTTCCTCAACCTTAGGCTTAACAGCAGGTGTAGATGGGTTCTTAAAGCCATTTGATTCCTTCTTCAGTCCCCCGTTCTTCAAAACTGGCGGCAAGAATCCTGTTGATCCCGCATACTGTTTGATCCAAGGGTTTGAGTCAACACATTTATAGCAGATCAAATGTTGGAAGTCATCCTCAGCCGGGAATCCAGGAGGTAGCGCTTCCTCATCGGCGGCATCTTCGGCGGCATCACCCCCGACGCCTTCAAGTTTAGGAACAGCTTTGTTCCAATTACGCGGCAGACCGATCAAACACTCCGGGTGCCACCAGTCTTCGCCACATCCTCCGGTCTCAACGGTCCCTAGGCCCAGGCACTGGAACATGATTCCCTTCTCTGAAAACGCATCGTACTGCTCGCCGCAGCCGCAGAACTTGTTGCGGAAGTTCTGGCTGTATGTGTTGCCTGGTGCAGCTTCTTGGGAGTGAACGCCCTTCTTGCCGGTTACCGGGTCATCGCGTAGCGTGCAGCATGAGGAAGAGGGCATGCGAGTTGTTCCGCAGTCGCAGACGAAGTTGCGCTTGTAGAACAGCTCGACTAGGGTGTGTTCGCCATGGCAGGAGATGGAGCAGGAGTAGCAGACAGCGGCGGCGGTGTATGGTTCATTGGGATCGGTAGGAGGCGGGTTGCAGGTGATGCAGGCGAAAAGGTTCTGGCGCAATGGTCCGAGGGCGTATGTGCAGGAGTCGAAAGACTAGATCAGTCAGCTTGTACAGACGTGTCGCGTTGCGATGGAACTACTTACGTATGGCAAGACCTCGCGCGCATCTGCTTCTAGTTGGAGCTGGGACTCAATGAACCTATGATTGTTAGCTTCGTGTCGTGAATGAACATTGGAAACTGGTTCATACTCTCTGGCGGTCTGCGAGTTGTGTGAACCGAAGCTCTCACGACGCCCGTCGGTTTGCTGATCACCGATCGAGTTCAGAGCATCCATTCTTGATATACGTTACTTTGGCGTTTTTTGAGTGTCACTAGTTGAATATGGCAGAGTGTCGATGAATTGATGCGAGGAAGATACGCGACGGCCGACAACAACTTGAATTGCCGGCAGAATGAGATTGGTCTCCACATGTTAACCTTGACCACCTGACTGACTACATCGACTCCCTACCAACTGTTGATCCTTTCAAATATGTAAAATGTCCTTCTAGATATGAAAAGGTACTGGTTTCTCTGCAAAATCAAGTTTGTTGTTGTAGACATTGATTTACCCTGGTCATTGCCAACCAAGTCCTATCTATTTTGTCGCCCGGACGAGCACGGAAGTTCTAAGGGCTATCAAACGTGCCCATCCTCTCAAAGACACATAAGAACTCTCATGCTCCGGTTCTCAAGACCTGTGAAGCAATTCCCACTCACCCAGAACAATGCCGGGTAACTCCTCGTCTGGATTCCGTTTCGAAGGCATTGCTGCATTTGGAACAGGAACCACGGCCGACATTTTTGGGTTGTATGCATGTAGTAGGCATATGGCGTCAGGGTATGCTGAAACTCTCCAATTTAACAAAATAAGAGGAAACTTCTTAGACGCTATCTTTTGCGATTGATAGAGAATTAGAAAGCTACCCCAAAGAGAGTTGAAAAATCCCCCGCAAAAAGACTTAGAGAAATACATTAGAAGGCCCTGGAGAGCATACTACCGCCAGAATGTAACATGTCGCTAGACTCTCCAGAAATACAGTAGAGATATGTAAAATAATGGAAGTGTTTCTTATTTCCCACAAATAGTAGGATGGAAATTCATTTTACTTTACAGATAATAGTACATTCCTACTGTATTTGACTTAGTTTAAATTCAGTCACGTAAATTGTTTTTGTTTGATTCAATTATTTTCAGTCCCATGAGTGTTCGGATGGGAACCAATCAATGCCTCACAGATCCTCGCCTCTTTACTTCTTCTCACTCCCAGCAGGATCATGGGCCTCCACCTCAATCTCCACACGCATATCATCCTCCCCTAGTCGTTGCACGCCAACACAAGTATACAAAGGCTGGTGGTCGGGCATCCACTTCTTGAAGTTCCTCAACATGGCCTCAAGGGCTTCTCCGTTAATAGGAACGTGATAGGAGCGCACTTTATATACTTGTGACCAGCCCTTGCTGCCGGCTGTCTTCAGTGCAAGATCAACATTGCAAAATGCTTGATCGATCTGTGCATTGATCTCTCTCGGGATTGAATTTATGCCTTGTTCGGGGAACCAGCCACCTGCGACGCCCGTCAGTTATGCTTGTTGCAGTCTGAATTCGTTGACGAGTTGTATGATGTCGTCTTACCTTGGCCGGAGCACTCTATTTTGTCGCCAATTCGAACAGTCTGGCTGTAGTGATAGTCTATCCGATGGGATTCTCCGACTCCGGGGTAATTGTAGTATCTGAGATGGGCCATTGCAGGAGAGAACCTGGTTATTGTAATTGAAAAGGGAGGAGAGGAAGTTTCTCTCTGGTGAATAGGCAATTGGGTATGTGTGTGCAATAATTTTGCAGTTTAATCTGCTTTTATATGCGGGTATCTTGATCATTTCGTCATTGAGTCGGAATATATATTCCTAAAGCAAACAACCACATGGTCACCTTTTTACCCACTACTTAAGTAAGACCTGCGTTTTTCAACATTGCAGGATCTCTGATCGATATAAACACAACACAATTAATTCCTTGTCTAAAAGGTTTTATATTTTTGATGGGACTACGTAAGTAGGTTTGGTAAGAAATGAATCAAACCATCAAAACTGTCGATTACACTACCGAGGTATCCATGGATGTTTTCCAGCTCGTTACAAAACCAAACCGCACCTCAATCAATGGGAAATATCGCTAGTACCTGCAACGCCATGCCAAACTCGATATGGATATCACACAATACCCTATGACAACCATTCCACGCTGCCAAAAAAAGGGGATAAAAAAAAAGAGAAAGAAAGCAGTATCATTCCTTGAGCCGTTTTGAAGCCCTCATTAACGAATCATCCGGTAGTCCGCTCCTTTTCGTACCAGGCAGACTGCCAGACCGAATGTCATTGTCATCTTGAGTAACGCGCCGATGTGGGTATTTACCATCAATACCCTCGAAACAATTCCCACTAACAGGACCCGCATTGGTAAAATACGGATGTTCAAGAGCCTGCTCGGCAGTAATGCGTCTCGTAGGATCATAATCCAGCATCCGAGACAGCAGATCAAACCCATCCGTCCCAGGCGTTCCAGCAGCAGACGTAGAAGAGTAGCCACCATTCTTTAAGCAGCTTTGATACCAACCCTCCAGATTGGATCCGCGATGGAAATGTGCAGGCTGTCTATGCTGAACTAGTGATTGAAGCTGTGAATATTCCGGCATAGACGTAAGACCAGGCCAATTTTCTTTCTTGGGCAGACCGAGGATTTCGACAATTTTCATCATCTGATTTCGCTGGAATGGAACAGTCTTCTTGCTATCCATTTTGGCTTCTTCGCCTTTAAAAATCGGCCGCAGAGAGAGCAGTTCGGCGAAAATACAGCCTACCGCCCACATGTCCACGGCGGGGGTGTAGTGGCGACTTCCCATGAGGAGTTCTGGGGCTCGGTACCAGATCGTGACGACGACTTTGTCACCCGAGAAGAGCGAGTTGAGGGGTTTGTAGAAAAGACGCGCTAGACCTAAGTCGCCGATACGGATTGCACCACTTGATGTGACGAGAATGTTGGCTGGTTTTAGATCGCGGTGGAGAACCCAGTTTGTGTGCAGATAGAGAAGTCCGTTTAAAAGCTGGAAAAGAATTGAGCGGACCATTGGCGCTGGAATGGCATGGCGTTGGGGCTGGGTGTGGTGGTGGATTATTTGAAGGAGGTCATGCTCTGTATATTCGAAGACCATGAAGATACATTTGTCTTCCAAGATGATTTCTTCTAGCTGGACGACATTTGCGTGCGAGAGTTCTGTGCACAATGCCATTTCGCGAATGGCGGATTGTGACAGGCCCGTGTATTGGATTGTCTCGCCTTCCTTGTCGGGCTTGAATCTGGAGGATTATCAGAGGAGAACAGATCAAAGATAGGAGGGCTGTACTTTTTGATCGCAAACTCCCCTTTTTTGCCATTTTTGCCAACGGCCTTGTAGACTCGACCATAGGTACCGCTGCTGATAAAGCCAACGATGTGATATCGATCTCGGACTCGGATCTTGCTGGTATACCCACCAGGTCTCCTCGAGTCAATAGCCTCTGACACTTCAATTAGCGAATATTCTCTGAGATATCGGATGGCGGAAAAAGAGCAAAATGACAGCCTTTCGACCGAGCCAATTGTAGATGAAAACATAGTACCGCATAAACAAATAATCAAAGGGAAAAAGTTACCACGAGAATAGAATCCTCCAGAATTCAAGAAAGGGAACCCCTTTCCAAACATGATGGAAATGAGATAGAAAGGCCCATGTATTTTAGGAAAAGATAAAGATCTCAGACACAGGACATGCAGAGGAATATATAATTACCATCGACAGTAGTCTGGAGACTCCGTTTCAAGTTCCCGACTCTGGTTCGTGAAAGAGAACCGGAAGAGGGCGGATTTGTGACACTCATTTATTGCATTGATATCCACAATTTTTGTCGAATCAGTTGAGAACGTTGAGATGATTATATTGGTCCGAATGTACTTCTCAAGTCCACGGGGGGTGCTGTTGAAGTCCTAGACGGGCTCGAGTTCGAGCTTAGTAATATCACATGGAGGCCCCAGGGGTCGATGATATTATGTTTACATTTACACCAGCACCTGTATACATTTTCAATCTAAATGTTACATGGAGTCCTATTTTATTGAAATTTGAATCATCAAAGGCGTTTTGTTCTCGTTCACGCCAGGTGTTCAGTTCTCCAGCCAGTTGACTTTCTTATCTACACTCCGCAATAAACCCGACGTCATCTGAGCTCGGAAGCTCTCCATCCAAATTCTTGATGGCTTCGAGTCTGACAGCCCAAAGGGTAACGCCATACCTAGTCTATTTAGTGTTTATTGTAACGCTTGGCCCGCTTCAATTCGGGTATCACCTGGTGAATAACCCAGCGCATCGAACACTACATATGTACTGACATGACTGAACAGGCAGAGCTCAATGCCCCCCAGGCAATAATTACATGCGAGCGCAAAGGAACTCACCACTCGAATATCAATTTCCATAGTCTCCCCCAATGTCTCCCCATGAGTCCATCCCAATTCGGCCTCGTCTCTTCAATTTACACGTTCGGCGGCTTGGTGGGAGCTCTACTAGCCGGGCCCGTCGCAACAAGATACGGACGTGTACTAGCACTACGAGCAACTACAGTGTTTTTTATCCTGGGTCCAGTGGCTGAGACCCTTGCACCCGCCATTCCACTTCTGATTCTAGGTAGATTTCTCTCCGGAGTCGGGTCCGGAGCAGCCATTGTCGTGGGCCCAATCTATATTTCGGAAATCGCTCCTCCTAGTGCTAGAGGCTTCTTCGGTGCATTTACTCAGGTCATGACCAATGTCGGCATCCTATTGACTCAAACACTGGGCTATTTCTGGAGTGATGCAAGTCTCTGGCGATTGATCTTGGCTGTGGCCGGAATGATCGGCGCCTTGGAGTTGATCGGGCTGTTCCTAGTACCGGAGAGTCCTCTGTGGCTTGCAGAACATGATAAGCTCAGCCAGGCGCGTCGGATATTGCAACGGATTCGCGGTCGAGACGCTGATATCGAAGCGGAGGTTGCGAGCTGGAAGGTCTCGGGTGTTCCCGTGTCTGGCGAGGAAGAAGCGTTGCTTGCACCGTCAGGAACCGAACCGACAAAGAAGCCTGCGGTCACATTTGTGCAGGTTGTTCGAGATCCCTACTACCGCCCGGCTATTGTTGCTGTCGTTGGAGTGATGGTCGCTCAACAGTTTACCGGAATGAACAGCATTGTCATGTACAGCGTGTCTTTGCTACAGAGTATTCTACCCACGACGGCGGCACTACTCACCGTGATAATCTCAGCCATCAATCTTGTGATCACGCTTTTGTGCTCTCCGCTACCCGACCGCATCGGCCGAAAGACCTGTCTCATTCTGAGCATTTGCGGCATGGGCTGCAGCTCCATTCTTCTCGCGATCAGCATATACGTCAACGGCAAGATCCTCACGGCGAGTGCTGCATTGCTCTTTGTGTCTAGTTTCGCGATCGGACTGGGCCCCGTTCCTTTTATTCTTGCCTCCGAGCTTGTTGGACCAGAGGCAGTGGGGGCAGCGCAAAGTTGGGCTTTGGGGGCCAATTGGGTAGCGACGTTTGTGGTCGCGCAATTTTTCCCCATACTTAATGATGCCCTTGGTCGTGGCAAGGTTTACTGGGTTTTTGCGGCTATGGCCGGACTATTAGGTGGCTTCATCTATCGATATGTGCCAGAAACCAAAGGTAAAGCTAATGCCGATGAGGTTTGGGGAAGGACGGACCGACGACAAGATTAGACTACATACATCCGTATGTGGTCTTTTCTTTCCCCCTTAAGCCTATTGAATTTTTTTCCACTTTTAATCTTCTTTAGCCAATTCAGATAAATTCATTCCTACCGGAGGAACCCGTAGGACATTTATTCTTTACATTGCGGGGTACTGCATATGGCTCGCATCGAATTATCAGGTTTTTCCCCTCAGGCTGTGCGGCGGCTGTTGACGCGCCAAAGTACATATATATATATAGTACATTGTAATGAAACTTGGAAACTAAGAGGCATTAATAACTCAGAGACATAACTATATATACTATACATATGTACACATTATAATTCTCTCCAGGCATCCATTTTATTTTTCTCTCTCAATAACTTGCGGTGTGGATCTTGACGTCGGTCAATTGTCTGTGTCTCCCGTTCCCCCCGCTTTCTTTTCTTGACATTTCTGTTGAGATCAACAAATAGATCGTTGTCAATCCCTGCAGTAAGGGGATCTTTTCTTTATTTTCAGATTCGGTACGGAGTAGCTACAAACTGAAGTACTTAAGTGGTCATTTAATCTGTGATCGACCTGAGCGGATCGGTAGATCTCTGGGGTTCTTGAACACGAGCCACACCGGGATCTGGTCTGCCCAGGAGCCCTGAGCCCCCCAACAGTTATTTGACATATTCTCCTCTTTTTTTTCTTTCTTTTCTCCTCAAATTCAATCGATTTGTGAACTTCCGCCATGGTCCGGTTGGCACTACCTTCACGGTTGAGCTCCCACCTCTCCGCGAGAAGCGCGTCTTCAACTCCGGGTCAGAGCAGGAGCACGAGTCCTATGCGATCATCAGAAACAAAACCTTTATTACTCAAGGTTTCAGTGATCCGAGTAAGTACTAAAAGAATTGTGCAACCTGATGTTATTTCTATGATCTTCCAAGCTAATTGTCATTGGTTTTATTAGGGACGCAACCTCGCAGCCAAAGATCGCGGTGGCACAAGTGATCCAGTGAGCCCACCCAAACGAGAAAGACATAAAGACGAGACACCCGGATGAGATTGCTTACACGTTGTACAGTATTTAGTGGTTACATTGGGAGATGCGAGGCAGTCAACACCAACGATCTTCAAGACCCTGAACCCGGAATGGAACGTCTCGTTCGAAATGCCCGTCATGGGTGTACCGCTACTGGAAGGAATATGTTGGGACCACGATCGATTCGGCAAGGATTATCTGGGCGAATTCGACATCGCATTGGAGGACATCTTCACTGATGGCCAGGTGAACCAAGAGGTGAACGGACACGTTGCTCGGACCAGTTGGGGTTGCGCTGACCTTGATACATAGCCGAAATGGTACACGCTTAACTCGAAGCGCAAAACGTCTAAGAAGAAGGATAGCACTGTGTCGGGCGAAATAATGCTGCAGTTCTCGCTCGTCGATTCCGCAAACCCCGTTGCCACGCCGCCGGAGATATACCGAAAGTTTAAAAGATTGGTATACTCGGGAGATGAGGATGAGCAGATCCCACCTGCCGACTTCGACGATCTCGATCGCGACGAAGAGACCTCCGACGAGCCCGATGACCAGACAGGTGGACCAGAAGTGGGGGAGAAGCGTCGCCGGCGACTTCGACTGGCCCGCTTGAGGCGTAAGTCGCTCGCTGCTCGTGCATACCAGTTCTCTGGATCGGGAACTGGAGTGCATGGCATTGTGTTTATGGAAATTGTTCGGGTGACTGATCTTCCCCCTGAGAAAAATGGTATGGTTCTTTCTTTGATGCATGCGACATAATGGTTAATTGATTATGCAGTGACGCGAACATCCTTCGACATGGATCCCTTCGTTGTGACATCACTAGGAAGGAAAACGTTGAGAACACCTGTTATCCGCCATAACCTGAATCCGGTGTATCATGAGAAGATGGTCTTCCAGGTGATGCGACACGAACAATCCTATACCATCAGCTTCACAGTCATGGACCGAGACAAGTTCTCGGGCAATGACTTTGTTGCCTCGGCGGGTTTTGCTCTTCAAAATCTCGTGCAGTCTGGTCCAGTTGCGGACCCCGAGACGGGCCTGTACCAATTCGTAGAGGGACCGGAGGAAGTTGATCCCACCACAAGTGCCAAGTTTGGTGGAAGATCTGGGGTCAGCCCCTCTCGACCTGGAATCAGCCCTTCGCACTCTTCATCAAGTCTTTCCAGAATGGCTCGCCCAATATTGAAGACCCGCAACTCCGCCACATCAGTTTCGAGTCAGTCTATACAAGAAGCAACGGTGCCAACCCTGCTCGCATCGTCTCCTCTTCCGGCAGAAGGGATCGCAGAGATGGATAGTGCTAGTACTTTGCAGGTGCCATCTACATCAAACATGTATGATGGAGATAAATCGCCGCCAGCTGATGAGGACGGGTTCAGATCTTTTACCATTCCTCTCATGCTCAAGAACCGAGAGCGGTGGGAGGACAAACATTCGCCGGAACTGCATGTGAAGGCGAAATACTTACCATACAGCGCTCTGAGACAGCAGTTCTGGCGACTGATGCTCAAACAGTATGACGCAGACGAGAGTGGTCGCATCGACAAGGTGGAGATGACAACCATGCTTGATACCCTTGGTTCGACTTTGAAAGAATCGACCATTGACAGCTTCTTTGAGCGCTTCAGCGAAGAGAATGAAGCCAATGGAACAGACGATCTTTCCTTCGATCAGGCGGTAATCTGCCTGGAAGACACGCTCCAGACTTTGCAGAAGCGCAACTCAATGGCTGTTCCTAAAATCCCCTCACTTCCTCCCCTGTCAAATTCCGGAAGCCAAGAAAGCGAGCAATCCAGCAGCGACGAGCACGCATTAGAAACCAGTATGGCCGCTGCATCCAACACCGACCCACGGAAAACCAACATCCCGACCCTTTCGAGCGAAGAAAGCTCCACTGATGAGTATCTTCAGCCCGACGATCTCGCCGACGAAAGAGGCGAGGAGCACGTCATAGAAATTCGCGAGTGTCCTCTTTGCCATCAGCCCCGTCTCGCGAAGCGCTCTGATGCTGATATCATCACGCACATCGCTACATGTGCGAGCCGTGATTGGCGACAGGTTGACAACCTGGTGATGGGCGGATTTGTGACGTCCAGCCAGGCACAGCGCAAGTGGTACTCCAAAGTCATTACGAAGATCTCATATGGTGGTTACAAACTCGGAGCGAACTCGGCCAATATTCTTGTCCAAGATCGTATCACGGGTCAGATTAACGAGGAGCGCATGAGTGTTTATGTGCGCCTCGGAATTCGACTGCTATATAAAGGTATCAAGAGTCGAGATATGGAAAAGAAGAGAAGTATGCAAATCTTGATTATAGGTGTTTGTTCATGAAAAACATTGCTAACCATTTAATTAGTTCGCCGTGTGCTGCGCTCTCTGAGTGTTAAACAGGGTCGCAAATATGACGATCCAGCCTCGGCATCCCAAATTCAGGACTTTATCAATTTCCATCAGCTGGATATGTCTGAAGTCTTGATGCCTCTGGAAAAGTTCCGCAATTTCAACGAGTTCTTCTACCGCGCTCTCAAGCCCGATGCCCGCCCCTGTTCTGGCCCCGATGAGCCGAAAATCGTCGTATCTCCCGCCGACTGTCGCTCCGTTGTCTTCGACCGCATGAGCGATGCAACAAGTATCTGGGTGAAGGGCCGCGAGTTCTCGATTGAAAGATTGTTAGGCGATGCCTATCCAGAGGATGCAGCTCGGTACCGCAATGGTGCGTTGGGAGTGTTCCGGCTAGCGCCTCAGGACTACCACCGCTTCCACATTCCTGTGGATGGAATCATGGGTGAGCCTAAAACCATCGAGGGCGAGTACTACACGGTGAACCCTATGGCGATTCGATCTGCACTAGACGTATATGGCGAGAATGTCCGCGTTCTCGTTCCTATTGACTCCGTCGAACATGGCAGGGTCATGGTCGTCTGTGTTGGTGCTATGATGGTGGGCAGCACGGTCATCACCCGAAAGGCCGGCGAGAAGGTTTCACGAGCTGAGGAGCTGGGATACTTCAAATTCGGTGGTAGTACTCTCCTGGTACTTTTCGAAGAAGGCAAGATCAGCTTCGACAGTGACCTGGTGGATAACTCCAAGGGTCCTTTGGAGACTTTGGTAAGAAAACCACACAAAGTACTTGTCAATTGCATACTAATGTTGCTCAGATCCGAGTTGGAATGTCTGTTGGACACAGTCCTGATATCCCACAGCATGAGCCTGATATGCCCAAGAAGGCAGAGAATATCACTGCCGAGGAGATGCAAGAAGCCAAGCGGCGCATCGAAGGTAGCTTGGCACCTCCAAGCAATCCTCAAACTTTACTCAAGACGATGAAATGATCTTGTCTTTTTGTATTTTTTTTTGGTTTGGACAGGGCTCAACTCCCACCATCCCTTCGTTTTCACACTGAACATATTGTTTTTCAACATTGGCGTTGGGGGTTATTTGTACTGAAAACATCATAGCGTTTATCTAGCAGTATTTATGCATTGTGGAGGCTGTAGAAGTGAAAGTGAGAGATGAATCTTAGAAGCATGACAAATACAGCATTTTCACCAGTCAAAGAAGTGTTGAGTAAATAGACAAATGAAAAGCAAAGAGTGAAGAATGAAAAGAGAATGAAAGCCGTTGAAGTATAGAATAGTCCCAAAATAGGCTAGCGTCCCCGCGCGCCCGACCAAAACAACCGCGTGCAAGAATCCAACCCACTCACAACCCCCCCTCAACCTGCTCCCTTGCGTGTCTCTTTCGCGACTAATCGATTAATCAAACCGATTAATCCAAGTCGCTTAATCTGCTGCTTTACACCTGCAGTTACGAGTTAGGACGCGACCCGCGCCTAACATTCCCACGAGCCGACTGTCCCAGACACCTTCATTCCACACATACACGTCTGGCACCGACACGCCATTGACTCGATAAATCTCCGTCGAGCCAAATTTGTAATTCAAGGGGTCAATTTGAGTTTGGAGGGTGGAACCCGCGAACTTGGGAGTCGCGTCTGTTGTCTCTGGGAAACCTCTACGACCAGGGGGATTTGACAGGGAAACGACAAACCGAGGTGACAAAGCAACACGGAAACGGGGGTGTATTACACCATCCCTGCGGCTGCCACCAAACACAAAGACCCCGCGTACGCCCCTCTTGACATGACAATCGCGGTCCTGGCGACCACAACGACGAAGACAAAGCGTCGCGAACCGCTGGGGACGATTGCTATGGCGGCCCCGAAGACACAATCGCGCTCTGCCGCGTCCAGCGGGATTGGTAAAACCAAAGTGGAACGACGGACGACGCGACTCAGCGCAAGTGAACAGGGATTAGAGATGACGAACAAACGGAAACCCGGTGAGTGACGCGCGAGCATATTGCGCGATAATGGCAGAATAGTCTAACTCGTTTAATAGCATACGAGGAGGACGAAGAAGGATTCCAATTCTCTCGAGTACCGTCTAAGAAGTCCAGGCCATCAATCGAAGCAGTACCCGAAAATCCCAGTTCAGACGTGGAAAATGCGCATCCGAAGCCAACACCGAAACGAGGGCGCCCTCGGAAGAAGCAGCCGGGTGAAGAACCTTCGAGTGTTCTAGCGAAAGGGAAATCGGTGGAACTTCCGAGCAGGAGACCAACGAGGGCGAATGAACTGCACGCGGAATCGGAATCTCAATCTACGAAAATGGCGCGTTCACGAATCCGCGACAGTCCAGAGCACCAGCCTGAAGCGAAGAAATCGAGAAAGGCCGGACGACCACCGAAGGCTAGACCCGAAGCAAGACCTGAGGCAAATGGCTATAAGTCCCCTGAGCAACCGCCAGCGGGTACGAAGGTGGCACTTCCTGTGGCTGATACACCTGTGATTCAGCGGAATAAAGAATTGAGAGGTGGGAAGGGCGAGAAAGGGCGGCGGCGAAGTAGCTTGGGTATGCGAGGACGGAGGGCCAGTTCTTTGATTGACTCAGGGGCTTCAAATGGTAAGTTTTTGTTTGAAGTGGGTTGTTAATGAGCAAATGCTGACATCTGTTTGCTAAGCATTACCGCATCGAGAGGTTGGCACAGCAGATTTCTTTAAACACATTGCCGATGATGGTCTTCCAGAGCCGCGGAGGATGCGCCAACTTTTGATATGGTGTGCGACTCGCGCAATAGGAGAGAAACCAACAGGAGGGTCAGATCCGGATGAACAAAGTGCACGCTTAGCAGGTATGTGGATACTGGAAACGTGAGAGCAATTGATCTGACATTTTCCAGCTCGTCAAATTCAAGAGGAGATTCTTCGGGAGTTCTCAAATAATTCAGATCTTTCCAATTGGTTTAGTCGCGAAGATATCAACCCCCCGGCTGTGGTTGTGAAGAAACCGAACCCGCGCAATGTGCAGAACACAGACAAGATCAAGGAATTAGAAGAGCATATACAAAAGTGAGTTACACAATTGAGAAACGTTTTAGGGCAGTGCTGACCGCTGAACCAGACTACAAAAAGAAAGGCAATCTCTCAATGCCCTTCTTCGACAACCACCGATTCCAAGCATCAAGCCAGATCCACAACCTGATCAACAAACCAAACAACCTTCCCGCAAGCCACAACACGAAGTCGACCCTTCTCTCCTCGATCCCTCCCAACAAGCCATCCTAGAATCTCTCAGTCCTTCAAACCACCCATCAGAAACCCCATCCACCTCAACCAAACCGATAACCCCATCCGCCGTCTCAGCCCAACTCTCCCGCATCACAGCCAACCTAGCCCCAACACTTGACGCTTTCGCAGCAGGAGTGCACGATATCGAACTCTACCGCATGGCCGCAGACACCGTTTCATCCCGAATACTCCGCATCTGCGCCCAGCGTCTAGAAGAGCGCGATGCCCAGAATACCCAACGCCGCCACGCAATCGAAGGCACAGAAGAGAGCCCGCCTCGAATGAAGCAAGACCTAGGCCTGATTTTGGGCGCGCTGAGTCGAGTGGAAAGAAGATAGATGTTCTCTGTTAGATTCTCTATACTCGCAACAATTACGTCCTTCTGGCTAGCGTTCGAATACGTGATGAACCCGTTCGTATAGTGGCTTTTGAATTTGATTCGTTCAAGCTTGGCGTTTGGTTGGTTCTTTAATACCTGATGCTGGTGCTGGATTGGTGGAATGTAAATAGGTTCATGTAGTTAGTAGTGCCTAATGCAAGCCTCCAATCATCATTATATCTCTCTATCTCTCTATCTCTCTATCTCTCTATCTTTCATATGTCATATGTCAATGAGAATTAGTGTCCATGGATTCTTGTATTGTATACTATCGTTTGGTAAGTTTTAAGTAAATAGTCGAAGTTAATTAAATTAATTAAATATTCTTAATTCTTTCTACACGGTTTGGTTAGTCTTCTCCCGAACCTTACATTTAGCGGTATTATAGTACCGTTATAAATAAGAGATTAAGAACGACTATTATAATATAGCTATATAAGCCCTATTTTAATTATAATCAATCGGATATTCAGTTACTTTTAACTTGGCCCGTAAAAGAAATAATTAAAGATCTCGTAGGTGTCGGAAAAAGAGGAAAAATTATAGCAGATGACGGTTTCGCATACTGTCTTCAGGGCCGTGAGTACCATTCCAACCTCTAAACCGCCCATTTTCTGACACTTCAATGACGGATTAGTTAAACCGCCACAAGAGTAAGGGTCTCTCGGGATATTGTGATTTTGTAGGACACATCTATCTAAGGTCTTTAAATACCAGATCGTAGAAACCTTTGTTTCACGGATTGTTTCGTGCCGATGTGTGCAAAACCCGTCGCCTTCTTTCTGTGAACATATAGATGGTCGTTAGTCTTGTACCCTTTTGTAGCTTGAGAATTCCTGAAAGCTAATTAGTTTGGATCTGCGACTATTTGGTTCCTTCATCTTCCCGGACAACTACTGGCAGAAAATCCATTCATTGGTTGAAGGGCAGATTATAGATGGCGTGAATTCGCGGTCTGGGGCATATGAGGGAGCCCGGTCCCATAGATTCGGCAGTTCAACTCGGTAGGCATCATCGTCTCAAGGGGTTTACTGCATATCCAATCAGATGAGCGTTCTTTGGAATTCTATGTGATGTTGAATCAGAGACAGATTAAAATTGTCAAGGAACCGCATTCAACGCCAAAAATTCCTTCTATATCACCTCAACGATCGGCGTTGCTCTGTTCACGTTTTCGGCCCAGTCACGAATATTCTCTACGAAACTTCAGACAATTCGTGGCTTGGTGCCCTTGCCGACGAAGAACTCTGAGTTCTGATCCTTGCAAGTCCAAAGCTATCTGAAAGCCTTATATCGCACGCTTGTTGAACCCAGCCTTGAGGGTATCGACGGTCACATTCGATGCAAGCCACACACCGTACCTTTGAATCCAGGAATCTTCGATGGACCCACCGCTCTCAGCTCCGCGGAGGCTCCATCCATGGATATCTTGTCGTTGTCAAAATTGTCTCCACTCTTTTCGGCGTTATCGCGGTCAAGTGGGGTATAATTTACTTGCTTTTAGCGTTGTTGACTGCCGGGGTTGAGTGTCTTCTAGATGCGGAGTATTACATGCCTAAGCGCAAGCCTTGCTCCATCTTTTCTCCTTGCAGTTCTGCTTCTGATCTACCTTTTTTTACCAACATCGAAATTGCTCAAACCCCGCCCTTTACCTCACCATGGGTTCCACAGTCGATCAGATCAAGCCTCCACATTCCAGAACAAAGAATACAAAGGATCCTGCGCTTGGCAAGAAACGAATCCAAAACCGCACCTCCCAAAAATGTCTACGAGAACGAAAATAAGTGCATACGCGCCATCTGGAATCGTTGGCCGAAGTTATGATAGTTTCTCAGAATGACCCAGACGACCCCGAAAAACGAAATCAAGCCCTTGGCAACCAATTTCAAATTGATCGAGCAGAATCGTCAATTGCAGGATGCACTGTTTCGCATGAAGAAAAAGCTTATGGGTTTGAGTAATATGGCCACCGCCGCTGCGAGTATGTCCCAGTCCATGCTGTAGTCTATAAGACTCCTTTATGGGTGATATTAATGCGGCGCCACAGATGACGAAGTGTTCGATCTACTTCTTCGAACGGACGGCGTTTAAAAAGACAAGGGATTGATCAGAGTTTACGAGCGATGAAGATGAGAGTCGTGATCTCAGCATCCAGAAGAACTAAGGGTCGGCGACACTCAGTACGGGCAGCATGGTGAAGGCACCATCGCTCGCCTCTGACGAATCCATAACTATTGATCGCGCTATCGCCCGGAAACTAGAGCCACTGGAGATTTGCGAACGACCGCCTTGCCCTCCGGTCTCTCTCACCTTTGACCTGCTCTCTTTCGCGATGCCAAACCCCTTGATGACGCCTTTCACATTCCCATGCCCATCAAAAAGGATGGGCAGGTATAGATGTGTTTCAACCTTGATGGTAAAGAAACTTATGAAGATCTGCAACCTTTATCTACAGCAAAGCTCGGATGCCGGTTCGATAATGGGATCTAAATAGAGCGATGTGGGAGGACTCGGTCGGGAGTACTCTAGGGTTGCGCTTCTAGATCGACTTCGAGAATCCTTAGTGCAGGAAGACCGTCTTGTCATCCCTGACCCCTTCCGTCTAACACCGCTACAACTAAACTCAGATGTCCCAATATGCACTGAATGTCTCAACTGGCCCTCGATCCGGGACCAGCTGGTTCTGCTTCAAATGGATGATGGTGACCTTGCACTGCTCATGCGAGATATCGTCATGAACATAGTGATTGACTTTCCTTCTTGGAATGCGTCCGTAAATATTTATGATCTCTTTCACAACAAGATCTCGCCTGGGAGTTTGATGCGCGATTCTTTAGGTTCTCCCGAGGATATGGGATATGACGAATATGACAATCTGTCCGAAAGCCAGGCAGCAATGGACTCGGAGCTTACGGAGCAGCGTTTCCAACGAGAGAAGATTAGTGCATGGGTTGTGCTCTCTCATCGAAGATGCATGGCAATCGTTACTGTGTGGGGCCTACCTCCCAACATGCCCCGTGTTCGCCAGGCCACCCCTCAACCTGCTAGCTGGGTGTTATGGTGTTGATCAAGTGACCAAGTGGAGATTGAGCCCGGCTTTTGCCAGAAAGTATCCATCTATCGACTGTATAGGAGGTGTGGTCTTCTGACTCCTGACCCTGATTCGAAACTAACTGTTCTATTCAGTGACAGCCGAATTCGAGATGATAGCATCCTCACATCTCCCTGGACTGTGATTTTTGTTTTATTTTATTTATGCCCATATGTATGTGATATATTTTCAACCCCAGATTTCACTTGACGCAGGATAGCGCTTTATTCTAGTGGCAATATGTGCATTTCTATTCCTGACTGATAGTGGTTCTAGGGACCTTCAAATATTATGACATGAGATACTGAAATTCATTGATCCGCCTTCCCATTTCCTATCTTTCATTGCCCAAATGCTTCCTCGTGGTCAGCCCACATCTGGTTTCTCAACTCCTCATTTGTTGAAATATCAAATTCTGTGGCGGCCAATGCTTTGGCGAACCGAAGAGAGGCCTCGAACGCCGAGCGTGTTCCAGCAGACTTCTCAAAACCAGGGTGATGAGGACCAATATCAGGCTTCTCAATATCGATGAGGAAGCCGGGATGTAGAGGGGGGAGTTCATATGAGATATTGCCTATGATCTTAGTGAGGCGTCCAATCAACAAGTTGATAGAAGATGACTTACCTTGATCGGTGGAAGCGCCACTGACGGCAGAACTGTTTTCCATGTATTTTTGTCCTTGGGCTCCGGCGGCTTGGACAAAGGTCTTGATAATGCTTTTGTTGCACCGAAGCTCCTTATAGCTTTGCGACCTGGGAAACGTTGACCTCTACGCTCCATCCACGTGGAGGATCTCATACAATTACGTACCAATCTAGTTCGACAGTGCATCCAGCACCTCTAGCCGCGCCTTCAAAGCAACCAATGAGTCGCTGGCAAGTATCTTCCAACTGGGTGCTGTTCTCCGCACGAGCGTAAAGCTCAATCACGGTCAAGTCAGGAATGACATTAGGTCGCTCGCCGCCCTTAGCAATAATGGCATGCACACGCTGGTCGGGAGTGATCTGCTGCCGCAGCATGGAAATGCTGTTGTAGGCCGCAACGGCGGCATCCAATGCATTCCGACCCTGCCAAGGAGCATTACCAGCGTGAGCATTGACACCCTTGAAGGTCGCGGTCACACCTGCACGCGCCATGCATTTTCCATTAGCGATTCCATCGATCGGCACGACTCGTGGTCCTGGATGACCCATCAGACAGGCATCCACTCCTTTATAGGCACCGGCTCGGAGCAGGTCAATCTTTCCACCACCATCCTCCTCGGCTGGAGTGCCCAGGATACGGACCCGTCCCTCTCCGCCATCGGCACGCAGGGCTTCGGTGGTGGCGAGGAATGCGGCCAGTGAGGATGTGGCGATGAGGTTGTGTCCGCAGGCGTGGCCCATGCTGGGCAGTGCATCCATCTCTTGCGGGTTTTGGCGATATCTACCAGGAAGTCCACGCTTACTTACTACACCGGTCTGCGTATTAGAGATTACGAGCATTGGAGAGTCACGTCTGAGTGGGAACACGAACATGCAATCTTCTATCAATCATAATTGATGATGGTAAAGAAAGTCGTGTTGGTTGGCTATATGGCGCATGTTTGTGTCTTCTCCACTACCCGAGCGGCTGTTGAGCTTGGATATGATGCGCTCGTCGTGAGTAATGCAGGATCTAAATACAGTACTTATCAGGATGTCGCAAAAAAACCTCCACTACAATGTGTATTTCCAGCTTTATCTCATTACAGAACAGCGCTTTGTTTGTCAAATGACAGCATTCGCTTCAAACGTGGTGCTTTGGTATGCGTAATAGTGAATAGATATTAGCACAACTTTGGTCATGCTTCCAAGCCTGCGGAGGGCCATGAGATGGCGCTGCTTGTTTTTGACATTGAAAGAACGTCTAAATTGGCTACTTAAAGCCTACCTTCAAATCGGTCAAACACCAGAGGCAGAGACCCATCAAAACTCGAGTTATTCAGCGGAAAGGGCCAATTCATCAGTAGCTCCTGGGGTAGTTGAAACAACGACATCTGATCGATGAGAGCAGAGGAAGTATTGATTTCCGCATCTGATCCATTTTGGGCATAAGTATCTAGAACAGCAGATCCTGGTTCTGCGCCTAAAGAGACGGTATCATTACTCGGCTTCGCTGGAACAATATTGAGAGTCAGCTGGCGCGAAGTGCGTATGAAGTTGTCAATTCGGTTGACCTGGCATCTGAGACGTTCACTAGCACCCGAGACGTGGTGCAGGCCGGTTTCTAGACGACCAAGGAAATCTGCCGTTGCAAGGCTGTTTGGAGTTCAGTATTCACAACAGGGCTTTGAAATTCGTTAGTGCTTACACTAGCGTGCGGACCCGTCGGTAGGACACATTGGACAAGTTGTCTTCCATAACAGAGCCCAAAATAGAGCCGATGCCACCGAGATGATGTATCTATGAGTCATCAGCGAGAATCTTGTCTTCAATATGAGTTGAAATCAACCTACCAGCGGTAAATTGATCGCTTTTAGGTATGCCAAGGGCACTTCCGAGAACACGCTGAGCATCTCTTCGGCAACATCACATCTCCGATCTACTCCAGCCTCTTCTGTAGACAATAGGATCATTCTAAGAAGTTGCATCGTTGCGTGAATGTTAGCTGACTGGAAGCCAAACAGATCTTTGGTTATATCGCCGGTGATGGGCGGCGTCTCTCGGAATTGTGGCGGTAATGCGGAGTACATAGAGAGGACATGTTCCATCACAACCAACTCAGACATGAACTTCGAACCGAAAAGCGGAAACACTGGATCCATCTTAGCCGAAGGGAAACGGTGCCGATTGCCGTCAATTATGTGCTCGAGAACACGGTAAAGATCTGTGACAAAGTTCCAACCTCGGAGCCAAGTTACGGGCTGTTGAACAAAGCCGGGAGTCGAACTTGGTCCTAGCGGTTCAGTTGGCACGGTGTAGCCGTCAGATGTGATACATTCGTCATCAATTTCGCTAGGGTAGCGCACGAGGGAATGAGCTTCACGATATCGAATAACCCCACCCCACAGAATCGTGGAATAGATATCTAGGGTGTAGATAGACCAGAACTTCCATTTCTGTCAGTCAAAACAAAACCAAATCAAGACAAGGCGTTGTTATTACCAATCTCCGGCGCTCCTCAATTTCGATGGCGTTTAAATCTCTTGGCCAAAACTTTTCATCGTAAAGTCCATCCATTGAAGTTCGGGTATGATATATACCAGCGAACTTCTGCATCTCCTTGATCTGACCATTTTGGATACTGGTGATAGCGAGCAAGGCACATGCGCGCATATAATCTATATCCTCGGCAGCGACCTGTTGGTCAGGTATGGAATTCACTGCCGCTGCATAGTAAACTTCTGAAGGCGGTTCTATAAGCTCTTCGCGGTGCCATCGTTTAGAATCTTCGGACAATGCTCCGTCGCGCACTCGACCAGAGACCAAAGCACACAAAGCCATTATTGAGGCAAATAGCCCTTGGTTTTGGAGATACTCTTGATTATCGACAGCCTTTATGAAAGACGGTCGATGAAACAAAGGGAATCTATTTAGATTTTTGTTAATGCGGTCGATCGGGTGGACTAGGTTTCGCAACTTACATTGGATAGACGATTTCAAAGTATAGCTGAACGAGATTTCGGATCTGCCCATCAACGGAGATGGCAAACGCTTTCCATGCGTGGCGTATACCAATATGCTCGACGGTTCCCTTATCATTGTTATCCACTGGCCAACTAGAATGAATAGTAGACCAAGGATCATCGGAAACCGGTGGCTGCAGGGTCAATATAGGAGCGTTTGTGGCCATAGAATCAGATGAGCCAGAGATTATCCCCCTAGTCGTAGAATTGTCTGCCATAGAAGTACTCGAAAGTTGATCATCAGCCAAGCTGCCGTGATTGGGGTCACGAAGTTTCGTCGGGCTATCAAATGTACATGGCACGTCGAAATCCGCGCAGCTCTGACAGCGGGCAAGCGGGTCGTCGTACTCGTCGCATTTATTACTGCAGCGATTGCAGAAGTCACCTAAAAGAGCGCTTGGTTAATGATCGACTCTATGAACACTCATCTGGAGGATGCCGCCAAACAAGGTAAATAGGCAACTGCAGGTCGGATGTCATATTACTTACAGGTCTTGGATATGCGCTGGATTCTCCGCGGTGTTTGCGACATGTTGGGGGCGCGAAGATGGCGGTTCTCCACAGACAGGAAACAAATATAAGGTTAAAGATGAGAAAAATATAAAATAGAGATAGAATAAAGTAGTGGACCCAAATCTCTTGCACAGGCTCCAGTGCTTGCCAATTCGGAGTTGTGCGAAGTAGCTGAATAGTTCCAGGTCCAAGTCGCGGAACCTAAATTGCAAAAGCGCTAACTCACTCCGGTCTGATGGAACTGAGAATTAATAATTAGTCAGTGGAACCGCGCGGGGTTCGTTGTACGATATTTTATTGAATCAGTCAGTGACCCAGCTAATCGGGCAAGCTGCTAGTGAAAAGAGCTTGTTGAGATTAAATGAGGTCAAATTTGCCTCCCGGGGTTGCTCCCTTATAAATAGGATCGGAGAATCTTTCTACATAATGATGTCTGGGCTAGGTTATAAAAGCATTCGTTTTGAAGGCTATATGGGCTTATTAAAGTTATACACCTATTATGAATCCCGCAAGAAAATGCGTCTACGCCATCGCACGCGAGAAAGTCGCAGTTTTATGCTTAAGTCTCCATCAGAGACCATTAATCGCCACTTGTTGTTAAAAACCTTGCCATCAACATATTTGATCAGTTCCTTTACCGGAGAAAGATGATCAACAGCACCAAATAGCTTTCCTTGGTGCAAAACCTCGCAGTAATTTCTAATAGGAGACACGTCCCCAAGCACATACTCTTTACGGGCCTCAACGCGTGTGGGAACAAGAATAGAACGGCCCACAAAGGCCTCCATACCCTGCCAGGCGAGGGTGATCGCCTCCTTGGCACCAGCTGGAATACCAGCATCATCTAGCGGTAATATCTGGGTGTTTGGATAGCGCTTTTGGATGTATGCGGTAATGGTAGGGTTATATGCGCCGCCACCGCACATAAAGATTTCCGCAATTTTTAGGTCTTTGGGGCATAATGACGGTAGTGATCCACAATAGCCTGTGCTGTGACACGAGTGATAGTGGCGATGACATCGTCAGAACTAATTATTTTCGCCTCTGCCTTGGTGATAAGCTCATACGCGAGCGTATCACGAAAAACTTCACGGCCAGGTGTTTTTGGCTGATCGAGGGCGAAGTACTTATGAGGTAGAAAGTTGTCCATGAGCTCCTGATCGACTGTACCACGCACCCTCGTCTCGCCATCCTTATCGTACTCGCGCTTGTCGTCCGTATAATGGCGTACGACTGCATCGATGAAAACATTACCTAGGCCGGTATCAAAGTCGTAGCATTCATTCACCCCACCGTGTGTATCAGGAGGGATGAAGCACATGCTAGCGATACCACCGATGTTCTGATAAGCACGCAACTTGGTCGGGTGGTGCAACAATAGGGCATCAAAAAAGGCAATCGGTGGTGCGCCCTGACGTCCTGCAGCTTGATGGCTCACGCGGAAGTCGATTACTGAGGTGATACCAGTGCGTGAGGCGAGGAATCAGCCTTCCGCCATCGTCAGTGCGCTCCAGGTCTCTCCAGGCTCGGGCATAGAGATTAGCCAAATTTTGGCAGTGGGAGCCTAAAACATTCACTGCGAGCTTCGTCTTCTCATGAATACCGTAAAGCTTCCACCATCGATGCCCCGCTGTTCAGAAGAAGGATGATCGAATCCAGGGCTTGGCTGGCGGTGCCGTTGATATTTTGATCTCCCGCCTATAACAGGGTTTGTATAGAGAGAGCCATGACGGAGAATTCGGTGGTATTTAACGGAAACTTGATTTTCATCACCGGGCGAATGGTAAACCCACGCCACCATGACCACATTCGGTCTTCGAATGGCCTCACCGCGGCAAATGCAAGATGTTCACGCCGGCCAAATGGATGATCAGAAACCTTGGAAAATGCTTATTTTCGTGTCCGCGCTGTTTGTGTGCATGTAGCCATTAGGCCTCCCCACACCGTAGTCGAGACAAACTCTCGAGGTCGTTATTCACGCTGTGGAGAAACTGTTAAACGCCTAAACACTTAAACGCCTAAACAATCGGCGTGGGTGGAGCCGTCCCTTCAGTTTTTCACGATGAACTTCCATTTCGACCGAGACGCTCCATATTATATCGTGGACTAGTAAGCATCCGATAAATCCGGAGGATGAGCTACGTAGATGAGCAATAATGGGATTGTGGAGCGCTCTTGAACGGCTACACGGCTAATTGAGAAGCGTACTGAGCTATCCCGCGCTTCTCCAGGATTAGCCAAATAAGCCCTATGTCGATCCCTATCTAGTATATAAGGATTCGCGAGCGTCCGATAACCCCGATAGATGACTTAGTAAAGTGCGGCAACGAAAATGGGCTATACGACGCTCTGGAAGCGGCTCTCGCCGCGGCAACTGAATTTTGCTATCCAAATTTTCTCGCTAATATCCATCTTCTTCGAGGGCTATGATCAGGGCGTCATGGGCGGCGTCAATGCATCGCCCAAATATGTCACAGAGGTCGGAATTGGTAGGCCAGATGGCACAGTGACTGATACCACGCACCAGGGTGGCATTGTCAGTGTCTATTACCTGGGTGCTATCTTTGGCTGTTTTGCTGGAGGATACATGGCTGACCGAGTTGGTCGTATCAATGGCCTGTTGATGGGTGCATTATTTGCCTTGGTCGGTGGCGCCTTACAGAGTGCTGCTCAGAACTCGAACTTCATGATTTGTGCCCGAGTGGTGACGGGTATTGGTACCGGAGGTTAGTAATTGATCTCAAATTCCAACTTGTGCTAACTAAAGGTGGTGTAGCTTTAACCGGAATAACCCCTGTCTTAGTGGCAGAAACATCTTCGGCAGATCACCGTGGTGGATCTCTAGGTTACGTTTTTATTGCTAATTGTAACAAGGCCGTCATGTCAATTTACAGAGGTTTTACTTACATTCTCTAGACCTAGGAATATCAGTCGCATATTGGATCTCATTCGGTCTCGCGTTCATCAACAACGGATATTCCGACGTGCGATGGCGATTTTTGCTTGCGTTCCAATGCGTTCCGGCCTTTGTTCTTGTCTGCTGCATCAAGATGTTGCCGGATAGTCCCCGGTATCTCGCCTCGGTTGGCCGCCAAAAGGAGGCGCGGGAGCTGCTAGGGCGCCTTCGTCAACACCGGAATACCCCACAAGAGATTGATCAGGAATTCTTCGAGATTGTTACATTGACAGAGGAAAGGCAGCGTAGCACTCTTCAATTCGCAAAAATCTTGCTGGGGAAGGGTGGAGGGATGCATCCAAATTTGGGTAGACGAGCTTGGCTTTGCGTCTGGCTGCAGATAATGGCCTCCTGGACGGGCACTACTGTAAGTTTACCCTATCCTAGGCAATTTTTCTTGGTCATTCAATCTGAGTACGTTCAATATAGGCTGTCACTGCATATTCTCCAGTTCTCCTAAAGCAGGCCGGGTACAGCACACTCGTTCAAAACGGTCTATCTGGGGGAATTAACACCATTGGCATTGTTGGTACCCTCATAAGTGCTCAAATTGTTGATCGCCTAGGCCGCCGTGTCTGTCTTATAGGTGGTGCAGCTTGCTTGTTTGCCGTCAATCTTATTGTACGCCCCCGCTTCTACGAAAGTTGCTCTGTCTATCTCTAACCATATGTCAGGCTGGGGCTCTCTACGAAGCCTCATTGTATACTGATAAAGCGGCTCAGTATGCTGCCGGGGCCACTGCTATGCTGTTTCTGTTTAATCTCGGGTAAGTCAAAAGTGCATTTGGCTCCGGATATCTTTCTGTACCAACCTGACGTCTTATAACAGTTATGCTGCTACCTGGGGTACGGTCGCATTCTTGGTGCCCACGGAAATATTCCCCAGCGACTTGCGAGCCCAGGGTAATGGCTTCGGCATTACCGGCTGGGCGCTTGGGGTTGGTATGACCACTTTGGTCAATCCGGTCATGTTCGAGGCACTGACGGTAAATTTATATCCCCCCTTGGGGGAAAAAAGCCAATCTGTTGCAGATTAAACTGACCAATAATATAACAGAGCCGCACTTATTTCCTCTTTGCCGGTCTCAATTTGATTTGGATACCCATTGTCTACCTCTGTACGTGTTTGCTCGGAGATTGAATGTGGAAGCCCGAGCTAACAGAACAGTCTACCCGGAAACTTGTAACCGCTCCTTGGAATCGATTGAAGCATTGTTCTCAACCGAGAGTCCCTTCTATTGGAAGATGGAGGAGGCATTTAAACTGCATGGTGATATTCTGGTGGAGCATGGAGGTAATAAGAATGAGGAGAAACCAGAGGAGCAGATGATTGCCTGACGCTCTGGTTCTCTTATATAGTATATTGAATATGATGTTCTCCCCTTCAGCAAGCCATATTCCCTGCGTCAAGCTAGCGATTCTTGATCGTTAGTTGCTTCTTGACCCTTCGTTCTTCGCGATCTCTCGTTGTGTTCATTTTGGAGGGCAAATTATTGCGTATTTCGTTGTGTGTGTCAAGAATTATGTATAGACAGCTACTTTACGTGGTTGTAAAAGGTATAAGGAAACGGACAGAAAACCCCAGGAACTTGGCTACGTCGACAAGTAGAGAGGGTATCGACAGTTTAAACAGTTAGTTGAAGTTCTAACCTCGAAGATCAATGTGCGGTAGGCCTCGGTGTGCTCTTTGTTAAAGCTTGATAAACATAATCCCCACCCGTGGACCCGGTTGCCTAGCTCGCCTGAGAAATGTCCATGGGTTTGCGTTCGCAAGTATCAATTATTACAATGATCATTTTTACATTCCTATGTGATACTTGTAAGATGAGAACCGACATTGTCGATAGGACTGAGAAGACGAAAAAGAAAGACAGGAGAGCTCGCCTCTGGCCTCAATTTGAGTATCTCAATTGTCCCTTTGTATGCGATTCACATGGGGTTTCAAAATATCATGTAAATCCAAGTATTGGGATCATTCAAATTAAACATCAAATTTTGTGGAAAAAGGTTCGTTGGAGATTGCTATAGACCCGCGTAATATAGTTAATCAAAGGACAAACTGTTGTACAGCCAAAAAGCAGGCTGATATTGGCTAGGTATCTCATAGATGATAGAGTATATATAAATAGGGCAAACGCAATGAGCAAAATAAACATAGCCAAAAGATATGAACGAGATGCTTTTAAAATTCCGCTGAGGTGCACACAGAAAACTGCCCAAAAAAATGACCAAAGAACAAGTATAAAAACGAACACAAAACCCGGGCAAAACAAGAAAGATAGGCATAAGCTCATATAAGGGTGCCATGGAGATGCTAGTCGTAACTCGTGAGAAGTAGCTTCTACGTATGTCTAGACCAAAGTACCAGAGGTGGATTGGCTTGGTCAAAGGACTCTCGAAGAATAAGAGAAGAGAGAGAAGGACTCCATGGTCAAATGGACATAGCGAAAAGGCCAATTCTCTTTGCATTCGCCCGCCTTCATGATGCTTTTGACCCATGTAGTATTGATGTATCTGGATCATTCAGAAGGTGATTCGGAACAAAACAGAGAAAAGACATTTCGAGAAAACAAGCAAATGCCTATCATCAGGTTGAACCTTGACTATGCGGCATAATCGAGAGACCCAAGAGGCAAGCATGACGCTGAAAAGCACAAGAAAACTGAAAAGATGAAACATGAGGGCAAGGACGGTCCAAATAGAATGTCTGGCCTAGAAGCTGAACAGGCCACTCCTCTTCTTGCCAAGCGGATAAACCACCAATGCTGCCAAAAAGAGACCCACGGTCGTGCCAATAGCGACCTGGACCATACCGTACCCAATGTCGAAAACGACACCATAATTCTGTTGATTTGCCTCGTCGGCCGACAAATTCTTTGCAGCATCAACGAATCCTTGCGTCCCGTTGTTGACAACCGCATATGGGGACCGAGTCATCTCCTCTGCAGAAGTAATTCCCGAGATGAGAGAGCCACTCGCTGCAAGACCAGAAGGAACAAGAACAAAAATTGCGGGAAGCATAGCCGCAGCGGCAAGTCCATGTCGTAGTCTGCTGTAGAAATTCCCCACAATACCAATGACAAATGCGCCCAGGGCATTAGATACCTGGGTGTTGGAATAAAAGCGCTTGGCGCTGAAGTAATTGACTGCATACCCCGCCAAGGATATGAACATCATGATCGGCATTTGCTTCCATTTGGCGCGGTTAACAATGGCTAGACACACAGTGAACAAGATGACGAATGGGAATTTCTGAAGATACTCGTTTTGGATGGGGCTGGCAGGACATGTATAGGCCGTTGTGGCCTGAGCGTCAAGAAGTCCGTACACAGCAGTACCTATGGTAATGCCAAACCCGAGAAACAACGAGTAGATAATAGCATAGACCATACGAACGGATCCTGCAATGATACTGCGTGACTGTAGCTCTAGACTGGCACAAAGTACCGTATATCCCGGCAAAATGAGAGCAATGGCTGACTGTGCGAGTGCCGAGAAACAAAATAAAGGCTCTCCTTGGAATCTGATACTTCCAAAGGCTCGGGCGAGGAAAGAGGTCAAGACGGCGGCGGAAATCTCAAAGACATTGGAATATAGGCTTGATTTGGGTGACAGTATCAACTGTAGCACTCCGAGGAGACATCCCAATAGGAACGCAATGGGGATATCAATTGGTCGGGCGTTGAAGGCGAACGGCCCGACTGATGCACTGGCACATCCGTGGGCGAATATGAGAAACAGGATGTGAAATTTGCTGGGCTTCTTCATGACCTCATCGAGTCGCTGTATTGCCTCTTCGACGGCGATAACATCATGTATCACCTCCTTGTAAATCTCATGCACATCGGCCAGTTTGCCCAAGTCAATACCTTGGGTAGAGCGCACAACCTTGACCTCTGTTGTGTGTGTGGAAGCATCATCAAAGGAGATAATCATACAACCAGGTATATACAAGAATTGGCCGTCGATCTGAATAACACGCGCGGTCATGCGCATATATTCTTCCAGTCGATGTGTGGGAGCTCCATACTTCATCAAAGCCCTACAGAGCCTGATCAAATACCGCTGCCGAGCCAAAATTTCAGCAATATGGACAGTGATGTGAATTTCATCTTCATATTGAGGTTGAGGGCGTGAGCGACCACATGAGCTTGGAATGGCGGAACCACTGCTGCGGGACCGTGTGAGAGTTGCAAAGGGGGAATTGGAGCTGTGCGATGATCCAGCTAGGGAAATGCTAGACCGAGTAGACGACTTTTCGTACCATTTCCTCTGCGGCTTCCAGAAGGAGTCTGGGGATATGCCACGTCCACTCCATCCAGAATTGCTTCCTTGCCGAGAGCGTCCATATCTTCCTCGCTCTTGAGGATGAACGGGGTAGGGAGCATGGTGGTTTTTATTGTGAGATTGATCGTAAAGCTTGAGCAATGAGGAAAGGATGCCTCCGCGGTAATGCGAAGGCCTGTCGGCAGATTCGTAGGAGTCCCTATCCTCGCTAGGTGTGACTTGGCCAGAGGGTAGATCAGAAGAAATAGGACGAAGGCGAGTCAAAAAATTCAAGTCTCGAGGTGACATTTGTTGCACTGGATAATGGCCTTCGGGGGAGAGCGGTGTTGGTCGCCCGTTTAGGAAGTCCGCTTCATGTCTATCTGTTGAGTCTTCGAGAGGCTGTTGTGTCTTGGAAATGCTAATCAGAGAAAGTTTATCTCCATCTCCAGTTGAGTACACCACTTGAGCGGATGCAGCGGCAGGTGATGACACTAGAGGACTTGGCTTCGGAGATTTTTGGGCACAATTGAGAAGGGATGCAAATCGGCGGGCCCTTTCATATGCAAAGCAGATGATCCGCCCCTTTTCATTCGTGCCTTTCACATCCTCAACCCCATGCTGCCCTACTGTACCTGATAAGCTGGCTCTGGTGCTGATCGTCAGCTTGGTGACATCCACTGACGCGCTAGTGTGGTCATCAAGTAGGGGCGCCACTTGGGAGCTTTGGGAGATATTTTCCTGTATAATTGGAATGTTGGCAGTGGATAATGGTCTTTGTAGCTGAGAGCCCCTTCGATCCAGCCGGGATTCAACTGTAGACCCACCAGTGGTTTCTTTGGACTTGTCGTAGGCAGTGAACTGGATATGATTCGTGCTTCTTAGAATGCTTGCATTCCGACGCTTGGCCTGTGCAGCTTCGTCACTCGATATCCGCTCCTGAGACATCGACTGTTCCTGAGAGCTATCACTGGGCAGTGATAATGCGAAGGAACGCGGCTGTGATATCTTTGACGATCCTTCCACATCAGATGCGTTGGAGCAGGAGATCGGGAGGTCAAAATACCCCCGCGCCATTTTGGTGTAATTCCTTTTGTTTTTTTGTTTTTTTTCTTAAAATGACTTCTGTAACTAGATAATCTACCGCTCACAGACCTCTTTAGTGACCGAGCTCAAAGGAAAGCTCGGGTAGTGCGGTTCATGTGGTAAACTGTAACCCAGCAACTGTCAGCTATGTGAGCTAATAACATGGGGAGTCTTTCCTCGGAGATCACAGGATTAGCAGTCAAGAAGACAATAATCCATCTTCAGCTCAGAAGCGTCCCAGAAAAGGAAGAAAAATAGGAAAACAATCACTAGTACAACCAGAAAGAATGGGCGCAGACCTGTGCAATAGCTCTCAATGTTTCCCGGAAAGGGGGGTTCGGCTCGGAGGATGTCCAGCTAGGAATGAGAATTATGTCACGGGTACATAATTAGAGGCAGCAGAATATTATATCGGGCAATAAATACATCTGCAACCTCGGGGGAAGGGGCAGGAGGGCAAAAGATCCAGGCAAGGCAAAATCAATATAAAAGGTAGACAGTAGACACGAACACTTGGATAAAGATGTTCCTCTGATCTACGAAGACTTTTCCGGCTAGATACAGGACTAAATAGGACTTCAATTTGCTAGGCAGCACACGAACCGTGTCAGGAAAGGTCAGAGGCCCAATAAGACTGAATTGAGGGATATATTTTGGATCACGACCGTGTAGCCGTAGCTGGGCTACCTTCGTGGCAAGTTTTCACAATGACTTTTGCCACTATTGCCAATCAGATGCAAGGTCAAGAGAGAGTGGAAGTTGAGCTAAGGTATGCTAGGGAACTGACAGTCGTAATGGTTAAGAACCAGGAATCCTCCTTGGTGGGAATATCGCGGGAGATTGGCACTTTCGCTGAACGAGACCCATTTTGTTTGGTCAAGAAGGGCTCTGATTTACATCACAGCCGACGTTCTCTATCGTATATGGTCGACGCCTATTGTCGGATCTCGGCCGTTGGCCCAGTAAAGAAACACCCAGCGGGGGGATACGGAGGGACCGAGCTCATTGTGAAGGAGAGCAGGGGTTCCACAGGCCCATGAGGTACCACAAAGCTGCAGATTCAAATATCATCTCATAGGCATATCATGTCGAAGGGGTGTAGGAGTGTCAGGTACATGATCGAAGAGGGATCTTCGCGATCGGAGTTCGAGGTAGATCAGTGGAGCAACCGTTTTTAAGTGCAATTTACCTTCAAATGTTGACTCAGGAGTGACTAAACTCGTGCTTTCTTTTTGTATCTTCTCCTTTCTTCGCCATATCGAGTAACCGCATCTGAAATGCATTGAGAACTAGCCTAATCCATCCCTTGTGTGATTTTGACATCATGGGAAATCGTCCGACGGGCGAAACATTTCCGTCATGCATGCAAGACACCTGCAAGATACCTGCTTATTACCTGTGCCTGATTGATTCGACCAGTCAAGAAGAGATTTCAATCTATAGATTTACCCACCTGCATAATGCGAGTCCACGCAAACCGATTCTCGGGACGCGAGGCCTGAAAATACCTATCACACCTTCGGAAAGAATCGTATTGCCAAATTTATAACATCTCCCTTCCGACTAGAATTTTCTTCCAACCCAGGTAAGTACCCATACTGTGTGTCAACATCTGACAGACTTCCGAGACCCGGTTGGGTGTCCAGCCTCAGAGGGGCTGCTGAAGGTTTCTGATATGTCACAGCTTCGTACAGGGTACCATACAGTTATGGGCATTGGATGTCGCACTAATATCCGGGGAAGTTGTTTGCTTGCTTGCAATAGTCATCCCCAGCCACCCTGGAGCCAATCCTGTCAAGTTCTATAGGAGAGTGCAACCACCAAACATGCACTCCTGAATGGGGTTGAAGCATCCCCTTCCATGATGTCAGCCAACATCGCAATTATGAGCTCCTGGTCCGTCATCATATCACCCAGAGCTGTGGGATGCTTCTATAGGCAAAACTCATCACTCACCTCGTGCCAGTAAGAAAATTATTTGGGAGGGAGATCATCGAAAATTTTTGAGCTTGCCAGTGCGGCTGCTGATATGTCCTGACTGGTCAGCCAGCCATCAGGGAGAAGACCCGGCTCAATCTTCAGATGTGGGAACCAAACAAGAGCTCTAATCGGGCGCCTTGCTTCCAATGTGGCTTTTGAAGCCGTTGGGAACGTATCAGATGGGATTGGAGGTGTCGCTCCCAATAAACGTTCCTTATATGACCTATAATACATCTGTTGTTAAAACTTAACCATATTCCACCTTGTTGAAACCGTAAATAGTTGGACAAACGGATCATATCTGTCTTTTCATGCAACAATGCGACCGCACAAAAAGTTGTCCCACCCTCTCCCTTCCTCATCAGTCACACAGCTCTGTCCTCCGACCAGCCATACCGGATATGTTTGTCAAACCTGCAAGGACTCAAGGGCCAATACTTAAGCTTAGACTGCCAATCTGTTATTGGTACTTGTGTCAGGGGCGTGTGCCTTGAAAGTCCGGCTCCTCGATCCTCGGGTAGATGCAGCTATAATGCAGCTATGATTACAGGCCTCTTACTTGGTTGACGAGGAAATATTTCATAATATACGATTGCCTATTGTGAAACTGCGCTTTCATTTGGGAAGAACATTTTCAGCGTCCCGTTTGCAAATTGATTTGCCTTCAGCCTTCAGTAGGGGCATGTGCTTTGCATGTGTATCGATGCTGAATCTTGTTACCCAATTCTATACTAATAAACATGTTCGCGATGACCTCATTGATAGATACAATATTTTGCGTAATGTATGTTTACCTGGGCACATATAAATTTGGTGCTTTGTCAATTTAGGGTTCAAGGTTAAGGTCGCGGCAGTACCATGGTTCGTGATATCATTCCCAGGTCTCACCAAACTGAACCTGCGAGCATCACGCAAACTTCATGGTTAAAATTGTGCATTAGTTGATAATTAAAAGTTCATTACTGCTACGGTACCTTGTGTCATTGCTGGTGGTATCATCGTGATCTGTTTATAACCGAATACAAGAAGATCTGGTCGAGTTGGAATCAGGAAAATAGGCACGCATCAACATTCATGTACAACAACACAGCCTTAATTTCCATAAAATGAGACATGATATGAAATGATACTTTGCTAGAATTCTGGACCAAAAGGTAACCTATGTGCTTAAATTGTCGTGGGCTATGATCAACACAACCAAATAAGATAAATACCAAACATAGAATCAGACAATTGCCGTAAAGGCGTGTAATGGCCAGCGAGATCTGGACTCAGATACGGGAATTCGGGGAGATCAGCTGTACATAGCCAGATGCACATTGCAGCCAAAGGTGGGGAGAGAAAAAGACAAGTTGCCGTGGCAGGCGTGTCCCTAAATATCAATCCCGTTCTTGTTCTCGATTCAGGAACATAAATCCAGCGCGCCCAGCCTGGGCCGCGACAAAGCTGGGAGAAAAGCAGATGAAACGTAGGTGGGAAGGTTGAAAAGAAGAAATAGACGAAGTAAGAATAAAATCATTTCAGACCGATCAAGGTCTATCGTCACGAAACCATAAAACTTGGCAGTGCCAATAATAGAGTGGTAATAAGTAAAGGAGTGGCATAAGGGTCAAGGCTCATCAATGTCCTTGATTCGGGAGCCAATGAAGCAAATAAGGATGAAAACCCCCCAATTGAGAGAAAGAGAAAAAGAGAAAAAGAGAGAAAAATAAGGGTCATACGTCGCTGTCACATGATGTTCGGTATTACATGAAAGAGGTCTTGCGTTTTTCAGCACTGGAAAGCACCAGCATAGGCGTCTTGCGCCGCTCTGGTGCCTGGTGGGCCGCCGGCCCCTGGCCAGTAACAACAGACGCCACCGAGGGTGACGAGGTGCCACTGGCACTAGGCGAGGGAACATAGTCGCCGCGAACATCCACAAACTTGGACCCAAAATAACCACCATCCTCACTAGTCGGGGTAGCACTGTGGAAAGGGCTGTCCGGAGACCTGCGGTCCCGGCCAGACTTTTCCTTTCTCTCGGATCCAATAGCACCGTTAGCTACCGCTCGCAGGCTGCCAAGGCTCGGCTTGCTGGAAAGGCTACCGCCGCTCCGCACAGTGGCATCATCGCCGTCGGAGAAGGTAAATTCCTTCTCGCTGGCAGGAGTGTTCGTACCCCCGCTGCTATGATATCCAAGACTGCGCGTATCACTACGACGCTCAATTCCTGCACGAACAAGGCTGTGCACAGCCCGACGACGCTGACGAGTCGCAAAGTTCTTGCTACCCTCGTGCTTGGAGGTGGGCTTGGCGACCAGATCTTCGAGTGAAGGGGGTCCACGGGGCTGACGCGTCGGGTGCTCGCCAGCACGACCTTGACCGGGTCCAAATGTTCCAGTGGCCGGTGTCGGAGGAAGCGGAGAAGAGCGAGGGCCAGTCGCTGCGTTCGCCTTGGTGATATCAATGTGTGCCTTCGTGGCTGGATTGAAAGAGGGGTTCTTGCGGTGATCACGGCGAAGTGCGTTGGTAGATGATTCGTAGGGTGGAGAGGGGCTACCGCTACCGATCGGAGAAGAGATCGGCAGGGGGAATTGCATCGGAGATTGCGCAGAGTCTGCAGGAGGAGAAATCTCGGCACGGAACTGGGGCACTTGTTGACCATACTGACACTGAGAAGAATCTTCCTGAGAGTTGTTGTCCATGATGAAACTTTGCTGGTTAGTCAAAGGGTTGAACACACAGAACATTCCAGGCTGGCCAGGAACAGCCTGCACAATGGGTTGAACGCCTTGCTGGAGCTGCTGTTGGTAGAATCCCATGTTGGGCATGGAAGGGACATGTTGATGTTGATGTTGTTGTTGTTGTTGTTGTTGTTGCTGCTGCTGTTGATAAGGCATCCCCAGGTTGAGGTTCTGGAATTGCTGAGCTGCGGCAGTGACGCTGATCAACTGCTGCTGCAAGCGTTGCTGCTGAGCAGCTAGAAACAGATTGGTTGACATCAATTCAGCGTACATGCTCTCGTCGATGGGGATCTCACCACCAGCCATTTCAAGCACTGGAGGTGCAAGTACCTGCTCTGGCATGGTATACACCATACGGTTGTGAGAGTCCTGATGGTATTGCGAGTTACGTGGAATGTGGTGAGAATTGTGGGGCGAATAGTGCTGAGTGAATTGCGAGTTCGTGTTCCGATTTGTCGTATAGGCATGCTGAGGGAATCCAGTTCCCGTGGCAGTGTGTGGAACTCGATCGGACACTCGGTGAGGTCGTTCACCTTCCATCCGGCTTCGCTGTTGAGGAGAAACAATGGTCGCAGACTTTGGAGCAGTACGCAGTCCAGCCAAGAGGTGAGAGCGACTGGTGCGTGGAGTGGAGGAGGTTGGGGCGGTCTGGGACGTCTCGTCGATGGTGGCAACCTGGGGAGGCATACTCAAGCGCTTGATGTGAGAGCCTTTTCCGCGGGAAGCGAAGCCAGAGCCAGGCACACCCAGGGAGCCACCATTATTGAAAGAAGAATTGTAAGTCATTTGAGCAAGACCGCCAGTGTCCATACTCGTGTTCGTGTGAGGCAGGTTGTGGGTATATGCAACGGGATGCAAATTGAGCAAGTCGCGTCTTTTAACGTCCGGATTTGATGTGAGTGTTTGGGGTCAACCACAAAACTGAACTCACTTCCCGGCGATTAAGAAATTATGATGTTTATGCAGAACAAGCGCTAGAAGAAGTCCGCAAAGTCGAGATTCAACAACTGGAAACGAAACCTCCGGCGAGAGTCGGGTTTTCTGATTGAGAGATAACTCGTCAATAAAGATCAGATGAATGAGAACAAGAAAACATACCAGTCACAGGTGAATATATGCAAAGAAAGCGAATGAGTGGATCGCAGTGAAAGCAAAGGCCAGAGTGACCAAGCTGTACAAGGACTGTTTTGAATTTAAGAGTCGCAAAACTGAGCAAGTCTCAAAGCCGAGGTCAACGTAATTGACTCTGAAGAAAGATCAACAATTAAGAGAATATTTCGAAAATAGTGGTCACACGCGAAGCAACACGAATGAAAGATAAGAGTGTGTTCGGGGGAAATGCTCTGCAAAACCCAGCCGAATAAAAAAAAAGAGAGTTGTTGACGCGATGCCGAAGATCGATAACTTTAGGCTGAAACACTAGAAGGTCACAACCAAGCAAGCAAATGAAAAAAAATGTAATCGAATCCAAAATGAAGAAACCAGAAGAGAGGACCTTGTCAAGGTCACAAATGCAGAATCGAAGGGGGTTCGGGTGTCAAACGCGAGAGTTTTTTTTTTCTTCCTCAGGGGCGGAAGGAATCGGGAGAAGAGTATTTGCAACTGATAAATGCTGTGTTGATTTTTTTATTCACCCAAACGAGAAGAGCTGCAGAGAAAGAAGGAATGCAGGATAAGAAAGAAAGAATCGAAGATTAGATGGGATGAGAGAAGAAGAAGAGATGGATTATTGAGGATGTGGTGGATGTGGGGATCAAACGCCTGAGGCAAACAGCGCCTAAAATGTGCTAGCGTCTTCAGGTACAATGGCTTTCAAGTCGCTTGTGTCTTGTCTCTTGTGTGATCCTTTTCAACTTCACTTGTTTGCTTCACTCGAACAATAGAATAGGAATCATGCTATCTAATCCTCTATTCAACTTGAATCATCTTCTCGGTTTGCCGGATGTACCTTTGGTCTGTTGTATTGACTTAATGACCAAAACCGCCGTTGAGGCAATTTGACTGGCTCGCCCTGTGGACCAATAAGCAGGACATTCAAGCATGAAGTGATCCTCCGTCACATCCCCAGTCAAATCATTGGCTGTTGACCTCTAGCGCCGCGACGTGGCCGCCGTCTGCACCTGACAACGCCCCTTGGAGCCGCTCACTGCTGATGCCAAGCTGCCGGCGCCAACCAATGGTTTCACCTGGACATGCTACTTTCCCAGCTCATTAATTAAGTTCTTGAAAGCTGAAATATTATTGCTCGTGACATTTGAATCAATCGCACAGACTATGGAACTGTGCAATTCGATCGTGGTCCACGTCGAATCATGATGGCCGCTTCGAGGGCTACCACATGCTAGCGTGATTATGATCTACGATGGGTCATGAAGATCAAGTGTGCCAACGCCATATTAATTGCATGTGCCTTATCGGTTTGGTTCCTTTCGCTATCGTACATAAATCTCACATTCCGCATCTCGTCCGATCGGAAAATGCTATCTTTACATATGTACAAGATTTGTTCATTCGTACAGGCCTTGATCTCGACAGCCTGTGCGTGAAATGTCCCAAGTTACAAGTGATCCCCCCAATTTCAAGGCGAACAGGGTCCCGGAAACCACCATAACATGGCACAAGAATACGAGGCGTTGATACGCCGCCATGAAAGTTTGAAAATAAAAACTAAAAGTAAAAAGGAAGATGCGGGGTATTTGCTGGCGAAGACAATGCCAGAAGAGAGAAATAATCAACAATGAGTCATGAAAAATCATCAAACACAAGTGCAATCTCAAGACTCTAACCATCCATTGAGATATCAGGTCCAGTGAGAGAAGCGGACTGATCTGGGGTCGTCGCACCCTTCCCATTCATCCGGTCAAACTCCAGAGTTTCCGCTAGCTCGGCGGCCATAGGGTCCAGATCTTCTTCCTTTAGTCCAGTCGCCAAAGCCACCAGCTTGCGATGCACATCAAATTTGGTACTCACACCAGCATCCCCTGTCTGTTGGACCAGATCTTTGACGGCATTGCAGCGTGTCTTTTGCGCGGAGCTAAGCTCCCGAGCAAGTTGATAGCGAGACAGTAACTGATCCTGCTCGAGGGAAGCCGGAGTCGGCTTGGGAACTTCTGTGATTGCAAACTGCTGGACCAACTGACTGTGTTGTATTTGCTCGAGAAGGGACTCGTAGCATTCCCGTAATATTTCATATCGACTGGCTTGATCATCATTACGTTCAAGCTCGGCCTCTTTGGCTGACAATGTAGCAATTTGTTTCTGGATTTTCTGGCGATCTGATTCAAGCTGTTCGTGCAACGCTTCAGGGTTAGCCACATCCGTGGAGTCTTGCTGGTTAACCTTTGAGTTGTCATAAGTTATAGCAAGTTTTTTGTTTGCTTCAGCCATGATCATGCCGATCTTGGAGAGAAGCTCGGCAGTGGCATCAGGGACCGGGGCAACAGCGGATTGATCTGCGGCCACAAGACCGCTCACATCACCTTCCATGTGCTCATTGGCGGTCACAGAAGACGGTGCTGGCGGATGGTCATGGCTGGGATGGTGCAGACGCTGCATGATGCTGGTAGCGGTTTCGCCTTTATTGTTCATCAGATCACCAGCTCGGTGGCAGTGCACGAGAAGGATGTTCACCAGACGGAATGCGCCATTGCGAGCAGCAACAAGGGCGGCAGTATCTCCATTTTGATCCTGGCAAGACAGCAAAATGCCTATCTCATCCTGCGAGCACGTTTTGCACAACTTATCGAGGAGGATTTCGCAGTAGTAACGTGAACTTTTCCACTTGCCCTTGCTTCGGGTGTTTTCTGCGATATGATGAAATATGGTAGCGCCGAACCAGTCTCGAAAGGAAACGGTGTCTAGGAGCATATCCAACAGAGTAGGAAACGTTCTCTTTTCGTAGTTGTTGGTGAACAAAACGGCTCGGACAAGTGGAGTCTCCTCATGCTCCGAAAGCGCCTTGATGTTAGCTCCTTTTTGGATGAGGTCGTGCACAATACCCAGATCACCCATCGCACAGGCCCAATGAAGAGCTGTGTTTCCGAGGTCATCAATAGCTCGGTCGATTTGGAATCGGGCAGGGGGGACAGGGGGAGAAATCCGCGCTGCCTCGGGGGCATCTCCCACGGTCATGAAGTAATCTAGAAGCTGGTCGCCATAGATGATATGCTCCTGCTCGCTGATTGACATGGGGGTTTCCTTTCGCCTGCGCTTCGGGTCGCCTTGAGACATTTGAAGTGTGTCTTCGTCGGCAAGCATGGAGGATGAATCTACGGTGGCATGTCCGATCGACTCATTGTCATCAAAGCCTGAGTTCATCTCATAATGGTCTTGAGGAATCGTTGGGGGCCCCATGCTGCGCGGTGGTTGAACAACTTTCAGAGTCTCTGCTGCTGCCGCGGCCGCAGCGGCGGTCGCCGCAGCGGCGGCTGCGCGGTTTGCAGCGGCCGATTTCCTTGGAGCCCTGGGCTTGGATGGGGCAGAGGTGTGCTTTGGTGCTGGTGGAGGAGTGCGGTCTCCGGAAGCGAAATCGAAGATGGGAAGTAGCTTGGAGAGGATGTTGTTGCGCTCGGCAAGCATACGCCCCTCCGGAAGTGGAATCCATGTTCCTGAGCGATGTCAGATTAGTATCTTGGATATCGGGCTCTCTTTCTATAAAACTAAGATACATACCTTGGTATTTGCCGTAGCCACCTTGAACTTTTTCATGTACGCCCTTCTGGACCTCTCGTTCGAGGATACGGGTTCGAGCAGGCTTGTCGAAGCCCGCTGCTTTGAGGATATGTGTTGCGTTGACCCAATCATCGCCTCGTCGTCTCATCACACTGTCGCCATCGATCTTGAACTCGTAAACAGGGACCTGTGTTGAGAAAGTCAATTGCTGTTCGAGTGGAGGGTGGAGGGGATGATCTCAAGCAAAAGGAGTGCAGGTATGCAATTGGAATTTTACTCACACTGCTGTAGGTAGCAGAGTAGACATTCTCCATCCCCGCCATGATATGCGTGGCCGTCGCCGCCGCGCGATTGACTAGATTCGTGAGGAAAGATATGACACCGCGCACGTTATCGCGCAAAAGTCACCCCTTGTGGATCCGCAAATTGATCGAGTTGAGAATGCGTCAGGTCTGATGCATCTCATGTAATCAGAACTCGAAGCAAGAACGCAAAACACGGGTTCAGTGGAACTGGGGGTGGTATCGGATACGCGCTGCGCGCAGGACGCGTAAAGTGGGTGGTCCTTTGATGCCTCAGGCAAAATGATTTGATAAAAGGTCATGTGACTAACCTCCAATTCGGAACCTCACGATCGCTCGGGAATGGCCAACCTCGCCGTCCGCGTCTGTTTCCCCACTCCTTGCCTTCCCACCCCTCAATTCTCGACAAAATGACTGTCATCGAGTCGGTCAAAAGCGCCGTGGGCCTTTCTGAGACCTCGGGTAAGATTCCCAAGCCATTGGTCGATAATCAAAAGCTCGACTAGGAAAACTGACTTGATCACAGCAACTCGCCAAGAGATGTCCGAAGCTCGTCTCCCAATGCAATACAGAGACTCCTGCGCACACCTCCTTATTCCGCTGAACCGATGCCGACAAGCAGAGTACTACCTTCCCTGGAAATGCGAGGTACGCAATCCCTCATTTTGACTTGAAGATTCCGCACACCCTGACTTGATGGGACTGCGTTCTGGGTCGGAGAACCTACTTTCCAAAGCCAGTCAGCTAATGCAGTTCTTTTGAATCCATAGGACGAGCGACACTCGTATGAGAAATGCCAGTATGAAGAGTTCAAGAAGCGTGTGGCCAAGATGGATGAGCTGCGTGCCGCTAAGGATGGCGCCCGGAGCAACTGAGTTCTGAGACTGTTGGTATGCGCGTTCGGTGCTGCTGAAAAAGCTGCTGAATATGTAAATAAGAGATACACCGAAACTGCTTATGGAATGCCTTTGGCGTTGGGACCTTTCAAGTTGAAGTTACCTCATTCGCCGGTTAGGACCCGCTTGATGCCCCGGGCATCTATTAGCTTGACGCTCAACTTGTCGAGCATCACACATTACACATGTGCATGGACAAATTCCCAGGTGGCATCGCATTTATCGAGTTCACACGTACGATTCGATAGATTGTCTTCATCTGAGCACCGGGGAGCAATGTTGTCCAAGATCAAGGCACCGATCCTTTGTGCTTCTTGCCTGCAACCATCGTAATATCGCACGATTTCATTGGTCATCAAAATAGATTGTACAGGGCCTATATGAGTTGTTTCCTCCGCATCTTATATTTCCATCTAGACCGTAATCATATCGGAGACATAAGACTACGGATATGGTTGGTCATAATGAACTTTCTTCTATTTGAATCTGTTCGGCTTCTACATCGTGTGTAAAATGTCTCAAGACCACCTGTAGGTATTCAGTCCAATATAACATTCCAATATAACAATTTGGGGCAATGTAACCTGTTATATATGAAGGAGTGAAACCGGATTGTATTGAACCTTAAATACTGCGAAAAAAATTGACAAATGGATAAAACTATTCAAATCGTGTAGAGAAACGACAACAAATTGATACTTCAGAGTGTACCCAGAAATTTCTAAGCGGAATATACATTCAAATTGACTAGTGACTCTTTGATCTTGGCCATACTTTGTCATGGATTGTGAATTGTAAGCAAGGATCCATTCCAAGGTTGTACCTACTATAGAATACATGAGTAAATATAGGTTTGAAAGACAAGGCATTTTGTTGTGAACGAGAAATACCTTTGGAGGTGCTAGTATACGGTATGGCCCGTGCTTGGGATGTATACTCTTTTGTAGGTCATTTTACTGTACAAAAATGAGCTTGATGAGGTAGATACCCATGAGATATTTATATATGAAAAGCTTTCTTTCAAGACTGATCAAGTAGGTGGTTGTATACCTATTTTGCGGTGTGGTTTTGTTCAAAACACGCTTAGATAGTTCCACCCTTTCTGACAAAAGATGTAGATCAGCTACCAAGGTATTCCGTATGTTCGTATCAATGTAAGTATCAAATACTACTTGAATAGTTGCTCAATAACTTTTGGCTTTACTTTTATACTAGCTATGGATATCCTTCCGGTTGCTGTCAAAACTAATAGGTTTACTTTGTCCTTGTATATGAGCAAATATATATGCGCAAACAATGACGCCAACAACCAGCGCACATAGTTTTTTTTCTGAATTCAGAGGCTATATTCAAGCTCTAGTGAATAACCAACGGAGTGAATTTCGGAAAACAAAGTCACGTTTGATGAATACCGGAGACATTCTAAATGGTGGAGTCTAGTCTCACCACATGTCTCCGAGACCCAGTTACATAGTAAGAGATAGGCCAGCGTCCAATATAAATACCTTGCACTCTCTCTTCTGCATTATTCCTCCTTTGCTTCTACCACTGCATCCAAATTATTCTCTTTTTGTACAACTCAAATTCTCTTTGATTTAGCAACATATATCCACTCGCCACTATCCTTTGCAGCTTTCACTATGTCGGACTTCACTGAAACGAACAGAAAATACTTTGAGTATGCTATGATGCAAATAAAGCCCTTTTTAGCAAAACAGCAAAACACTAATGGGGAATATCACAGTAACCTGGCAGCCTCCTACAAGGGCCAATTTGCTGATGCCCAGAGAATGCTGTCAGCAGAGACGGTGCAGCATCGAAATTGGATTAGCAACCGATGGACAGACACAGAAGCCGGAAAGGACCAGGAGATCAAAATGCTCGAGTATGCCTGCGGTCCCGGTGTCATATCTATGGTATGTATAGATTTGCCTGTAAATAATGTCAAGGTTTCAGGACTGAACTAACAAAACATGAACTTAAAGAGCCTGGCCCCTTTCGTGGCAAAGGTTATCGGCGTCGATATCTCCGACAATATGATAGCAGAGTTCAACCGTAACGCTAGCTCGCTCGGACTTTCAGATAAAGTGGTTGGGTATCAAGCGGATCTGCTTGCGGAGGATGCTCCGGCCCAAGATATCGAGTCCGCGTGCACCAATCTGGATTTGGTGACAGTAAGTATGGCTCTGCATCATTTCGAACACCCAGATCGTGCTCTGAAGCGGCTGGCAAAGCGATTGAATAAGGGTGGTGCCTGTTACATCATCGACCTAGTGGCACATTCCGGTGCTCATGGACATGGACACGATGATCACCAGCATGAATTCGCCGGAGCAGCCCACACTGTCAAGACGCACGGATTCTCTCACGAGGATATGCAGCAGCTATTCGAAGGAGCTGGACTCACTATCGGGTTCGAGTATAAGATTTTGCCCGAGCCACTTAGGTTCAGCACGGAAGAGCGGTCCTTCTCTAAGACGGTGTTTATCGCTCGTGCTCAGCTTAAATGATGGGGAGGTGACTCTGTCGACCGATGAATAGATAGGAATGCAAGGATATGCATGAAGTCTTGGAGAAGTTGAATTGAATCTAAATCTAACTAGGTTATTTATGATTTATCGTAACTATGCATGTAGTACTAGGGTATCTATTGGTTGCTGGTAGTGGATCAAAGTATTCATAGATATGAATTGCGCCTTATGCATGAAATTTTACCATCTTTCTATTTGTCTACTTTATTTGAGGTACCTTAATCCCTTTGTGCTTGGGCCTACCATAACACAAGCTGTTTTAATGGTCCATGAAGACGCAAGAGCAGGGTCTAATATCATCACACTTCTTCTATACATACATTCCATATCACAAATATAACACCCTTTCACCCCCTCCGTATGAATACCCTCTTAAATATCAATTTGATTTAGTGTTTTTTACATGGTAAACCTCCGAAAGGTGATTGGTAATCCACATTGTCCCACTTTGATTAGTAATTCGTATCACGGTCCGGTGCCGCTCTTATCGCCGGTTCCGCCGCAAAAAGGCCGGGGACTGAAAAACCCCCTCCTCATGCGAGTCCAGAATTAGGAAGAATCAGTCAGAAGCAGGGTTCAGACTATGTGCAGGACTATATACTCTTGAACAGTTCTGGGGTCTTCGGCATTTGACTTCTCTTCACCTACTCCGGACTTGCCCTGACTTTTGCCCCATACTTGGGCTTCGGAAGGGCTTTGTGATTGCGAATTTTTGGGTAACACCTTCTCACAATGGGACTTCTGTATGTTCCCTAGAATCATTGGCTGTCTGTATTTTCCGTCTAATCTGGATGTACAGAGCTCTTGGAACAGCACTGGAATGGCCAGAAGCCAAGAAAAAGGCGGGCCAGGTGCGCGAGTGGGGTATCGAGGTATGCATGCGGATTTAATATATCTCAGCGATGTTGGAGGCTTACAATTGCTAATTTTTGGTTATTATCAGCAACTACTTGCCAATTGGCGCCGCGCAAGAGGCAAAGAACGTGATGCCCTCCTTTGGGGCGATGAGGTATGTTATTTTAGTCCGGCAAAGGTTTCACATCCTGATAGCTAATTTGTTGACATGATATAGGTTGAATACCTCGTGGTAGCACTCGACGATGCAGCGAAGAAATCCCGTCTGTCTCTAGCTCAGGCTGAGATCCTAAAGTCACTCGCAAGAGACGAGGCATTGTGGAAATCCGGGTCTGGCAAAGAGAATAAAAATGGGGATCAGTGAGTCGGATCTTTTGTGAAGAGAATCTGGCTTGTCTGACTTTTATCTAGTGATGGAGAGGAGCCACCTCATTTCCACCCCGAATTCGGCAGGTTCATGTTGGAGGCAACTCCCGGAGAACCGTGGGGAATCGGGTTTAAAGACTTGTTGAAGGTGGAGTCTAATATGAAGTGGAGGTGAGCTTCAAAAACCACACGACATGACACGAAACATGCTAATGACCCATAAGACGTGAAGTAGCGAAAGCACACATGGCCCCGAATGAGGTTCCTATTACCTTAACGACTTTCCCCCGCCTGGGAACCAAGGATGACTACATCCAGCCCTATTATCCTCCATCTGGGCCGGCTCTGCGTTCTCAGTTCGTTCCTGATGAAATCGCCAATCCTCATATTCGGTTCCCCACTTTGGCTGCCAATATTCGATCTCGAAGAGGCCGCAAAGTCGAATTGAATGTCCCTGTCTTTCATGACATTAATACACCCAGACCCTTCAAGGATCCAACTGTGAACTACGACCTTCACAATTGGCCCGAGGATGACGACGTCCGCAATGGCGCAGCCAAGGACGATCATGTCTACATGGATGCCATGGCATTTGGAATGGGCAGTTGCTGTTTGCAAATCACTTTCCAAGCAAAGAATATGACAGAGGGCAGGAGGCTCTATGATCAGTTGAGTCCTCTAGGGCCCATTCTTCTAGCTCTCACCGCCGCCACGCCCATCTACAAGGGCTTCCTAGTGGACACGGATGTGCGATGGAACCAAATTGGTAATGCAGTTGATGATAGAACTCGGGAAGAACTTGGTGAAGCTGTGAGTTTTACTGATATTGGTTGATCCATTGAACTAACATATCGCAGCCCCTCGAAAATGACCGGTGGAGAATTCCCAAGTCTCGATATGCGTCCAACTCGACTTATATATCCCAAGACCCTCGTCTCCGAAAAGAATATTTCGATCCTGATCTAGTCGTGGACGAAAATATCAAGAAACGCCTTATGGACGGGGGAATGGACGATCTACTAGCCACGCATTTCGCACACCTGTTCATCCGTGATCCATTGGTCATCTTCTCTGAAGACCTTGAAGAATTAGACCTCAACAAGAGTGACCACTTCGAGAATTTGCAGTCTACTAATTGGCAACACATGCGCTTCAAGCCGCCGCCACCTGACAAGGACGACATCGGCTGGAGAGTTGAATTTCGATCCATGGAGATCCAAATCACGGATTTTGAGAATGCCGCCTTCAGTATCTTCATTGTTCTAATTACACGTGCTATCTTGAGTTTCGATCTCAATTTCTACATTCCGATTCAACGCACCACGGAGAACATGGAAACTGCACACGCCCGCGATGCTGTTAACGATCGGAGATTCTGGTTTCGCAAGGATCCATTCACTCGTAGAGTCCCCAAGAGCGCGCAACAATCAACAAATGGCAGCACGTTCTCATCGGCAACGTCATCCGCTGTGAACACCCCGCCCCCGTCGCCCCCTCTGGGTCCGGTCGAAACAGAGTTCGATCTCATGAGCATCGACGACATTGTCAATGGATGTGCAGATGGATCATTCCCGGGGCTTATCCCCCTTGTAGAGTCATACCTTAACAGTGTCAATGTCGACGTTGAAACAAGGTGTTTCTTGGCCAGCTATCTTGATCTGATCCGGAAGCGAGCCAACGGCACTCTTTGGACTGGTGCTCGTTGGATGCGTGAGTTTGTGGCCAAACATCCCAGCTACAAGCAGGATAGTGTTGTGTCTGAGGAGATCACTTACGACCTGGTGAAGGCCGTTGAGGAGATGACTACCAAAGAGGGTAAAGACGGATCGGTGGGATGGGAACTTCTCCGTGGCAGAAAGGTCTAGAACTGAGACATCCATTCAATAGATATCCAGCGTGTGATCATGTACAGCGAGAATATGAAATCATTTGCATACATTTATGACAGTCGGAGGCAGACCTCCTTGTCACAGTCCCTGATGAATTTCAATTCTCTTATCTATCCCGCGCCTCTTAAGCAAACCTCCCTGTCCCAAATATTTATTCCAAAAGCATCTCCTCCTTGGTCGGCAGCCGACAAGAGTTAGCTAATCCAGTCACCTTCCATTGGCCGTTGAGTTTATATGAAACGGAAAGTCCAACGCCAACATGATCGACAACACCGTTGATCTTCGCTCGGAAAGGCGCCCAAATAGCAGCCAGATTTCCAGCCTCATTGACTTTCACCTCGGGGCCCCAGATGCGCTCGTTGATATCGTCTTTGAGCGCAGCGACATGTTCAACGGATGAGCCGATGGTGCAGAAGCGCAGGGCAGTTGGGGACGGAGGCGAGAGGGACATTCCCCCAGCTCGGACGCAGTGTTTCTCGAACTCAACGCGCGAACTCGTGCTCATTGCTGTGAAAAAAGCCTTGTGTAGTTGCAATTATGGCAGTCGTTTCTTGAGAATGGAGGGCTGCAGCTCCGGTGCGAGGGCTTAATGACCAGCACATCTGTGCCAGGGTGATCTATGCTGTAAAAAGCGTCAAACTTATCATTCTGAGGGGTGTTGTCCTGTTCTTCACTCGTCTCTTGGTGCCGACTGAACAGAATCATGTACATATGCAGGTACCTATACCGTCACCATTTTTCGGATCACTTCTGTTACCGTCACAACGTCTTTGGAGCTGTTGTTTCGGCCCGTTGCACCTTGTCTAACCTTGTTCCATTTGGACTTCTGCGATCTTGATTACTGTCATACAAGAAATGGCAGGTGCCTCAGGCGTGAAACATCGGTCTGTCTGGTGGTTGGGTCCGATTATTATCCAGATTCAATGCTCTCACTTGCCTATTGGCTTTATATGTTGCTTGAAACGCTGGGACTTGAAAGCCTGTGTAATCATCAAGCAGGGCATTGGGCAACCTTCTGGCTGATGTTGCCCAAGCTTATGTGTATTCCGGAATAAATGTTTGTGGTATTGTCATCACAGTGCTGTACATGCTGTGCTCCACACTTTCCGTGGGTATTGCGTATGCAATATGCCGGACCGAAGCCAACCTGGAGGATCCTCATTGGGAATAAGACTCAATTTAGCTCGGATATGCTAATATGGAACTATCGGGTAGTATTCGGGCTATTCAAAATGGGTTAGGACCAAAGCAGGCAATCGCCCGTTAAGGTTTTGAAGGAAATGTCTATGAAACTGAATAACCCCCCGCAGACTATCCTAAAGCGGCAGCAGCGGATCAACAAGCTTTGGAGTGGTTTCACGTCTCCCCGCTCAAGGCATGACATTCTTCCGTTAGGGCTTCGATTATCCGGGCACTTCGACACCCGGAGGTCACTTTAGCTTTATTTTCACAGCCTTGGCGTCTTTCTGTATAGTCGGATGGTATATTAACCGGTTTACATCCCACATTTTGGCGTCGATCTTGAACAGTTTGGGCAAAGCCCCATAATGGGGCCCTTTTTCCCCGCAACAACGACGTCCCCAGATTTCCAATCAATGACGAAAAGCTCTATGTTATAAATGAAGCATGGAACGGTTGGAAATGAGCGGGCAATACACAAAAGTTTGGGTCAATTTACACCGTCATGCTCGGATTCGCGACCAGCTTCTTGCTGTGGACGGCAGCTCATGCAGTCCCTACTATAAAATCATCTCTCACCGTGAAAGTGCGCAATGGAACTTACATTGGAGCTCACCTTTCAGCCTATAACCAGGATTTATTCCTGGGTATACCCTATGCTCAGCAGCCCGTAGGAAATCTGCGATTCACAGTGCCGCAGTCGCTCAATACGAGCTGGGACGGTACGCGAGATGCGAAAGAGTACTCAGATATTTGTGTGGGATATGGGGTGGGAATTATTTCTTCAAATTACATACAAGTTGCGATTCTAACATGACTATAGACTGACTCAATCTGGTACCCACGTTCAGAAGCTTGCCTCACCCTGAACGTGATCCGGGGTTCATCCACTGGCAATGATTCCAAGCTTCCAGTTGGGGTTTGGATCCACGGTGGCGGTTTTTATCAGGGCTCTGGAGCAGATGAACGTTACAACATGTCTGAAATTGTTGCAAATTCGTATAAAATCGGTATCGTTCTACCTCAAAATACCGTCCGAGTTTGATCTGACTAGATGATAGATAAACCCTTCATCGCTGTCACTCTCAACTACCGACTGTCAGCATGGGGTTTCCTAGCTTCAAGCCAGATCTCCGGCAGTGGTAACACCAATCTTGGATTAAGAGACCAGAGACTAGCCCTTCAATGGGTACAGGAAAATATTGCTGCCTTTGGCGGCGACCCCGAGAAGGTCACCATCTGGGGAGAGTCTGCGGGTGCCATTTCTGTGGGATTTCATCTCACAGCATTTGGTGGACGAGATGACAAGCTGTTCCGAGCTGGTATTATGGAGTCTGGAGGATCTATAGCCGCCCAGGCAGGGAATTATACATCTTCCCAAGCAGACTACGACGAGATAGCCTCTAAAGTAGGCTGTTCAAACATGATTGATTCATTGCAGTGTCTTCGCGAAGTGCCATTTGAGAAACTCAACGCAATTCTGAACGGCACAGATGGAACGTCTGACTATAACTTCTGGCCAATGGTGGATGGGGATATCATTCGGAACTGGGGTAGCTTTCAACTGGACCAGCATGCATTTGTGAAAGTCCCAATCATTGCCGGTACCAATACAGATGAAGGCACGGCATTCGGGCCAACTGGAATCAACACAACGGATGAATGGTATGAATACTTGACCAGTATGTAACTCAAGCTCTCATGTTGTTGACCTAAAGCCTAACGTTTCCAGCTGGTGATTTCAATTTCCAAACACCCACCGCTATAGCCAAGCGCATTCTCAACCTCTACCCCGACGACCCATCCCAGGGCATTCCGGCATACCTAGGGGATAAACGTGTGCCTTCAAACGGCTACGAATGGCGCCGTACATCGGCCTTCGCAGGCGACTGGACGATGCACGCTAACCGTCGACGGCAATGCGAAGCGTGGGCCGAAACATCGACCCCAGCCTATTGCTACCGGTTCAATGCCCACTCAGCAGACGTGCCTCTTCTGTCGGGCGTGACTCATTTCGAAGAGGTGTCGTTTGTGTTTCATAACATTGCTGGGCAGGGATATCACTACGGCAAGCCGTTTGCCGGTGTGCCACAGTCAAATATTGACCTCAGCTCTATGATGGCTAGCATGTGGGCATCTTTCATCCATAATTTGGATCCCAATCCGGGTATTGTGAACAAGTCTGTGCAATGGGATGCTTATTCCAACAGCAAGCCTGTGGATCTTGTACTCGATGCTAACAATACCAGCCATATGGAGGCTGACACCTGGCGCAAGGATGAAATCGACTTTATCAATTCAGTTGCGCAGGCTTTCTGGCGGTAGGAGAGATGTCTTTCCTTTATAGGTTCACTGTGTACGTGAGATGGTATCGAGTCAAAATTTGCATATGTACTCTTCGGCTCATATAAGTCAAGGCTTTTAGAACTCGAACAGTCTGCCATGATTGCTTAGATGTATACAATGACTAGCTTGGTTGTTCTATGCGGTTTCTTTCCCTCATTTTTGTAGTAATCAATGTAATATAGAGGCAAAACTAGAGCTATAGTTGACGTAGAGAGTCTGGCAAGTTCACTTTCACATATGTTTCGAAAGTAATGTTTTCGATTTGCTCACCATCATCTTGACCCCCTCATCTAGATCTCTGGAACTTGATTTTCAAGCACAAAAGATTAGTATCGATGCACTCATAAGGGGTACTTCGTATGAACAAAGAGACAAATGAGGGATATTATCGACCAATAACGGTCTAGGTGACTGTCTACATACGTATGAACATGTTTAAGTATAGGGTAAGGCTTCGTATATTTTGAAGCTCGCGTATTCAGTGTTACCTCGCTGTCTCCACTCCCTCAACTGAGCTTTCAACGTATACAAGGCTTGCATTAGCGGCTGTAAGTCTCACATATAGGTCAAAGGTGTATGAAACTATGAAGAGATGAAATGATAAATTACCTCATCCGGGTCCATCGGATCCGAGCCGAGTAGGATCGATCCATAGATGTCTCGCCCATGGCACGGATGTTCTGACCACGCGGTTTTGAACGCCTGAAAGTCGGAGCCGAGGACGCCAAGAAATCTATTTTAAATCTATTTTAATATAAAAATTGAGACAATTAATAATATAACACCAAGACATGATATGGGGATATTATATCCGAGCATCTAATTTTGTTGTAGCGTCTTAATAAATAGTCAGATAGATCTTAAAAAAAAGAGTCGATCTAGCCGAGCTCAATTGCCGAATTTGAAACCGTGGAATCACCATGAACAAAGTGACGATGCAGATCGGAGATCGGATCTGGTGAAATCTTATTTTGGACAAGGTTTACCTAGATTTGGCAAAAGGAAGTTCAGCGCTTGTATTCGAGAACCATGGTTTGTTTCCCCAAGATTTAATAATTTCTTTTTTTTGTCAGCCGCCCCCTTTTTGGGAAACCCATGAACTATGAGGCTCACACTCAACTGCAAGGAGACATGCAGATATGGATACTCACGGTGGGGTCATGCGGCATCAATGTCCGTCCATACCACGCGCAAATCTCACTTTAACGGGATCTCGATGGTTTCCACTCTGGCGCTTATCGCGCGGGACCCATCGTCAACAAAATCAAATCGAACTCTTTACTTAGTTACGTAGTGTGCCCCACAAAGGAACTAGCTAGTTAGTTAACTTTCCCAATTTGAAAGAGACGAAGGTACGGAGTACGGAGTACAATATTGCACATTATTGTACACTATACGGAATATACGAAGAGAATACGTATTTCAGAGCACTTGGAAAGGCAATAGCAAATTTGGTCAAACTCGTGCGTGACGTGTCCAGAGTCCACATACTTGCCCAGGCGTTCATAGCCACTGACAAATCGATATACTCCTCCAGGCTCATGTGGTTCATTATTGATATACGGTGTACATTCCAAAAATCTCACCGCCACATCTTAAACATGCCGCATGGTCTCAGAGCCAATCTAAGATCGTAAGCGGGGACGCATGCATCGAGTAAGGATCCTCCTTCCTGCACTGCGTCATGGAGATCGGGACGGGATTGAATTCTACGGATACTTTTATGCAGGTCGGGTAACTTTTCAAACCCCGATCGATACATACAATAACAACGCAGCATCATATCATGCATCCTGCTGCAAGCCATCACCCGGGAGATCTCGGTCGCTCGATCTGGGGTTCCGGGCAGCTGCAGTTGGATCTCGGGATGCGGTGTACGCGAATTATTGGAATCCTTGTGATTTCTCGACGTAATGTACCTATGCGTTAAAGCATGTAAAGCCAGGTGCTTTGATTTCAAGAATGTTTGTTTTTGTTATTTATTTTCTATACAGGCAAGGTGGCTTATGGTATCCGATCTATAAAACAAATTAGAAGGAATGTATGTATTGCTTTGATATTTTGCAATAGATATCGTGTGTGTATACTTGCCTAATAGGGCTGTATGTTAAAATAATAGTTACATCGTACGATATTGTACAAGCTAAGTACTTACAACTCTGGAACGGTATTACTTGATATTGTAAATGCGCATATAAACACTTCATAAATCAGAAAACTAAAATTAACAAATAGAAGATCAGAAAAATGAAAGTAGCCCGAAAAGAAATTCAATAGTTGAATCCCAACAGGTTGGTAATTCGATTCATTCTCCACCCACACACCATAAACTAACACGATTGGCTCCACTGTATCCAGATAGACTTTCGACCAGAAGGAGTCTTGGATCATAATTTGATTAAATATGGAGAGACCCTCCCAGCCGCCGCTAGAACCAAATCTCACCCGGGAACGACCGAGTTTTGGGGAGGAATTAAAATGCAGCATAAGCGAAATGGACTGTTTAGGTGGAGGTTTAGGTGGACTGCAACGGGTGTCGAATCCATTCGGCCAATCAGAATTGGCACGGGTAGATAACCTGTGGTCCGATTAGGTTTCTGGGAATAGTTTGGTTCTGGGTGAAGAAGATGATCTTGGTCGTTTTTTTAATCAGGTTAATAACAAACAAACGTTGTACAACATAAGGGGGTGTTGGACTTTGATATTATTTCGGATAGATCCGCTGCGGTTGAGTCTACAATACCATTTCAAATTTGAAAAGTGAAATTCAACCAATAGCTATTGCAATATGTGTGCGTTAATCTAATGCAAGTGCGTTTATGTTTCACACCTCCACGGCCAAGTCCGATAGTATATACCACCTGCAATGTTGTTAGAAATAGTAAACTACCTAGGTATATATACTACGGAGCATATACCACAACTAGTTAAACAAAGAAGCCGAAGAACTTTCAAAGAACAAAACTCTAAACTCCACTCGATGACATTATCCCTAACTCGAAATGGCATACTAGGCCCGAAAGCGTGGTTCCAATATTGATCTACCAGTAATAGCTCCTCCAATCTGCCATGCGACATCGCAGGGACCTTCAAGATACACCGACATTAATTCCAAACAGAGTGCTGACAAAACGCAAGTTCAAGCTGCAGCCTCCATATCGGACGGTTCGCAGCTAACCACACTATTGAATAGAATGCATCCACGTATACGATCATGCGATCATGCGATCTCAGTCCTTGCCAAGATAGAGTTTGCGTCGGGCACCGATTCAAGGCTTGTGTGCCGCACGGCACAGACCTAACGATGATCAACACTACAATGCATCCTGAGTCTGCATTATTTATTGTCGATCAAGGCAAATGGGCGATCGCGGCACGTCCGCACAGACTATTAACTTATTGTGGAGGTACTCCTGAAGTATGTGATAGCAATATACATACGGAGCACGGAGTCCAAAGAGCGATATGTAAACGATACTGTGGAATTTTATTTTATTTAAATTTAGCTTTTTGTTTTTCTGCCGAATCAGTACATATGCCGGCAGTGAGCATATACGAGGATTCAATAGTCTCTGATTTCTTGTGGAATATGCGCCCGAACGCGACACTCCACAGATTGAACCATAGAAACTAGTACGCCACATGTAACATTTCTGTGGTGTCTCATCTCCGCGGCAGACGGAGTCCGCCGTGCATGGTAGAATCTACTTAGCTGATTACCGTACTCCGTACATAGAAACCTTAAGGAAGCGGCGTTCCGGGGAGCATTTCGGCCGGGTCGGATCTCGGAGAACTATTTATGGAAGACGATGGAAATTTAATCCGGGGTGAAAACCTCATTTCTCTTGAAAGGCTCAATTGAAGATGGCAAAGGGTTTTTACATGACATAGCAATGTCATACGATGCATTCATAAGTATTGTACACAATTTGCCATGCCATCTGTACTGTTAGAGAGCGAGAGCGAGAGCGATGAACCAAATTGCTGGGCCCGATGGGCAAGCCTATTGTGCTATACACCTACAATATCGTACATATTGGATAATAATATAGATTTATTATGCTACAGCCATATGAACGGTCTTGATGCGATCGAAAATAGCAAAAGATGCGACGACAGGAGGATCTCCACAGGGATAAGCGAACGTGGGATCTGGATCTCGATCGATTGAATCTCTCGTCATCCCTGCTAGCCCCAGCCTGTCTAAGGAATTTACAAGGGTCATCATTTGGATGTCACGATACAATGCAGTTAAAAATCGAAGTCACCAATATTCAACACGCTTGTCCTGATCTGGCAGTAGCAATCACAAATCTTCCAAAATTGCGCCGATCCCCCAGGGCACTATACAAACTCTCCAGCCCGTCGGAATGGTGTCGGGCCAAATACTACTTGCAGTTCGATCGCTCGATCCCTCCGAACAGGGGTTCCCTGCCAAAGTGGAACGAACTACGGGGCACGCTGTCAATCTCTGAATATGACAAATCCTGAGACGCGGGCTTTATCCGCCTATCACTAGGGATGTGGCGGTCTGTAACGGTCAATGGAATATTTCATATGATACAGTCACGTTTCATGGTATAGTGTCATATCTTAGTTCCAAATACTGCGCTAGCAGCGAAATCACACGCCGAAAACTTGGGATACTAGATCATGAGATCTCACGCCCGATCCCGGATACATACAACGTAGATCGGATCTTGTTGTGAACACAAATACTTGCAGCGAATGATCGTGCTACATCCCCGCTAGTCGATTTAGACCCCGATGATCTCGATGATCTCCTTTTTTCTTCGCGTCTATCGATTAATGAGGGGGTGTTCTTCTGCGATCTAATATTGATCTAAAATGAGGGGTATATTGTACGGGATAAATGGCCACATACGATGACAATTCTACTATAATTAATTGAATCTGCACGAATACCGAATTGGATGGTCCACCTTGGGCTAAAACGGCCAAGGATCATGCCACATTCCAATCGCCACGCAAGTGACTAACAAAGCAAAATTAACGAATTGAAAAACTCAGATTATAGTTCTTGGCATTCTACCACATCAAGGTTTAAATCATACAACTCTACATTTCTACAACGTATAAACTACAGGAGTAGAATGCATACATACATAATGTATGTAGACTTGGTTCGGGAACTGGTCGGACCCAAACAAAATCACTCGGGTTCGGTGCCGAAGTTTACGGCCGACAGCTATAGTCCGAACTACGTCTACAACGTACAATATTGTACAAGACTACCTTATGTAGTTATAGAATTGTATGTTCAAATCAAAATGCTGTAATAGCAAAATCATATGTTGCCACCCGGAAATTGTGTCCCAGGCAATCAAATGTCCACACATTGAAAAAAAATATTTGAAAAGAATGAAAGTGTCGTAAAACCTTTGATATCGACTAGGACCATAAATGTAAGAGACGCTGAATAAGACACGATCGTACACACATCATATCAGGGACATACTCAAACAAACACGCAAGATGAAGACAGTAGGCCTTCGGATTGGCTCAAACAAAACAAAAATGCAGGGTATAAACCAATAATAGTCTTGAAAGATGGGAAGCAGCCATTTGGGAAACAAATAAAGAGATAGAAACAGGAGGGGAAAAGAGATCATGGAACCAATTTCAGACCAGGCCAGTGGCTATTGAATCATCAAAGGGGGGAATCTATGCTAAGGCCGTTTTTCTCCCATTTGGAAGCTGTGGGGTATTATATAAGGGGCGCCGAGTAGGGAAAGTTCCCAAACGGGATAAAAAAAAAGTAGAAAAGACGGGGAGACATGAACCAGAAGCCAAAAAAAAGATGCCGAAGTGGGGATAAAATGTAGCAAGTCGTGAAATCCCAAAAGGAAATAACCACAGAACTCCGTCGCCTTCTATTTCCCACCTTTTTTCAAACGCCACATTTCAAAAAGAAGCTTAATGACTGGTTGGCGAGGCGGAGTCAAGCATCGACTTGGGCTTCAGATTCGAACCCAGGCTCGCCGCCTTGTTCGCGCCCATCTTGCGAGTCAACTTGGCATAGTGCAACCCGCAAGCGTTGCACAACGTTCGGGCACCATCTGGACCCCGACGCCATTCTGGTGTTTCGGCTCGGTTACAGCTGTGGCAACGACCAGGAGGGGCCGCCTTCTAAAAACGTGGTTAGCCATACAGATTTCGAACGGGCAATTTTATGTGGAGTGACAGGGACGTCAGGTAGAGAAGGAAAAAGGGAATAAACGGGTAAAAACAGGAAATGAATAGGTCCAGAACTTACTCCACGCCGTTTTTTTGGGTCCGCACCTGCGAATCCGCCCGTGCCCTTGAAATCTTCTTGGTACATTGCCATGTGGTCTTCCTCGGTTTTGAACGCCTTTCGCTGAGCCATCTGTTCGGCTAACGCCTGTTCCTGATTCACCACGGCTGTACGTATCCGAATCAAGGCATCTTGGTTCCGTCTTTGCATATGGAGCATATCCTCCACTTCATTTAACGAAGGAAGAGACCCTACTAGCGGGCCAGACCGCTGGGTCTGTGTGCGCGTGCCGCGTAGTGTCGAGAAAAATCTAGGGTTCGTGTGCTCATCTCGGCGATCTGGTAAAACGTTAGTCCACAAGTAATTTCCGCGCACCACAGCTTTGGAGAATTTGGGGTTTCTCGACCACCAACTCGAGTTCAAAAATAGAAATAATGGGAGGAAACAATTTATATTTTTTTAAAAAAAAGCGGGAAAATTCATACCTCGTTCAATGATTGCTCCACGTCGTAAACGTCCAGATGCCGCTTGACAGAGTCGCTATGGGGAGGAACATGTCGACCCACAAATCCACCCTTAACTTCATCCACGCGCTGTGCGCCCACGTATGGCCGATTGTCGTAGGGCGCAGGCTGATATGAGTGGCCACCGGGGGTAGACTGAAATGTGTAATTTGGTGGGAAATGGCTGTAGCCATTAGGGGAAGCGACACTGCCGGCGGAAGTTGGTGCGCTGTATTCGTAGGTAGAATTTTGGGATCCAACAGAGGTGATGCCTGTTTTGGCGCTCTGTGTGGGTGACTTTCCCGTGCTGAGGGAGTGGAGGGACGCGTTTCGCGAATCTTGAGTGTTGATTGAGGTGAGGCTGGAGCGCGATGCGTCCATTTGAGGCTGGTGAGGGAAACCGGGTTCCCGCATCATCGATCCAGGCCCATTGAAGGGATTGGGCGGACCAGATGGACCTTCGGTACTGCGTGCGATGATATGTGAAGGGGGCGCAGGGTGAGCGGTTTGTGTTGGTGGAGCGGAGGTAGGAGCAGGGTATGGGAGTGAGTCGTTTCCGAGAGCTTCGTGGATTGATGGGAGGGATTGTCTTGGTGTGTGATTGTCCTTTTCATCTTCAATGGCGCGACGCGCCTCGGACGGCGAGATGTAACCCGTTTGTGAAGGTGCACCGTTGGTTGGCGCGTAGGCGTATGGTAGTGGTTGACCGGTGTACATGACGTTGGGACTCATGAGAGGAGTTGAAGAAGCGGTAGCGCTCGAAGGGTGTTTAGGAGTGAATCCCGAATCCTTCCCTAAGAAACCTATTGCGGGCAAAGGGTCTCTGTGCAGGTGCGGCTGGTCAACATCGTACTGACTGGGCGAACGCATTACCAACCTGTGCCTAAGTGCGGCTTCCAAAGACCCCATCACGTTTTTGAAGTTGAGATAAACGTAATAATCATTCAAGGAAGATAATAAAATCCGATCGCTTGGAAACGAGATCCGAGATTCGATTCGAGATTTGAGGGGATAGAAATAATAGAGATCCGGCCGAGTTAAGACAAAGTTTCTCAAGGCCGTTACGCCTCTCGTACGACCAAATAAAAGAAAAAGGCAGATTCAATGGGTCCAAGGTGGCGTAGAAGAGAGAGAAAAGGGTATGTCGTCAAGAGATGGAACCCAAGATCCCGGAGAGGGGCGAGGTTCACAAGTTTGTGGCGTTTAAATGGAGCCCGAGTAAACCTGCGAATTATGTCCGATGCGCGGTAATGAGATTCTCTCACCACTTTTGCTTTTTGTTTTCTTCTTATATGGCGGGAGAAAAAAAGAATCAAAAGTGATAGAGGTGAGAAGAAACAAAAAAAAAAACGTAAGAAACCCCTCCAAAATTAGAAGTCCAAAATCTCGATAATATAAAGCAAAAAAACCAGTTCAAAGATCGATCTGAGAGGACCGAGCGCAAAATGCAAGGGATATAGAGCGTGGTAGAAGAATGTCAATCCAAATATGAAAGGCACGAGGTGGAATGGAGAGAAAAAGAAGAAGTCATAAAGAGAGATTTAAGGATAAGAATATCTCAAGACTTAAAAAGAAGAAGGGGAAAAGGGATCGAGGCTACTTTCGGGCTTTAGATTGGAAACGGGAAGCTTAGAGAAGGTAAGTTTATTATTTAATTATTTGGTTATTGTATTTAGTATTTAGTATTAAATATTAAATATTATAATATTAGTATAATATTATAGTACTATTAAGTATGAAGTATTAAGTATTAAAAGATCGAGATCCTAGGCAAAATTACCTAGGGAAATTGCTTAGATCGTCATGACTTGGTTTTACGCAAATTTACACGAACTGCGGATCATCGTAGGATCATACCTATCACTAGTGACCTGCGGATATCTTGTGTGGAGTGTTATTTTATTTTATTTTATATTTATATATTTTACATTATATTTTAAAATAAAAAATAAATTTTGGTATTTTTGTTTTTATATATCGATTTTATCTTTCTGCAATGTACAATGTTATATATGGGTACAACATACATCTTTACTCCTTATTGTATACCCTCTTGGTTGGACAGTGTGACACTGGTCAGGAACCTACTAAGGTAAGACCAAGTACCTGAAAATCTTTCCATACTGTACAATATTGTATAATATTGTACAGATTTCATATACTTACTCCGTACATAGGTACTCCGTAGACTTAATAAATATATATAAATATATATATATATATAAGGGAGAAAAAAAAGCAAAGAAATTAAGGCTAGTTCCCCAGACCATGGGATCGATGCTCGATCGAGAGAAACGGCCGATTCCCAACGTGCTAACGGACGGCTTAATACCCGAGAATCTGGTCCAGCAGGAAGGGGAGCTAGACTATACACCTATAGCTCAATGTGATATAGTGCTGCCGTGCTCTAGTGTTCTGGAATCAATATATTATATTACTCTGGATCGATCCCATAGCGTTCAATAAAAATCCTTCAATCTATACAATCTATATTTCATACATACCTAGGTTTTACGGAGTACAGAGCTTACATATAAATTATAACGCGCCTTAACTAGATGGAGGACATTTTCCCCCGACACTATATGTACGAGACCCTATGCATATGTGTCACATGAGAGAGATCTCCGATTCAGGGTGGATCAAAATGTCAGCCTCGGGCCACAACGTACAAATATATGTGAAAACGTTCAGACCGCAAGAGCTGATTAATATTGAACCAATCCACGGATGCCTTCAGCGCCAGATATTCAAAGTGAACAGAAAGGATATCAGACATGTGTCCGATATTTGTCCGATATTGAAGAATCAATTCAAATTCAAAATACATAAATCGAGTCCAAGTACGTGCAACCCCAGAATCAAAAAGATCTTATGAGGTTACACAGTCAGATCTGGAAGTGCCTGACGTGTCCTGGAGTACGACGGTTCCATGGTTCACTTGACTTTATTCTTTGATCTTTCTACTTTATTTTTCTTTTCTTCGATCTTATTGTTTATATTGATTCATGCCTAGGTAGGTTATTACTATAGATTATTTTTTATATTAAGTACTATATATTACTCGATATTATTTCACTCAATCTCCAATCGCCAATCCCCAAAATGAAAAATACTACGTCACCGAGCCACTGGCCGTTCCAAGCCAAGATCGGGCACAGGTGAAATCATAAAAATAATAAACTAAAAAAAAGCAAGTAAACCAAAAAGCAAAATAGTAAAAGAGATGAAAAAAACTGAAACTTCCCAAAGAAAAAGAAAACAATTATTCAGTCTCGGAGCACGCTACTCCCTTAAGTACCCGCCGACGAGGATCGGGTCGCAAGGGTATTGCAACACACGTTGCTTAAGCTTTGGATCGAGATCGGACGCGGGACGTTTATTGGCGAGATCGCGTGTGCTGCACTCGATCTCAACCCTTTATTCTGTAGACCCTGAGTACCAAAGGTACAATATACATACATTCATTGTTGGTTCTACAAATTATAGTATAAAGGAATGCTACCGGAATGGGGTGACGTGAGAACAGGGGATAAGAAACAAAGAGGCGAGAATAGAGAAAATGATATTCCACCGGTTGCCTTTCCAGGCGGCGTGCGTAGCTCCTAGATTAAATATGATTACATACTAACCCTTCAAGGCTGGAGATTCTATGGACATCTCTACGGAGTACTCTAACCGTACTTATTCTACCTTTTCTCCGTTACCTTGTACTTTTCTATTCCAAACAACCTGCATGGAAATCACCAGTGGTTTTAAAGAAGATCGACCAAAGCTTCCCGTATTGGAGAACTGTCGAATCCATTTTCTGGGTCTTTGAGTTTGGTGGCCACGGACCCACGACGTACGGCGTTTGGATGTCATATTTGCTCTTCTTATTTCCCTCATTTTGACACTACCAAGGCGCTTATCAAGACCGGTTTCGATTTCCGGCATGATCACAATCGTCCGGTCTACCCCTAGTCTACTAATCCTGCACAAGCGTGACTTTTCTCACGCCTATTCGTCTCACTTTTTTACGCTTCGGCGCACAGACTCCAGGGGGGACCCATAATGATGTATGGTTCAACGGTCGGCCCATGGCCTAAACGTCGACGGAGATCCAAAAACGGTCAAGCATGAAAGGCAATCGTCGCGAGATCTTCGGATTATCCAATCCTGTCTACTGATCTGACGCTTGATTGTTCCGTCGCTAAAGGCTCGATTACTGGAACAATTCTCAACTAACCTATATCAGCCTGAATGCGTTTGTGATATTACTTCACCTATGCAGTTGGCATGCAAATAGAAAAGAACAGACCCTACAATATCATACGCCTTGTACACATCCTTGTACAAGTGTTTTTCCCGCCTCACGCACAGAAGCGCATGCACTGAGCCTCTCTATCCAAGACGCAGTGTTCATCCGGAGAAAAATCCCGGAGACCATCGCACAATGATTTGTTGATGGGTCGAAAATCCAAGCGCTGCTAGGTATCGATCTACATGGGGACGCTGCATCGCGACTGCAGCCGAGGGCTAGACACCAGACGGATCGTAGGATTTCAGCCACTCTGCGATGCGTTCCGTGCGCACTTGAGATTTAGTGCATGCACGGTAGGTCACTTCACCTGCCGAGCATGAATGCAGTAAGGATCTTTGTGCGATTGGGAGGTTCTCCACTCGCTGCACGATAACGGGGGTTTGGGAAGGACAAGGCGTACAATACTGGAATCACTGTAAGCCCCGAGTGAGACTGATCATATTCACCGATCGAGGCTGAAATACTTTGACCCTTTTTTTTCTTTCATATGAGAAAGCCAAGTCAAAGTGTGCCTGGGGCATCAGGGGGAAAACCGAGTTTCCCCGCGGCGTCTTTCGATCTGAACTATCAGAATCGTAACTGGTCACACTGACCCGGTCGCAGTCCACTGTGATGGATCATACAAGATCGAAATATGATTGGCTTGATTAATCCGGTTGTATTCAATACCTAGGTACGGAAATGGAAAAAAACGAAGAACATATTGTTATGGAGTGTATTCTGGTTGCCTTTTTAGGGCAACTAGGAGTGCAGGATCAATTACGCAGGCGCTTTGGGAATAGGATTTCACGGGTCACACCCAACTGGGAACAACATAGCATGGTCTGAAGGAGGCTAGTATTTTAATCGAGAGTGGTTGCACTGAAGACTAGTGGGGAGAAGAAAAACCCTGAAAAGTGGCTTTCGGCAATGAAGATATTCACGTGTCTAAAGCGCCCCTGGGAGCATACGAGGGGAAGGTGACTGTAACCGCGCAGGACTTTGACATTTAGCGACCAATGAGACTGATTCACTAAAAGCTTTATTATTGCTCGTCTCAAGCTCCTCCCCGTGACCAAAGTCTCCAGAGTCTCCAGTTGGAGTAGACGCAGATCTTTCCAAGCCATCTTTTTCCGTGAAACATTGGGGACTAATTTTGTTTTATTTTAGAAATGGTTGTTATTTACGATATGATTACGATGGCACTAACTACAAAGCCCGAGAGGGTGAATATCATTACCTTACAAGCAAGAAGAAAAGAGAAATGGCGTTCAAATAACTGGAGACATGATCTCAGGAAGTTGATCGACAAACCGTTAGAACCGTTTTGTCCCCTGATGACATGATCCTGACAAAGACAGAGTAGAAAAGGCAGCATTTTGAAATTTCCGACTAAAAATTGCTCTATGTGGAGAACATACGATCGCTAAACGGACGATCAGAGCATTTTAGCCACAAAGGAGAATGAGCGGCAATACTTTGGCTCAAGTTGGCAAGAGATTAAGATCCGATCCCAATTTTAGTGCGCATCGGCCATTGACTAGTTATCTTTTTTGAATATAGGTACCAATCTCTACATGCAGATGAATGCGATGGAACTTCCTCGAACTCGATATGCCCTGATCAT